GAGCTAAAGGAGTCCATTGAGAAGCAGCGAGCAGACTTTAACTTGCGCATGGAGCAAGAGAAGAGGATCTGGGAGGCCGAACAGAAATCTGGTGCATCAATAGACAGCAAGCCACCTGCTACACCAGCCAAGCAGACTGCGCCGGGAACACCTACGACCGCTACACCCAGCCTTGACAATATCGGCGATGATGAGGCTCGCAAATTTGTGGCCACTAACAGTACTGTGAAGAGCATTATTACGGCCAACGTCAAGAGCATGGTTGAAAAGGCCACCAAGAAGGCCAAGGATGAGTGCGACCAGAATCACGTGTTGAAGTCTGAAGTCGAGCAGAAGCTGGCCCAAGCCAGGGATTCTGCGGCGAAGATGGCCTCTACGAAGTCAAATCTACAGATCAATATGGCACAGAATAAGGCAAACATGGCGCAGGCGAAACTTGCTGTAGTTGAAACAGCTGCGAAAGAGACTCCCGAGAAGCCTGTTGGAGAAGTATGGGAGTTGGCCAAGAACGCCAAACCACCGCCAGCCGCACCCAAACCTGCTGCACCGGCGGCGAGCGCTGCTTCGGGTAAGATGAAATACATGTCCGTGGGGGGAAAACTTATGCTAATCATGAAACAGCAACTGCTCAACCGGGCACAGCAACCGGCGCAAGTCAGGCGTCTCAGCCAGCCGGCACGACAAGTCTGCCAAAACCTCAGTCGGCCATTCCGATATCAGCAGCAACAGCAAATGCTGCTGTGGCCCCTGCAAATCCGTTTGGACAATCTACAACGTCGCAAGCTGGACCACCTACAGCCAACAATCCATTTGCGTCATCAGTAAACAAGCCACAGCCAGGTGCGCAAAACGGGCAAGCACAGCCGACACAAGCTGCACCAAATGCACAATCTGGCGGTCAACCGAAATCAGGCATACCTCCTCCCAAGACCGGCCTCCGACAGCCTAGCGGAAACTTCCAGGCTCGAGGTGGAAGGGGAGGACGTGGTGGTGCTCGAGGTGGAGCGCAACAAGCGGGTGGTCGCGCCAGTCTGAACCCTGGTGTTGACAATTTTCAACCTGGAAGCGGCAACAAGCGCCCAAGGAATGACTCGGAAGCTGGCAACGCCGGGCCTGGAGGACCAAAGAGGTTGAGAGGTGGCGCGGGAGCTGGTGGTGGTGCTCAGCAGTAGAGTGCCCTGCACAGGACGCAATGCTGGTGTATTTCATGCAATAAATTGGAGGGGCTGTTCACTGTATACACACTGTATCATGTATTCAAGGATTCAAGGATTCAAGGATCACAAGGATTGGCTCATGCAACGGTCAGGCGAAAGGGAGTGGAAAAACTTTACGTAATTTTGCTTTGCGGACAGAAATCAAATATGCAGACATACTGATATCTGCCCCTCTCTCGTAAGAACAGGCTGGTCGCATAGGAATGTCGTAGATAAGAAGAATCAAATGTTTTCATTCGCTGGCTATTTACCTGTTCATGACGGCTTCGTGCTGTTGCTGGTGTAAGTTTGAACCCTTGCTTGCTTGCTCGCGTTTGCTCACCATCTAAGGGGATGGAGGGAGCTAGAAAGAGAGGATGCAAACAGAATGGCGGCACTGGCTATGATGTAAGTGGACTCGGCTTGCCTCTTCCTCTTCCTCTTCTTCTTCTTCTTCTTCTTCTTCTTTTTCTTCTTCCTCTTCCTCTTCCTCTTCTTCCTCTTCTTCCTCTTCTTCTTCTTCTTCTTCTTCTTCTTCTTTTTCTTCTTCCTCTTCCTCTTCCTCTTCTTCCTCTTCTTATTATTCTCATAAGGGCTTACTCGTCCCTTTCCTTAGCTGGCATCTTCCAGCACAGCTTTCACAGCTTGTAGAGATCTTTGAGCGCGACATCACAAAGTTGTCTGCCTCCCCAAGTTATGTACAAAAAAATTCAACATAATCTCAGAAGATCTCGGATTCATACGGTGTTGCAGGTTTTCCGCTCATTCCTACACACTTCATGCGCTCTTTTATGCTCTCTTAGTACTGCAGTACTCTAGCCGCCCTCTGCACTGGGTCACACATGAACTTATCATCACTGTCAATGCACAAAGACTCGCACTACTCATGACTATTGGCCTACCTACCATACAGTAGGACATTATTACATCAGGCACATGGACTACAGACCTCATGTCCTCGAGGACAGCCCGGGATCCCTAACAAAAAGATCTGGCGACCACTACGTTTGCACAACGTTTTGTTGGTCTGGACAGCCAATTCTCTACTTGCCGGTCTTCAAACAGCCATGTCACCACGCAGATGTTTTGCCAGTGTCTTAGCATTACATAGCATGCTTGTACTGCGGCCTGCTGCTCTGTGATGTGTTGTCTTTTCGTCGGCTGTGGAACAGCCCGAGCGATGATGCCAGCATGAAAGACGCTGATTCCGTCCTTTCTATCCAACCCATCACATATATGTCTCTACGGAGAAGAAATACTACACATTGTAACTATGGAGGAAAGAGAGTATGTGGTGAGGTGCAGTGAGCAGTGCAATCTGATATGCTTGCGTTGTCGGTCCAACGAGGATAGCGAGGCATCGTTATTGTGCCGGATCACGCAAGCGCTATTCCAGATCATGGCCAAGACCGATAACCGCGCCTTTTCCCACGGTATCTTTCGCTGGACAGGACTCAATTTTCCCCCACCGCGTAAGGGTAGTAATCCAGACAGTGCTTTTTTAGCTTCAACCGCCGCTTCGAGATTAGTGAGGACAACATCTAGCAGTCAGCCACCGCCGTCTAATACGGTTTGTCATCAAAACTAGCTTATTCGAATAAGCCGGGCTACTGCTACTTCCTCCACTGTCACGGTTTGGTGTTCCAATATCTGCTAGTTCACCACAAATTGTGTGGAACAGAATGGGGACCTGGTTAGCAACGCCTGAACTCGCCTTTTGATGTGGGTTTACCAGTCTAGTCATTTGCTGAGCAACACAGGATGACAGTGATGGAAATGGAAACACGTGCTGATCATGGACAGTGTCAAGAGACTCCCTCGTTGACCAACACCTGCACACTGAACATCTTGACGTGTTTAACTTCTTGTTGGATCCAGCAGACTTTGTCAGTTTCAAATACCAGTAGAAGAGAACATTGGAGCGGTCATAATAACGTCTGCATTTCTGTCAGATGGTCTGCGAGAAGAGACTGAGAAGTGCAGTTTCGGGTGTCGTGCAAATTTACACGCCGGTCATCTTATGCGTGCCAGGTGTTCTTCGCCTTTGTGACAGACCTGGAGACCTGGCCATTCCTTGCAGCTGTGGCACCGCGGTGTATCTATTCCCACGTGCGAAAGCATATTCCTGATGCTGACGGTCAGGTCTTTCCAAGTTGTGCTCCGCACTTTCTTCCACATGCGCGTCTTGGGGGGACATGACGATTGGTATACTGCTGTTGCCCTCGTCTGCATTCTTGTCGGATGGTGCGCCGTCAGAAGCATCGAGATCAAGTGATGTTCCCCTGTCTTTCGGCTGTGGAACAATGCGAACGAGCTAGTTTCAGAAGCAGCTTCTAGATATATTTGGTCTTTCTTGAAGCATATACCACTTGATGTCGAAGCCAAAAGTAGGCAAATTACGTAGAGTGGTTTATATGGTAAAATGTGTTGTTGTTATTGTTATTATTGTTGTTGTAATTGTTATTGAATTTAAATCATTTTGGGCTACGTAAGAAACCCCAAAAATTTATGACTTACCCATTAGTCCACAACATATAGGGAAAGCAGGACTTGAACCTGCATGATAGAAATAGGTGACTCGAACACCCAACCTTCCGTGTGTAAAACGGTTGGGATTGAAGACATACGGAATCGAATAATACATTCTGAAGCAGGTGCCTTTTTTGTTAGATTTCAAGTAGTCTGTCTTACCATTATATATACAAGATAGATGGCCGTTTATAGAGTAATAACATAAACCTACAAGTGTACGGAATTAACATGGATATGTGGGTTGGGTCAGGTTATGGTTCGTAGCTCTAGGGCTTTATGCTTTCGGTTGCTTAAAAGAATCCCAATATAACGAGCATGCTTTTCGAAGGATTGGGTAGTCCTTTCAGCCGTCTACTAGTACTACTTCGCAATACCACTCTCACACTCCTCTCAATTGCGCTTCCCAGAACAATCCTTTGAGCCTCGCAAACCACTGTCCTTTCCCATGAACATCTGGTCACTCGCCTGCGTCATGTCCGCTCTTCTTGGTCAGCGGCCACTTTTCGAATCATGGTTCCCAACCGACGACCGGGTTATTGAACAACGTGTCGACGCCTTAGGCCAACTTCCTAGTGAGTAGTGGACAAATTGGCCATGCCGTAGTAACTTCTTCAAAGAGCAAAGCCTCGAATGAGTTGATGGTGAAGTGCGTTGGGTTTGAAGGCGCGGGTGGAATTTTCGATTTATTCGCCACGAAAAGAGTATGGAATGCTAGATGCGCCAGAGCCAGAGAAGATTGCTCCGCTTGCCCTTTTGCGATCGATGCTTGCTTTCAAAGTGGAGGAAAGGCCCACTGCTCAACACGTTGCTGAATCGGACTGGATGGTCAATTGGGCGCTGCCTGAACTTGACGATCCTGGTTGTATCACCTTACTTCGTAAAGTATAAAAGAGTATTACGCTTAAACATGTGTCCCGTTATTTTCCCCGGGAGTAATGGCAATTGTCCAGATCAGGACAGCGTTGTACCCGTGCCCCACATGGTATAGCGTCGCACCGCGAACCCGCAGGCAGCTATAATCCTACGGAATATTTCCTGGCTGCTAATTTGTCAGTTGCTCCGTGTGTGAGCTGCAGCTGATACACGCGGCCGCATCATTCCCGGCAGGCAGGGCACATCGTATCATCATATCATCTTGCTTGCTGTGCCGTGTAAATTGATATAGGAGCTGACCTTCTCTCAGTCCAGGCAACGGAATTCATAGTTTTTAGAGCTTCATGCCACCTCGATCGGCTATCAGGACCAAAGATCAATCGCAAAAACACACTCGAAATGGCCCAAGAAAGCCAGTTGATCAAGGTTGACATACGTCTTTACAAGAAAGACGAAGTGCCGTATGAGGACTTTATCAAAGGGGCCACAGAGGTCTACCCTACCAAAGCCATCCCGCTCATGAAGAAGCACGGTCTTGTAAAATGGACTACGGTAAGCAACAAGACGCGGCAGAGAGCCTCTGTCTGAGGACTGTCTATATAATGTCTTTCCGCTGACACGATCTTTCTTGCGTGGGCGTTTAGACGGCGTACCCTCCTCACTTCAGAGAGCCCTTTCGTCATGCGCTGAAAGAGGAGATGGGCCGCCCGGAATGGGTAGTGCCCGACCATGATCTGGTCATGTCGTACTGGGTGCGCAGCTTGGACAGTTTACAGGCGCTCACCACGTCCAGAGAATGGGACGAGCTGGAGGTAGATGCGCAGAAGATTACCAACGTGCAAATTGGGCAATTCGCCGTGGGGCACGAGATCGTGCAATTTCAAGACAACTGGGCCGGAGGCGCCTAACAGGACGCATGAGCGTGGAAATTGCTTAAAATGAGGCAGACAACATAAGCTTTTTGTGAAAGTTCAATGGGGTATCAATTGTTCTGTATCCATGCTCCGTGGCAGGATAGCGCCGTCCTTAATCGCTAAAAGCCTGCCCAGGTGGTGTGCCCTGGGCCAGCATCGCCCGTCCCGTCCCGTTCCCACCAATAACTCAGACCTTCTCCTGCTCTATCGACTGCCTCGATTTTCGGTCGCCGAGCAGCTTGATCGGAGGCGACAACATGAACAAATAGCTCCCATGCAGCCAGCGCGGCCCAGCGAAAAGATAACTCGACCACCGCTTGACCCTTTCCTCCTTCTGCTCCAGGAAGGGCAGATACCCGGAGTCGTAAATCCCCACATACTCCTCCGCCGTGTGCGCAAGCTGTACGATGCGCCCACCAAATCCCCGGTGGTGATGCGCGTCCATGCAATCGCAACCTTCCTTCTGCCACATAGCCAGAGCATTTGAAAGCGACATTGATCCGACGAACCAGCCGAACAGCATCATGTAGACGTATGACGCCGCCGAGCTGAGGAAGATGCCCTGCGAGACCGCCACCGTGTCGAGCCAAGGCTCGTGGACGAGGTGGATCTCGATGTTTCGGGACTCCTTGATTATCGTCGGCACGAAGAACCACAGGTTGAGTATCGAGACGTCTATCCACATGGCACACGCAATGAGGAAGGCTGCCGCGTAGACGCTGCATCTCCCATGTGTGATGACCAAGAGCGCCGAGAGCGTGTGTAGTATAACGATGGAGCAGCAGGCAAAGTATATCATGTCGTCGAGGGGGGCCATGTTGGTGGTGGTGGTGTTGGTGGTGTTACTGGTTGGTATTGTTGTGGTTGAGTGCGGCACCATTCGACGACGGTCCTCGGCAGGTCTGGGCATGGGACGCATTCATGTAATTATATATATCGCGAGATGCAAAGCAAGGGAAGTATCAAGGGCGAGCTAAGATTGCGTGGACTGAGGTTTGGGATGTTTTAGGCGCGTCGATCCTGAGACAGAAACCTACTTAAAGTACGGATCCGTACTGGCTATTGACGACCAAGTCCCTAGGTTAGAGGGCTGGCAAGGTCAATGTCTTGGGTTTTCTTGGTGGAGCAGAGTCTGAAACCCGTGAGAGGTTGGCTCCAGCGAGAGCTCCAGGGGGGGGCCTGAGCACTTTTAGTGGACGGGCTGGTCTTCGGGGGGGAGGGGGGCAGTTTCGCGACGGCGGGCTGGCTTGGCTTAAACAATTCTCTTGAGAAACATCACAAATTTCCGTCTCAACCCTTGACTTCAAACTCGAGAGGACATTTAAAAACCCCCGCTCTTGGTGCCACAGCAGGCGCGCTCATTATTTGAATCTGTGATATGCCATCCGTAGCTCATGCACGTGCTATTAAGGTACAATAACCCGTACGCATTACTGTGCAACAAGGTGCGAGCGGAACACCTTAACAACAGGTCCTTACGCGGTTGGGGCCTCATGCCATGCCACTAATACTCCCAGTGTGGTCGAAACAATCGCGCAGCACCTGGCTCCCCGTGCTCTGCACCCGAACAAACACCAGCTTCCCAATCCAGCGAGCGTTCCCGCCAAGTAATATCGGAGTTACGAGGCCGTCCAGTGCGTCCTCGGCTATATCGACGACATCTATCACGACCTGCTGACTGCATTGATGATTTGAATGTTGCCCGTCAATTACGGAGTAGTCTACATACATACTTTCGTCGCGTTTGTGGAGACCAAGCTTTCGCCATGAAAGGCATGATGGCATGTGATTTGATTTTCACAACTCTATAGACTTTTCCGTACCTCAGGAAGAGGAATGGACCACGACGCATACCATACTTAAATGGTAAGGTGCATTAATACACGGGTCCCCGAGGAAGATCCAATCAAGCAAGCACCGCCATGCGGCCGCCTAGCTTTAGAGCAAAGCAGGGATTGAACACGCAATCAAGGGAGGCTGATCAGCTGCGGCTTCTCAAAGTTGACCCCAAAATCTCCACATCGTGAGGTTAAGTAACAATGAAGGAAAGCTTGTCCGATCCTCCGCAACCGTGCTATACTTCTCTGTGTGCCCCCATCTTCCAAATGAGGCATCTATGACCGAGAGAAGAAAAATATGAGGCTCACTCTCTCTGGGTCGCTATCTCGTTGGGTAAAGGTTTTCGCCCATAAACAACATAACTGCTCAAATATTAGCAACAACCCTCATTCAAGGATCCGCGCGAGCAACTCACAATGGTAGATACCATCGGATGTTTGGGTTCTTCATATCCTCCTGCGCCCTTCTGACCAGGCCTTCCACATCTTTTACCGGCCACTCCAAGCCATCCTGTAGGAGCTTGACTGACATGGCCTGGACGGCCTCAACGCAGCTCATGCACGTGTACTTTCCGATCTTCTTCGCGACGGGATCCGACGGCCAATGGTTTCCCCAAAGCTTCAGCTTCTTCTCAGTGACATCCACGAAGCCGGCATTGGTGAGATAGTCCTTGTACTTGCGAGAGACGTCCATGTCTCTTCCCTTGGCCGCGGCGGCGGCCATGGCCAGATGGCCCCACTGATGTACGGCCGTGCCGATGTGGGATCTATCATCGCTCTCGACATGTATAGTCGTGTCTTGGTATTCTGCCCAGCCTCCCGGCTCCAGGTTGTCGTACATCTTCTTTGCTAGTGCTTGAGGATCGTTAATGCCAGTAAACATGAGGCGCTGGTGGATGAAATCGAAGGCCTCGTCAAATATCCAGTCGCCCTCGCAGTCATCTCTGTGGAACTCGATGTTGGGAAGCTTCAGATGCACTGCAGGCTGTATCATGCTCAGATCGGTCCCGATCACCTTTGAGTAGGGATTGCGCTCCGCGAAGTGGATCGCCCAGATACCGGTCCCCGTGCCAATGTCCAGGACGCGTCTTGGATTCCGCACCGGTGCGAGGTGCAGCGCGTCATTCAATAACATGGTCAGTGGAACGTGGTTGAAGTCCAGACGATCCTGCTCGATGGCGTCGTTGGGCAAGAAGTATCGGCCCTCACGGTAGTTTTGCCACGTTCTGCCGCCCTCCTCGATTGACGCTGGGTCGGCTATTGTGCTGCCCCTTTGGCGTGACATCGAGGGCTCGTAGACCTCCTTACCATCTTTGATGCGCGTAAATGCCCGCCTTGTGACCTCGCCGAACTGTGGGACTAGATGCGGTTCATACGCTGTCAGGTATTGATCTTGACTCTGCAGCGGGGCGCTATTGGGAAAATTCGACTGTTGGTACTGAGGCAACGCGCTGGGAGGGTACATCATGTTCGCTGCGGGTAATGGCTGCATATAACCTGGGTTGACATTACCAGCAACTAGAGGGTTTGTGGACTGGTAGGCGCCTTGCGTAGGGAAATACTGGCTAGGATAGACATGGCCGCCACTGAACGGCTGCGGGTTTGGCAAAGCACGAGGCATCGCCGCCTGAGGGTCATACTGGTCTTGGGATTGGGCGCTCTGATCCTGGCTCACCCATTGATAATTGGTCTCTTGGGGCGGGTCGGTATTGTCGTAAGGTCGATATCGTTGATCGCCCATTGTCGCTGGACACCCAAGAGCTTCTTTACGTTTACAAGAGCGAAGATTGAGGGGCGAGATGATGCGACAACTCGTCAGCTTTTATGCGCTGGTGAGGCAAGGGGATTGTGTACATACAAGGGGTCCCGGACCGCTGGGACCGCGACCATTCACGGGCAGCCGCCCATGTGGCACGGCATTGTGCGCGCTTACTCGGGTAGCCCACGAACGACACCCGAGCGGCAAAGCACACCTTGAAAGGGTAGGCCCTCATAGATATTTATATTCAACAATACCATTATATATGCTGAATACGATAGATCTCAAAGTCGGTGCGATATCAGTTTCTGACTGCTAGACCTCAAGGACCAACTTTATTTTGCTAACTTTTGCTCGAGCGGTCAAACCATCAAAGCAAGGCACCAAAATTCGCGCACGGCTTCGATGGCGCATTCCTAGCAAACGTATACTCAATATCATCTAAAGACTCATGGCTTATTCACTGTGGGTGATTTTACTGCTTAGCATTCATTTTAAAATACTCGGTTACATGGAGCACTCGTTCATGGATTACAGCAAAACTAATCATTCTCAATGTACGCGTGTAGCATCTTGTTTCGCTCATTGCCGTCGATTTCTCCGGGCCGTTGGATTTCGTATAATGCGTCCAACATGCATTTTTAAAGCGGTGTGGGCTCGCATTATGAGAGCGCATTGGTCGACATGGTATTGTTACGCGTAAACATTTCGCAATAATCAAAGCCATCGCGACCGCTTTTCCAGATTTTCCTCAATAACGCTCTGTATGTTCGCTTGTTTGTCGTTGACTTTATATGCAACAGGTACATGGCTTGCGCAAACTAAAAATGACGAGCAGTCCACATCTGGTGATGGTCCAATTTGCGTAACATTCCACAATACGAGCCGATCATGAGCCGTCTATCTTCCCGCAACTGGAGTCCAACTGAGATGACTGTCGAAAAGAGCGATGAGTTTATGACCTCCACGGCGCGAAAGTCGCCTTCACTCAATGGATATGTATCATAAATGTTTGCCAACCAGGCACACAAACTAGCTCATTCTAGGGCATCATGGCAAATTGGCAAAATGATGACTACCATATAGACAAGACAAACATACTACAGCACACAGGAGCAGAGACCATCTCGACTCCGACATAGATAACTCAGTGGGTGGTATGAACAACCCCAAAATAGCAATGAGGGATATATAGGGACAGCTGCAGAGACTTCTTCCAAATCCTCGCTGGGATAGTTTTCTTAGCAAGATTCCACAATATTACAATTAGCGGCGGTTGGAGGCATTAAACTCAGGCGGTTCAGGATTCACTGTCGATATGTTAGAGCTTTTCTATTATTGCTTGGATTGGGCTAGAAAAATCCAGAACAAAACCAACATTCGATTTTGATCTGAAATGACGGTGCCCCATGAACTCATCTCTCACGCTAATTGATTTCTATTTATCGTTCAGTCCTTTACCAGATTTAATAGATGTTATGCTAACATGACATTGACAAGAGCCGAGAGTACCACGACGTAATGGGACACCATAGCTAATTCAAGCCCTCGTATAGACGATGCTGACAAAACTATAAACTAATCTAGTCGTTAAGTCAGGCGGCCCTTGGCGGAAATACCTTGCCGCAATTAGCAGGAGTCGTGTAGGTGGAATGTGATATATTTAATTAGTAATATGTAAGCGATGATTCTCAAGACTACTAGAATATCAGTCTCTCCGCCACGCTCTCTCTTCTTTTTCAAATATGTTCTGACTTTAGCAAACCAACCTTCAAACCGAGTTTACTCATCAAGTACTGTTGAAAGCTTTTAATTGCTATTTATAATCCTCTTTTCATTTGGTCTGTCTCATACTTCTCTCCAAATGAAACCGAATCCTAGCTCAAACACCAAAGCTTGAATGAAACCTGTAACGAGGATATCCAGACCCGTTATAAGCTGTTGGTCGTTGAGTGTTTGGATAGTCTCTTCTATAGTGTGCTTCCAGAGGCTTTGTCAATATCATCTCAGGCAATTATTCCCGCCAGTAGCCAAATAAATGCAAACACAGAACTGCCTAAGCGGTTATGAATAACACCATTATAATCTTTACATATGTTAGCAATGTAAAGATTGAGAGTATGAGAAATACTTACACCAAGTCTAGCAATGTTCGGGTTAGCTACAACGGCAGGATGACAATTGGTGTGGGCTTTTGCACATAGCACCCGCCAAACTTTTAACGATGCTCATTCTGAAATATCCTTCATGATATCTAACGATCAATGGACTTACTATGGCCGAGTAGTCACCTAGAAAACAATGTGTCCTGATGTAAGACTGCAACGTGCCCGTCGAAGTAGATATGTATCACTGAAATTACATAGAGGCAATACGAAGCTTATATATACCATAGCGCAGCACCCAATAACGCTAGGGCTCGATAATCAAGTATGGGATTCGGCCAAATACTACCCTGACTCCCTGCTTCTCCAATCTAGATTTATCACTTTGGAATCAATGACTGGTTAAAAACTATGGAACTACACCATCTTGGTGACTCACTAACTTCGATTATACGGAATGTACACAAGAGCGGATTTCCAGCTGCGCCAGGGATGGTTGGGCTGCTAAAGCGGCCATTTACAACAGCGCGAACACTTCCTCAAGCTTTAGGAAGTCATGATAATAATATTATGGGCAGCTCAAGAGAAAGCTTGCGGGCAACAGCCCGACCATATTATCGAACACGTCTGTATAATTCGGGCGTTTGAGTCTTTAGCTTATCTACTAATATTCCTATTTCCGGCTTTCACTGTGGCTATATTGACTGTCAATCTATCTTTATTTCGAGTTTGATCGTGTCCCTGTCTGGATAGGCATGGGTATAGCTGGTTGCTTTGGTGCAATATCATTCTCCCATCTTTCTATCACACTCAGCCGAAGGTTGACCTGAAGTGTCTGAGTTGTTTTTACCGCAACACCAGGCGATAACGAGGTCTCAATGGACTTAACTCAACGTCTTTGTGATTGATTTTGGACGAGATGTTCTGTCTCCTGAAAAAGACCATGCGATCATGGCCTTGTGCACTCCTCCACAAACACAGCAATTTCTTTGTTAAACTTCTCCGGTTCCTCCCAGAACAGCCAATGTCCGCTACCATACTCGGACCACCTCACAATACCCTGCGACTCACCCCTATCTCTCCTCCCTTTCTCCACCCGCCTGACCGTTTCCTTCATACCCTCTAACGGGAAGCACCCCGTCCTCTTACCCGCGAGGACCAATACAGGAACGCGGATGCCCTCGCACGCCTCGCGATGATCATACCGCGTGTGATCAGCCAACAGCCTCGCCAGCCACCTGGTATCACATTTCCGGCTCTCGCCCGTGAAGAAGTCCTCGTCCCCCTTCCTCCTCTCCTCGCTCACATCATCCCCGGGCAGCGGCTGGTACCTATACCCCAGACAGTCGGCCGCCAAGCCCTTGAACGCGTCCTCGGGTCTCTCGATCCACGCCCTCTGCGCACCGAGCATGGACGCCTCATCGAAGCAGCCCCGGTGCGCCTTCCCCTCGTCCCAGGCGTCGAAGGAAGACCGGTCCTGCAGCGGCGCCTGGTCCACGAAGGCCATGCCGGCGAAATCGGCATCCCCGAAGAGCTCGACGTACGTCCAGAGGACCGCGGCGCCGATCGAGCAGCCCACGGGCACGACGTCTGTCTCGGCGTCATGCTCCGTGGGGACGGACGAGCGCAGGTGCGCGATCAGCTCCTTCAAGTCCGCCGCCAGCCGTGCCACGTGATACCCGCCCCTGGGACGGCCGGAGCGGCCGTGGCCGCGCAGGTCGACGGCGACGACCCAGGATGCTGAGAGGGCCGAGAAGTTTTTCTGGAAGTACGCCGAGGAGCCCGAGAAGCCGTGGATCAGGAGGATGAGTTTCTTGTAGCTGCGCTCCGCGCCCGGTGGCGATGATGATGTGGGGCGGCCGTCGCCGTCTTTGTGAAGGAGGGGCAGCGAGGTCTGGAAAGCTAAGGTGCAGCCGTCGCTGGCTGTGATTTCGGAGTATTCCATGGTTTCTTCTTCTTTTTCTTCTTCTTCTTATGCTGGTTGCCTTCTGCAGTCAGTCGTCAGAGGGAATTTGCCAAACGATGACAGTTTTCTCTGACAAAATTGCTGATGGGATGTGCACAATTACTGTTGAGGTTGAAACAAGCGCAATCCACCGTTCGTCAGTGGCGCCGTTTCGAAGAGGCTCCGCTCCAAGACTTGTCGCGGGCTACTTTCAACGCTTCCAATATCTCGACCACAAACCATTGGAGTCGTAGGTGGATTACGATTGATCTGCATGGTCACAAGTCGGACTTCGGAGCTGGGTTTTCTGGTTATGTCCCTATATGGTACGTGAGTCGTAGGATTACAAAAAATGATTTCGAAATCTGTCAGCTACCATGTAACAGACCTTCGTTTTACTATGATATTAATACATTTGCGTAAGTTCTGAACAACTCTCGTGGAGTCTCAATGATATCGGATCGGCCTGTGTTCAAACTGCTACGGGTTATTCTTTGCAGAAAATGCTCAAGAGAGTGTCAACTCAACGGCTTGCGGTTCCTGGCAGCATTTGACTCGGTGAAGAACTGCCAAGGCGTCCAGTACTAGTGGCCTCATCTATATGTGGTCATCCTATTATGGATAGGATGAAGATCTCTCACATTCAAAACAGAAAAGGTTCAAGTATGAAATTAAGTCAGCGTATCACCAAGTCCGGAAGAGGAACCCCAACAAGGGCGAAAGATCACAGATCACTGCTCTTTCGCGTACGGCAGCTTTGCCCAATTTTTCTACATCTCATATCAACTAGTTTCTTTGTTAGATTCCCTCCACTCTGCCAGGAAGTTGATTACAATGAGATCTACTGAACCGGAACCATCTTCTAACAGTGTCGGCCTCCTGAGGAACGGACTGGACGCATAACTGACAGGGCATTCTGAATATCGTACCTGAGTTTTCAAAGAACTTAAACGGAGCCGTCAGCAACAAGTCATCTGTTATCACTATAGTGACAAACTTCGGCCGCAAATCTAACCCACTCCCACCCTGCGATTTGTCCTCGCTGGTAACGAAGGGCAACTCTCAGTCCTTAATAGGAACAAAAGCCGCGTATCAGACAACGATAATAGCAACGGTCTCTTTCGTTATTAGCAAGAAAAAATCCGGATTCATTGGATCTACTAGATATAGAGTCCCATCTGCCTATATCATGAAGAAGATAGGGTAGAACTATCTCGAAGACTATCTCCGAGCGAGAGATGGATATTCGTCTAGAAGTATTCCTGGCCTTCGACGACAGAGTTCGGCTCTTTGTGAGGAGAGCACATATTCACGCAAGGTCACAATTCGTCCCCGTCAAAGTCAATTTTCTGCGACTAAGTATACAGAACAACCGTGGCTTTGTCCCTCAAGAAAGAACCCTGCCACGAAGGACGACGTGTTATACGGAACCCAAGCTCTATCGCAGCTGTTTTGAGACGACTGCTAATGGACAGCAAGTGGAGCCTCGATCTGGATCAGCCATATCTGTAGTCCACAACATCAACCGTGAAGCCAAAGATCAATGTGCCGTGGGCGTGTGCCGAGGCAAGGTGCGCCGATAGCTGTGCATCTGGCCAGGTCGACGTTCACTACGCATTCAGCAACGCCGCCTCGAAGCAGCAGGTTCGTTGAGATTCGAGCATACGAGTGAAACGCGAGGGCTTGGCCGGGATTGATATGCAGGGCCTTCAGGAGACAGGATCTGCCCTAACACTATAACGGCGAGTGGGTCGCGGGTCGTGGTATATATAATCATCCGCAACGCCTGGGCAAACACATGAGCAAACAACAGGGAGGATTGGTCAGATGTATTTTATCGGTCATACTCTGGTGACTATGTGCTACACTTCGAAATACTGTATCTTTCTGAACTTTTCTTCTTCCCCTTGCGCACCATCATCCAATTGATATTATACAAATATGCGTCTATTCACCTTGAGGCAATCTTGACATAGTGGGAGGCGTGATGGAGGTACAGGGAGGTAGAGTTGTCAACACGAGTTTATAGGCTCTGAGGTGGTGCGCTTCATTTTTTGCTCGTCATCCGGCGTTGTCAATGGTATGCCGCCTTAATGACTCAATATTCTGCCAAAAACATGGGCGAAACTTTTACACATCAGAAAGTGGTGACCAGACGAGCAATGCAGAAAGTCGAGCTTGGCTCAATGCTCAGTGCTCAATGTGATCATATACGGGATCCAATCATACACAAAAAGGCCCTATAGTACAGCTCTTGATTTTACATGGCCTGTTAAGGTTGGCATCTCCTACTCGCTTGACCACGAATATGCACCCAGACGCCAGCCCGCGAAAGCTTCAGTTACTTAGGCCGCGCCTTTGAACCAGTGCTTCTCCTTGGTTGCCGGTACAGCCAGGTGGCCATCCTGCAGGTCTCTCTTCTTGAACTCCTCCTCAATGATCTTGTATTGACCAATTGCCTTTGCCTTGTCGCCTCTGGTCACTTGCTTTGATGAGAAGGCGACGTTGGGCAGGCTGATGAGTTCCCGGCGGGTCTTTTGAATTTCCTCGCTCAAGGTCTTGGCCTTTGGCGGCGCTATGAGGGTAGCGATCAAGGCAGAGACGGACTTGATGTCGTTGAGCTTGTGGTCAGGAACGAGCTGGCCAGTGAGTTGGAATACACGCTTGGTAACCTGTGATGCTTGTTTAGTGGATGGAAAGACAGACTTGGACGCGAGGCAAACATACGGCGAACTTGAAAGTGGCGTCAGCAAGAGAGATGCGCTTCCAGGCACGATCCCACGACTCGAGGTAAGCACCGGCTTCCTGAGGAGAAGGCACAAAAACACGCGGCTCCGGAGCACCCCCGGGAACTCTCTCGGCCTCACGGGATTCCTGGACGTCCCAGTTCAAATCCTCGGCCACTGCACCGTGCTCGCCTGTGAGGGCCACGGCACCATGAGCATTACTGGAGATTTTCACTGCCAACACTCTCGATAGCTCTTCCTCGGTGCCAACCGGCCATGGAGAGGCAAGCTCAGCGGTTCTCCCGGCCTGGATCAAAACTGTGGCCTCCACCACCGCCCTGCGCACGACAGCCTCCAGCACCCGAGGATCCTGGATCTTCTTCTTGGCCTTGAAGCCAGCAAAGTCGCCGGCCTTGTTCCAGTTCTCCCTCTTGTCCCACCAATCCTCGAGGCCACCGATAGTCGAGAGCCCGTCGGAGGAGAGAGCAGGCGTATATGCGGGATCGGAAACCTGGTTGGGAGCTGCTGCTTCCGTCCTCGTGGGAGGTGGGCGGAAAGCGCTGGGCTGCTGAGCGGCAAGCTCTGATTCGGCTCGTTCAAGCTCGTGGAGGATCTCGTCGCTGGGGGGCTGGGGCGCCTGAGCGTCCACGAGGGATCGGGGCAGGGAGGAGTTCTGCGAATAGAACCGTAGACTGCCGGGGCAAGCTGGGCGTGCTGGCCCTGCTGGCCCTGCTGCTGTTCGGGCCGTCGCAGAAAGGGGCGTGGCGGCGCATGGTGCGATGGACTGCTGTCGTGCGGGAGCCTTCCAGCCGCAGGGCTTCCCTAACCTAGCTATCCTCCTCATTTTTGCCTTTGTTTGGACTCGGAAGGCTGGGAAACTCGTGAGAAACAATGGCGGTTGTCGGATGATATGTCTGTAAGTGGCAGACGTGAACTTTTCTGCCAGGGATCGGATGGATTCCAGTGCAGTTAGTCTGGTCTAACTAGAACCAAAAGCCGCGGGGGCTCCACAGTTGAGTTTCCAAGTGTGGCTGTTGGTCGGAGCTTGAGCCACACCGAGCATCAAGAATAGTAGTCCAGACTAGCCTTGGTCTGATTTACAGAGGACTCTTATCGCTGTCAGGGTGCTGAACACATGATAAACGACAGCGGGCTTTGGGCTTCCAGCAACCCGCAAGGTTACCGCAAGTTAACCCCAGGTTAGTCAGTTCAATTCGCGACAGGGGCATTGAATACAATACCTAGGCACGTCCTCCCACCACGGAGTACTATTCAGCACAGCACACCACCATCTCAATGTCGCCAGCATGATGCGCCTCAACGTCTTCATGCTGCTCTTCGGAGCCCTGCTGGCACTGGCCGCCGCAGAATGTACGTACTCATCTCCTGCATCTCCCCCTTGTTGAGCCCAATGCAAAGCCTGGAATACACCACGCAAACAACACGCAGCGCACTCGCTAACAACACCCCGAACCCAACAGCAGCCCCTACATTCTGCAAGTGCACCTGCTTCAGCAACAGCACCATCGTGCGGCTGGGGCCGAAAGACTCCTCGTCCTCCTCGCCCGCGGGGGGCTCCTCGCCGTCCCCCAACAGGAACGACGACGGCAGCAACAACCCGAACCTCTTCCTCCGCTCCCTGAACCCCTTCACCACCTCCCCCCGCCCGCCCTCGCACCTGAACAACAACAACGACAAGCGCGCCGCCTCCACCTCCTGCGCCCAGTGCACCCGCGCCTTCTGCCTCGGGTACAACCTGCCCATCTGCGAGCACGCCGAGGAGAAGGACGTCGTCACCATGTGCTTCCAGCGCGACTCGAGGAAGGACATGATCATCGTCTGGGGCTTCATCGTCGGCACCCTGGGCCTGCTGGGCTGGGCCGCCCTCAAGCGGCTCGTCGAGCTCAGGGAGGGCAGGAGCAAGATCGCCGGAGCCTCCCCCCTCGGTGGCGGCGGCGGCAGCGGCATCGGCATGGGGCTGCCCGGTGGTGGTGTTGGTGGTGGTAGGCGCGAGGATAGGGGGGCTTATGCGCCCGTTGGCGCGAGGTGATTTAACGTCACATCATATGTTTCGATATGTGGAGGAAGAATGAGAGGTTTGCTTTTCTTGGATTGTATATCGTTTGGAGGGACATGCATGCGCGGCGTTATGGGACAACACGGTTTCCGAGAGAGAAAGGTATAGATGCACTCAAACATTGCTGTAGATATCATACCCAGGAGAGGAAAGAGTGTTGGAGATCAATCAAGATGCTTCGTGCGGGACTTTCCGCATGCCATTTAATGTTATGTGCGAATAAAGCATGAACGCCATGTATTTCGCCCCTGCCTATACATCCCATTTCATCAAGAAAATTCATCACTTTTGTCCCGAGACTTCGTCCTCGCCCCTTTTTTCCTTTTCGGATCTCTCGTACAATCACCTGCAGGAGAAACACAGCGAAAAAGAAAGTCTCAGCCGCAGTTCTCTCCCTCTGAAAACGGTGGCCTACGAGCTACCATTACCGTTGGCGTGGCCGTTCTTGGCCCCGATCTTCTCTCTGCGCGCCCGGACGGCGGCCGCGAGGTCCTCCAACACCGTCACCGTCTCGTCCCAGGCGATGCAGGCATCTGTGATGCTGACACCCTTCTTGAGACCAGAGGGGCCCTCGGCCGGTACCTTCTGGTTGCCCTCGTTGATGTTCGACTCGATCATGACACCGATGATGGACGTCTCTCCCTCGCGGAGCTGGTCGCCAATCACCTTGGCCACCTTGGGCTGGTTGCGGTGGTCCTTGTTCGAGTTGCCTGTCGTCAGATGTTAGCTCCCCAGTGTTCCCCATCAAAAGCTGTACCGTGCAAATGTCGGCTTACCATGCGAGCAGTCAATCATGATGGCCTGCTTCTGACCCTTCTTGGTCAGCGTCTCCCTGGCCAGCTTGACGCTCTCCGCATCGAAGTTGGTGCCCTTGGTACCGCCGCGGAGGATGACGAAGCCGTGCTCGTTACCCTTGGTGCGCGTGATGGCGGCCAAGCCCTCCTTGGTCACACCCATGAAGTGGTGCTTGGCGGCCGCGGCGCCAATAGCGTCGATGGCCACGCCCAAGCTGCCGTCCGTGCCGTTCTTGAAGCCGATGGGGAAAGAGAGACCAGAGGCCAGCTCACGGTGCAGTTGTGACTCGGTGGTCCGGGCTCCGATGGCGCCCACAGAGATCAGATCCGCGAGGAACTGCGGCGAGATGGTGTCCAGCATCTCGCTGGCGATGGGCATGCCGCTGGCGGTGAGATCGCAGAACATCTGGCGCGATATCCGCAGACCCTTGTTGATCTTGAAGCTCTCGTCGATATCAGGGTCGTTGATCAGACCCTTCCAGCCGACGGTGGTGCGGGGCTTCTCCAGGTAGGCGCGCATGACGATGCAGAGGTCGCCCTTGAGCTTCTCGGAGAGAGCCTTGAGAAGGGCGCAGTACTCGTGAGCCATGGCCGGGTCGTGGATGGAGCACGGTCCCACGACGACAAGCAGACGGTCATCGCTGCCCATGACGATGGACGCGGCCTCACGACGGCCCTTTACTACTGTCTGCAGGGAGGCCTCTGTCATGGGGATCTCAGACATCAGGAGAGCGGGCGGGATCAAGGGATCCTGACCCAGGACTGCGAGATCGTTAGTTCTGAACATGGTTGGTCGTAGAATGTGAGCGAGTAGGGAACTGAACGAAAGAGCATCATGGCAGATGTACTGGCACGTTCATATAGACCGTAGAGAATGGATAGGTGCAGTTTCCAGTCTGTAGCAAGCCTCTCGAGACGTGTCCATGCCTGTCATGAGATGAATGCCAAAAAGGGAAGACAAGTACCGTCGTGTTGATCAGGCAAGAAGCAAGGTGCAAGATCAGGGTCAGATCGGCGAAAAGTTTGTGAACCTACTTCTTGTGTCATCAACTTGTGATGCCATATCGACTGAAGGCATGTTGACGTATGTGAAGAAGAAGAAAAGGCCTGGCTACTGCGAGAAGGCGATGTCTAGAACTGGTGACCAGTGTCCTCTTAAGACGAGAAAATTCGCCGAATATGTGGATGGGGAATGCGGGCGGAACGGATAGACGCTTTGGTGAAGTTGTACCCGAGGAGAAGAATCGGCCCAGAATGAGATGATCTTTGTGTTTGGTTCAGGCGGTTAAAGTAGTGAGGTATTCCAAAAAGTAGTAAACTACTGAAGGTGAAGTCTTTAAAAGGTCGATATGACTCAGATATCGAAGCCCAGAAAGTGTGGAGGAGCCCGTAATTTCCTTTCACTACTGTCAAGGGTATGATGTAACGGCGCGAACGTCAAAGAGCAATTCGGTCTTAATGAGTCAATTGATACTCGACACACCAGAAGACTTATGTGGTCACTCCGTTGGAAGCTCTAAAAATGGTTTCAGATTTCAATTTTGGCCTTGCAATTGAACGAGGACCTGGAATTTCAAGACGCCGTCTTCGCAGCTATATGCGGCATGGTAGACCCTAGAGAAAAAAATCCCACCATCTGTTCTGCAAGTCAGATATGCAAAGTGTCGAATTGGCCGCTGAAAGGAGGGGTCCACGACATGCGTGGAGGGGCAATCCGTCAAGGAAGAAAAAAAGAGAGACACTAAAAATCGGCGCTTGCAATTGAGAACCAACTGAACTTGTGACCACAGACGACCACAGACCACTGGAAAATCTAGAATCTGCTGATGAGTGGATCTGTGATGCACCCAGACTGCGTGGTCATCTTTTGCACGTTCGCACCTCATTCGTTCGTCGGGGATTCCCCCTTTCACACCGCCCAATCTTTGCAGTACCGACAGACGGGAACGTGCCGGTTGCGGACTTCGGAGGGGTCCTCCCAGTCTTGGCCTTTCTAAGCGACATTCGGTCGTTTATCGGGCGATCCCTGTTCGAGCCTCACAATCATGGTAAAATAGTAACGAAAGGATAATGTAGACATGAACTATGCGGGAGAAGGACGATATTTAAACTATATCTATCAGATCCAGGGGTCAAAGATCTAATGCATCCTCCCGTTGTCGGGATCTGCCAAGTCTGGGGGAATGTGAATCCACCCGGGAATGTCTTTACCCCCTTCGGCTCTCATCCGCCAATGAGGCAGGCCAGTTCTGAGAGCGCTTCTTATTCCGCGCTGTCAGTGTCGCTTAGGGTCGGTATCAATTGCCGAAGGCATGTCATTTAAGTCGGCAGGATTCCCCAGATTCACTTGAGCCGCTTATGGTGGGTACTTTGATCGACTCTGGGTCTGATGGAGACTGACCTGTTGAGCCTAAATGCCACTCGAACGGTAAATATCATGCTTGTAACGGTAAAACATGTTGAGCGGAGCCACCGCTCCGTTATGTTGATGACATCAACTATCATGTCCAGTATATGAGGGAAACTTCAAAATGGTGCTCTTGTCAGCGTCTTGGCAGGTTACTACTGCCACTACATTGTGAACATGACATTCCCTATTCCGAAGAGGCTGAGAAGTCTCGGTGGTGGCATTCTCTCTTTGCTGCTACTTTCACAATGCTCCCACGCCTTGCCTACAGATGTCAGTCGACTAGAAGAGAGACAGGATGACTCTCAGTGGGTTGCCACGTGGACTTCGATGCCACAATTGGTGGAGCAGAGCAATTTGCCTCCTTCTCCCTTTGTACGTGGTGGTTATTGGATGTGCTGTATACCAACTCTGACATTAAGGACAGCAAGGTGGTTCAATGTTCAAGGATGCTACCTTACGCCAGACCCTTCATCTATCTGTTGGCATCGAACGAGTCCGTTTCCAAATCTCCAACACTTTTGGGGGCAGTGATCTGCCCATCACAGCGGCTTCTCTGGCCCTGCCAACTAGTGGGAAGGCCGGAGTGAATGGTATCGACACATCAAGTCTCGTAGGGATAACGTTCAACGGCACGACCTCGGTCAATATTCCCAAGGGACAGGTGGTTTACACAGACCCAGTCAACTTTAAGGCAGCAGCACAGTCCATGATAACCATCAACTTGTATTTCCAAGCAGGCCAGTCGGGGAACAGCATCACAGGTCACCCTGGAAGCCGAACAACATCTTGGATGCAGCAAGGAAACCATCTCAATGCCAGCACCGTGACTGGTGCGAGTACGGCACATTGGTATTTTGTGAGCGCCGTAGAAGCATGGGCCCCCAAGTCGAACTCTGCTCTCGTCATCCTCGGTGATAGTATTACTGATGGGCGTGGAAGTACCGACAACACGAACAACCGGTAGGGTCTGCCTGCATCCACTAATCAGTGACGATCGTGGCTAACCTCTCTCCAAGATGGCCTGACCTGGTACTGGCCAAGATGCAAAAGTCTGGCATCACGACCATCGGTGTGAACAACCAAGCAGCCGGCGGCAATACCGTGCTCACGGGAGGACTCGGCCCACCTCTCATGCAGCGATATAAGCGTGATCTCCTGCAGACCTCCGGGGTCAAATACGCCTTGATTTTCGAAGGGGTGAATGATATCGGTGGCGGCTCGACCGACTCGTCTACCCAGACTCGTATTGGGGACCAGCTGATTTCGAGCTTCAAGCAGATCGCATCCGACGCGCACAAAGCCGGGATCACCGTGTTTGGAGCCACCATCACACCATTTGGCGGAAACGGGCAGAGCTACAGCAACCCAACTCGTGAAGCGACAAGACAGCGTGTGAACAAGTGGATTCTGAGTGGTGGCGATGGCAGCTTCGATGCGACAGTCGACTTCTCCAAGATTCTGGCGAACAGTGGCAATGCAGCGAACTTGGCTAGTCAGTATGATAGTGGTGATCATCTGCACCCGAACCCTGCTGGATACCAGGCTATTGCCGATGGGTTCCCGTTGGACATCTTTAAAAGCAATGCGACACTGGTATAGGTGGATAGTATGTTCGTGGATTTGAGTCGGGAATGCGGGACGGTTGGAAGAAACGGAGATTGACTGCTGATCAGCTGTCATCCATCCCGACATCGATTTATTCCTAAACAGACACAAAATGTTGTTGGACACTGCCCAGATATGCCATATAGTCTACACTACAAATTAATCAGTGTTTATTCCATGCAAATACACTCCCGACACGAGCCACTACAGTACGAATATACTTTAGGGTAAGACCACAATTATTACCGTAAGCAACAAGAACTATGTGTTTGGTGCTCGTCTCCACGCTCTCTCATCTGCTTCCTTCCGGCTCTCAAGATTTCTCTTACCCTTCCCTTTTGACGCTGTACTCGTTTTTTACCCTTACTGCCTCAATTTCTAGTACATAGAGTGATCCAACGTTGTGATCTCCGGATATAGAAGGGCTGTCTACTGGATCACAGTGATGAATAAAATACCAATCAGCCAGAAGTACTGCCTGGTGCATTAGCTATCGCTTTTTGACGTCAAGTTGTTGCAATGCAATATCGTGTTAGTATATAGAAGAGTCTCCCTGAATACACGGTAGTCATGAATAACAGTAGTTTTTATTCACAAGTCGAGATCTACTATGGTTAACCGCATTCGGTTCGGAAACAAAACAAACCGTAGCAAACAATCATAAAGAATGGCTCATTGTGCGCATGTTTGCGGCGGTACACCTCGAGACTGTCGGCACCCGAGACTTATTTAACCAGCGTACACTAAAATAATCACAATCTGTCCATTTTAAAGATTCCGTGTTCCCGCAACTTGTGACTGAAAATTTTGTGCTTGCCTGTCACCGTGCTAACCCGGTAATCAATCCAAGTCCTGCAATGTGATGCAGAAACACCAAAGCAAATCATTGAAAACTCCAAAAAATAGAACGCCCGATGCGAGGCTTGAACTCGCAGCCTTCGGATTGCTGCGGCATCAGGATGATTCCGTAAAAGTCCGACGCTCTGACCAATTGAGCTAACCGGGCGCTTTGTGGTTGTTGGAAACGTGACCGATTATCGTCATTAAAGACGGCATAGTCATAACCGAGGCGTGAATGTGGGGATGGGTGGTGGGATCCATGTGTCAGAAATGCTGGTTCGGACCGAATGGATGTGTGAACGAAAATTCGATGGTTGGGGGCCGTGAAATGGGGCTCAGTTGGCTATACCGGAGGACTCCGGAAGGAATGTGGGATCAATGATGGGCGTGATTGAGCCACTGGTGCGATTTTCCGCATCTAAACCGGACTGAGGGATTTAGCCAATAGGCTAAGGGACACATGAATTCATATATAATTATAGGAAGGCTGGTACCTATACGCACATTAACCAGGAGGGAGGTCTGAGGGTCATGACCATAAACTTGGTCTGTTCAAAAAGTATGCCTGGGAGGTTAGCGTAAAGTGGTGTTTTCCCATCATTCATGAAATCTTGCGATTGGTTGAATTTCTCAGACTAGCGATGTGGTGATGTGGCGAACGACCTGTACGCCAATGTAATCACATTCCTATAATTATTGTTTCCGATTCTTTATTCCGATAACCTTTAATACTGGTTGAACATAAGGCATCGTGATGCAGAACAGTGTCTATGGGCAGTGCTGTGACCTTGTCCAATGTTATCCATATTTGGTTGGGTGCGTGCTTGGGGAGCTTCGTGGGCTTTGACCATGCCAATATGTAAAACTGTAATCAAATTGTTTCGTTTTTGTCAGCTTGTGTCAATGCCGTGAAGTTCGTCAGGTGCAGTGACCGAATTGGTGTCCGCTGCCCAACACTTTCCCATTCTAATATGCCCTGAGTCTTTTCTCATTGCTGCAATTACAGGAAGCGTTTTGAGTTGCGCCAGCTTTGCATCTAGCGGATGCGAGCAATCGGACAGGTAGCCGTCTTCCCGTATAGCAGATTTGACACACTCAAGCTTATAACTGCCGTTATTCGTGTCTTTTCAGGTTGACCGCCTCAAGCGACCGACTGCGACTCTTATCAGGCCCCGGCGTTAATTGGCTTGGGATACTCCAGTGAGCCGGCCACATCGCAAGGGCCAGCCACTCAAGCTATGAACGATTCGATTCTATCAATGGAAGCAAACGTCTCAACCAAATCGTGAAAGGCAATCGAGTGCAATCGAAACCCAGTCTGACCAAATAAACACATCGGTTGTTCTCCGACTCCCGTTCCGCTTTGCCGCCGCATGGAACAGCTACGGTTATATATTTACAATCAGACGCCTTAAAGCCAGGATCTGCTAACTACGAGTTGCTAAACTTTAAAGGAAGATCTTTGAATTACCGAAATCTTATTTGTATGAATACCTTGTTTGGAATTTTATAGTATTACATCCTCTCTTCAATAGTAAAAGGCAGCATTTGTTATCATCGACATTAAAGTGCAAAACGATAATTAACGGTGACCAAATTACAAAACTTTTGTCATGCTTACCATTCCTTATAAATAACTGCTTGGCTTCAAATTAGACGTTGAAGGCATTATGAACCTGGGGCTGAAGAACTTCCTTGTATGGCCGGCCACAGTCGAAACCGATCAGTACGTGTCCGCCTTATTATCCAGTCGATAAGAACAGTTGTTTAAGTCAGATTGGCTTTGCGTGTATTGTGTCAATCCGGTCATAGCCAATTATTTTGAAGCAAATTGGCCTGTTCACAGGTTCCGAAGGTACAGTGCTTAACATGAGCGGCACGTTCTTCAGCACATATTTTCGAAAATCAAAATCTACTTTCGCCTGTCCCGTTTGTATCCTCGCGAGCCCAAGTTTGGGACTAAGGGCAGATCAAACCACCCAGATGCTAGAGCCTTGGGCCTCGACCGATAATCCAGAGGTTCCCTTGTTAGTCATTCGGCGGTCATTAAGCGGCGAAGGTATTAAGCCAACAGGGACGTCTGGTCTATTGTTTCCATAAAGAGTTCTTCGGTACCTGTGTTGTAGTCAAAACAGATGGTGCGGAACCCCTTCCTCATTGGCTGACTAATGCCGACCAAAAGTACGAATCTTATAATTGGAAGTACTGCTAAGTCGATGAGCATATTTTTCAACCCCATAATCATACTCGGACGTTTGCGGTCTTTGAGTGATGAGCGAGATATGCGAATGTCCTTGCAGTGGCGTTCTTCATATAGGCTGACGGGTGATCCTGTTACCACTCAGCAGGTATTGGGACACCTCAGCCATTCTTCAATGCCGATCACACCCTACAGTTCTGGAAAGATGCATCAGAAACAGGCAACACCTACGAAGCTTGATGAAAAATACCACTGACATATCATCAGCCCAGCCAATAGAACTTTAAGCTAAGGATTTATGAAGATCTTTAATAATCAGCCTTTTAACATAGATTAATGTCTTCTTTAGGCAAAAGTGCAGCCTAGCTTAAGGAGAGGCTTATATCAATAAAGATAGTTCAGTAGTATGATTAACAAATCATAATACTAGGTAAACGTGCGAATTTAAAGAGAGATGCGCATACAGAAAATTTAGAAAAGCCAAAATGGAAGCTCAAATTTAAAGAGACCAGTGTTTAAACTAGAAAGCATGACGATTTATTATACTAAAAGATATCCGCTCCTTGAAAGAAGTATTGGCAATATAAGGGTGAATGTGAACCAACAATGCACGCCTATACTTTGCTGCTCATTCTTTATCACGTGACAGTATCGGAGATTAGGCAGCATTGCAGATCATAAACCATTTCGCCATATCGTACATCTTGACTTGGTGTCAATTTACAGAATGGACATTTGAGGGCTTTGAAAGGTGTGATAACGGTGTGGATCTAAATTGTCACCATCTCGAGGGATTATGAAAATAGCGTGGGCTGTTAGAGTGAACGCAAGTATAAATTGACTATCAAATCTGAGGTCTAACCATTACACCCTCCAATCTTCTAAGCCAAACGTAATAAAAACTCCTATCTTTCAACATAGCATCGGAGGTGATTAAGAAACCCAGGAGTAAGTCGCATTTCTGAGCGTTTACTTCATGCCAGGCTCCCCAGAAAACAAAATCTTCAGGATCTTGCCAGTTTGGTGGTTAAGATCGCCGTGTTCTAGCTGGTTGTTTTTGGCCCAGTTCTCGTCGGTCACAAGTTTGAGATTCTTAATGCCCTCGGCCGCTTTCTTAGAGAGCTCAAAATCCACATAGACATCTCCACTGGTTACAACTGCGGTGACGCTTACCTCGTTGTGCCTCAAACGCTCGGGATCGTAAAGCGGCTCTGTCCAGACGTGGTTTTGGATACCTTCCATGAGATCCGGATGGTACCGATTCAACCCCTTGTATGCTTCAAACCAGCAAGGGTAAATCATTTCGCCGGCGAAGTAGAGAGCATCATCATTTTCGAGCCGTTTTGCGAAGGTTTCCGCATCCTCCCCAACCCACCCGAAGTGTTTCGAGATTTCCGCATCGTCCAGTGTCATGTCGTAAGCGGTCCACTGAGATGCCCTCTGTGTGTTGTCGTTTTCTTGCTCCGGAACGAACATTGCCTCGTATAGCAGCGCAGCTAGCGGTCGCTCTCCAAATCTAAATCCGTCCAATTTCAGAAAGTTTTCCAGAAGGTTGTCTGAGAAGTGCCCATTCGTTTGGTCGCCTAAGGCCTTGATTTTCATGAGTTCTTTATTGAGCTCCTCGACGAGGTTGGATAAGTCCTTTTGTAGGACCTTTCGTCCCCAGACCGATCGACCAATAGCAAGAAATCTTCTGGCCGTAAGTAGGTCGCTTCCATCACCACGGAGAGTCTGGGTTGTTTCCTTTGTCTCGAGCTCGAGCAGGTGGCGAACAACATCCTTGACCATTGCCTTGTGATTATGGTGCTTGGTGTAGTAGTCTTCATTCTTCTTTATGATTCTGTGATAAATATTGCTGAAGTGCTCCTTGATGGTGGATCCAATAGGTGGCATACCGGACGTGACGAAACATTCCTGAAGGCCCTCGGGATAACGAGATAAGTAGGACATGGTGATCCATCCACCATAGGATTGGCCGAATGTGGTCCATTTCCTTTTCTCTCCTAACAACGCACGACGAAAACTTTCGAGATCACGGACAATGTCAGTCTGCCTGAAGTGCCAAATGTTTTTCATCATCCACGAGGTATCATCCATAAGCTCCGTCGAACTGTCGCCAGTGCCACGATAGTCAGGGAACAGGATCCAGTAGCCTTTCTGTAACAAGTGCTTGTTGAGAAGAGGAATCCTATGAGGCTGATTGTTTGCTCCAGGGCCACCGCAGAGGAAGACAAATAGGTGATGGTCCTTGATACCGTCTATGATTTCAGTCGCTGTTTTCGGGGTATAATCACCTTTTACCCTCATTTCAGTTATTAGCTTGAAGCTCAAGGACAGTTTGTTTGCATCGAAGCTGCGTGGACGGGTATAGTCGATGGGAACGGTAAATTTGAGCTCATACGTTTCGAAGGTGTAGCCTTGATCAGTCACATTGTCTTTTGCCCATGGCTTGATGGGCCCGGGATCACCGAGTTTGCCAAGTCGTATTTTCTCAGGACTGTGCATCTTTGATGGAGTGAGGCTCGATAATCTAAACCTAGCCGAAGCACATATATTACAGTGGCTACGATGTTGGGGGTGGCGTTGTAAACACAGAGACATCGTATTCGTGATGCTTGACTACTTATACGCATCCTAGTGCGGTGGTGAGCAGCAAGGACTTCTCACCATACTGTTGGTTGACTATCTAGATGGCCTAATGTGTTACTGCATTGGGACAGAAGCTTGATTGCAGTTGGTTGACGACGCATGGAAACTTAGATACCCCTGTCTAGGCAGGACATCAATAAGGCTCTGGAGATGAGCGCTGGCCTCCTCGCCTGTAGGAAAGGTGTGCTGATTCTTGGATGCCCAAGGACAAAGGACGAATCATGATCAGTGTCTCGTCACTATCTGATTTCTCGTAAGCGGCTCGTCTAAATAAGGTTTGGTCTGATGCAAAAACTACGAAAAATGCGGTTCACAGCATCACGATTGCTATGGTTAGTGAGATTCTTTGTTTGGCACATTCTTGTGAGGTCGGTGCCAACTGACAGCAACCTTGATCTCATTGTTACTCGATGTTTGCGACAGGCAGATGACGAGGCCTTTTCGGCCTGCATGAGTAGCACGATAGGTTACCATGATAAGCACTTGGAGTTACAAATGCCCGTCGAGAAAGACGGGCGGTGAAAAGCCCCGGGTTGCGCCAGCATGATGGAAACAGGGCCCAGCTGATATATGTTGGCAACTGTTGGACAGGGGAAGAAGTTGATCATGTCATATCACACAGGGCGTTCGAGTGTTCAGGATATGGTATATTGATTGCATGAAATACTTAAGCGATGGTCCTGCTGTAACCTGGGTCTGCGTTGTACTAACCTGCGCTAGGCTGCTGTAAGATCTGAGGTTAGTCTAGCCTTGGGAGGGGAGGGGAGGGGAGTATCTGAGTATACATATATGTAAGCTGAGTCAGTGAATCTGCAGCTGGAATAGGGAATCGGCGGACTCCTTGGGACTCATTTGGCCCCGCTGATCAAGATTTTTCCGTGGTGCCAATTACAGTAAGTTAGCCAGCGCGGGGGGAGGGGTTAACCAAAACGCCCACCAAAGCTGTCGGCCATTGACTTGCCCAGATTGGGTTGGTTTAGTGGGGTTGCTCTGAATTGCAGCCTGCAACTGCCCAAATGCCCCTCCAAAATTTCCGAGGGGTCCAAGGAGTTGAATTTTTTCTCTTTTCTTGGGCTTCAAGCCTCCGGGGGACCAAAAAAAAAAAGAAGAGAGTCTGCCAAGCTGTGTATTCAGACTTATCTCATTGCAAGGCCATTTGCTTGTCTTTGTTCTTTTCTTCATAAATAATTTTTGAGCCATTTCATTTTTTCTTTTCTTTAAAAGATATCCAAACGCCAAAATGGTTGAGAAGATTTACATCACTTATAATGACGTGAGTATGCCCCGCATCGTGTCGCATGTCGCATGTCTCATATCGCATGTCGCACTTGGCCCTGTCGCATTGTGAGAGAGCCACCACAGAGTTGCCCATATGAAAAAAGAATTGAAAAAAAAAAGCACATTACCGTGAACAAGAACAGGCTCGGCTATCTCACAAGCAAACAATCCGGCAGCAAACAAACAAACAAACAGTCACCGTGCGACATGATGCTGACAAGGTGGTGTCACAGGTGCACAAGCTCTGCCAAGAGAGTGCCGTCAACATCCTCAAGGACTTTGAGCCCCAGCTCATGATTGCCATTGGCGGTGGTGGCTACGTCCCTGCACGTATTCTGCGATCCTTCCTCAAGCAGCCCGGCTCCCCCAATATCCCCATCCAAGCCATCGGTCTCTCATTGTACGAACAACTCCCGGAGATCGGCCCCAGCAGCGGCACTACCACACCAGGTGCTGTTGAGCAGATCGGCCACAGGGTCACCCGCACGCAATGGCTAGACCTCAGCAGTCTGGGTGGAATGGAGAACCTGGTCGGCAAGCGCATCCTCATCGTCGACGAGGTCGATGACACCCGAACCACACTCGAGTACGCCGTCAAGGAGCTCGAGAAGGACGTCGAGTCTGCCCGCCAGAGAATGGGTGTACAAGAGAAGACGCAGTTCGCCATTTTCGTCCTCCACAACAAGGACAAGAAGAAGAAGGGCACCCTTCCCGACGACATGATGGCAAAGGAGCGATACCATGCTTCCCGAACCGTCGAGGACGTTTGGATTTGCTATCCCTGGGAGGCTTTGGACATTGACGAGCATGACCACCTCGCAGAGAAGCAGACGAACCGAACCGGCAGTGCAAACTAGACTATGGCTCGGAAATTGGGAATGGCCAAGAAGATATGAACAATTGGTTGGGACAGGAGTTACGGGCATCATGATACGGTAGACGAATCTTCTCAATAGACGTCAAGAAACAAAACCACTTCCAAGCCAACTGTGTCCAAGTCTGCTCTGAGACGACTTCCAGCCATCGCGCACCAACATACATACCCTCTCCGGTCGTCTGGCCTGTTATGTCCGCGTCGTGCTACATATGATAAGTCCCGACGTGCTTAGGGCGGTACCGCGCACAGCATTCTGATATGCACTGCTTTTGCATTGCTTCTACTTTAGTCGGCCCTAATAGCAGGCAACATTTGCTGCGTGAGTTCATACCCGACATTGTCCATTTTGGCCCGTTCTTCATTGTCCATTCCCCTCAAATCTTCCCGCATTTCATCCAGCCCCTTCTTGATCCCACAGCAACCCAGACAACACCCACAACAACACGTGAAACAGCCCAGGAACCTTCGCATAATCTTTGGCCCAGAGCTTAGGAAGCCAGAAAAGAAGCCAGACAGGACACCAGCTACACCACGTTGCATCGCTTCGTACTCGTCTTCTGTCACCAGAACAGGATCCGGCGTCACCAGCTCATAAACGCCAAACACATTCGACACCTTCCCATCCTCCGTCGTGATATTGACCATAGCCACGATACCAGTCATGGCACGAGCAAGCCAGGCCAGCGTCCCAAACACTGCACCAGCTGAACAGGCAGCTCGGTAGTTGCTGATCGGCATGCCCTGGTTTGACGCCATCCGCGCAAATACATAACCTCCCAATGCGTCAGTACCAATAAGGAAAATGGCAAACACCCAGCGGAAATATTCTGGTTTTCCCTCCTGGTCCAATACTGGTTGAATATTCCGGACCATCTCGAAGATGAACGGCACAGCTGCTACCACGGCCGCAATGACCAGCTCCCTCGGCGCTACCAATCAACTATTAGCCACGGGTTTCTCCCTATACGTCTCAAGGAAACAGGTATATGCTGGAAAGGACTTACTCTCGCCGAGCACTATATTCCCGATTTCAGTTACCAGCAACGCGCAGACACCAAACGAAGACGTGAGCAGCATAAGCAAAATTTGAAACACAATGTTGACGCTGCTCAGACCGACAATCTCACGGAATGATGATATGGCTGCTTTGGTGGCGCCAGCCAGTGCACCCATCCGAATCACCAGTGTCGTCGCCGAGGCACCATTGAGTTCTGCGCCTACACGAGCCGCGGCAGCCCCGGCAGCAGTGTTCATCGCTATATCTAAAAGCGCAAGACCTCCAAAGCCGAGAACTGCACTTGTCAGCAATTTATATCACAGTGAAAGCTTGGATACTTGCTCACCAAATCTCCATGGTGCAGTATTGACTATTACCGGCGGTGGGATGATCTCAAGACTGCCTTGCGGGACAACTCGAATCTCTCCTCTTTCCACTTCCTCTATGGACGAACTGTCCCCACTCCGCCGCGGTGTCGTCGCCGATAGTGCTCGCGTTGTTATAGCCATCTTTGTTGCGGCGCAGTCAATCTTTCGAGAACGAATCGGTCGACCGCTATGCATCACGACTTATTGAAGAGACAGCGAAGTCGCATATATATTGCGTAGCATGACGCAGGCTCGCGGATGCGACACTACGCCAGATTATCGGTTGCTTTACATCACCAGCCAGTGAGGTTGTCTCACATTAATGCCGCTTTTCAGCTTGTCACGGTGGCTGAGTATCCACTATCGAAGCACTACGAGTCTAAAGCTGCAAGGCATCTTTCAGCTCCCCGGTTGCTGAGACGCCTGATTGGGCACCAATACGGATCGCCAAGAAAAGCTGAACCATACGGCGGACTTGGAGCATGTCTCGGTTCCCTCGGTGGATACGACAAGGCTGACTCTATGCTTGTCGAAGTAGTCATGAGACGTACTGGAAGCTCTTGCCCAGCGCCATGCCGATAGCCTGTGATGGATCGAACTGTGTATCCCTTTCAATAATTTGAGCGCTCATTTAAATCTCAATCAAGATACTTCGAAAAGCTGCTGGCGGGATTGTGTCCAAATATGTCGGCAGACACATCAGACTCCTTCTGCACCATCGAACCCAACCCAGATGTCACCGGCACAGGCGTAGGGCTATCTCCACAACCCACCCAAACCTCCAAGAACTCATCACAGTTAACCATGTTCCACAGATCCGCGTTTCCATCTACGCTCTCTGTCTTGCGGCTGGTATACTGAAGACAGTCATCCAGCACGTCACAAGCGCCGAGAACTATGCCGAGTTCTGCCAAGCGCTCAACTCGGCTCTGCAGCTCCAGGGCCTCGCGCTGCTCTGCACCGCCATCGTGCAGACGTTCCAGGCACAGCTGACGCTCTTCCACGCGCTGTGCGTTCTGCACCTGCTGTCGCTCCTGGGATTCGGCCTGGTCGCGCAGCGCAAATACCATGACGGCGGCGGCTTCAACCGCTGGCTCGTCCTGGCCTTCCTCCGCGTGATCATCGCCGGCGCCTTCGTGGCCCTCACGGCGTACATCTGGGTCACGGCGCCGACGTTCGGTGCGCAGCCGGAGTGCAATGCCGATACCGTAAGCTGCTTGATGTGATTATACATGCGGAGAAAGAAGTCCCAACTCACGATAACAGGTCTACGTCGTCTTTGGTGTCAGCATCCCCGCCACGTCCCCCATCTTCCGCTACGTGATCCTGGGGCTCATGGCCTCCATGGCCGTCGGCTGGGTCCTGAGCATGGTGTTCACGGTCTTCTTCGCGTCGTGCTGCTGCGACGGCGGCGCCCGGGGCACGGCGAAGCGCATGCGTCACGCCAACCCTGATGTCGCCGTCCTTAAGAATGTGTGGGCGCGCGTCAGGATTACGGACCAGCGCCACCGGGGCAGCATCGTGAGCGGGCAGGTGATCCAGATGCTCGTGCACACGGGGATCAACATCTACATGATCGTCACGCTCGAGCAGATCGTCGAGAGGAACCACCTGAGCGAGGACGAGGCCAAGTGGACGTTTGGCCAGGTCTTGGCCCTGTTCGTGCTCCTGGGCGTCGTCGTCGAGGTCGTGAACATCTTGCTGCCCAAGTTGGACCAGGTGGACAGCGAGAGCGAGAATGGCGACGTTGAGTTGGTAAATAGAGTAGAAGGCGTGAGGCAGCCGAGGTTATTGGGTGTGTAGCCATCTGGATGATGATGAAAATAGTCGATCATACACATCGCTGACCTGGAAATTCGCCGAGCCTGTAATCGATTTTGACTGGGCCTTCACCGTCCGGGGACCCCTTAGTCGTTGTGGCATCCATAGTATCTAGCGTTGAAATTGTTAAGGACACTTCGCCGATCTGGACGGCCACTTGATCGGTACCCCTAAAGTGACCAGGAACCAGATTATCATCGCATCTTTTCACGACATGTCCTGTGCAGGTCGAGTCAGAAAAGCTCCCGGTGATATATACCGCGACAAACATGACCTCGTCATCGTTGCTCCCCGTTATATCCGGCAGTACGTGTACAGAGTTCAACAGCAGATGAGACTATTCTGGATAAAATAGCCAGATGCGATCTTTATGGCACCCCATGATCTACTCTCTCATGAAGCTATCTTCTGCTCGTTGGGTTGGTACCTAAAGGATTACCATATTACGGGGTCCGATTGTCTATAGTTCAATGTGAAGTCATTTATCGACCCACAGAGCTACTCGTTCGCCCATATTGTATCCCAAGGGTTACCCAAGCAATCAACCTTGCGGAGGTTGTCCTCCGCTTTGTTCTCATTAGTTATGTCCAGAGCCCGAGGAACGTGGCCGAGATCTTCTATCGGTCAAGTACGACTAACTGATCATCTTGAGACCAATGATGTATACTATTGTACATTCTGTCATATCAGCTTTGTGTTGACAAGTCCCATTCCTTTCGTGAAACGGATAGTAGCACAGACTAGGAAGTGAGGCAAGCTATCGACACAAGAATTCACCAAAGTGACATGATTTGGACAACAAGTGGTAGTGTGACTGCATTACCTTATTTGGACCATGTAAAGCTATCAGTGTTTTATTTGAAGCACTTACCGATCTCAGTGATTTGTGAAGTTAATTCGAATGTATCATTGAAACTATATTAGGACCTAGTCGAAGTACCTATGAAATCTTGTAAATGCCACTCAGCGAGGCTTCCCAGTCCAGGCAGAATGGTCTGTGAGACACGGTCTAAGTAACGGAAAGGTCCGTCATCTCCACCAGTCATCATGCACGCCGTTTGCCCGCACCTCGGCGGAGTCTTCAAACTTGTAAATCTATTACTTCAAAATGTCAATTTAAGGTTAAACGAATACCAATATGCGCAAATCCATCCTGCGCCGCCAATTTCCAACCGTGAAGCTGAAGTGAGACATATTAAGCTTATTCTTTTCTCAACGTTTAGCCCCTAATCCCATGTTATTAAAACTAGTTCTGGGAGAAGCCATGATGGTTAGTGATGCGTGAGAATGCGTTCATGCATTCGATATAATCATTTGGGGAAACACGATCCCCCATTCGTCAAAAGGTATGAGGTTTCCGGTCATGGTCATCATCCTACAGTCCATATTTCTGGCTTCCAACGCACTTGCATTCATTGCCTCGACCAATGGCCTCTGTGGCGCCTCAAATGGACAAGTATGTACCGGTTCTGTATTCGGAGACTGCTGCTCGCGTCGTGGCTTCTGGTGAGCACTTATACGCAGTAGAGAATTCTGACAATACTGACCGATTGGAGCGGGTCTACAATCAATCACTGTGGACAGGGATGTCAACGAATCTGGGGTACATGTACCTACAGAGATCCAATGGAGTTGAAAGTCCGGCGCCAGAATCGCTGTGCACATACGAGCGATTACACCGACCAGGAGGCCGATGATTCTCCTCCTGTGGCATCCGCCTATACTTCTCTGAGGACATCTAGCCATATAAATGGAGTGGCAGATGCAGATATACCGGCAACAGGACCGTACTCTCACCCAACCGGGATTGGATATCAGTCAAAGTCGCCCACAACAGATAGGGATGATGATCTGGATACTTTGAAACATGGGACAACAAAATTGTCTAACGAAGCCGCATATTACGGGCACGAGACCTCAAAGCCGTATCTGGCAACGGCATCAGTGATTGCCGGGTCGGAGACACTGAAGCCTGATCCGATCGAAACATCCACAGAATCGACAACAAAGAGTACAGTAGGGCCGATCGATGTCACTACGACCAAAAACAGCAGCGAAACAACGGCTACAGGTGAAAGTAACCCTACAACGCCGTCTACAACGAGCAGCTCGTCAACGACATCAAGCATGACATCAGCCGCAAGTCCTCTCTCTACCTTTCCGTCGTGCCCCTACTACGATGGGTACTGCCTCGGCGTTGCCACCACACTGCCACCGCTAATTTACATCCGTTGCGGTAGGTCGCTAAGCGGTGACGCCACCATGGTCCCCGACTGTGTGTCGCGACCCGACCTCATCTACGAGGGATCGTGCAACCAGGCATGCTTCAACGACCCAGCCTGCAAAGCCTGGTCCGGATCCTACCAAGTCCCGGGCGTCGGGTTTCCGAACGGTACCTATGCCTGTTGCCACGTCTACGAGAACATCACGTTGAGGGCGGACGTCCCCCCGGTGGTGAGGGGCCCGCTGTCTCCGTTCTCGGGTAGCTCCTACGGCGTCCGCGGTGTCTGTCCCCTGGGCGCCACCGATCTGTGTCCGTACTACGACGGACAGTGCGTCGAGGGCGTGCGGATCCACTGCCACGGGTCCATAGAAACCGATGCTGCTTCGGATACTGGTGCCACGTTGGGGGGCGGCAACTCCCAGTTTGATTGCCACCAGTCTTGTGTCGAGGACCCGACCTGTACAGCCTGGTCCGGGTTTGATGATTTCATAGATACCGAGGTTGGAGGTGGTATCACGTTTATCTGCTACCATCATACTCTGCCAATCGTTCTGAAGCCGGGTATCGGTGGAGGTGGTTTGACGCGTGGCTATGGCGTCAAGGGCTGTTGATTTGGTAGATTGTGATGATAGTGATAGCCTTTGCTTCGCTGATTAGTATAGTATAAGCCATGGAAGTAAGATGAAATGTAGTATTTAGTTTCCCCAAGGGTGTCTTCCCGCTAATCACTACGGAACGGAAATTCGAGTCATTACTCCAAGCTATATAAATAACATCTCCCTGACCTCGAGATCTAGTGTTTTCACAAGTCATGACTCTTCAATCGCCACCACCCATTGTACCCACTATCATATCCTCTTAATTCTCACTCAAAATACCCTCTAAAATGTACTGGCCTTGATTACCCCCTGATCTATCAACCTGGTGTTTTGGACGACACAGTCTCAAAGCTTTAAGTACGCAGTTGTCAGTTACATGATTATCTTAAGCTCCGCTGAATCGTGAAATGTAAAATGTAAGTCCAACATCTGCGCTCTTGAAATGTCGTTGTTCAGAGTCTATAACACCTCTAAGCCGTCCACACCTTTCTGAAGCCTAGTTTAACCAGTCTAAGGAACGCTTAAAATAAATGATCTATCGCGGTATGTTTAAATCATCGTTTTAGGAAAGCGCTATGCAGATTGAAGGACGAGCTGGCGATTCCCGTCATCGATCATTATTGAAAGTCGGTAGCCTTGACGGTAGGCACGATTTTCGCATTCGGAGCCACCCCTGCGTCCGCGGCCTGGCTGTTGATGTCCTCTCGGGCCAGGTCATCAGTCTCGTCATCTTCATCGTCATAACTCATGCCGATCTTTCCGGCTGCACGGTCTCTCTTCTCGAGATAGGCGATGAGCCCAATGAACGGAATCACCAGAGCTCCTGTCACCAGACTGGCGATGTAACCTTTCTCGTAGTTGGGCGCATCCGTGACTGGGTAGAAGATGAGCGGCCACCAGGTCACGAAAGCAAAGTCAAACGAATTCATGAACCCAGTTGTGATTGCTCTGAGTTGGATGTCATGAGCAGTTACGTCAGCCATCCATGAATACCACACAGCCTGTGGTGCATATGTCGTACCCAGAAGATAGAACGCGAAGAAATGTGCGCCGTCGGCTACTGGGTCAGCTACGAGGATCGCACTGCCGATGATGAATGTCAAGCCGATAGCCAGCGATGGTTGCCATCGTGATTGAATCTTGTCGGAGATAATTGAGTAGATGACGGTGCCAAGGATGGCGGTTGCATAGATCGCTGTAGGGTATGTGTTTTGTTGAATGACGGTATAACCCTTCGAGGCCATCCATAGTGGCATAACGTTGTTTCCGAGGGACTGTACGCATAGAGAGTAGACTGAGCCGTCGATGTTAGCACCTGACCTTTCAATACTGCTCAGAAGTAGCCGTCTTACGCATGAAGATCAATGGGAGTAACCAAAACTGCCAACTCAGAAGTACGCGTCTAAAAACGGTCAGGTCCCAGCTTGCTTTCTTAAATTTGCCGAGTCGTGTAACAGCCAAGTCCTTCTCCTCGTCTGAGAGATACCAAGCGCTCTTGTGTATGGGCAGGTTCGGAATAACGACCCAACCTATCAAACATGTCAGGTGAGTATTGAAATATCGGCATGTAACTTACCTAATGCAGCGACAGGAATTGTGATGACCGAAACGATCACAAATACCCACCGCCAAGCCGGAAGTCCACCCTTGCCATCAAGTGAGGTGATCAGACCAGCCTGGATCCATCCACCCGCAATGCTGCCCAGATGCCCAAAGCAGCAGAAGATGGCCGCTCTGGTGCTCAATTCTGATTTCTTATACCATGAGCCATATATGAAATGCGCGCCAACGCTTATAGGTGTCAGTTGTGGCATATGACTGCAACGGTGGTGTGAAGACTCACTAAGCAATGGCCGAAAATGCGCCCTCGAAACCATTCAGTATGAACAGCTGGTACACATGCTGCATACGGAATGTGATGAGAGTCAGGACACTCCACGTCACATTTGCGGCTACGAACACGTACTTGGGTCGGGCTAGCGTAAGCAGTGAGGTGGACGGGATCTGGAAGACGGCGTAGAAGACCAGATAGATGGTGCTCATGAGGTTGTAATCAGTGCCCTGGAAGCCGAGGTCCTCTTTCATGCCGCTGATGTAGGCATGACTGTAGCTGGCACGGTTTACGCCAAAGAGGAACCATATCAACGAGAAGTAGGGCAGTATGGTGAAGTCCAACTTAATCACGACGGACCTCTCCTTGGATGCGGGGCCCCAGAGGACGCTCTTGACGTGAGAAAATGCCGACATGTTGGGTTTCGTGGTGTCAACATCTCGATGCCCGAGCAGAGGCTCGTTTTCGTCGCGCGGAGAAGGCATGTCGGCGGTTATATGCCAACCTCTGGCCAATATTCGCATGTTGATAAGAGGAGTTGGAGAATGAATGTCGCAAGTGCGACATCCAATTGCGCTCCCGCGCCTTACTCATTCAGGCCAAGAGCTTATGCAGATCTGGCGGGGCGAGGCCGAGGGACAGTTACCTTGGCCATACAAAAGACATATGTTTACAGTATCAGAGACAGTTCATTCGGTAGTTTATTGCCTGCAGATTCTTTTCGGCATAGACATGGAGTGGGCATTCTCTTTGTATATGCAAAAGCAAAGGGTACATCATTGTTGACGCGTCGGTCCTCTTGGCATAAGGGCTTTGACAACGACCTCGAGCCAAGAACCACATATCATTCTATCTTATCGCCATGGTAGAGGTTATGGTAGAGGTTGTATATAGCGCCGAGCTCGAAATGCGGACTGAAAGAGCGAACTTGTTCCACTTGCCAAAACATAATTGCATCACGAACACCCACCATCCGAGACCACGTAAGACAAACTCTATTGTGCAACATGTCAAGCATATATCACCGTTGATGCACAAGAGCTCCATCCATGACCAGACTGAAGAACTTGGCGTCGAGGGATTCCCAACAACACCAGCAGTGAGTAACATCATCACGCCTCTCTTCACTTGCAGTCTGGTGAATATGCATCTTCGTACAAAGGCGTGAGCTGCATCAGCGTAAATGCCCCCGAGGACATGCAGCGCCTTCCATTCCACGGGCATCTCCCTAGTTATGTCAAAATCTCCATATGGTCCACGAGGCAGGACGGACAAAATCCAGGGCATGTGCCCATACTATATTACGTCTCTGAGGTCCTCCATGGCGCCAAACCACGATGGCATCTGTCAACCCTGCTAGTGAATATATGCCAACCAAGGTCGTGATGGCGTCATCGTTGCCTTGATATCCGAAAGCCATAAAGTCCGGTCCAAAGCTGATTTCACACCTTGCTTACATGTATATAAGAGGAGAGACTTCTCCTTCCAGGTTGGAGTCGCGCGGGTAATTTCCCACGACCACGTACGCGTCCAGAGGATTTTGATAGCTGATCCAAGGTTTAGACCGAAGCGCGGGCATTCACCTCGTGGGTTAGCAGACGCATGGGTTCCAAGCGCAAGGCTTATGAGACCAACGATATACGAAGCAATATGATCCGAGGCTATGGCTAAGAATTCTCAGTTATCGGTAGTACGGTACTGAGCGTGGCATACAAGGTGAAAGGCCTTCAGGTTATTGCGACGTTGCAATACAGTCATTGCTAACAAACCGTGCAAATAAACAATAAACTAGACTTCAACTACGCCGCGGGTTCTAACGACCACAGACTTCGCCAATCAGTGTCATCTTTCGGTCTCCGCCTCGAAACGTTGACCATTTCAAGTCAACAAGAACTCACTTTTCGGGCATTTGACTTGCATTACGCTGCGGGAAAGATGTAGTAATACACCATACACCTTGCTCACGTAGGGGGTGCGGCATTTGAAGCAACTGACGCTGGAAGTTCTAGCACAAGTGATAGCGCGCCGGGGGGACGGGTCCGGTGCTTTGGAGGTTGGGGGAGCGACGTAACCAACCTGCGGGATGCCGAGGCCCAACACATTATTAGATCGCCTTAGCTTTGCAACTAGAGAATGATCGTCTGTAACGTTTCAATATTCTTGTAAAGTCAATATCGACCCAAGCAGGCCAATCTTGGAGAAACGCAGATGTGCTGTCGCAATGTCGCATGCAAATACTTACGGGGCGAAGAGCTTGGGAACTTGAGTATACCGTGGATGGGTGCCGTTCGTCTTGCAGACATGTCAGTGAAGACAATGTCATGATGCGGCAACATCATAATCGCAATAGAATCCATAGAATGTGGCCAAGTTGTCATGCAAGCCTCATCCAAGGTTTCCAAGCCGCGGTTATAGCTCGGCAAAGCTTGACCGAGCTTATCTCAAGTCAATGGCGTCTATGTACCAATAAGGTCCACTCCAAGTCAGATCATTACAGCTTTGGATGACAAGTCTCAAATCGAATAGGTGTCAGAACGTGTTTTATGGGACAGTCGCGGATCACAAACCAGACTTCAGACTTGAGGACCTCTAAATAAAGTTGGCGCTCGTTGTGTCTGGTCGTTGGTCTAACTCAGAGAACCATTGAAAAGTCGCTGGCCAAGGCGGTCGGTACCCGCCGACAAGACATGCCCTAAGTGTCCTCTCAATATCCACTCGTCGATGTCGCCATCGCCCCTGCTCGACCTCATTTTATACAGAAACAGACGATGTGGTAATGGAATCTACGCGTTCGACGAAAACCGGGAGAAGAATGCGACAGCAATCGGAAGAGCAATGCGGGAGTAGTCGTAAGCAAAATATGTATCAATTTGGAACATTTCAAGACGAGAGCCGGATGATCCTGTGACGGCCCAGTGGTTACGCTCTAATGAATCAAAACACAATTGGTCATGGCAAATTTAGTTCATTAGGGTTGTGCACATCTGCCATGTAAATGCCTCCAAACCTGGGGAACCTCGGATGGCTGCCGGCACGTCCAGTCTGTCTCCAGTGAAAGGACCCTGAGTCTGACATACATTGTCAAGATGTCCCGTGTATCGCGTGGTTCTCAATTGGTGCGCACAAGATAGTGGCGCTCTCTCGTTCTCATTCGCCCGCTCAATCCGGGCCGACTTGAGTAAGTGGCGAGCCCGGGCAGTTTAGTCCCAACGTGTATTTCGTATCCACCAAGCGATCGTACCCACCAAGCGACTTCAGACGATTACCTGCGGGAGCTTTGGTGGCGGATGGGTGGTGCACCGGTAATCATGACTGCCATGAATGTGTAATACGCCTGGTTTCTCCTAGTAAGCAATCTACGGAGTAGTGACGGTAATGCCGGTCTCAATAACTTGTACAGGAAATGGCTACGAAATGGGAACCCACACAACACGCGACACGACATGATCGCAAGCCTACCACTAAGCATGCAGATATTACCTTCTGAAACTTGCAAGTTCCCGTAACTGGAAGTTTTCAATAGAAGCTGTTATGTACAAGGAAGCCTATAGATCGTGTAATTGGTCTCATGCATGAAACCCCTGGGTGTATAAATCGTAGATCCATGATCTTGACGAAATTGTTCGATACGGCTTCTATGCTTTCTAGGTTACTATGTGGTGTGGTCCCCGGCTTGGCGGTGCTGGCGACACCACTAACTGATTGGCTAGTGGGGTTTTTCAAGGTGACCTTGCCCCTGGCCACTTTCTCCTTGAGGCAAAACTGCAAAGTGACCCTGGCCTCCGCTGCACCCCGCGCCCGCTATGTCCATGGATATACCCATGGACCCGTCCAATCTTGCCGACCTCGATTCATGGCTGGTGGCTGCGTCACCATGGGCTTGCCAATACAGCCAAGGCCAATTGGCTTTTCTTGGTGAGCTTGAATAGGCAACCGGACTGCAACAAGCTTCAGAAACTGCCACTGCTAGGAGATACCAAGCTGGATGGTGCCCGTCCAATCCATCGATGCTTGTTTGTATGGCTGTGTGTACCAAGATCAAGCCTCGCATGTGCATGTCTAAAAAGAGCCTCAGCTCAACGTTACTGGCGCCAACCACCAAAAAGTGGACGCGACTCGTTTAACGACCGTTTCTCTGGATACTCCGGAGTAGCCATTCCTCTGAACCCCACAGGTCCGCTTGTCTCTCATGGATGGTCTATCTTAGTAATATGGGTCATGTTGTATGCTCGAACTGCGATCGCCGGCGTGCTTTGACCCGGTCTTTCTCCCATCCAGTCATTCGAGCCACCCGATCAGATGCCGAATTACATGGAGCCCGCCAGATAAAACCATGTTTTGACCCATTCTGCTGGTGCCTTCTCCCTTTCCTTCTTCACACTTGCCTCTTGTTTTCCCACTGAGAGCCCGTGTCGTATTTCCGTCAAGATGGGTATGTTCATGTCACAGCTTGACCTTCTGAGCTGTACCATCTATTCACAGTGAGCAAAGCTAACCATACATCAGCGTCCCACATCAACAACGACACGTCGAGCATTGACTTTGTCGATAATGAAAAGGCGGGTATGCAAGATCATGGCCCGTATGCCGCCGGCAACATGAACGAAGATTATGAGGGCAAGCCCACCGAGGAAGAGCTAAGAACTCTGCGCCGTGTCCCCGGAAACGTCCCCATTCTCGCCTACCTCATCTGCCTCGTCGAGTTCGCAGAGAGAGCTTCCTACTATGGTGTTCAGCCGTTGATCAGCAACTTTGTCAACCGCCCCATGCCCATAGGAGGCAACGGCTATGGTGCTCCTCCAAGGGGGGATCAGCAGACTGCTGGTGCGCTGGGAATGGGCACCACAGTCTCCAATGCCGTCGGACAATCTTTCAGTCTGATTGCATATGCATCGCCTCTATTCTTCGGTTGGCTCGCCGATGTCAAGACTGGTCGTTTCAAGATGATCTCATGGGGCATTCTTGTCTTTGGTGTTGCTCACGTTCTCATGGTTGGTGCTGGTGCTAAGGACCTGTTGGCCAATGGACAAGCCAAGATTCCCTACCTCATTTCTATCTACGTTTTGGCAATTGGTGCTGGTGAGTACCCTCGTGCTTTTGCTGTTACTTCCATTTCTGATTGACTGACCAAAATTCTTAGCCATGTTCAAGCCTTGTGTTTCACCTCTGCTTCTCGATCAGTTGACGACAACCGTTCCCACAGTTACCACTACAAAGAAGGGCGAGCGCGTTATCATGGATCCCGAGTCCAGCACCGAGAGAGTCATGCTCTGGTTCTATCTTGTGATCAACATTGGTGGTTTCATGAACGTCGCCACGGCTTACATTGAGAAGTACATTGGTTGGTGGCTTGCCTTCTTGATACCATTCTTCCTCTACCTGCCACTGCCTTTCCTCATGTGGTTCTTGAGAAAACGTCTCATCCTGAACCCTCCTGGTGGAAGCGATCTTGGCAGATGTTTCAAGGTCCTTGGTGTCTGTATTAGAGGAGCCGGAATCAGAGGCATTGGCCGTCACGGTTTCTGGGACCACGCCAAGCCTGCTAACATGGTCGCCAGGGGTATCAAACCCCCATCCTGGAACGATCAGTTCGTCGACGATGTCCGCCGCACGTTCCAGGCTACTGGTATCTTCTGTTTCTTCCCTATCCAGTACCTCAACGACAACGGTATCGGATCTGCGGCCAGTTTCCTGTCCACCATGTTGACCACCAACGGTGTGCCCAACGACGTTCTCAACAATTTCAACACCCTCAGTATCATCGTCATGGCCCCCATCTTGAACTACGGTCTTTACCCCTTCCTCCGAAAGGCTGGTATCCACTACGGTCCCGTCGCCCGTATGACCACAGGTCTGGCTTTGTCCTCCATCGGCGGTGCCGCCTACACAGTGCTCAACTACTACGCCTACAAGCTGTCTCCCTGTGGTGAGTATGGCTCATCTGATTGCGCGGTTGGTACCGGAGTCGCCCCAATCTCCATTTGGTGGATGGCTATTCCCTACGCCATCGGAGGTATTTCCGAGCTATTTATCAATGTCCCGGCCTATGGTATCGCCTACTCACGTGCCCCTGTCAACATGAGAGGTCTCGTATCAGCCATCAACCTGTTTACCACCGCCGTCGCTTACGCGATCGGTCTTGCCTGCTCTGCCGTCATCACCGATCCCTACCTGACCTGGGACTTTGGCGGCCCGGCCATCGTCGGCGGTGTCTTGACCATCGTCTTCTACTTCTTGTTCCGACACATCGACAAGGAGGAGTACGTCATGAGCCAGAAGAACGAGAACATGGATACCATCCTAGACTCGACGGGCACCGTCAACGTTGCCTACGAGAACGAGCACAACAAGGGTTCGACCCAGCGCGCCGATCCCATTCATCAGAATGAAGAGATGATGATTTCTCAGAAGCAATAGTTGCGAAGCGTTGGAAATGTAATGATAGTGGCCAGGATATTTATGCACGTAATGGCGATACGATACCCGATCTAGCGCTTGTCTTGATGTAATATAGTTGATCAAATCTTCTCATGGACGTATGATATGAACTACTACATTCTTGAATTTGGCAGTATGCACATGTAACTGCTCTCCTTATGATTTATGATATTAAGTAAACAGTAAAGACGTTCAAGAAATTTCCAACGATGCAAACATGAATTTTAGCCTCATTCCTAACGTTGCACTTCGTACCTTTATTTGTCTTTGAGCGGTACGACAGCAACTCTTGTTCCATCCAGGTCGGCTACGGTAGGACTCTCTACTACAACCGAACTACCCTAGCCAACTCCTTAGTCCCTCAAAGAACAACTGCATGTCTTAAGCATGTTCTCAATGGTTTTATCATTCTTTTTGAAGATGCCCAGTCCGGTCTCAAACTCCATGGAGTTGTCAAAAGTTAACTGAGATTTGTTACTTGACGACTTGCATGTAGAGATCAAATTTGCTATTGTAGTCGTTGTCGATATTGGTCTAGTTACGGTTCATCGAGTACAAAGTTGTACCAATCACGTCTACATATAGCCGTAGGAGAGCAAGAAATGACAGGGCGCAACTGGAGTCACCATCAACTGATTTTGCCGCATTTACTCATTCGTAACGATATACAGTGTCCTGAAAAGGATGTCGAGAGCATAGGGCGCCATGCACTAATCCGGGCATAAACCCATTGGTGTAGAAAGGGGTTCGAGAGTCGCCCATTGGTTGGTCTCGGCCTTAACTCGCCATTATAAATAGCGTCTATCGACGAGATTTAAGACCATTACATACGGATCCGTATGTTTATATGGTAAGCAAGAGTGGGTCACTGCTAGGAGCAGGAGAGGTCAGAATCTGGGTACCACCTCAATGGATGCCTCAGGTATCCACCTGGGCAGCCTGGGCAACCAGACTAGGTAGCCTTCAGTGGGACATGAGCTTAGCTCTGTTCCTCACCGTTACACCACACTCCATAACAATAGTCTACTATTGTTCACCATACGTGACGTGTCTATCACACCTACCGAGGGGTGAACTGAGATGGACAAGTTATCTATAACTAGTACACCTTCGCCGTCCGTCACGTAGGAGCATTGAGCACTAACTGTAATGGCCTGCTAAAGGCGTACTCAGTGGTGGGGCCCTGTTAACCAGGGACCCCTTCCGGCCGTTCTAACCACATATAATTTGCATACACCTTGATCTACGAAAGGTCTCCCTTGCGACAGCACAGGTTTCGGGTCTCTCCATCGAAGTGCACATTGTTTTGTCCTTGGTTAAAACATAAGGTTGAGTATACTTTTGATCAACGGTCTGCACTCACCTGATAACCTCGGACGTACTTACCTTGAGCCTGTACGTGTGTGGAACACTGGGGAACTATCTTGGACTGGTGTGGAGCATGACTTTGTGAGCAGACCGCACCGGGCAACGTTTGCGGACCGAGGACCGCAAATTATCGTTACAATAGGGCGCGTGAAAGATGAAGAGGCAGAAACCACCGGGCACGAAATATGTGCGGAAAGATCGACTGTTATGCTCGCTATACTGGATGGAGTGAAGAGGTGCTATATTTCGGACTCATAGCCGTCGCCCTACCTCAGCATCGAAGATTCCCATGCGAATCTACTTACGGTCTTTTGGTCAAAAGCCAGGATTCTGGTTGGATCATTGGATACAGGCTCGGAATAATCAACCCACCTCGTGCCGGTTTCGTCGCCGAGGAGTTCTTTTCCCTGGCATATGTCTGACGAGTGACACTGTCCGGGGCTCAGATAATACTGCGTACGTGACTCATCTGTTGGTTCCGACAACAAGGATACGCTAGCGCTAACGACCTTCCAAATCCGAGATCTCTCAGCCCGATACGGGTTAGCAAGAAGCGAGCGGACTGTGCCGCTCTAGTTGTGACTCCAGGCGGCTGACTCAGTATATCTTGACGCCAAGTCCCAGATCCTCTCCATGATCTACGCCTTCGATGTAATCATATCGAGTCTACCTTGAATCGCTGGTCTAGATACACCTGTATACGTCAGCATGGCCGAGTGGGAAACCAAGACGCGGCTCACGCTCTTGCCAGACGAGCCTCTGCCAGCGGCCTATCCAAAGCCAACCTTGTCCGAGACAGAGCAGATCGAAGTGTACCGGCTAGACGAGTTTCGCGCAGCCATCGTCGTGAGAAAGGATAAGGAAACCCAGGCCACATCGCGCATCCGAGGTCTGTGGCTCAGCGCACAGGACGACCTCCTCGCCCGCGAGGTTCTGTCATTCATCCGGCGACAACACACCTCTGCGGGCAAGAAGACAGTCCTGAATGTCAACGGGTCCCAAAGCGCCGTCTTGAGTCAGTTTGAGGAGCAGGGGTTCCCCTTCACCGCGCAGGTCATGACCAAGCGCATCGATGGCGTCAGGACGGATGCGCGACTGCCCGACGAGATCACGTATAAGAGCATGGACGAAGACGAACTGCAAGGCTTCCTCGCCCATGTCGAGCATTCTCTCGCTCAGCAGGAAATGGCCAATGAGGACGGGGGCTTAGCCTGGGAGGCCGCGAAGGAGCGCGCACACGGTATCATGACTCAGCTCCTCCCCGACCGCGGTTCCACCGCCGGTCATACTTTCGTCAGCATCCTGGAGGGCGGCGATAGCCCTGTCAAGGTAGGCTGTCTCTGGACGTACATGAATACGGAGAAGCAACGGTCGTTCTGCTACGATGTGGAGATCGAGGAGAGCATGCGTGGCCGAGGGCTCGGCCGCAAGGCAGTCGCGGTATGGGAGCGCATAGCTGAGGAGCAAGGGGCGAGGACACTAGCCCTGAACGTGTTCAGAGATAACAAATTGGCACTAAAGCTATACAGAGGCACGGGCTTCAGCGTGGAATCTGCAGTTTATATACTCGAGGGCGAAGACCATATATGATATTAGCAAGTAGCTAGCATTCCACCCGTCATTACCGAAACCTACGCGAACTTTACATATCCGAAGAACGGCGTCTTGTGGAAGCTCGCTTCGTCCGGAGGACTCCATGCCCCCAGAGTCTGATCCGGGTACGACTCCTCCGACTCCACGATGCGGAAGAAGTTCATCCTCCACTCCGTCCCCTTCGCCCTGTTCCGGTCGACGTTGAACAGCCCGAGCGGGATCTGCACGTACGAGCTCCAGACCCCGGCCGGCTCGTCCAGCACCGTGCTGGCCGCTATGCCGACCGCGAAAGGGTCGATGGGGAAGTTGGTAAACGTTGCGTTGGGCGCGCGGACCTTGGACGGGTTGTAGATGAAAGCCTGCCAGGTGGCGTTGCCCGGGTTGACCTCGAACTCCAGGTACGTCTGCGGGTCGTTGGTGCCCCGGGAGATGAACGTCTCCATGACCTCGTACTCGTACAGCGGGTCGTTGGTGCCCATGGAAGGGTCGTAGTAGAAGTATGGCTCCGCGTAGGCGGTGAAGTTGATGTGCAGGAAGGCGCTGCCGCCGCTGGGAGTTTGCTGGTCTTCCACATAGCACAGTTCGACTTCGGTGGTGGGGAACGCGGTCTGCTCTGGCACGGAATGGGAATACGTGATGGTGGCCACTTCAGGACATGCGTGGACAGTTAACGATGGCAATGAGTTGTAGGCGGCTACTCTCTGAGTATCTGCAAAGGCTGTAGCAGCTGCAGCCAATGCCACGGTCGACACAGAGGGTACATGCATTTTGAAAAAGGGATGAAGAATTGATTGTACCATAAAATCAAATGGCCTTGGCCTGCTTCGTCATGAGAAATTCTCGCAAATGTCAGCAGGATGACAGTTTAAATATCAGATACGAGGGTGTGATATTCCCCCGCATTGAGCGGCCCCTTGCTTATTCGGGTTCATCACCACCACCACATTCTGCGGAAGGATTCTTGGGGGTTGGCATGGCTGCGGAGTTCGATTGATCCCGGCGAAGGATTGCAAACAACTGCATGATGACATAAGATGTAGATCATATAACCCCAACCTGCTATCATTCACACAACTCTCGTTGTCAGACATCGGTCCGAATCCTTTCGCTCTCGTCGCATTGCACCTAATTCAATTCATGCAGTGATACCCAACTCGGCGTTCGTCTTGCCACCACCATTCCCAAACCACTCCTTCAGGCTTTGCACCTCGCTGTCTGTCAGGTAAGGCTCGTCAGTGCCATGTCTGACGACGATGAGGGCGGCCAGGTCGCCAGCTTCGGTGGCCTTGGTTCCGAAGGTTTCACCCTCGCTGTCCAGGCGTTCATAGCGCTCGAGAACGCTACGTGCGCTAGTCGGGTCTTGCACGAACTCGCGCAGGAGCAGGATGGAGCGGTCGTCAAAGATGGGACAGGCGTCCATGTGTCGTTCGATGATGTTTTGTGCGAAGGTGTGGTCCGCGATCATCTGTTTTGGCGACGGTCCGTCGTAGACGTCGGATGTGTTGCGCTGGACGGCTGGGGCCATTTTGTTAAAGGGTATTATTTGGTACACTAAAGCTGGAGGGTTTTGAGTGGAGTGCGTAGTGCTATCGTGTGTGCTTGAATTGGAGAAGCCTGTGTAGACGGGCGATTGATTTGACTTGAGACTTTGCTCCTCTTATGTATGAAATGAAGGGCGAAGCATAATTGCTGAGCCGCTCGCTTGATATGGTTGCTGCAGCGCCAGGCATCAACATTCAAGTCGGTGCAACCAATCAAAGACGGTTCTCATGCGTAGACAGACTAGCGCTTGTTACGGCAGTTGATGCTTCACTATGAAAAGTGATTGCCTGAATGCCCACCAACAATGTGGTTTCACTACTGTTACCATAATGTCGATCCCTGCCATGTAGGCTCCGTCCAACATGAAAATGACGAGACCTGCCGAATTGGGATTACTCGGTTCTGGCTGCACGGGTCGCCCCATCGCCCCCTATATGGTTGAAGTATATCCGCCCAAGTGGTAATCATCCCACCATGTTGGGTAACCACGAAAGGGTAGTGAGAATCTATTTTTAAATGACGGCATCAGAAAGACAATGCTCTTATTACTAACCACGATGCCGCTTGGTATAGTGAAAGGTACGATTCAGGAATGCTACCATCTAATATGCCCCCTCTCGTTGCCCCCAGGCATCATCCCAAGTCAAAGCCGGCTTCTTCATACCCGACTTGATGACAGCATCAGCTACTAGCTGCAAACCTCCCAGCTTAGCTCCATCCGCACCTTGTGCCCAAAGTGTGAGAGCGACGTAGTTTTTGCCGCCATAGTTGAGAACACCTTCAGGGACAGGGAAGACTGTTTGCGGGCCTAGATGGTTGATATACTTGCCGAACTGCCACCCGTTGACGTAGAGCTGGACCCTGAGATCATCTGGATCACCACCATCCCCCGTACTGTTACCAAAAACAAAGCTCAACGGAATATCCCATCCAACCGGTATATCCAGGTCGAAGCTAGTACTGAAGAAGCCAACACCTGCAGAATTGACGCCGTCGAGTGGTGAAGCCGTCTCCCAGCTTTCTGTGGGTGGTGCTGGAAGATGAAAACCCTGTCTCTCAGCCCACATACCACCTTCGTTGAAAGGACCACGGAGGTGATCAGCATAATCCTCTCCACCCAGGTTGCCAGTGACTTTCCAAACAATGTTAGACTGGGCATGTCCCACGAGCTGATAGTCGACGATACCACGAGGAGTCTTCATGGTATCGTACCCAGGAGTCCAGCTGGTCTCTTGGCCCATATGATCAATCAAAACGGTGATGACATAGCTGTCACCTTTGTTAAGCTTCAGTCCGCTTGCGCTGCTAAGGGTCAATGTTTGATTGTATGACTTGGCCGAACCGGAACCAGTATAAGACCCAATGTACGTGGAATTGAACCATACAGAGTGGCCAAAGCCAGAACCACCAGTAACTGAAAGATAAAGCGAAGATTCATTGCCGTTGGCTATGAAAGACCCACGATAGATGAGGGAACCTGTGCTGAAACCGTAATCGGCTGCAATCAAGCTTGTTGGTGTCCTCAACTTAAAGATTGTGCCATAGTCATCGCGAGCAGTGTTGTTTGTGGTCTCGTGGTCTGCCACAGTCCAAACAGAGTCATCATAATCTGACTTGATCTCAGGAAGTGAGTCGATGTACTTCCATTCTTGGCCGGAGAAATTTGGTAGAGAAAGCTCTGGGGATTCATAAAGTAACGAAGCAGACAACCGGCCATTGGCTGACTTGACGCTGGGCACTTTCTCGCCATTGAAGTAGATGTTATTACTTCCCGGAAGTCCTGCGACAATCTCCAGATCTGTGGTAGCGTTGAGGTCACCTGTGAAATGAAGCGACGTACCAGATTTCGTGGCAGTACGAAGAAGATAACCAGCCTTGGCAACAACTGTCTCTTTGGTTTGGGAGGAGTAGTTACCGATGGGAGCTGGCGCCTCTATTTGTAATACCCAATAATCGAGAGCGTCATTGCGCCACAACAGGTATACGTCCAGATTGCTGCCATAATGCAGGACTTTCCTGGCTTCAGTAACTTGCCACTGCACGACCGTTGTTGCACCCTTGGTTCCGATCTTGATGGTGGTGGCATCGCCCTCGACTGTAGGTTTACCGAGCTTGGTAAGGAATGCTAGCTCATGCGTCTCGCCGGCCAAGCCGTACAGTATCAAGACACGCTTTCCACCTGTCTTTGAATGTGTATAGATGTCTGCAGACGAATACACAAGGTTGATACCGCCGACGTCATAGTCAGTGACGTGGAACTTGGAATCTCGCCCATTCAATGTTAAAGATCCGCCGAGCTGTGGGATTATTACATTACCCTGGCTGGTAGGAATTGCGAAAGTGTAAGAAGTGGAAGCCAAGGTTCGCCAGTCGGAGTGTCTGACAACATAAAATGTCGTATTTTTACCAAATATAGGTGTTGTAGTCAGCTCAGGGGTACTAACGTATGAGCTGTTCGTGAAATTTCCCGGAATTGCATCCAGGTATGCTGGAGATGATTGGATGAACTGGGCTATGAGCTTTGCCTCAACGTATTTTTCTCGGGCTATGGTACGATCTTCTTTAATAGCTGAGCCGTAGTCATAGGATGTGTAGCCGCCAGATTGTCCCAGATTGCCCCAATTTGTTCCACCATAGGTCTAGACGCTGTCAGCACCGGCAAAACCCGCCGAAGGGTTATACCAACCATATAAATGTTGAAGATCGTGAGACCAAAGGTAAAGTCGTTCTTGAAGAAGATGCGCTCGTACTCGTAGTTTGTCATGTCAGCACATCCTTCCAGACCAGTTCCGCCCCTGTAACAATTAGAGGAGTTTCTCTAGAGCGTGGGTGCTCTCACCAGTTGTCTATGGCGCCGCCTTGAAATTCAGGGATGGCGTAAGGAGTGTTCGGACTTTGTTCCAGATGCAGTTCTCGCCAATCAGTTGGGAGATTTCCAGCGCTCCAATTAGAGGGGTGAGCACAGTCCCAACCAATGGGGTAACTATCATGGCCGTAGATATCGGGTCCTGGATTTCAAATTTAGCAGATTGATGAAAAGGTTTCATGGCTTCAGAAAGTACCTCCTGGCTTTTCTGGGGTGAACAGCCCTATGATAGCCGCTTCGTTGTTCACGAAAGGCACCACAATCCCAGCATCCCGGAACAGCTCATTGACGGTCTCGATGTACTCAACATCGGGCCATTCTACCCAACTAGCACCAAAAGTGTACTCATTTTCGGGCTGAAACAGAATGACGGGGCCGCCATTCGTGATCTGAGCATCTGCAACGATCTTGCCGATGTGCGAGACGTAGTTTCTTGTGGCATCAACATACTCGCTCTCGTTCGTTCTCAGAATGGCAGGGCTTCTCTGTAGCCATCCGGGGAAGCCTCCACCGGACACTTCGGCATTGATATAAGGTCCCGGGCGCGCCAGGAGGTATATACCGGCTTCGGCCGCGGCGGCGAAGAACGGTTCGAACGCGAAGACACCTTCGGCGCTAAATTCGCCAGGCTTTCCTTCGAGCAGGGCCCAGTCCACATAGAACGAGACACCAGTGTAGCCGAGGGCCTTGATCTTCTGGAATACGTCCAACCACAAGTCTGGAACCGGGAGTCGCCATGGATGGAATTCTCCGGAGTAGAACATGATCCGCTCTCCACGGACGAAAAGAGAATGCTCGTCCCATGTCACTAGATCTTGCAGAGCTTCTCGTTTGCTGGCATCAACGACTCTGTACTGCTGCCCGCCCAGAGACAACCCGAGAACGCAATCGAAGCAGACCGAGGTCAGGCACAAGGCCAACTGCTTAAGAGAAACCATCTCGACTCAACTGTAGGAGGTCTTGATCCAGCTAAGCTGCGAGCGTCATGTAGACAGGCGGCATTGTCCAAGGCCCTGGCGGAATTATAGCTCTTTTGAAGCCTTCCATTGCCACGGAAGACAGATGAACATCATGTCGGTTAAGCACAATCATGTCGCCTTGTCAAGCTACGGTTCTTCGCTCCGTGAAGCCGTAGCGATATTTCTTGCGATTGAAGCGTGTGGTTGGTGGAAATGAGGATGATCGCATCGAAAGCAACATCCCCACAAGAAAGTGCAGGTAAAGTTGGAGAGGCCGAGTAAAAGTTCGCCAAGGTTAGGGGCATGCGGGGGCAAAATGGCGGGGAGAAGCGTCGGTTGGAGCATCTGCGGGGAACCTTACAGTGCCCCCGGAAATCAAGTCTCAGGGACATGACCACTGATTGCTACTCGCCGGCCCGGCGCATGCAGGTGTTCATGGGGGAGATTGAGCAAGCCCGCGTGTAAACGCACGGTCTGTTGGGATATCCTCACTGTTTGCCATGGTCTGAGAGTGTTACTATCATGAAAACGGGATAGAAGTCCCGCCATTGCTCCTGGTGATGTTAGTTACGGTCTTGCCAAGACTGTGCATAGTTAATGCCTGTATAACACAGAGACCGCGCAAGACAGATTGGGGAAGCTCGTGACTTTCTTATATTTTTATCGGTTTTTCCTATATTCCTATCGCTTTTTTTAAGGGGTTTAAAATTTTTTTTTTTTCTTTAAAATACTTTAGTTTATCTAGCACTCAGTATCTCCGCTTGGAGTCGCGTTTGCCCGATCTTTATGATTATGCCAAACTGATGAGTCGAAGTAGCGTGGCTATCCATCGAAATTGCAACACGAGATGGACAATTGATCATGACGACAACGTCATGAGATCCGTCAACTACTGAGAATTTCAGAGCAGCAGCCATAGTGCAGAGATCGTATCGTTCTAGAGGTTGCCTCATTTTGGCGGAAACACCTTTCGCTTCCAACTTACACGAAAGTTTGGTAGTCCGCGATGCAATCAAACGTATGAGTTATAAATACGAAGAAGCCAAGTATTCCTTCCATGTCAAAAAGTGTTTTACCAGGTTGGGATGAGGCGCTGCAGCTCCCAATCTTTGATCTCAACGATTACTGGCAAGAAGATAGGAGAATATCATCTTCTGCGTTTCACCCAGAAAGATCTTGATGAATATAAGATATGGGAACGAAATCTTACGAAAACCAGATCCTTACATAAATAACCCTCTAACCTAATCTAGACTACTCAACAGTACCCCACAGCTCCAAGGTCCCGGTGAATCTCTTCATCTGGAATGCAAATTTGGTTAAGTAAGCAGCCGCCTAGTCTAGGTCAAGTGGTGTAGCAAGATCACGAGGTCTTGTATTGTCCGAACCATTGATGGGTGTAGTTACGCAAGTAGAATAGTTACAAGACAATATGGTGGTGTCAATGACAACCATCGAGGAATGAAGATGCTGGATGGATTGAAAGCTTGGAGGTCCGTGCTAAGGGACTGTGACCTGAGCAAAGTTTACCAATGGTTTATCAACAGCCAACTTGAAGTTTACTTCAAGCGCCGTCAAGCGCGAAGATGGCATACTGGATATCCTAGCCACTGCCCACGATGCCGATACCCATGTGCGCATTGGCTAGGGTTCTGGGCAGTTGGGCTTCGCTGCTATGATCTCATCGATCAATCTGTTGATGATGAATGCTTTTCAAGCTCCGGGTTTGTGTTCCCAGATTTGATGAGGAGCACATGAAACCTGTCGGCGGGCACAAATGCTGCACGGACCCATACACTGCTTGGATGGGTTCTAACGTTCGGCCGTTGAACTATGAACTCATGGGCGAGCTACGCAACTATAGCGAGCAGCCTGACAAGAAATGGATGTCACACAGCATGCGCAGCCCAGCGCGGATGAGTCGTGACGTGCCGAGTCGTGCATGCCATGTCGAAGGGTGCAACCAATCGCAACATTTTCTATTGGATGGAGGCAGCAGCAAGTGCCTCGTCGCTTGAACAGAGTGCACCGCGTGACGGGGAAACCAGCCAATCGACCAAGTTTTTGGGCGCGACGGTTCTGCTGCAGACGCGATCAGTGTAAGCATAAGCATCAGCATGATCCTTTCCGCAGGAGGGAAATGAACCCGACATTCTTGGTATGCAAAACAAATGGATCTGGAAGTTGACAATGACAAGGCGAGGCAAGCACAAGTCACATTCACCGCATACTGTACATAGATTGTACACATGGTATGCATCGTCGATAGGTGACTTGGCCACTTTGGATGCGACTGACGCGAAATCAATTCAACACAGTACAATGCAATACAATGCAATACGACACCGATACAATACAATACCGATTCGACACAACACGATACGACACAATATAAACAGAGTTACATCACGTGACTTTCGTACGCATCATTTCTGTTCCCATTGTCTCACATTAACGCCAAGTTGCTGTTTGGAAAGTTGCCCAGTTTGAGAACGTGGTGGAGGGGGGGGGGGAGATCGGCATCAGCACATGCATTCTCTGCCGTCTTTTTTTTTGTCTTCCATTTCCTGACCTCACCACATTTCTGTCTGTTACCATTTCTCAAACTATTCTTCTTCGTCACAACAGTACCCGGCTAGTCCGGAGTGCCGCTTTTTCTGTGTCCATACTTTTTTTTTTTTCCTTGACCGGGTTTTTGTTAAACTAGCATCTTCGCTTCGGTTGTTACGCCTTAACGCCTTACGCCTTACGCCTTCGCCCCCCCATTCTTATCGCGTTTCCCGCTTGCAGGTGGCCTTCTCTATCTCTCGTCTCTGTCTCCGTCTCCGTCTCCGGGCTGTTCCCTCTCCCACCTTCTCCGATGCTGCCCTCGCCCGCCGGACCCGGCATATCAACCCCAAACACAACCGCCGCAGGATCAAAAGGTTCAAAGCGTTCCGCTTCCGACCTGCAGCATAATGCCGGCTACCCCCAGGCCACGCCATCGAAAAGACATGCAAACAACAAAGCTTCCGCTGCGGCTGTCCCGACCACCGTCCCAGCGTTCAATGTCGCTAGCGGCCCTGCTATGGGTGTTGGTCTAGGCGTAGGCGTTGGCATTGGCGCTGGCGCAAGTACTCAGATCGCCAACATGTCGTCACATGCTGGACTATCAAACTCACAACCACCATCAGTACAAACACATCAGCCACCCATGATGGTGACAGAAGACCAACTAGTTGGGCGGACGCCAGATCAACTTATAGGCACTATCCTCCAGATCCAGGCTCAACATCAACAATATGTCGCTACGATATCTGCTCAATACAACGGCTTGTCTGCTCAATACAACAACATTACGCAGCAGCTCGACGATATGAAGGCAAGCTTGGCTGCTTTATACAATGCGCAAGCATCACAATACCAAACCGCTGCCTCGGTACGCTTGCTCCTTTCCGCGCTCTGCAAAAATTCACAACCGCATACCCTCCTTTCGCTCAATGTACCAATCTTGGCTGTTCTCAAGCGACACTTGCTGACTTGCAATCTCGTAGCAGCTTCAAGGTTCTCCACAGGGCTATATGGACTCTAGGACATCTAGACCTGTGGCCCCTCCTGTGACCACGCTCCCGCAGCAGTCTCCTACAGGCCCTCCACGGTTGCCTGCCTCGCAACCGACGACTCGTCCTACGAGACCCCCGCCCCAGTCCCCACAATCCTCGCATATGGATGCACGATTACTGCCAAAGCAACCTCATTTACAACCCCCACAAACACCAGGCCCACCTGCGTACGACTACCGGACAGTCGGGACGGTTGAGGAGGTATGGAAAGAATACAGGCATGGAATAGATGGCCAACCGGCAGTCGAGCAGCTCGATGCTGACTGGGGATCCCGGTGGCGTCCTGAACCACGTGGCAGGACCTGGTACTCCCGCAGGAAGGTGATATGGGACAAGATTAAGGAGTATATGGCCGACAACATGCCCGAAGACGAGGCTGTCAAGGAAGTTGAGAAGCTGCGTGATGGAGGCACCATCAACAAACTGATCCGGATGTTACAGGACGAGCGGAAGGATAAGGGGATAGCCGATGACAGTACAGTTGCTTAGGAGGCTGACAACACGGCTGCTTCCGCATCCGCCTGGGAAGTGATGCCAACAGTACGTGGGACACGACCAGGTCACTGCGGCCATGGTAAAGGCACATGAGGCAGTCTTGCCCAAAGGCAATGGGTCGAGGCCTTCCTGTCCCCCGACGCAGTATTACCACACAAGGACGATATGGTTCCGCACATAAGAATATGACTACATCGGCGTTCATGCTTTCAGGGGCGGTTATTGATACCCAGGGCAAAAAAAACATTAGGGTTGCATGGACGGTAATCTTTGTCGCATAGCATATTCGGGAAATACGCAAAAGGGATGTGTATCTGATAACACATTGTTCACGGGCTGAACAAGGGGACTTCGCAAATACACAACCGTCATTTCCAGCTCCATGTTCTTGCACCCCGGCATCGTGACATGTGGTACCTGTAAAATGGGAAGCCTAGAGGAAGCCTCGAGCCTCTAAAATTGTCATTGCTGAAGATGGTATATGAATGCATTAAATAAGGTACGCCAACACGCTACATACCCCGTGAGTAAATGACGATCTGTTTTCATTTCTATGTCCACTACACCTCAGCGTCCCACAGCTTAAGGCCATTATGCCTTAGTGCTGGACTGAGTAGGATGTCGTTGACGGGCAGTACCGAGGCAGGGTGAGTAGATTGGATCAGTTGATAAAGGTCTAAGTTTTGTATCATGAGGGAGATTTCCTTCCGGCCCCGGCCCGGCGTGCCTCGGCAACTGAGGATATCCGGAACTCTGTGGAGCTGGTATAGCTTGACGCGTGATCAGATGTGTAGCTCAACCCGGTGCCAGATGTACTGAAATGATCGGATGGTACTTAGGTCGTCGTCTGTGAATGCTTTGCGGGCTCAGAAAGCCATCATACGCACAGAAGTTGTAGGTCTGACGGTACGAGTTATCGAGCTCGGGGGCGAGGGCTTTGGTGAATCATAGGGATGGTAGCATAGTGGCACTAAGAGTCGAGATCGTTGGATCAGACACTCGAGTCCCTTCTGACTGGCTTGATAGTCCCCACCAGAACTTTGACTGTAATCTCTTTCTGTCGCGTCAGCTCTTTAGATGAGAAATTTAAGCAACAACTTTATAGAACTTTTCATCTGTAGGGCCCTCAATAAACAGGAGTGATAGACACAGTTTTCTGCCAGAGTTTGCCGATCCTTGTTAGACATGCAAACAGAACTTATTTAGTTATAACTAGTATTTACTTTGCTTTTATGAAACACAATGGTAACACAGATACGTTTCACTGACATGAGGATTACAGGTAGTCTCAAGTTTATAGCTCATGGGCGAAAGACCCCCGCATTATCGTTGTGCGAACGCAAACAGCAAGCCGCCTAACGGTTTAGCGCGACGTGCCCGTTTAGAACAGCATGCAATAGCACCTGAACTTTTTCTTCAATGCTCGGGTTTTCCGGTGGACTGCACCAGGTCTCTTTTGAGGCTCAAGTCGTCGTGCCATGATGGGGTGCTCCCGGAAGTTGTCGGTTCCGGGGATTTGCGGCTGGAGGTTTTGGAGACCTGGGGTACGCAACAGGGAACCCACACACGAACATAATACCTTTTTCTCTCTGCTATTCAGACGTACCCTATGATCTATTCATTTCATGTCGGATTTTTTCGGCAATCAACCCTGGACAGTCAACCCCAGATCTTCTGTGAAGGCCCAAGTTCACGTATAAGTGGAACCACACTAATTCACTTACCCACCTGTCAGGTACGGCTACAGCCGATCATCGAACCACCAACAATCATAATTGTAGACTCTCGAATGATGACTGATCTTAACACCGACCAGCTACGGAGTTGAGATGTTGTCAATCGAATTGGTGGTATAAAGGCGTAACGCCGTATATGTGCCCCTTTTGCCTCATATCCATCGTGAATATTGATAGTAATACCATCTCAAGCCTGGACAAAACCCAACGACACTGACTTATACGGGCATTGAATAAGCCGCAACGCAGTCCATACTACTATATTCGGACTGTCAGCCAGATAGTACCCAAAGCTTTGAGATCGATCCCATACCCGCAACCTAGCTCACAGTCCCATCGCCCAGACGTCCTTCGGGGGTGAACCAAGCCAAACTTCAATAACCCATCCACTTCGTCTTCTCGTCGCTCTTCCTCTCTCTTCTCCCACGCCGGCGCAGCCCGACATACACCACCCGACCGACCCCCGCAAGATGCAGCCCGCAACGCGGCTCCTCTTCCGAGCCGGGCCCCGACTCCTGAGCGACTCGTCCAACTCGCACACGCACGGCGTGATCGCCAAGCTGCGGAACATGAAGAACCACGCGCCGCCCGAGGTCTACCCGCTCTTCTTCGCCTGCGGGTTCATGCTCACCGTCATGTTCTCGACGGGGATCCACAAGCTGGTCACGGACCGGAACCTGCGGAGGGCGAGGTCGATCAGGACAGAGTAGTGGAGATGCCTAGTATTGGAAAAGAAAAAGGGAGGGTTCGATGATGCGTGTGGAATGATAACGAGTTCGAGTGGTGGTAAATTCTCGGGTGCGCCTCGGCCGTGGTTCCAGAGAGTATGGGGCCTGCGTGTTCTCGAATAGGGACGAGAGTGGGCATAGTCCATCCAGGAATTTCTCACGCTATAGTGTTGCACACTAGGTATAATGATTGCGCTAGCCTGGGTTTGACCATGGCTGACACAAAGTGACATAGTCGGCTTGTGTCGTGGGGTAAAAAAAAAAAACGGCCGCGGTAAAAATGAGAAGAAAAGAAGTTAAAGAAATTTAAACGTAATGTGTTTTTTTTTTAATTGTTATGATCTGTGACGAGTCTATGCTATGCCAACCGCATCCGCCGCTCTAGTGGTATTGCCAAAGTTGTGAGATAACAACCTCCCCTGTGATTAATCAATATGTGCAGCGCTATGCTATGCTCGCCGTTAGATGCAAAATCTGTTTCCCCTAAAAGATGCGATAAACATATGCGTGAACGCCAGTCGCGATGCCCCCCTTGATTAAAAGATATGCGGGAAAAAAATCCGGAAATGTTGAAAAATCCAAAAGGGGTATAAACAATAACTCCGGGAGGTTACATGAGAGCAACACGGGGATCTCAATGTGACCTGATGCAGGGTTCCGAGCTCTTCGTCCACTCATCAGCCAATGCTTTCGATTATGATTTAACGTCCCATGCTCAGCAGCGACCCACCAACCATCCCATCTTCTTGCCTTTCTTGCACCCCTTTTCCGTATGGTCGTCACAATCGAGTTCGAGGCGATAACGTCGAACGCTGCCATCGTCGTCGTCGAAGCCGAGTCGTCGGTTCTGCTTCGGTACGAAGCAGTCAGGCACAATGTACTTCAATATCCAACCCTTGACTCCTTGGCTGGCGTTATCGATGGCAGCATATTCGAGTCGCCTTGTATGATCACTTGTCCAATAGTGGGTTGTTTGTGGAGGTGGAGGATAGAGCGGCTCGTCAACCTCATGCACATCCTCGTCGACTGTCAATTGTCCCTCGAGGCTCGGGAATTGAAAGTAGGCCGAGGAATGTTGTTGTGACCTTGGACGTTGCACCGAGTAACCGCCAACTATGCTCGCCCTAGGAGTTGGCGTTGATCTGGCGGCTCGGTGAATGGATGGTCTCGTACGGGGACGTGCATGCGATGAGCTGCTAGACGTTGTGGAGGTTCGTCTTCCCGAACTGTGGGAGTCACCCGATTTTGATCCAGAAGGTATCGATGCATAGCCAGAATCATGACGCTGCATGGGAGTCGGCTTGAATTCATTCTGTCCCATGCGGCGCACCGTCATCGGTTCGTATAACTCGATATCATGGAAACTGTGGTAGGTTGTGGCGCTGGCGGACGATCTTGTCCGGCGAAGTGCCTTCTCGTGTGGTGACAGCTGCATCTTGAACAGTTTCTCTCCCGTATCGAGACATGGATTTTCGGAGGCAGCTGGTGCCGAATGTATCCAACGACGGTCCGCGCGCCCAAGGGAAAGAAAAAAGACCAGCTTCACTTCGGGCAATGAGACTGTGCTTGACAAGGGCGACCACGGCTCATATAAAGATCCGGCAGACAAAGACGGCTTGCTGAAGTGAAACGACAAACAGCAGTTCGACGTCAATGCAGGGCGTGACAAGAAGTTGCGGTCAGGGATCCGGGTGTTAACTAGAGGCAATGATAAATGGGCGGTTCTCTAATTTCCTAGGGCCGGTTATAGAGTGTCTTTGTGGAGATCCGAATGGCGGTGGATATACTAGTGGTAATGGGCCAAAGGATACGGTAATTATGATTGGAAAGCCTCAGATGGATATACCGAAATTGCACGTTGCCATTGGTAGGTTGAAGTAAAATTCCCAACACCTGCAGGCTCCCTGTAATGGCGGCGTCTTTTGTCGCATGCAGGTGTACCTAGTTTCGAGCCGGAACCTTTACTACTGATCTTCGGACGAACGTGCTTCAATAGCACTATGTGGGTGGTGGATATTGTAGCCGAAGCGGCAACGGGAACTCCCTTGCCTTAAAAGGTTGAAGTTCCTACGGTTTATCTGATCCCAACCGTAACTAAGCACAAATACGCCTGGTTCGGTACGCTTCTCGGTCGTGTAGAGATATTTCTGTCTCTAGTGACAGAGAAGGCTGAGCTCTCTTGTCGGAAATAGAAGAATAACTCCTGAAGATGAACGAGAGATTGGCATCCGTTTCCCGTGCAGTGAAAGGCGGTCTGTATGGACTTGCCCTATTCCAGTGCAGAAACTCTGTCGTGACCCCGCTAGGACCCCACGCCATGGGCGTCACTGGGCCGCTAAACCGCCTCTACGGGTTGAGGGCAGAGGGGCCGTTAGAAACGATGGCGCTAATGAATCGCACGAGGATGACCAGGGACTGTCTCCACGATGCAGATGAAATGCCTCGACTGCGTCAGGGATGAGGCTTGAGGCGGTGTGTTTTTTCAATTGTTATTTTAGTTGAGAGGAGACAAGATCCCAGATTTAACGGAGATTGAGAAAGAAAGGAAATAATCAACAGTCTCTTGTCTATCAACGACCGAACAATTATCCCCGTGTGATGTTGTCACTCGCTGAGGCTGTGGAGTCCACAACGGTATTGACGATTGAGACAATCCAACCCAGACGGCCAAGACAGCCAGCTCTGGCCAATGCACGCCAATCCGATGTCGCCTCACGGCGACAGCTTCAAGAGCACGATGTTCTTGGCGGTGTTGGTTGCTCCACTTGGACGGGAATAGGGCCACAATTGAAAGAGGGGGATTGCAAAGCTGAAATGTAGCGAGAGAATCGGCATACTTCAAATACCAGTGATGGAAGTTCTACATCGCCGACGTATCTGTCGCCGATCACTTCTCGAGTGGCTGCCATCATCTGCTTCAAAGTGTCTCATGGGGCTATTTTCAGCTGCCGTCCTCTTGATAGGGTCCCGCGTTTTCACATGCCTGGGAGCAGCGTATTCCCAAGACGCGCCACGGCTGCAAACACGCGCGCTTAATGGTCGCTCCAAATCCTTCTTGCCCAGTCACATGAAGCGATTCGCCATTGGGAAGACGCCAATGTAGATAACCTTTTCCGAGGTACAGTCTAGACACTGGGTCGGCGGGCATGTGGATTCATCCGATGATTGAGGATCAGTGCAACTGTTGTAACAACGTGCCCCTGGACGAGATGCAATCAGAACGTTATTTTCGGTGCTGACATGCGCTAGCTTTGCCGCGACATTACACAGATGGCGGGTGCATCACTTGAGCGCCCGACTCACAGCCGGCGCAAGTAATGCATGACGCGTGAGAGAGCAAATGGAATACTTGTGAGACCACGCTTCGCTCTGCATGATCTACTCAGTCATTCAGTGCTGATAAAATACTGATACCATCAATCAGCGACAGGGAGCTGAAGCACAAGACAGCATTTGCCACTATACAATACTGTGAGCGTGGAGGAGCGAGAAGACTTGTTGCACTGTCAATGGAACTAGTGCCACGATAGCATCAATATGCACGAGTTGTCGTACTAACAGCATCAGGTGCGGCCTACTTGTCATTGCGCTTACCTGTCCATTGCTCCGAATATTATCGTATGGCGATGGGTCCTTCCGTTGTGATTCCAAGCCAATGTGTTGTTGGTACCCGCAGATGAACGAAGCATTTTGCGTGATATTGCCGTTGTTAAACCAGTGATAGCCGACGCGCTTGCCATCAGACACTGTCCTCGTTGGTTGCTGCACTATCTGATACAACTTCGTGTATCTTTCATCGTTGTGCTACTCCAATCTCAACAATAACGTTGCCGGGTGTCATATTCCTCAGGCGAATGTTTTGCAGCTTATGCGCAGAAATAACTGAAAGCCTCCAGAGTTTCGTCTGGCTTCAACTATATCCAAGCATGATTCACCATCTTTCAGGCCCGGACGGCAATGCTCTTACTCAAATCCATCCGACAGCATCTGTTTCACTGTGAGAGCCGTTGTGGCTATTGAGACGCCTGTGGATAGCGTTTAGTTGATCAGTCAAAGGCCTTCGTGGCACCTCCCTTGAGACTCGTTGACGTGCTCGAGGCATCATGAACGAAGGATAGTACCCCAAGCCTTTACCAAGCAGCCACGACCGTGACGTCTTACTTGGTATACGCTCTATTGGTGGCTACTGGTTTGAGTGTGAGCCAGCAAGTAGAAAGTACTAATGCGTAATGCCCAGCCTATTATATCCCCGATGTGTTGCTGCATTCTCTCGACCGCGATCTCTCTTAGTCGGCAAGGAACGTCTGTCGGATAAAATGTTGTGATCGTTTAGAGTGCCTGGAAAGCAGGCTCGAGGTTGAACGACAGGTCAGGGCAACCAATTTATGTCGCAGCCACGACAAGGCCTCCTGTCATCCTGCTGGTTTCGACCGATGCATATTCGAGAGCAGCACACTAAACTTGCAGTCGCAAAATATCGCCAACGAGCGAGGACGTTTGACTAGTTTTGTTAATTAGGGCCCCTTTCGTGACTTGCTGTTCTTTGCGATCTGGCAAAACGTCCCCGACTCATGGCAGTACCATCTAAGCCAGCCCGGCCTCATTAGCATCTTGGCCCATGGACAGCAACTGACAGCAGGATACGGAGAAATATCACGGCAGCGTGATTGTATTGTGGCGGAGGCATTGTTTCCGATATGAGCAAAAGAAAGAAGAAGTTGCATCATCGCTGTCATCATCGGCAGAAACACCATGCCTATCCTCGACGCAATTCATCAACATGAATGAAAGCAAGGTTCGAGGAAAGTTTGCCAACACGTAGCGCATTGTATCAACGCCATGTCGATTGCGTTTACTTTTTGAATGCGACTCCCGGTCCAATTCAGGCTTTCGGAATCTGGTCGGAATACCCTTCATTAAAGCAAGACTGCTTGCGACAGAAATGGCTGAGAGGATCGTCAATAAGCTGACGACGCGTCAGAAGATGTGCAAGCCCGAATGATAGGACGACGACTCATAAAGGCTTAGTTAGTGGATATTTCCCACCATTCAGAGGCGGCAGACTCGTCTATTCAGCAGCGCCAGGCCCATGGTGCGGGAACTGTGGGGCAGTCCAGCGTCTCTAGGAGCCTCATTACAGTGGACTCCGCCGCCGATATCAATGTGCACTCTACTTAGCACTGAATTTGAAACACAGGGGGCATCGAAACAACATAATCAAGGGCAGACTCGTACCTTGGTGTGAATGGTCCAAATCACTCCGCCAAGGAGATTTATGGATTCTATCATGGGTCTTGGCATCAGATCTGCTGGGGAACACCAGGAAACAAATTACGAGGAGAGTTTAGCGACCCGTTGATGTAACTATATCCATTGGTCTAAGCAATTGCGGCTCTGCGTGCTGACGACGACTCTTCAATCTGAAAAGCCGCCATTGTGGAAACCCCCGGACCATGGCCACAACTAGTCACCAACTACCGCTGTCAGGCTGCATAATTGGTGTTCGATCAAGCCCAGCTCACGTCAACGTTCGAGACTCTGGCCATTCAACCCTAGTGCGGGAAACAAAGCTCTCATCAATACCAGATCGTCCACACGCACTCAGTGCTCCCAGAATAGTGCCACGGAGACAGGCCCGTCAAGGGCCCTTATTCAAGCCAGGAGTCATTGGTGGAGAAAGCAATCTATTATCCTCAGCACATCATCAACTTTGACCACGACAAGCTATGGAATAGCGTGACATTGACCAGGCTGAGTATGGAGTTGCATACATACATCAAGTGACTGCCGTATGCCGGACAAGAGTATATAGGTTTGAATCATTCTCGTAAAGTTTTCGATCTTCTTTTTGGTCAACCAGCTTCAACAACAGCCTCTTTCACTCACTTCTTTTCTTCTCTCAAGTCTACGACTTCATTCAGCTTGCTGAAAACTTTCTTTGATATCATAACGCAGGTCGACTGATACTACTTCGTACAACATCAAAACTACTCCACCGTTTTTCTAACAACCCTTTCAAACTCTTTCAAAATGAAGTACTCTTTCGTCATCTCGGCTTTGACTGCCGCCGTCTTCGCTCAGGACTCTTTCCCGACTACATTCGCTACCTCCGTCCGCCCTTCTTCTGCTCCTCAGGGAAGCGGATTTGGTGGCGCTCGTCCTAGCGGCCCCCCTCCTGTGAGCATTCTCTATGCTTCATCACTGTCTAGATTGATATCATAGTTGCTGACTGTAATAGTCCGGATTCCCCAGTGGCTTCCCCAGTGGTTCCGGCTTCCCCGGTGACAGCGAGGGCGCTGCCCCTACTCAGAGCGGTAACGCTCGCGCTGCTGCTGCTTGTAAGTGTCAAGCCTAAATTATAATGCGGTTGATGACCAGAACTAACCATTGGCAATAGCTGGCGGCTTTGGCGGCAACGCACCCTCTGGCGCATTCTCTGGCCGTCCTGGCTTCCCTAGCGTATGTTTGCACCCATCACTACGTTGTCCCACGTCTATAGCAAGCAACTACTGACTTTGGCTGTTACAGGGTGCCCCTGGTGGTGGTTTCTCCGGAGTTCCTAGTGGCCCCGTCCCCACCGTTGCTCCTACTCAGGCTGCCTTCCAGCGCCGTCAGTTCGAGTCTGCCCGCCCCAGCGGTGCCCACTCCCAAGGCGCCCACTCCCACGGCGGTGGCCACGGCAGCCACAGCGGACGCCCTACCGGCTCTGGTGAGCATTCTATGCAAGCTTTCTGATGACGTGATCATACTGACTGTATATATTAGCCTTCCCCCAGCCTTCCGGCGCTGCTCCTTCCGGTGCCGCTAAGAACAACGCTTTCGCTGCCCAGGCCGCTCAGTCTGGCTCGCCTTCTCAGGGTGCCGGCGGCGCTTTCCCTTCGGGAGGCGCGTCTCACTCTCAGGGTGCTGGAGGCTTCCCCTCCGGTTTCCCCTCTGGCTGTAAGCTATCATCGACGTCCCACGCCATGAACCCAAACTAATTCGATTTTTGTAGCTCCCAGCGGCGGCCCCGGTGGTGACAAGCCCACTGGATCCCAGGGCGCTGGTCCTCAGGAGACCGGGTCTTTCGGCGGCAGCGACGATGCCCCTGCTTTCCGCGCTCGTGCCCGTGACTTCTTCGGATTCTAAGCTCGTCGCAAGCAGCATAGCATCCTCCCGTGGTGCTTTACCATGGAGGATGAATAAGATACTTCATTTCTAAGGGAGCGTGCGCGCTTCAAAAGGGGGTTTTGATGACTTGGAGAATGTTTGGAAATTCAATTGTACATTATACACACACATACAAATATACAGGCTGGCTATAACATTGATAAACTTTTGATGCATGTGAGACTGTCTGACAGCGTAGGGCTATATCAGTAAATATCGGTATATTATCGTGATAGTGACTTTGCTTACGTTGAGAATACTAGAAAATATTCTCTAGACACACTTGAAAATTATCTCACCCCTTTCCCCATTAGCTGTGTCGTAAGTTCCTGACGGGAAATTCTCATGGTGCCCTCTGCTCCATACCATGCACACGTAGTGTGGAACATCCGCGGTCGGCTTGAAAGCGACCCTCATTGTAAGTAAGAGTGCTATAGAGTAGTGCCACAACGCCGCTGAACGCGAAGGTATTGACGTACTGTTGTGCCGTCATTGTACAAATATGCAAAAGGTTTAAGGACACTCGGGATTCTAATCGTCGTGATACGCCTGAAGCAAGGAGGACGCAAAATTCTGGGCCCCCTTAGGTCGTCCATAGTTTGCGAAGCCGTGAGATACGCTCCAAATATGTTAAGTTCGACGATCATGTCCAAATAAGACTTTATTGTGACAAGCAGGATAGTGTTAACACTTGAAAGTAACTGCAAGAAGAGGGAACCAAAGTGATAGAATATGACAAAATTATGTTAATTACCTGGAGAAGTGGTTGTTTCACAACGGTGAGAAACTTTTTATGTATGGCAAACTCGAAGAGCCACGGCCGCGACTGCAAAGATTTCGTACTTCCTAAAGATTGCAGAAATACACGACAAGATGTTTTATGACGATCGGCCGCGACAGAGACCAGAACCTGCAGTACTATTTCTTAGGATGTGATGGCCGGTTTGAAAACCTACACGAGATCGCCTGTGCTTGTGCAGCTCTGGTATATTATGATGACTGGCACTTTGCTAATGGACCGAAATCTCGCTCGCATCAGTTGGGAGCTCTGCATGTTGCAAAGCGCAACACGCAAATACCACCTATCGGATCGAGGCATAAGGAGAGAGAAAGGAAACAAGGAAAAAGCGGTTCAAATCCTTGCCCTGATATTCGTAGCAAGCGAGCATATGCGTGGAAATGGTATCGAGTCTCAAGCCTATTCATACCATTTTAAGCCTATTCTTGTCTGTCTATGACCATGTTGCCACATATGATGAGCAGTCATCTTCTGCAGTTTGTGAACCTGAACGCTTTTCGGTGTACTCCTATACAAGAAACGTAGATGGACATTGTCTAAAAAGCAACTGATCATTTTGCAACTCCCACACCACCATGTCGCGCACTAGATTTCCGGCATCAAGCCCCGAGCCCTATTCGGCCGTCCACGACGCCAAGCTGTCCCGTTGGCACCCGTTGGAGTATTCTTCGCCACCCAGGTCCCAAAGTCGGCGGACTTGCTGGCCGCCAGGTCCGCGTACCAGTGTCCGACATAATCGTGGATATCGAAGCCTGAGCTGCTGTCCGACGGCGTGTTGACGGCCGTGTGCGACAAGGCGAAGGCGAGACGGGCAGGCTCCACGAGGTCCAGGGTCTGCCGGTTGCCGTCATAGTCTTTCCAAGCTGTGCAGCCCTTGCAGAGGGCGGTGAACTTGAAGTTGCCCCCGCTGACACCGGTGCCCTTGAGGACTTGGTACGTGGTGCCGTTGTAGACAGAGGGTGTATAGAAACCACTGGTTTTGTCCGTCAGCACTGCTTGAAGCGATCGTGGAGACAAGATTGTGGTACTTACTATGCCATGCGGGAGGAGTGGATGACCTCGTTGTCGTTGGCCCACACCACTGTCAACGGGTTGTAGGCCATGGTTCCCGCCCAAGCCCAGCCGATCCATCCCAGGGATGCTGGACCTTCGATCTGGAGGAGGGCATCGTAGTCACCGGTGGTATCCTCGGGAAGTGCTACACGCCAGGAAACGTTGGTGTCGCTGTCCGTGTAGGATTGAAAGGTAATGCCGGTTTCTGCATCGGTGTATGAAACCGTATCTGCCTGGGCAAGTGCTTCGATGCGTCAACATCTCTACTCTTGCGGTGGTTGTGCGTGAGTTACCTACCATGACCAGCCAAGCTGGCAGCGCCGACTGCGATTATTGAAAGCCTCATGTTCAAGAACTGTTATATATATGAGGCCGTATTGGACGTTCAAACCCGAGAAATTATACAATTTAACAACCATGCCTTCCAGTGGGAAACAAGGAACTTATTTATTGGAAGGCAGGCTCAGGCAGTAAAGCTACATGGTGACAGTGTTCACATGAAAAGAGCACTTACAACCAGCGGGTTGACTTGAGCCGAAGACTCATGCGGAATTGCATCCCACATGGGCGATTGCCATGGACCGTAGATTGCCTGTATGCAACCGTAGTGACGGTGGGTAGATCGTCAATACTTGAACCCCAGCCAATCTTGTGCTCCAATTCATAATGACAGTCCATGACAGTACATGGTTATGGGACGCTAGCTAGCTTGCCTGTGTAGCATTTATGCGCTGAGAATTGTGACAGAAAGAGGTACCACAGTCCATAAATTGGAGTGACGACCAGCCAAGGAGTATCATCTAAGCAGTTGCCGGCATAGGCTATACAGCAATGTACGTGAACCTGGATACATGATAGTCATTCGATCTTCAGACATCCTGATTGGCTCCGAGCAATAACATTCAACGTGGCATAAGAGACAGACATATGTTAGCTGGTACGATTAAGACAGTGCCAAGACGTGAACATTTGGAGAGTAACTATGCCGTGACGTCGTAAAAGGATTTGTATTGCCCAAAGCGTAGCGTGCAATCTATCGCGACTTCAGGCTGAACTTAGTGCAACCAGACCATCACTTACCAAACGGCAAAGCATTCCCAGGCATCCGATAGAGAACGTGAATGACAGGAAATTGCCGGGCAAGTCGGGACAAACAACCCGAAAGTAGCACGTATAGTTGGGAAGTGGCTTTTCAAAGCACGGGGGCGATTGCGTGGAAATGCTGCAAAGCGGCTCACACAAGGATTTGGGCAACATGTTACTTCCATAAATTATCGCTACATATACACAAGATAATGCGATTCTTGAAACCCAATATCGTCGAAACTTATACTTGTAAACATTCGGATACCTTTCTTCAATAATAAGATTTATTTATGAGTAATATTGCACACATTGTTTTATAGTCTTATCAAGCAAGAACTCGTTCAGTGGGCAAACTCCTGTCGCAGAATATGTGTTCGCCCAAATGAACAAAAAGAATTGTATTCATCCCAGGCGCGAAGCTCGACCAGAACTTGCGTCGAGCGGCAGTGATAGAAACAGTTCGGTCGGGGATTTGGGCAAACCAGTGTAGGCGCTTTGAGAAGTCGCTCGAGCATTAATCGGTTGATTCATGATCAAGGAAATCCCTGATCTGTGCTGGCTCGAGGGGGCATCGTGATGTGGATATTGGCACTAACAAAAGCCATAGACCATAGCAACCATGCCAGGTTAGCCGACAGGAGTTGAACCGAAATAACTTGCCATCTGCCGTCCCAACTTCCCTCACATCCAAACATCTCAGCAGCCGCATCAGACATATCTCGCGCCTCTGTTTGAGCTTCGGCGAAAAATCCGTCGACGCAAAAGCCAAAGGATGAACCCGACGGGCATATCCGGCTCGAAGGGGGGGCCACATACACCATGCGCAGTTGACGTGCTTCGAAACCCCCCATAAAAAGTATCCGTAGGCTATTTTTATTTGATGGTAGGGATGGGGTACGCTCCGTCAGTTGTCTACATACTACAATGCGGTTATGAAAATGCCATGCGCGATTTGGAACCCCAGTTCCTGCAGCTGATTCCGGGACCCCATACATACATAGGAATCGCGTAATAGTTGACTGCAACCAATAGGGATACTAGAATTTTGCTGCACGTCTGTTTGACTGCTGGCGAGAACCGCTTACTCGTGAATCATCACAAGTCTAAGGTGACCACATCTAGATCATCTAGCCTAGCGACGACCTAACTTTAGTGAGATACATGCTGTAAATCTTCGTAGCTAAGTGACAGATATCGCGCGCATCGCGCTTACATGGTTTGGCATTACCGTTGTTTGCCGTCTCTTGACACATTCCCGTAGGTATGATTACCACCGACGATCCGTAGTGTCTTGCTTGTGACATTTCTCCCGTGCTCGTCGTAATCTTTGTCCCGGACGAGACATCTGTCAAACCGAGAACCCCACTGTCCGATAGTTGTTCCCACCACTTTGCGACGTCGCGAGAAGAGCCTAGGGGCACCCTGACGGAGGCCGAAGAAAAAAAGAAAAGATATCCGAAAGAAATCTGTGGCAGCTATATCTGACCAGTATTTCCGGGCAACAGCAAATCTGATCGGCAACAGGGAAACCACTTCGAATACTACCTTGACTTACACCAATTGTGCGGTACAATTACTTATTTCCTGTCCATCATACCAAGCGATCGCACTCCTTTCCCACGAAAAACTGCCCCTCCAAGAACTACCCCGCCATACCACATCTCATCGGCACCGGCATCGCATCGACATCGCATCAACGTCGCAAAGGGAAATCCATACAATCAAAGATCGCCGCCGTCGCCCCCAGCCCACACGTCACAATGGGTTCCCTGGCCCCCGAGACCAGCCGCAAGCCTCTGCACGAGGTGATGCCGCCGCTGATCGCAGGCACGGCCACCTTCAACTCACAATATGTCTCGGATCCGTTCAACCCGGAAGTGCTGCCGGCGCTGTCCATCGTGTCGCGGGCGCTGGAGCTGGGGATCAACGCCTTTGACACCTCACCGTGTAAGTCTTTTTATTTTTGTTTTTGTTTTATATGTCATGCAGAAAACGCACACACATATACATATATATATATTCGCCTATTTTGCCATCAGGGGATAGACCTCCTGGGCGGCCAAGTATACCGATTCACTTCGCCCCCCTAGACCAAGAAATAGAAGCAACCCCCCCAAAAAGAACCAGCTAACACATCCTCCCCAACAACCAGACTACGGCCCCTCCGAAACAATCCTGGGCTCCGCCCTCGCCCACCCGTCCAACGCGTCCCGATACCCGCGGGAGTCGTACTTCCTGGTCACCAAGGCGGGGCGGATCGCGGGCGACTCGTTCGACTACTCGGCGGCCTGGGTGCGGTACTCGGTGCTGCGGTCGCTGGAGCGGCTGCACACCAGCTACCTGGACCTGGTGTACATGCACGACGTGGAGTTCGTGTCGGCGGACGAGGTGCTCGGGGCGGTGTCGGAGCTGCGGCGCCTGCGCGACGAGGGCCTCATCCGCTACGTCGGCATCTCCGGGTACCCGGTGGGGGTGCTCTGCGGGCTGGCGGAGCGGGTGCTCGAGGAGACGGGCGAGCCCCTCGACGCGGTGCTGAGCTACGGGCACTTCACGGTGCAGAACGCGACGCTCGGGGGCGCGGCGGTGCTGCGGCGCTTCGAGGACGCGGGCGTCGACGTCGTGCTCAACGCCAGCATGCTGGGCATGGGCCTGCTGACGACGCGGGGCGCCGACGCCGGGCCCATGAAGGAGTGGCACCCTTCCCCGGGGGCGCTGCGGGGCGCCGTCAAGGACCTGGTGGCCGTGGCGCGGGCGGCGGGCGAGAAGCTCGAGGTGGTGGCGATCCGGTGGGCGCTGGACAGCTGGGCGCGAGACGGGTCGCGGCTGGGGGTGCACTCGCCGTGGGTGCCCGGGGGCGCCAAGCTGGGCGTCAGCGTCATGGGCGTGACCAACGTGCCGGAGCTGGAGGAGACGTGGCGGGTGTTCCGGAGCGTCGTGGAGGGGTATGGCGCGTCGCCGTCGAGCGCCGAGGCGGCTGAGGCGCACGCGTGGAGCCTGGAGCGGCGGTCCAAGATCGGGGGGCTCGTGGAGAAGATGTGGGAGGTGCTGGGCGAGTGGAAGGACTACAGCTGGAGCAGCCCCGATGCCGGCTTCGTTAACACGAGGAGGAAAGAGGACAAGGGGACCTTCCCCAAGGACGATGGGATCTATGAAAAGTACGAGAAATACTTCCCGAGCAGGTCATGATATGCCAAGAAGATGGAAAGAGAAGGGGCTAGATTTAAGGGGGGGCTGCTGCCCTGCGAATGATCCTATTTAGAAGTGAAAGCGATTGTTTGCTTCTGTCCCGGACGATTAGGCTTGCGAAGATCTGTCGAGAATGTGAAGAACGTACTGGTGCTTCTTTGCTCACATCAGACATAATCTGTATACAATGCATCCTTGACTGAATGGGAAGGGCCCGCCTTCCCGGCGTGCGGAGTGCCACGCATTGCCGCGACTGGATCTAATCGGATTTATCGGAAAGATGACATGGATGAAATAATTGCATGGCCACAATAACCTGAAGACGTGGCTGGACTATTCTCCCATGTGAGACAATCAAGACGAGCCAGTACATACGAAACCACCGGGTTGGGGTAATACTTAAATTCGCTGCCTTTGGAAACGGCTTTCCTTATCGGTTGCTCTAACCCAATGCTATCTTCATCATCATGTGTTCCAGCACCGAAAGCCGTGCCGATGATCTATACCTTGCGAAGCGCCGACAACCAAGAACGCCATAATACAATGCACATGATCCACTTCCGCTATGGCATACAAACAGCCACAAAAATAGGTTACAATTCCGGTCCAGTCTGCTCCAAGAGCCACTACTGCGTAACTTCACTTGGCCGCTCAACCCTATCGGCATGTCCGAGTTGCTTAGCATCGTCATTTCCGTCCTGGGGAGCAGGGGTCTCAGGTGTGATCATGACGCTCGGAGGGTGTAGATGCGCTCCAGACTCGTGCTTCTCGTTCTCAACAGACGGTGTCGCTGGGTCAATACGAAGCTTCAGCGGCTTGTCCGCTGTCTGGCCAGGGGAGGCGTCAGAGCTTGCTTCTCCAGCCTCGTCATGAAAGTCCGGAGCTGCTGTTATACTCTTAGGGGCAGCATGCTCGACATGTTCGTGATATTCCTGAGATGCCTTGTCCGAATCTCTGTCGTTCAGTGCTGACCTGATTGGTTGACCATCCGCGCCGATGGCCTGCTCGCCATCGATAGGCACACCAATCATCTCGCCTAGACTTCTGAAGTTGAACATGGACTCGGTACCATTGCCTTCATCCTCGCTCTTGGCCTCGTTCAGGCTGACTTGACTTGCCGTTGGACCTTCAGCGCCATCTTGTCGGTTGTTGTAGCTGGCTGAGAGACTCTCGAGCCCACTCGCAGAAGATATGGAGCTGGCATTGCTCATATGGCGGAGATGCGACGATCCTCTGGAGGTTTGTGATATCGGTATAGGCAAGGTAGAGTTGTCGCGCTCGACTTCCTTGCCCTTGCCCTGATCTTCAGCTACCGGGCTTAGTGTAGGTGAGGTATCATTGCTCTGACTTGCAGCCGCATTGGCTGCGGCGACGCTGGCTTCGGCACGAAGAGTTTGGCTCCCAGCAGTGTTTGTCCTTTTCCGGCCAAAACCCAAACTCAGAGTGCTCGAGCTGGCCGAGCTTCCATTTTCAGATTGTCCATATACGTTGCTTTTATGTTTGTTGGCCTTGCGCTCTTCTTTTTCCTTCTTTTTAGCCTCCTTCTTGGCCTCCTTCTCGGCCTTCTTCCTTCGATCTTCCTCGTCGGCCAAAGATAACCTTATCGCCTCGGCCACTACACAAATCTCAGTAAGATAAGTCTGGTGAGGCAAATGAAAAACAACTTACTCATCATGCTCTCAAGGTGAGCGGCATCTATCCGCTCCCTTGTTGGGCCCGTACGGACTGAGGAAGTCCTAGCTCCGGGCTCGGGACCTGCTAAAGCAGGGTCGGAAGTCTGCGCTTGGTTATTCTGTCCCAGGTTGCTAGTAGGCTGAGAACTTGGACTCTCGCTGCCGGCACGCATCCGGCCAAAACGACTCGACCGACCGAATATAGAACGGGAGGTCTCACTCTGATTCATGACAAAAGCGGCATGATGTAGGGCATCAGCCGCTGCGGCTCTCCTCCGCTGGTGTTGGCGGGCGGCACTGAGTTTTGTCGTCCAGTCTGGTCGTATCCTATCGGTAGAAATCACACTCGGATCATTTGCAGACAGACTCTGAGCTCGCCTCCTATTGCCAGCTGCTGGTGTCGTCGCAGAGGTAGGGGAAAGGTTGGACCCAAGCGAAGACGAAGACGACATGGCGGTACCGTGTCTACCCAGTCCTTGTGGCTGGTATTCGTGTGTCAGACCACGACGGAAGGGAGGAGGCTCGTAAGTCACGCCGAACTCTGTCTGTGTACAGTAGGGACAGCAAGCAGCCTCCATGATCAGCTCGTTGGGCTGCTCCTCGGGAATTGGCTGGCTTCGGCTCTCCTCACCGTTCTGCCCGTCGGGATGGTGCTCTGGTAGGTGCGGGTCTGGTCTTTTGATCTGCACAAAGCACTCGCTGCAAATATACTGATCGCAGCACCGCGTCTTGTTCAGATACCGCGGGTAATACATGACGCAGATGGGGCATTCTATGCCATCTTTGTACAAGAACACCTCGAGGGGTTGGCCATTGACGAAAGGGTCATTGGGTAGGCTGATCTCGCGTGGAATGATGTCTTGCTGCGACGCATTACGCGAAGACGATAGGCTGAGGACGTTGGCGAGAGTCTTGTGGGGATTCTTGAGAGACGACGACAACTTTTGAGGGGGCGCAGGAGAAGTTGGCGAAGGAAGTGCTGATCCTGGGTTGGAAGCAGTCCTGTCCGAGGCGGCCGAGAGCGTCCTAGGCCCCATGGGTACCGTCAGGTTGTTCAAGTTTTGTAATGACGTACTTGGCGACTCGGCGGGTCGTGGCTGGGGAACGAGACCCTCTGGGACTTGGTCGGCAGGAGGGATATCGAGGCCACGAGCAGCGGCAATGATCTGATGCTCAGCCCAGTTGTCCTCGAAGTCGTCTAATCCTCGCCAGAAGGGTGCTATCTTCCTGTCGATCTATGAGGGAAGGGTGCATGTCAGTGCTGGAATACTGGAGTACTGGACGGCACACCGGGACATGGTGCTGGTCACTCACCTGAAGCTGCCTCACGATGGGTTTGCTAAAGTCCTCGGAAGCAGTATAGACGCCCATGGTGACGAGGAAGCCGCCGTCGACGTGTTCTTCTTTCATGCTCTGCTCTCGCTCCTTGAGACGGGCGACCCTTTCCCTTTCCAGGCGCCTAGCTTCCCTCTCTTGCTTTGTCTCTCTCCGCTCGAACGGGGCATCGGGCTGTTCTTCCCTGCCTCTTCGCGAGGTCGACGAGGGGCCGCCGGTCAGGACGTCGAGAGCGTTCAGATCGCGGCGACTGGAGCGCCTGCCGGATCTATCGTTTGCATCTCCATAAGTTGCCGGTTCGTAGCGCCCAGGCCGCGCACCGTCCCTGGACTCCTTGGTGTGTGCGTTACCCATGCCGGGCAATACCGAGCTGCGCTTGAACCGCTGGCTTGATGTGGCGGGTGGTGGAAGCACAGGAAATGAAAGCGACCAAGACGATGGCAGTTGTTGCTACTGTACGAGCTGAGGTGTGCGCCGTTGGCATGCAAGAGTTGGGACGACGTGGGCGTGTGCCGGTGGATCCTGGTTGAGGTTCGGGATTGAGATGCGTCGAATGCGGCGACCGACAAGTGACAGTGACCGGGGTATCATATGCGAGCAAGCCGACGATGCCGCAGATCCGTGATCATTCGCTGTTGGCAGTGAGCTTGTGGTAGCTCTTTCGGTTTTGGGGGATGAGTTCAGTTCTGGACCAAAGGCAGGCTGATGTCCCCTCACACTCGCAGGAGCAACGGCTACCGTTGTTGTGCTATTGCAATGTTGGATGATGTGATTGAGTTGTTGTTGATAAGGTGGGATGGCTGAGCCAGAACCAGAGCCAGAACCAGAATGGGGCATCGATCAGACTGCGGGTGGCCTGGTAGGTCAAGTCAACTGCGGACTGGCCTGGACTGGATTCCCTAAGGTTAAGTTAAGTTACTTTGGGAATCTGGAGAGTAAGTGGATAAGCCCCGGGGTCAGTCTTGACGAATGAAATGATCATCAATGAAGACGTCACTGTGTATCCCATCCGTACAAGGGACCCTCTCTCACTCCCACTCTCACTCTCACGCTCACTCTCGCCCTCAGTCTCAGTCTCGCCCTCTCCGTCTCTCTCTCGCTTCCCGTCGATTGGATATAGTGAAGCGTGCTACTAGAATGTCGATAGGATGCTAAATGAAACGTTTGTTTGCTACTGGGTGGAGCTGAAGCTCAAAGTCAGATCCATCTGCACCTCGGTTTGCAGAATGAGCGAGGAGCTAGCTGGAGTTGGAGAAATAAGGTAACCATGAGTCGCCGCTGTATTCCTCCTTCTCGTCGGGCTTTGTGCAACGTGTAGTAGATAGGTTGCAGCAAGTGCAATCACTGACCTGTCCCAAAGTGTAAGCTTGAGCGCAAGCTCCAGCGCAAAGTACCGAGCAGGTAACGTTAAAAGTAAAAGTGCCCGGTTTCCAAGGATATTATTATTCTCGGGGCTGCTGCAGCTGTGCCAACTGAACAGGCCCAAGATAACCGCTATACCACTAGCGCCACGATTTCAGAAGGCGGGGCTTTCCACTGTTCAACACCTGTTATTCGATTCGGACATGTTAAGATGCCTTGTCTTGCAATGTAGGGGAAGTTGGAATAAGCCCAAAGGCAATTGGGGGTGTATTTGTTCCGAGTTTGAATAAGATCCTCTTTATTACTACCAGCAGTCTAAATTTGTATACGCACACACGCACACACACGCGCACACACATGCAGATGCTAACGACTTTGCGGCTCAGAATGAGGCTGTCAGACTGTCTAATCAGGACAACCGCTGTATTTCGCCCCCGTCTCTCTGCATGACGGAGAGCCTAGAATCAGGGGTTCATATGGCAACCCATTCTAGACCCAGATCCTCCTTCTGCAGTTTGGAAACCCTAGGGCCAGTTTGGGATGGGGCGCTGCCGTCATTTGAGGCCCTTGAAGGCCCTTGAAGGCCCCGAAAATGGGTTCCAACGTCAGCATTGCCATGTCAGTCGAAAGCCAGCAAGTGCTCCTTGTGACGCCGTGCTAATTACGGTGTCGCCGAATCGGAGCCTGACAGATTGCTAGCGTGATCAATGTTTGCTACTTCAGACGAAACCCGTTTTGCATACACAAGTACAGCATCTATTTGACTGCGACGGGCCCCACTGGAGATCCTCCGTTACCATCAAAAGTGGCTTCCAGGCGTGAATCTCCATGGACCGTCTGGAGTGATCACACGATTAGGTAGGCATATGTGCCAAGTTCGGCGCGATTGGGCAGCCCTAACTGTGGGGGGCGGGGGGCTATAACGCCAAGCAGTCTTATAACATCTCCATGACCTGCAGTACCTACGCCCAATTGCCCAATTGAGGTCATTTGATAAGGTTCGGAGTCACTGATGGTGATAACGATAAAGAAGAGCCGTTTATTATGTGGTCTGCGTCTCAGCGCTAGTAACCAGTCGTACACGCAAAGATGATCACGCAAAGATGATCACGTAAAGATGATCTGTTTACTTCAAAATATGGTAGTAATGGATTGGATATGTGGAGAAATCAAGCTTATCCGTCCAGCGTTCTGTATTCTCAGCTATCATTTCCCGAACAGGTTATAACTCAATAGCGCTTCGCGTGTAAGTCCACATCTCCGTTGAGTTCGCATCTTCCTTTGGTCTGTTTGTCTTGCGTACATGCCTCTTAAAAAGAAGGAGAAAAATTAAACAAAGTCGGAGTAGCTGCTAATCTCTAGTCTAGGTGTACTTTCACGAAGACGGTGTCAATGACTGGGGTCGTCTTCCTCGATATCGTGTAACCACAGCTGTTGGCCGCTTCGGCATTCCAGAACAACCAAGTTTGCTGTCTTGGCCGACACAACGAACAAGAGTGTCGTCGGCAAACCACGTGAACAATACTATCAAGAGTTTATGGAGGCTCGGTATCTGCAGCATTGTGCAAGATAACTACTTCTTGCTTCAAGGCTCCTTGCTTCCGCCAAGGTTCTTTCTAGCTTGAGGATGAACTGCTGTGTTCCTTGGTTCTGTACTTGTCGGCACTTATGCATATCGAGACGAGACAGACTGGGAGTGTCCCATGGCTTACTAGAGATACTCGATTGTTCGTGGAGATGGGCCTACAACGGCCAGGAGAGCTACCGGGGGAGAATACGTACGGGGCCATTCGGGGAGATCGGCTTTGAGTCATTAGTAGCAGCACAGCATCACTTCTACCATATAAGCCGTCGTATACTTGTTTGCTTCGTTGCATTGGTGATTGTACCAACCTTGCGACCGATGGACGACCGTAATCACCTCGAATTCTCAGGGCTAGCCCATCTCCCCATTCCAAACAGTCAAGGCTCACTCACTTGTACGAATAAGCAACATGATTGGCACGGGTGGCGAATCGCAAACCGGCCGCCGCCAAAGCCGAAGAAAGCCCTCAAGGTCATTATAGGGCAATCTAGGCAATTAAAAGGGGTGATAATGCCGAGGTGGGGCTCTGATGATTCGAGAGACCATCGGTCTTTGTGATGTTGGCTTCAAGGACGTTGTCTAATCATGATGTGGCGCTGTAAGGGCGCACAGCGGTGACGAATGCGCGGCTGAAACATGGCCTATCGTCGGATCAGCGCATATATGTGGAGGTGATCGCAAATTACTTGGAGTCAGCCTCACACTTGTACGTATGATGGGTGAAGCATTCCGAGCGTCCGAATGGAACAAGTTACGTTGAGTCGTCACGATAGCACATGCGCATCGAGAACGTGCCTGCACTGTAGGTGGGAATCAGCACATGACCACTACCTCGGAGAAGCAATTCTATTCACCTTGTCAAGATCAAACCGAGCCCAAGCTCACTCGTCCACACCTGCAAACTTGCGGGCAACCCAGGCAGCGCCATACTCGTCGTACTCCTGCTTGGTAACGCACAACGAATTGAGGGACTCATGCCTTGCCAGATTGGCGCCGCCAGACCATGTACTGAGAATTGGATTGGCTGGCCGCGCGACGCGAACAATACACTCGTCGGGCACGAGCTGCTTAATCTCTTCCTGTAGACGTTGGTAGAATCCATCGAAAAGAGCATTGCCTCCGACCACGATGATGTTGGCTAAAAGACCGGGCCAGAGCCCAACTGGTAGGACGTCAAGGGATTCCCGAACCAGGTTTGCTATGCCTGACTGTTTGAGGCCGATATCTGAAGGGTGGAAGAGTGTTTCCGGGACTGTGAAGCGTTCGTTGCGCAGGGTGATGACATCCTCTGTCACCTCTCCAGCACGAGCTGCGGCTAATTTCTTGGCCTTTGACGCTTGGGACGGATCGTAATCCCGAACGATGCCCTTGGATGTGGAATGAAAGTCTGGCAGCACGTAATCCTTGGCTATGCCTCCGCCGGCCAAAAAGTCTTGTCTGCGAGGATCTCCCCTCGTGCCTTTCCAGGTCTTCTCCAGATCGCCCTTGAAGTCGCGAGAGACGTAGCACGCCTGCTCTTTCATCTCGTTCACAATATAGGTGTCGTTGCGCATATCGTAGTGTCTGAGGGACAAGAGGCGGGTGAGGTAGTTTGTCAGAAGTTTTCCGCCCACGTCGAGACGCCTGATGGCAGGGTGAATAGGGTGACCTCGGAGAAGCGGCGTCACGGTGGTATGTGAGTAGCCCGAGTCGATGAGCATCATGACCTCGACTGGCAACTGAGCGACGGTCTCGGGGGGCCTGGGGGTGCGCAGAATGGCTTGTATGTCGTGGTGGGCGTTGAAGGAAGGCCCGTTTCCGCGGTAGTAGCTCGCGAAGGCAAACTCCTCAAACACCATCTGGTCGGTGTGCGTCTGCAGGGCGGGTAGCGAGCTGGAGGGCTCGGCAAGCAGCAGTCGGGTTTCCGAGGGATCGCAATGCTGCGGGGCGTTCTCGTGGAAGAATTCGCGCTCCCAAATGGCACTCTGGGCCTCCCAGTTCACGACGAAACCCTTCTCTACGGGGCGGCGGAAGGCGATCTCGCCAAAGTCCTTGCATCTCTCCAGCTCGGACCCGACGTAGACTTTGCGGTCGCCGTCGCGCGCTATACAGTTGGGGATGACGCGAGGGTCGTCAATCGCGTCGTCGGTCACGTATCCAGCTTTTATTGTGTATGCGCCATTGTCGAGGACCAAGGTCTTCGAGGGCGGTGGCGGTCGTGAGGTTTTGGACTTTCGGGGGGCCATAATTGTTGGTATACTGGGCAGCCGTCGGTGCGCTTTCTCTCGGGATGCGACACTATTTATAAGTTGCAGAATAGACCCTGAGGCGCGAACTTACAGGTCCGATCCGAAGAAAGAGAAGGTGGAGCGAAGGAGGAAGAGGAAGAGGAAGAGCAAGAAGAAGGTGTGTGGTAATAATACATTGTAGGTTAGCTGAGGTAACGATAGCCGCCAGATTCGGATTCAGCAGGGTTCCGGCAGCTACAGGGAGTGACCAGCGACTACACGCCAGGGCGCCCCCCCCCTTAAAAACGCGACGCTATGTAGCTCGAAGCAAGGTCGGGGTTAATCCTGTAACCTAGACTAGACTATACGAACCTTAGACTACAGTAAAACCTCAACTTCGAGACGTGTCTTGTCTCCGGCTCCCTACCATACGAAATCTGCAAAAGAAAGACTGTGTGTTTTCATAATATCACTTCGCAGAACTATTTCTTGGCCATCCTTGATCAAATTTTTGAATGGCTTCCGGCAGCCTCTGCTACTTGTACATGCACCCGCGCCGTGAAATGTTTTTAGTACTAACCTTAGTCTAGACAGAGACGGGTCGTGCCATGCCTTCTTGAGGGCTCCGTGAAAAGCAACTGACGATCACAACCAAGTTACCCAGCCTGCCAGCTTCACCAGGCTAGTGTTATTCCCGGCCCTGGTTTCTATCATGCTGTCTACGTATACGTCACGTTCTTCACTCTGCCTTCTGGTTTCTGAGCCTATGAGCCTAGGTTAGTCTACTCCTTAATTCTCAGGATCCTACGCATGGCAATGATGTTGGTCAACGTCCCCGTTAGGCCAAGCCGTCGTCAGGTCTCGCATGCTCCAGATGCTATCACTATTCAGCCTGCAGCATTTCCATCAGGTGAATACATACATCCATACTATACTTTATCGCTCGTTCCCTCCCTCTTTCATCAACCTTAGCCCATCGCACAGTCATAACCACCACCCTTTTACCTACGTCTTCTGGCCACGGCATTACTGGAAATATACTGCCTTGGTATTACTTTAACAACACCTACGACTAAGTCACCACCTTCCTTAACCTGACGCCATCTTGATCAAATTGACCTTCTCTTCGACCTGCTCGTCAAACTTGTTTCTTATCCTAAAGCTTATCATATTCTGTAGCTCTGCTTTGCATGCTAGTCTCTTATCCTCTCTTGCTCGAAGGCAGACACTTATGACCTGGCTATAGGCATTCCCATATAGGCTTGCGATTTCTGCCAGGAAATCCATTTCTTCTCGTTCCAAGTCAGTGTCGCCTGCTCCCACGGTGGAAATACCATTTTTGCCCCCTAACGTTCTGAGTAGTCGTTTGTACACACCGCGCAATTCGTCCCTTGTCGTTTCCATGACGTTGCCAATACACATAATAACATCGATGGGTTTCCATGTGGCGATTTCTGTGAGAATTACATCTAAAGCATATATATCATAAGATTTGTGGAATGAACTTTTTGCTCGCCAAATTGAGCGTGCGAATGCCTGTATACATCCGACGGAGGATCGCAAAATAGGGGCTTCTGTCATGTCGGTGCGGTCACTGGGTCTGGAGGTACTGAATCCTGCAATATGCGGCCGATTCAAATCGAATTTTTCAGTCTCATCTCCGAAGTAAAGTATGTTGTCGCTATTCAAGCCTTTATGTAGCCAATCAACTGAATGGAAACTTGAGAGGGACTGTGCCAGGGTGCTACAAAGGGAAACTCTCGCCAGTATCGGGGGAAGGGACTGTCTCTCCATCAATTGCCGAAAGGTTAAGGTCTTTGGTTTGGTACCTGCATGACATGGCGGTTCAAGCACTATGCCAAACGCAACCTCGTCGTGGACATCGACGGATTTGACGTAACCTAAACATTGGAGGTCCAGAATCTAGTGGGAATCTTGCTGCAAAGTAGTCTAACAAGAAGAGCTACCACGCCCGAGGTGTTCCAGATCATGTAAGAAGGTATGCAGCTAATGGTGTTGGGCTGAGAGGTTAAATCATGACTTGGAAATGAAAAAGATGAGACATACGCATCTATAGAACTGCTACTGCACGACATCCGCGAGGACGAGATAATGCTGGCCATGTGCCAGATTGTGCAGCCGGCTGCGCAGAGCCTGCTCCGACACCACCAACTGACTGCCGACCTGGACTGGGCTTCGATTCGGGCAAGTTTGCAAAGGGTCGTGAAGATATAAATATTTTTTAAATTATATATAGCTGTCCACTCCATCGCATTAGGAACTGGTGCCACACTCATTAACGCCATACCCACTCTCCCACAAAAAAAAAAGCATCGAAGTAGTTGTACTCAAAGATTAGAAACGTAATGACCTGTGCGATCTTGAGGCGAACCAAATTTATATCGGATTGATCCAACTGATATAAGTATCTATATGTCGCTGTCCGTAATGTCGTCGTCACTAGAAATGATTACCCAACCATGCTATTGTGCAACAGACCTGGTTAGATCAAATGCCAGTAATATACTCCGTCCGTACCTTATCAAAGGCGATATAACGAGTCAGATATAAATTATTCGTAGAAAACAATCACTGTTCTGTTGGGAGGTGAACAGTTTGCAGATAATTGTCTGACGCATCGTACGTTCCGGCCGTGAGATGGATTCGAGAATTAGCATCACTTGTGTGTTCACTCTCGATTATCCATGAGGTTATTTCCAGTGAATTGATGCTAGCGTTTGTCTCGGAATGATAGACTTACCATTCACAGACTTCGGCTGTGTCGCGAGGTAGAACGGCCTCAATTTCCGAGACCGCCTTTTCGAGGGCAGGTTTGATGTTCGCAGCTGCCTATTCAGGCCTTGTCCAATAAGTCGTCTGGGTTGCGGCAGAAATCTTTATTCCCTTGCCAGCTAGACTAGTAACAGTCCCTGAGGCCTTCTTAGTAATACTTTGATTAGACATTATAGATATAGTAATACCGAAAGTAAACTTATATACTCAAACTCAAGCGAAGGGATAAGTACAATTAGAGGATGAAAGAGAACGGAGAAAAGTTTGATATATCTTTATGGAGATGTTGAATATGTTTGAAGTACATGTGGAAAAAAGGAGTTAATATTGTGAGCCCAGAGTTATTGTGACATCATAGGAAAGCTCGCTACTTATATCCAATTTTGTATAGTGGCATTTTCATACTCTTTGTGTTGCTTCTGGGGGTCTACTAAGGGGGCCAACTTCCCTAGCGGGCCGTGGAACCGCGCGCGAAATTTCAGGCTGCATAACAGGGCTGACAAGGTTGAGATCAGGGTTGCCTTCTCGGTCCTTGACTATTCAAGCGGTTCGTAGCTGCGATGATTCAACCACGCCTTTGCTATAAATAGCTAAATCTATTGGTCACTTGTGATGCATATGCAAGTGTAGTGTAGAAATTGGGTATTTGACTTCCGGATATACTAACGTCGGACTACGATGGTGTAATCTGGCTTCCAAGCTGGCGAGCCGAATTATTATATGTCGGATTTACCGAATCCACCTAGGTCAGGCGGCAGGCTGTTGCCAGAAAAAGTGCCGCAACCCTATAGTGACAGGAGTGAGTGGTATGTGTAGGGGTGCGGCACTTTTTTTGTCAACATGTTCGGGCTGCTATAGGTTCCTCGCTAGACAAAAGTTTCCAACAAAACTTCATAATGGGATTACACCTCCGCCAGGATCACATATGTTAGCGCAGGCATAACGCTATACCACTTTTGGTAATGTGCTCTATTGCTATTACGGTACATTTCATAATTAAGCCGTTCATCTCCGGTACGAATAACTTCACGTAGTCGATAGGGCATCGACCATGCTAGCGTTTCTAAGAAATCCTCTAGTATAGCTCGCCATATTACCATTATTACTACCCGTAAATATACCGGGTTTAATAACTATACATTACAATATAGTTTAATATAGTTTATCTAATGTTGTACGTTCTCGATCGTTTTTATGGTTAGGACTATACGATGGCCATTCCATCGTTAATATTATTATTTCGAGAAATGTATACTATATCTTACGAGCTTGGTATAACGGAGCATTTATGTTAGGACTATACATCTATATACGGCACCACGAAGTCACGGCACAAGGAAGTACATAATGGCAGTATTTCTTAGCGTTAATGTTACCGAGTTCTTTACTTAGAAAAAACAGGGGCCTTTCTTCATTCTCACAAATAAACCCTAAAACATCTAGCTATAGCCTTGTTAACAGAGTAATGCCTATATATCGGAGTCCTCCGCATCGTGTAAAATAATCTAGCGTTTTTATATCAAGTTATTCGTTGCCTATACCTCGGTAAAGGACAAAATGTTAATATTATTATTTTATACTTAATCTTCCTCGTTTGGCTACTGTTTTAATGGCTATTAAGCAAAAGCTACGCATTTTAACTTCGTAATAATAATAAGGTAAATAACGCGGCGTCTGTAATGATTATGAAACGATCCCAATAAGTAGGCGACTTAGGCGTACTAAGCCAGATGATGGAGAATATTTATTCGTCGTTCTCCAGCGCATGTATAAATTCTTTGGTCCTTTCCCTCAATCATACGAGGACTTCCAAGACCCCGAACTTATTCAGGTTATCAATGCCATAAACCATGCAAAGCCCCCAGAGAAGCCATTTAATCTGGTCTCCTCAAAGGAGATCTCTCCTGCAGACAAGAATTTTATTTTGAAGATCATGAAACTGGACCCCAGGGACAGACCAACAGCAGAACAGTTCCTCGCCGATGAATGGTTTGCCGAAGAATCCGAGGACACAAGGGAACCCCTTCCATAAGTGTTTCTACCAATGACAGTTTTGTAGTTCATAGTCGAGCACGACTAGATAGTCCAATATTCGACTCATTTTAATTGATCTGTATTATGCATGTGAACGATTCGAAACCAGAGTGTTTTGATTCCACCAACCGATAAGGTACTCTAATACAATATTTTGGTCAAGAAATGCTACGACTGATAATTGCGCACCGTCCCAATCCTGAGCATTCCTCAGTGTCTGCTACACTATATATGCTTTTATGCTCTAATTCTGATTCTGGTGACATCGCGGATGGGAGACTAGCTGTTGCCACGCAGAGTTGTCGTCTTCCGGGACGTATCCGAACAGGCATTTCGCCCATGATGCAGAAGTATTTCCGTCTCACTGATGACGACCCTAGTTTTGTTGACCTCGCATGCTCAGCTATAAATTAATCTCCGACTCCCAATCTGATGGAAGCCTTATAAATGGTGGCTCAAGATTGTCGAGAAGCGATATAACAGGATTGTCCATGACCATAGACCATAGTTCGCTGATAGATAGTATCTGATCTATAAGATTCTCTTCCCAGGCGCTTCGGATTCCCATATAGAGCCAGTCAACTACGGTACTAATTATTACTTCGATAATGCCATTAATTGCACCTAGACACGCCAATCAACTGTGATCCTCTGAATCTATCATAAGTCTCTCTAACTAGTGTCTACGTTCGAACCCTCCGTGAGCTCAGTAAACAACTTCAACCCAATTGATATTTTAAATTGATTTCGCTTCAGGCTCGTGATGCAGCACCTTTCATTGCTATTTTTGAGCTGAGTTGCCCAATAATGGGTTTCAGTTGCAGTATCCGTATTACGCTCACGAGTTTAACGGGGCATAATTTTCAGACACAGCCGTCATTCATACGAGCGATGTTCTCCCGGCTTGCCGGCCGTATTTTTTCATATTGCAGTGCGGGATAGGCAAGGCTTCGTCAGGCATTGGTATGCTCCGCGTCAGTTCTGCTATATTTCACTTTCCAAAGAATAACCAGCCTCCACACAAATACTGATGATAACGACAAGAAGAAGCATTTGTTGCCGAGGGTAACCTTGGTGACTCATGGAATTCAAATATGAGATGCAGCAGTTAGCGGCCGCGAATAACGCTTAGAAACTCGAATTTAACAGCCTCCAGAAGTATGATAAGCAACGTAAATACTCAAAATCAACAGAATTACTATGTAAAGAAATTAAATTGCATTGAGAATGGTTCGGGTATTACAATCATGCAAATTAAAATGCAACAAAGAGGGTACTATAACTGCCAATGACAACAGCCCCTTTCCCTGTAGATGTCCCATCTACAAGTCATTCGGCCCCTAAGAGCGGCTGTGGTGTCAAGAGGATGCCGCAATTCTCCTGATAACGGAGGAATACCTTAGACGACTGGTGCAGCAGTGTTCACACCTTCAGATGCCGAAGCGGCGGTTGTCAACTTGTCGTGGTGATGTCCACCATCGTCGAATCGGCCGTAGCGCGTGAAGACAAAGTTGAGTCGGCTGTAATCCTACTTGCGAGGGAGGTGCCAGAAGGTATGGAAACCCCACTTGTAACGGGTCGTCGTGAAGTGTCAGACGATAGTGTTGCAAGGGAGTGCTAGGGTGCTAGTAGTCTGAGTCTGCTTGATGAATTAAGTTAAGTGATGGTTTCAATAAGATGTCTAGAGTAACCGAATCTGCTAGTACTGTTGGTTTGTATTAAGTTGTGAAAGATGACACGTGACAAGATGAATCTCTTATATGTTGTTCCCTGATTTCCAAAACATTGGGACGGTTTTGACCGGGTCGCTAGGGAACAATCCACCTATCAACACGTCACTGTTCCAATTATGGAAATGAGCGTTTCTTCCTCGACATATGCTATAGACGAGACCTCTGGCAAGCATAATGGTTAAAATGCTAAAGGCTCAGCAGATTCCAGTGATTCCGATACGTGATAGGTGGCCTCGTTTGGGCCGTAGAGTCGCGAGCTTGGCGGGGCCCAACCCTGAGCGTTTGTGGAGTTTGGTCGTCCGTCGCAGACTGTCCTTGAGCGCAAATGGCAATTACGGCCGAATCCAAAAGCTTGTCATAACAGGATGCGACTCTTATGCAGCTTATACTTACCGCTTTCCACTGTGCTTGCTCTGAACCCAATAAGACACAATTGAAATGTCATTTTTAGTGTCAAGCTTTGGAGGTGCCTAGATTCGATGGGAGATGCTGGCGGTATTTCCGCTTACCCTATTGATCAACTTGACTACTAGTGTATGCACCTAACTTGCTTTTAATTCGAATGGCTTGCATGGGACTTCTGTTGTACTTGTTTGTCCTACGGTATAACGTAGCCAAACCATGTATTCCTATTGATGACTCCGAGTAGCAAACAGCTCTGTTCTACACTGATATTATCGTTTCTCCATAATTTGCTCCCCTTGATTTCAGCCAGGCGGATGCCCGCTGCCCTCCGTTAGCTCAATGGCATTATAACTTTATGATAGGGCTACGGATCCGTATAGGTATACTAATGCTACATTGGGCTGCAAGGGTTATCTTCTGGTTGCAAGGCCACCAAATCGCCTGGTTAGTTGGTCCCGCGGGGAGAGAAGATTTGTATACGCGCAGTAGTTGTTTCAGCCACAAACTACCAGGAACAAGTTCGTACCCGTTCAGCTACGTACAGCGCGACCGACATCCCGTCACAGGCTATTAAAATCAACTGGGTTCTCTCTACCATGCCCCTTCCTTTCCCTCCACTATTCAGCAATCAAATTCATGAGCAAAACACAAGTACATGATAGCGTCAATCTTTAGGTAGAAATTATTTTTTACATAAACTAGCCTCTGGATTTCGTCGGGTTAAGTAGTGCTATAATCCTTCTAATGAGTGGTTTCACAATTTGGACAGACACCATGATCGACAGCATACGATGTGTACTCGTCTATGTGCAGCCAAGCTGGGTTATAGCTGGCGTTTTCAGCACCGTGAGTTTGAGTCGAAGAGAACGTGACATAACTAATTCGAAAGCAGTTTTCCTTACTATTAATTTCACGCTATGCTTATAGCATATTCTTCCATCCTCTCGCCAGATTTCCCGGGCCCAGATTGGCAGCAATGTCTGAGGTATGACGCTTTTGGTGCGATTTCTAATTGCAAAATTGTTAAAAATGCTTCAGTGGTGGTACATCCGCAACTATACCGGCGGGCTCTGGCACGAGGCTATGCAGAATGTGCACCAAAAATACGGCCCCGTTGTGCGAATTGGTCCCAACGAGCTCTCCTTCAGCACACCTAGTTCGTACAAGACGATATACAACCACGCCAACAAAGACCGGAAGCCTTTCTTGAAATCCGATTTCTATGACATATCACCGGGGAGGGCTGATATCATCACTGTTCGTGACCCAGCCGATCATGCACTGCAAAGACGTTGTATGGCATATGCATTTAGTGTCAAGTCTCTACGCCAGCAGGAAGAAACTGTGCATTTATATCTCGATGAGTTTATCAAACAGATTGGAAGGCTTGGAAGTCTAGATCAAGGCGTAGATATGACAGAAGCCTTTAACTGGCTAACATTCGATATTATTGGTAGGTCCATCCAGCTCCCTCTAAACGATTTTGCCAACGGATTACTACCATAATCACCGAAATCTCGGACATTGCATAATGCACATTAACTTATTTCTATCTCAGGTGATCTTACGTTTGGCAAATCTTTTGACGCAGTCAAGGAGGCGAAAACACACTTCTGGATTTCGCTTATACTTGGCAGTGTGTATTTATCGACGTTGGCTGGCATACGTAAAAGAATGCCTCTGTTTGCACTGGTGCTCCCCTTTCTCATTCCGAGATCCTTTCCGTCCAACTTGAGGGAACACCAGGCGTTGACTCTGCAGAAAACAAGGACACGCCTGGATATGGGGAAGCTGGAGCGTGCGGATTTCTTCAGCAGCCTTGTGCGTTCAGACTTGAGTATGGTGAGAGCAAATCGCATCGGCGAAGCATCGGAAGAAGAACAGAGAGAAGAAGAAGAAGAAGGAGGAGGAGCAGGAGGAGGAGAAGGAGGAAGGGTGGAAGGAGACGTGGATATCCAGTATTTGTCTAACCAATCCCATGTTCTTATCGTTGGGGGCTCAGAAACCACCGCTACCCTCCTGGCCGGCGCCACGTACTTTCTCCTACGAAATCCAGCAACGCTCTCAAGGTTACAAATGGAACTTAGAGATACTTTCAAGGACTACGACAAGATCACAGGGGATTCCACAGCCATGCTGCCCTATCTAAATGCCGTTATCGAGGAGTCTCTTCGCCTCTTCCCTCCATCCAGTCTGGGACTTCCGCGAATTTGCCCTGGCACAGCAATTGATGGCCGCTATATTCCAGCAGGTACGATTGTCTCGACTGATCCATTCTCCATGACTCGAGACCCCACTTATTGGGAAGATCCTGACTCCTTCATGCCTGAGCGTTGGTTACTTGAAGGCGCGAATAGTGAAGAAACAATTAAGGTCAACAAGGCGGCAAGTCAGCCTTTCAGTACAGGGCCGAGGTCCTGCTTGGGCAAAAATCTGGCATGGCTTGAGGCAAGGCTCACATTGGCGAAGATGGGCTGGAAATATGACTGGGATGTTGCAGCATCGAGTGAGGGGGTGGACCTGTGGAGAGATGTGCGCATGTGGACTCTTTGGAAGATGCCAAAGTGGAGGCTCAAGTTCAAGGAGGCTGATGTATGGATTAGAAGGCATGAAGATTGATGCTACCGCATATTCGGGCTTTAGTGAGAAGTATTAGCAATATTAGGGCGATTATCAAGAACTAAATTACGTTTAGCATTCTCCGCTCATTCGTTGTGACATGACAATATAGGGGATGAGGTAGCATTAGAGGCCATACACCATTCCACCGTATCGTATGCCTTAACTCAGCGTCAATTTTCCATATATGAGTCTGTTACAACAAAAGCTCATGTTGGCAGCAAGAGAGTGGGCATCGACAGGCTGTGTACTACACGTTAGAGAGAGCACGGATACATTATCATTTACGTTACTACACCCAAGAGTAGTCCAAATATGATTCTTATTGTGCATATAACAGACGCGAATACGGATTTGTTTAAACTCTTTAATCACTAGGTCGGCTTCTCAATCTGTAAATGTTTTTAATCCTATCAACCTACCAATCACATCCATATCTCCGAAGTTCTACATTCAATTGCCATTTTCCTCGGCACCAACAATCAGCCCTGACTGGCCATTCCTTGTAGGGTTGTCAATGATATATTGCATGCTTATATCGTGTCCGGTCCGCCGATAATAGCGGGACAGTAGCAAGGCAGTCACGAGGTCTCCGCCGCAAGAAAATACGGAACAGTCGTCGTCGACAGTTTGGCCTTTTTTACTCAGCCCAACCTCATCCCAAGCTTGATCAATGACATATTTCCCGTGACGTGAAGGGTTCGGTGCAATTTGAGCTGAAGATTTGGGAGGCGCCGAAGAGCACGACCTTACGTATGGTTTGCTCGCGTGCTCATCGTATCGTTCGATAGGCTGCTCCAGATTTTGTGGTATTGATTCTAATACCCTCGAGAAAAAGTGTGAAATCCACTTAACCTGTTCGCCTGTGAAGTTCTCATGTGAATACAGAATGTCTACCACAAGCTCCTTCGCTTCATCTTGCCCCTTTGTCGCATTCCATGTGGGTGGAGAAGGGGTCGCTTCCACCAGAATATCGGCGCATCTGCCAAACTTCCCATGTGGAGTAAGCACACAGTCTTGATTCTGAAAAGGAATTATTCTTCGTAGAGAGTCGTGATTTTGATAAATAAGCATGGAGCTGAATCTGGTACTGGTGGGCCAGTCTGTGCAGTTTCTTATGATGGAGCGAAAGCCTAAATGCTGATGCGGAATTGCAGCGACCGCCTGGTCATGCATCTGCTTGACCAACGACCCAAGGGTCATTCGGTTTTGTAGGCATGCCCGTACAGGTAAGAAGTTCAAGCACATCCCCGACACTCGATCCGTATCCGGAAACGACGACAGGCTGCGATTGGCATTAGGACCGCAGAATATGACGTCGCTTTGACCTGTTGCGCGAGAGAGCACCAGCGCCCAAGCTGCTTGTACCACGCTGGATGGCGTTCCATAAGTCGTTGTCACATTGCGCAAAGGGACACGGAATTGAATGCTGTCGCGGCAAAAATGCAGTGTTGCCGGCACTGAAGTTGATACTAAGTTAGTCATCGACGAACCTTCCAGAACTTGTTTCCAGTATGCCTCTGATGCTGACAAATTTACAGACTCAACATGTGACAACCATTCGTAGAAATGTGGACCAGTCGAAAGAGCTCGACCCGAATAGGCCCTGCGCAAATCTTGCAATACTACGTCCACAGAGATGGCGTCATAATGAGCATGATGTATCTTGAGGCTGATCTTATGACATGTCTTGCCGTCATCGGAAAGTTCCGATAAATGGAACTTGGGGAAATAAGTGTCCCAGTTCACAGGACAGCTTATTGGTCGTTTTTCCGGTCCGTCTATTGTGATCATCTCCCCTAGGGTTGCTTTCTTGACTGTAATTTGGTAAAGAGCGCTGCCGAATTGAACGAATGTAGTCCTAAATATCCGATGATGGTGGACTATGGACTCACAAGCCTTGATTAGATTTGAAACGTTGAGACCGGAGGGTGCCTCAATCGTGAATTCGTTATGCCATGCCTCACCATCAAGCTCTCCCACGGCAACCATATCGGCCTGGGCATCTGTTGCTTCGGCAATGCTTTCGATATTATCTCTCACTAGATGAATGAGCTCAGAACTCGCCACCTGGGCCCTAGAAGATGCCAAGAAGGGGTTAGACTGGATCAACTTCATCGTTAAACCCATTGATCTATCCGATCGAGTGGAAGCCATGGAAGACGGTATACGACGGGCCACGGTTGCCATATCAGACAGGGTTGACGATTTAAATACGTCTGCGGCACTGAGCAAAATACCAGACCTGTGCGCTGCGTGCGCCAGTCGCATAGCGCGGATCGAACTGCCACCAATGTTGAAGAAGTCATCTGTTTTATTAATAGCTTCGCAAGGCAAAGCGAGCGTTTCAGACCATAATCGCCGTAGTTCATCCTCGAAACATGTGGGATAGCTTTCTGTATCGTTATCTGAATCAGACCTTATTGAGGGCGGGAGTTTCGTGGTACTATTCAATGTTTCTTGACTGGGATCGTAAAGACTCAACTGCCTCGGTGACAGCATTGCTCCAGTTTTGCGAAGGAGTGACCTGTCTGTCTTGCCCGACCTTGTGAGTGGAAGCTTTTCCAGATGCACAAAAAACTGTGGCACCATATAGGTCGGGAGGGAGACAGTCAAAGCTGATCGTAAAGCGGATGCCTCCTTTTGAACAGGTGGGAGGACCTTGCATGCTATCTTGGACGCCTCAGGCTGGTCAGGCCCTGCGATAGCAAGAAATACAGCTAAACAATGGTTATCATCCTGGCCAGATGGCTTGATAAGCTCCACAGCGACAACCCATTTGGCCTTCAACACCCGTCTGATATGATATTCAATCTCTCCGAGTTCGATTCGTAGGCCATTCAACTTGACCTGTGTATCCTTACGGCCTTGATAGATCACCGAACCATCCGGGGTCTGTATCGCTATGTCTCCTGTCTTGTAACAGCGTTGTGAAGGCTTAATTCCAGATGAAGAAATACCATTTTGTGAATGGTCTTGTATCTTGAACCGGCTTATCCAGGAAGGTGGTTCAATGAAAACGGTACTGGTCAGGCTTGGATTTCCCAAATATCCAGGCGACACAATAGGCCCCTGTATCAATAGCTCTCCGGGACAACCAATAGACATCAGTTTGTTATGGTCGTTTGGATCGACCACCCAGTACAAACATCCATCCGGACGCCCGATATTCAGATGTTGCTTGCCTGAACCAAAGGAAACCTCGCAGCCGGAGGAATGTACCGTCGCCTCGGCTGGTCCGTACATGTTTAAGACCCGAATTTGTTTCCACTGTTCGATGATGTGGTTTTCGAAAGATTCGCCTGTCAAACCTAATGTGCGTAGTGTGGGCACTTCAGAGGGATTAAGCAACGTTGCCAATGATGGAGTTAAGAACACGAAATTGGCTCGCGTACGCCGAATTGCGCCTGCGATATCATTGAACCACTCATGCTGGGAAGGCATGCAAACACAGCCGCCTGATACCAACGTCAAGAAGATGTCAAACATCGAGACATCAAAGATGAAGTTGAGGTATTGCAAAGTTCTCGTTTCCGGGGTCATCTTAACCAAATCACGTCTATATTTGAGGCTCGTAGAGAAGTTCGAGTGCGTTATGACGGTACCTTTAGGCTTTCCAGTACTACCGGACGTGTAGATAATGTAGCATGTGTCTGACGACTTGATGTCAACAGGCGCAGGCCGACCAGGAGCCAAGTTTTGAATAAGATTCATGTCGACCACAATAAGTTTTGGAGCATCAATTTTGGCATTTACTTTTGCCAACAAATTGAATGATGTAACAATCTTGGGCGCGCAGCTTTCAGACAGAATGCATGCAATCCGTTCCGATGGATGATTAATGTCCATTGGAAGCAAGGCCCCCCCGGCCTTGAGGATTCCAAGCATGACCACGATAGATACTGCTGACTTTTCGAAGAAGTATGGTATGGGCACCCCCACTGTCACACCTTCTTTCTGCAGGAGGACTGCCATACGATCGGACAAGTCATCCAGCATTCCGTGATTGAGCTCATAGTCCCAGGAGTAGATAGCAGGTGCTCCTATATGTTGCCCGGCAACGATGCGTGTCTGTTCATGAACACATGTATCCACCGCTGCGGGTATGTGTCTGTTCCAGGCTTGCAATAGTGACGCTTCATGATCACTCAGAGACTTAAGATCAGCAAGCGAGCTTGAGGGATGAGACAGAAGTTGCTGTATGGCATGGTTGTATTGCTCTAGCAATATATCAACGGTCTCAGGGGAGATGGCTTCCTTGTCAAATTGCATGTCAATGAGTGTATGGTTTGGTAACAGCGTGCAGGACACCACGAGACTGGCATTTCCAAACGAGCCCGCGGACCTGTTTGTCTGGATGAGCTTGAAGATTTTCGGTGCTGGGTGAAGTAGAGATGCACTGCTAGTGTCAATGACTAACACATTTGCGAAAGAGTCCGCCGCATGAGTCTCTTGGCTCGGTGCAAAAGCCTTAGATACCGATCGTGTGCTGAGCAGTGATGTACATTCGTCGGTGATTTTCCGAACACTTCGCAGGAGTGATTCAACTGTTAGCAATGTGGAAAAGTTGAGTGAAAAAGGAACCACAGCTCCCACTGGTCCAACAGTATCAGAAGTGTCTTCAGTTAAAGGGCTACGGCATGCCAGGTAGAGGCCGAAGCATATATGATTTTCTCCGGTGATTCTCGAGAGACACAAGACCCAAGCAGCCTGAAGCGTATCGTTCTCAATGTAGCGCGAAAAACTGATGGATCTCGAGCTCGACAGAGATGCGCTCGGGTTCTTTGAGGCGACGCGCGGAAACTGTAGTCCTTCGTGGCAAGCCTTTGGAACTTGGGTCATTTTGGCGCCGTCCGAGACGCTCTCTTTCCAATTGGACAGGCGATGTACAGTTGGAAGAGATTGAACAGATTGTAGTGGATCGCCAGTGCAAGCCTTCTCAAATCCGTTCAAGATGATGGCCACGACCCAAGGATCGCATAGGCTATAGTGAAGTGACAGAACAAAATAAGTAGGGCCATTCTGCTCACGAACCTCGCCAAACCGACACAGAGGCCTACCATACCGTATTGGGCAGTCCTTGTCCCACTGTAGATACTCCGAGAGCGAATGTTCTTCTATCCAGGCTGGAGGCGTGTTGATTATGACTTGGCAGGTCCCGTATTGTTCCAGATTGATAATTCTGGTGCGTAATATAGGGCAGGCTTTAGCGACAAGATCGCCTGCTTTCCGAAGCCCAGTGCTTGAAATGTAGTTATCAACCTTGAAAATGTATTGGTCAAGACTATCGCTACCCCGCCGAATGGAAGCCTCCATTTCCCTGGATTGAGTGGGAATGCAAGGATGAATTTCTTCAATACAATTCCGCGTAGTTTCAATCTGAGAAGCTGCCCTCAGAATGACGGTCCTCGCAATATCCGCTGCAGAGAAAGCACAGAGTGGACTTGTGATTGAAGATTCCAGAGATCGGAGAGTTTGTTCTGGGTTGGCTAGGATATTTGTGATCACACTTGCAAATAAGTTTGCGATGTTCTTTGCAAAGGACCGTGGAATCTTTGAAGGGTCATATAGCAATTTGGAAACGATGTTATCATCGTCGTAGCCAACGCCAAGCGTAAGTGGGTACTGCAGTGAAGTATGGCATAAGTATATATGTTATATTCAACGCAGAATGAACTTACCTCAGTGTATCCATGTAGTGGCAGATGTTCGATTTGGATGCTGCCACTTCTGGAAAGATTGTCTGGCCAAAGACGATAGATCGTCATGATAGTGTTGAATAGGGGCAATTGACCGACACCAACAGCCTCGTGGATATCACTCAGAGGACAAGTGCCATATTCCAGGGCATGTGATAGATTGCTACTCAAATCTCTGAGAATCTGTGTTAGTGTTGAGTCAGGCGCCGCCTCAAATTTGCAAACAGCCATTGCAAGTAATGGCCCCATCATGTTTTCGGCATCTTCCATAGGTCCGAGATCAGAGCGTAGAAAGCCAAAGACCACCCCCTCAGTTCTGGTGCACTGGCGTAGTACGATACACCATGCGGTCTGAAGTAGGTTGGCCACAGTTAAGCCCCGGTGTCGACAGAATAAGTTCAGATAACGTGCGTCGTCGATGGGTACGTCGCAAAGGTATTGGTCCACATCCATAAGCTTCGATTCAACAGCATCGAGAAGTGGAACGAGACAGGGTGTGACGCCTGAAAGATGCGTAGTCCAGTAGTCATGTGTCACTTCATTGCGCTGTACGACCCAACTGAAGTATTGAGATAAGCTCCGGGCCTTTGGCAGACTTGTCGGATTATCATAAGCCTGACTAAGTTGTTCGCCTACAAGGCGCATGGATCTCTCATCGAACAAAGCATGATTTATATGAAGAATGGCGTACAAGACATCTCCGGATACTCGAACAAGGTGCAAGTGGTGTGGTGGCTGCATTGCGGCGAAAGGCGGAACTTCAAGAGCACCTAGTATCGAATCGATATCTGTTTTTTCCTGGTCAACGGCGGTGTATGATGTAGAAACTTGAGGTTTTGACAGGACGGCCTGTTGGAAGGTCCCCAGCCTAGTCTTACAGCTCACTAAAATAGTTCTGAGACTAGGCTGAGCCTGACATACAGCTTCCCAAGCCACCATTAGTCTTGCATCGTCTATCTTATTTGAAGAACTTGTAGGTGTTAGCTTCATTGTCAGTCGCATCCAGTATTGACGACCAGAGCTCTTTAGCTGAGAGAACAGAATCCCTTCTTGTAGTGGTGAACAAGGCAGCAAAACTTCCACGTCAGCCTCGTGGACGCCTATTTCATTCAGATGCGCAAAGATCTCTTGGGTGTCTTTTTCGTCCATTTGATGCAATGACGTGTTGCTCCCATACATCATTGGTCTTTCTCCCAAAGAGTCCGAATGGCCAGGGAGTAGTTCACTAGCTGCAGCTACATTGGCAAGGCTTTCGCTGCGTAAAAGTGTGGCAACCGAGACTCGCAGTCCGCGCTTCCTACATTTTGTGGCGATGTTTATCGCCAAGATAGAATCTCCACCCAGCTTTATGAACGAGCTTTCGCGTCCTATCTCATCCTCCTGCAAAGTTAATACTGCGCACCATACGGTGTGCAGGAGTTGTTCGACTTCGTTTGTAGGTGGGGTCAAAGCGTCTGTGCCAGATCCTTCGAAATGTGTTGGCTCCCATTGAGCAAGCCAACTCCTGACCGCGCTTCGGTCAATTTTCAGTGATGCGGTTCGGGGCAACTCTTCGACGACCCTCCAAACGTTCGGCACCATGTAGATTGGGACTCTGGAGTACAACGCCTTGCGAATACTATTGAGGCCTTCCTCGACCTCGGACTGGAATTCTGCTGAAACTTCTTTCAGCGGCGTTCTCCTAGACAGGCAAGGCTCCTCCAGACTGACCACAGCCACCAGACTCTTGTGGCCATTGTCGATTGTTTGAATTGACGTAATTGCACTGCGAACAGCAGAACAAGCGGCCAGAGCCTTCTCGATCTCAGCAAGTTCAACGCGCTGACCGCTGATCTTGACCTGGTTGTCACGACGGCCGATGTACTCGAGGCTGCCATCAGGGTTGTACCGGGCCAGGTCTCCGGTGCGGTACATTCGTTGAGATTTTGTTGATGTGGATTCCTTTCGGGGTGGCGCCCAGCGTGGTGGAGCGATGAAAGAAGCCGCGGTTTGGTTTGGATCATTTAAATAGCCTCGTGATACACCTGGACTTTCTACAACAATTTCTCCCACGCCTCCAATTGGCACCAACTTATCGACATTGTTCTCATCCACAAGCCAAAGGGCACTTGCGAGAGGCCTACCGATGCTTTCTGCATAGCGCGAAGTCGGCGTCAATTCCGCCATGGCGCTGACGCAAGCTGTTTCACTTGGCCCCCAGGCATTGAAAAAGCGAGCATGACCAGACCAAAGTTTCACCGAGCCCAGATCAACTGGCTCGCCTATGGACATGATAGTCTTCATGCTTGGCGCTTCCTCTGGAGTAATCATCCGTAGCACAGTGGGGGTGAAAATGGCACAGTTTACGCCGACAGACTCAATGAACTCCGCAATGAACGATTCACGAGCCTCTTCGGAAGGAATACAAACACATCCGCCAGATGTTAGTGTGCCAAATATTTCAGCTATGCTCATATCCCATACGTATGAGGCGAATTGAAGCATTCGCACATCGGTGCCCCAACCCATGTCCCGGCCAATGGCCACGAGTGATGACACAAGATTGCCGTGCTCAAGTACGTGTCCCTTCGGAGTTCCTGTGCTGCCGCTGGTGAAAAGTATGAACGCTGCCCGGAATGAGTCATCCTCACCGCTTGGGTGTAGGTTCACACTCCTGGACAATTGAGATACTGACTGAGCATCAATCACTAATACCTCCGAGGCAAGACTTCTGAGCGCTTCCAGGTAGGCTGAAGAAGTCAATATCGTTGCTATCTTGGAGATGGCAATAATCGTCTCTTTGCGCGCAGATGGAAAGTCGGGGTCGATTGGCACACATACCGCTCCGGCTTTCAAGACGGCAAGCTGAGCAACAATTGCCCATATCGACTTCTCGAACACAAGCCCGATAGCGTCCTCCGCACCAATCCCCCTATATTGAAGATCGCTGGCGACCACATCTGATATCGTGTCGAGCTCCTTGTAGTTCAAGTGGCCATCAGGACCTTGAATGGCCTCGGCGTTGGGGTGGATTTTAACGGCACCCCTAAACATATTGTGAAGGCTTTGAAGAGGTGGGTTTGGGATCGTTTCATTCCACTCAAATATCTCCCGACGGTCGTGCGGGTTCAGAAGCTGAAGTTTTTCCAACTGAGTTCCTCCCGGAGATTTGAGCAGGAAGTGTAAGATGTGCTCGAACTGTCTAAGTATCCTTAGTGTCTGGGCCTTGCATACCACATTCTCGTCAAATAACGTCTCTACAGAAAGCCCAGTGTCGTTCACGACTATTGATATACCCAAGCCGTATGGCAAGTGAGGTTCATATTCGCCATGAATCTCCATGTCAGAATTAGAATAGTCACGACCGCTGTCAGTAGGCGTTCGAAAATTCAAGAGCGCTGTGAACGCTGAAGCAACCCTCGCAGCTTCATTGACATGGCGTATCCTTGTAAGTCCATAGTGCAACGCGGGACTCTTCAAAGCCTCTCGGCGCTCCTGTGCTCGCTCTCTTATGATCCCTGCAATGGTCGACTTTCCTTTCAAGTTCACTTGTACGGGCATGGTGACTATGGTAGGACCCAAAGTAGACTCCAGACCATTAAGTCCGGACACACGACCGGAAAGAACTCTTCCAAACGCGATGCTCTGAGAATTTGTGTATGACATGGCTGTTATTGCCCAAGCCGTTTCGACGTATGAGGACATGAGTCCAAGAGGCACACCGAGTCCCCAAGGTCCAAACTCGATACGGCTCACAAGTCTTTTAGACGCATCGGGGATGTATTCCACATCGATCTTTGGAAATACTGTCGGCTGCCCATTAAATCTAGACCCCCAGAATGATTTGGCCGTGTTCTCTTCAATTTCAAGGCAATGCTTTACGAAAAGCTTAAATTCTGCGTATGGTGGTATCGACTGCCCGTGATACACACGCGAGATGTTGTCAAACAGTCTATGGTATGTACCACCATCGGAAATGGCATGGTGAGTCGTGAGAACGAGATTGCGTCCAACAAGAACGACTCTGAAAAGAGGAGTACCAAATCTCATCGGAGCTCCTTTCTCTTGGTCGAGGACATGACTAAGGCTTCGCGAAGAACGTTCGATGGCCAGAGTCTCTCTTAGGATAACCTGAACGAGGCCAAATTCACAATCAACAATTCTTGTACGCAGAACTGGGTTGATTGAGGCGATCTGCCGCAGCGCTCCACAAAAGCGCTCTATGTCGATTGAGTCGACCAGCGTCGTGTAGACACAATTGATGTATATACGCTCAATTGGTTGAGCCATTATCCCAACCTGAAGAGGCGTGCAGGGGTAAACATCTTCAATATCCTGCAATTGAATCCCACAGACATCGGCAATCTCCTTGAGAACCTCTAGGTCGTTCTCAACGTCGTTTGATTCTTGCATGACTTCACGGGTATCTCTAGTGAAACAGTGAGGATTGAGAAGACGGAAAGAGTGATTTCTGACCAGCAAGCACTGATTTAGGCCTTAACTGCGCAACATATACTCCGTAGACACAGAAACAATGGCTGCCTTTCCTCTCATGTCCGTGCACTAGGAAATTACGAAGTACCTCACTGCACATGCAATAAAATACTTCCCTGGTTAGTCCGTCCAACTGTGTGAAAGCAAAACTGTGGTTAATTATTAAGTACTACACATTTGGTATTTAGTCTTCAGCATGAAACATGAATGCTCAGACAGTAATGTTCTGATTGGGAAATTCTCCATCCAATAGAATATTGCCAGTGACTACGGACGCATCGCTGTGGGGCTCAACATAGGCAACACATGGCTTGTTAACAAATATATAGACTTTCCGAGAATTACAGATATTCGTGGCACGTTGCAGGAAATAGTCGGTGTAGCTGCGGGCTGAACGCAGACGGTCTACCGGGGAAGTTTGAAGTGCATTAGACTTGCATGAGCCAACCTTGCTTGTTCAGGTGTGTCAACCAATGATTACCAGAGGACATGATTTATGCAGCGATGATGCGAGAAAAGGAAATAAGTCTGACCCGACCCGCGGGTGCTTATAGAATCAGTGGTCACGTGGACATGGCTCCGATTCACAACGCATTTACGGTATCAGTACCGGTATAGCAATGGTTACACCGGTGGGGTCGCAATCACTCTGCATATCACCACAAACCGGCTCGTATACTGTCTATAGACAGCATGTACTTGGGGTACCATATGCATAGCGGCTGAGTAAACCTTGAATTTACTTTACTGTCATGGTTCGTTTTCGTTGATCGCGTTACTATCCAGGCCACTCCACCGCAACGTGCATATATTTAAATGCATTTTGAAGCGAAGTTTTCTTCAAGTACAATATGTTTACAAGATGTGAAAAGATTCAGATCTTGGTATTTCGACTATGAAATGAGACAATTTTGTTCTGTACAAGTATCATTTAAGTACCTGGATATCTCAAGCGCCTATCATGTCACATAATAGCTTACTGTCTACATGCACCAAGAATCCTTACTTCCTAGTTTGAAGTAACTTGACGAGAATAGACATAATGATTATATCAAATTAAGCGTGTCTCACTGATGTGATTGGGACATGGTGCTTGGTGAAAAGGGATGGTTATTATGGATGTTGTAGCAACTCATTACGTACCTATTATGACATTATTTATACTCCAAATCTTTCACGTCGGATTCCCAAAGATTTCGGTCAAGGTTGAATATTATCTTGAAAATCTCCATCACTTAGCTTTGTCTTGATTATATTTCATTCAACCAGCCAACATGTCTCAACGTCAACCTTTGGCGGTTGTTGGATATGCCTATAGGGCCCCCAATGTTGGACGCAAAGGCCTGTTCGAGTTCCTGGAGCAAGGTAAATCTGCCTGGTCTCGGGTGCCAGCGGACCGCTTCAATCATGATGCATACTACCATCCAGACAGTGAAAGAGCTGGCTTCATTTCCTCCCACGGGGGCCACTTCATGCCGGACGATCTCTACGCATTTGATCCTGCCTTTTTCAACATAAAGGCCGAGGAAGCCCGATCCATGGACCCGCAGCATCGCCTTTTGCTTGAATGTGCTTTTGAGGCCGCAGAGAGTGCTGGAATCTTGCTCAACGATCTGATGGGTGCCAACATCGGCGTTTTCGCCGCGAGTGACAAGTCTGAGTACTATAACTCGGCGGCACAAGATCTACCAACTGCATCTATTTTTACTGCTACAGGTGTGAACCCATGCATGTTCGCCAATCGATTGTCGTACTTCTTCGGCCTCACCGGGCCAAGTATTGCTGTCGATGCTGCATGCGCTTCAAGTTGTTCCGCAATCCATCAGGCATGTCAAGCCATTCTAGCTGGAGACTGCTCTGCAGCTTTCGTTGCTGGAGCCAAGACACTCAATGGCCCGAACCAGTGGATTGAATTGGACACTATGGGGTACGAAAAGAATCCCTTTGATTTACTAGTATGCTTAGAAGTTGGACTAAATTGACGATAGCACTTTATCCTCCGAGGGCAAATGCTTTTCATACGACAGTAGAGCTTCTGGTTTTGGTAGAGGAGAGGGTGCTGCATGCATAATCATCAGGCCACTGTCCGATGCGCTTGCCTCTGGTGACCCAGTGAGGGCGGTCATTCGCAACTCCGCCGGCAATCATTCAGGACGCACACAAGGGATATCCATGCCAGGTCGTGCTTCGCAGGAGAAGCTCCTTTCTCGATTGCACCAAGACATCGGACTGGATCCGAATGAAACGGCTTTTGTTGAGGTGAGAAACCGAATCGAGGTGACCCAACTGGTCCTAAATGCTGACTATGTAACTAGGGTCATGGTACCGGTACTCAGGTGGGGTAAGTTGGAAGTGTTGTGCAAGAATCAACAGTTGTTGTCTAATTCTCAAAGGCTAAGCAAAACAGTGATCCTATAGAAGCAGGGGCGATTTCAACAGTGGTAGCAAGTCATAGATCTTCGTCGAATCCTCTATACATTGGATCAGTTAAGTCCAACATCGGGTTAGTTCGATATGTAGCGTTGTGACGTCCAGACACAAACTGATACCCAGCTTTTAGCCACTTGGAAAATGCCAGCGGCCTCCTATCCGTCATCAAATGCATCATGATGTTGGAGCATGATATAATGCTACCCAATGCCAACTTCCAAGAGTTTAATTCGGATATCGAAGGACGAGATCGTCTGAAGGTATTGGTTTGCCCACCCGTGACCTCTACAATGACTAACTGAAACAGGTACTTACCGAGTCGGCACCTTGGCCATCGGATGCTACGAGGAGGGTATGCATCAGCAATTTCGGTTTGTCTAGCACTATCAGAACATATTAGTATGGCATCTTGCTGATCTGAGTCAGGATTTGGTGGAAGCAACGCGGCACTGTTGCTTGAAGCAGCCCCGAAATCTTCTACCCCGAACGGCAATGGAATTCTTCACCAGAGCAACGGCAGCCACCACAATAATGCAAATGGAGCATTTGGCCTTGTTGAGTACACAAAAAACAAACTTGGGTGGAACGGTAACGGATCGAAGTTTCCTGCCACAAGATTTCAAGGAGTGATCAATGGCCATGATGATGCTGAAATTGTGGAACGTTTGTTCCCTTTTTCAGCACGATCTCAAGTCAGTCTCGACGCATACATAATATCTTTCCGAGATTATTTAAACACAGCCTCCTCTTCCATCAGCAATTTCAATGATCTTGCATTCACACTTGGACAACGAAGGACCCACTTTCAGCACCGTAACGCCGTCAGTGCAAGCTCTATTGATGAGCTGAAACAGAAGCTGCAAACGTTTCCGCCGAGTGCTAAGTCTGTCTTGGCCAAAGACCAAACACTTGCCTTTGCATTCACGGGACAAGGAGCGCAGTATTTCCAGATGGGTAATAGTTTACGGGGGTACCCCAAATTTGAGGAATCAATGTCTGCGGCTGAGCAGCTTTTGAAGCAGCTTGGGGCTACGTGGTCGCTCACAGATGAGCTCAACAAGGGCGAACACGAATCCCGTATTGATGATGCTGAGATTAGCCAGCCGGCCTGCACAGCTATTCAGCTTGCGTTGGTCAATCTACTAAGACATTGGGGCATCATGCCAGCAGCAGTCGTTGGACATTCTAGCGGCGAGATCGCGGCCGCATACGCCGCAGACATACTAACTTTCGAGTCCGCCCTTGCAATCGCATATTTTCGGGGTATAGCTGCTGCGAAGATTCTCAGAGAGACTATTGGTGTACAAGGAGCTATGCTGGCCATTGGGGCGAATGCGGAACAGGCTGAGAAGCTATTTCCCAATGACGAATCTTATGCAGTCATCGCCGCAGTCAATAGTTACGGCAGCGTTACCATTTCAGGGGATCTTGCGGCCATTGAGAATATTCAAGAGAAAGCCCAGGACCTGGGCCTGTTTGTGCGAAGGTTGAAAACTGGCTTGGCGTACCATTCTCGTCATATGGAACGGGTGGCAGCCTCATACTCGGCATCCATTGAACCATACTGCTGCCTCAATTCAGATGTCAGTCAAGCATCACAAAATCCAGTCTTTGTCTCATCGGTAACTGGGAGAATCGAGTCTCCGGCTGCGATTGATACACAATATTGGGCTCAGAATCTCCTCCAGCCTGTCCAATACCTCACAGCTGTGGAAACCTTGTTCTCGGACTATCATGACAACAGGTCTGGGGATGTACTACCCAGTATACTGATTGAGATTGGTCCTCACTCAGCGCTACAGAATCCCTCAAAGGAAATCTTAGAGCGTCTACTCTCGAATGACACTGGAAAATCTCCATCACAGGTGACCTACATGCCCTCACTAGTACGCGGCAAGAATGCCACGACAGCTATTTTGGATCTCACTGCAAAACTTTACTCGAGGGGCGTGAGTGTCAAGTTTGAAGAAGTCAATCAAACGGAGCCGTCTCGCGTCTGTGTGGTCCATGATCTCCCACCCTATGAATGGAATAAAGCGGTCAGATACATTCACCAACCTCGCGTTGCAAAACAGAAATTGTTCGGCGGAAAAGCGTATAATGCACTCCTTGGCTGGGAGAGCCCTTACAAAGAAGGAGATGAGCAGGTATACCGAAATATTTTTTCTCTCGACGACCTTCCCTGGATGCGCGACCATGTAGTTGACGGGCAGATTCTTTTCCCCTTTACTGGATTCGTTTCCATAGCTATAGAAGCTTTCAAATCACTGAATGACACGGCATCGGGTGTGATCTTACGAGAGCTTCATGTTTCCACGAGTCTGGAGATTGACGGAGATAAACCTGCCGATATCACAACTAAGTTTCGCCCTGCCGCAACAGGAACCGGTTCTTTCTCTAAATTGGTCTGGAACTTCGAGATCATGTCTTGGACAGAGGTCCACGGATGGAAGCGGCACTCACATGGCTTCATCGAAGAAGAAAATAGCAGAGATCCCTTTTCAAGAAGTCCAACAGTTCAGGCTGCTTTGAGAGCACTCGAGAACCAAGAACTTCAAAAGCTCGACGTCGATAGTCAATATGCTCTCCTGCGGGAAAACAATGGCATCGCTTACGGTAAGACCTTTCGCAACACGATCGACTTCTGGCAAGCATCAGAACTGGTTGTACACACCATGGCGCTCCGAAAAATTGACCTTGAGGCGTATGGCTCCCCATCAAAGTCTCCATTTACAGTTGATCCACCGACTTTGGATACTATCTTCCATTCCCTCGGAGCCATACAAGAAATCTGTGGACCTCGGCCAATCCTTGTCCCTTCGTTCTGCTCTCAGTGGCGAATTGCCAGCGACATCCCTGCCAGTGCCGGACAAGAGTTCACTATTGTCAGCAGGCGTTTGAAATTTGACGAAAAAGCAAGCAGGATGCAGATGAACTTTGTTGTTTTTGACACTTCTGGCTTGTCTCCTAAGCCCGTAGCCGAGATTGGTCCGTTGACGCTGCAGTGCATCAGCCGCCCAGAAGCTACCAACCTGCGCCTTCCAGACACTTTCTCTTTCAAGAATGTGCCATACGTCAACCTCATGGACCCCGACGTTATTTCGAAGACACTCGAAGGGACACCGCCCCCTGAAAGTGAAATATCGCACCGGCATGATCTTGATCAAGCGGCCATCATTTTCCTTTCTCGCGCACTGGAGGCGGAGTATGACCTTTCCAACTTACCATCTCATTTTCCGAACTTCCTTGTGTGGGCTAAAGATGCATTGGCGGGCAACCCGTCGTCAACCCCTGAGGCCGATGTGCAAGCTCTGATAGACCGCATCTCAACTTCCAATGCCACCGGCGAACTTGTCTGTGCTATTGGCGAGCAGCTTCCCGCAATCCTCCGTGGAGAAAAGCAAGCACTCGAGATAATGTTAGAAGATGGCCTGCTCTGGCGTACATATGCCGAGAATGTCGCTGGAATCCGTGCAAACCAGGCACTGGCAGATTATGTTGCGTTACTGTCAGCAAACAATGCTGAGCTGAACATAATTGAACTTGGTGCTGGCACCGCGAGTGCCACACTACCGATACTTGATGGTATATGTCGAGCAACTAAGGGAGCTGCGACCAACTTCTCCTACGAATTCACAGACATCAGCGCAGGGTTTTTTGACAAGGCTCAAGCCAAGTTATCGCAATGGTCAGAGCATATAACATACAAAAAGTTGGATATAAGTCATGATCCACTGACACAAGGGTTCAAGGCCGAGTCATATGATGTAGTTCTGGCCAGCAATGTACTCCATGCCACATCGGATATTGTCTCAACATTGAGCAATGTCCGTAGCCTGCTTAAGCCTGGTGGAAAGATTCTCCTCATGGAGGGTGTGAATCGTCCACCGCCATCTTTTCTGCCATACGCACTACTTCCAGGGTGGTGGCTCTTTGAAGATAGTTATCGCACAGATGGGCCGCTACTCACAAAGGAGTTGTGGAACAGCGCTCTTTTGGCAAATGGATTCTCTGGTCTAGAGGGCCATGTGGATGATTACCCAGGGCAACCAGAAGGATTATTCTCAGCCTTGTGGTCGTCGCGTTCCGACCAAGAAGAAAGGATTCAGGCATGTGACGGTCCTATCACGATTTATCAGTGCTCTTCAGACGAGGAATCTCTAAGCTTCGCCAAGACTATTTCCAGTAGATTGAAAAGTCAATTCAGTACAACGCCGACAACCAGGGATTTGTCAGACATTGATAGAAAAGACGATGATCAGTTGTGTGTCATATTGGACAGTCAGCAGCGCAGCATCTTCAGCAATATGACGTCAGAAAACTTTTATGCGGTGAAGAACATCCTTATAAGGTCATCTCGACTGATTTGGGTCCTGCCAGACAAGGCTCATCCCGATGCCTCAATGATCAGAGGATTGCTACGTACCATCCGCCTCGAACTTCCCTTTAGCAAATTAATCTTGTTCGAAGCACCGTTGGACGGAGAAGCTGCAAAGTCGATTGGGAAGCTCGCAGACCACATAATGCGGGATCCGCACTCGTTGGTTCAGTCAGAGCAGGAGTACACGCTAATTGATGGGACAATTTGTGTTCCGCGACTTCAGCTAGTCGGAGCTGCGAAGGAAATTTTTGCTATGGAAGCTGGAGGTTTGATAAAGAGTGAGCAAAAGATCTGGCAAAAAGATACCGCGCTCGAAGTATCGGTCGACTTTGCTGGTAGTCTTGATTCTCTCTATTTACGGCGAAGCAATATCCTTGAAACAGATTTAGGTGATGAAGAAGTTATTGTTCGAGTCAAGGCGGCTGGGATTAACTTTATTGATCTTGTTACGGTCCTTGGGACTTTACCATGGAGTCCTCCTGGCCTTGAAGGAGCAGGCATCGTGGAACGCATTGGATCGCGCGTCAACGACTTGCAGATAGGTGATCGGGTATTTTATGCGATCGATAACGCCGGTATGGCTAACTTCGTACGCATGCCCGTCACATGCGCCCACAAAATCCCAGATAATCTAGATTTTGCTGAAGCTGCCTCGTTGCCAATCGCGTATAGCACAGCAATCATGAGCCTTCTCGATGTCGGTCGACTTCAGAAAGGAGAGAGCGTGCTCATTCACAGCGCGTCAGGGGCGGTCGGCCAGGCTTGTATTTCAATCGCCCAAAATGTAGGCGCTCAGATCTTTGCTACCGCAGGCACGCCGGAGAAACGAGAATTTCTTACCGAGAAGTATGGTATACCAAGCAACCAAATATTTACCAGCCGCACACCAGAATTCAAGGATGGAATCATGAAAGCTACTGAGAGCCAGGGTGTCGATATGGTCGTCAATTGTCTGAGTGAGCAGCTACTCCAGTATACTTGGGATTTGATTGCAGAGAACGGGAGATTCATCGAGATCGGGAAAAAGGATCTTCTCGATAATAGCTACCTACCTATGGGAAATTTCATCAAGAATGTAACATTCAGCGGTGTCGATGTGCGGAGGATCATCAGTACTCAACCAGCCAGGGTAAACAAGTGGCTTTCAACTATCACTCGTATGTTCCAAGAGGGGAAGATCGCGCCGATTCATCCGATCTCGAAAATAGCCGCATCTGAGGTCAAGATGGGCTTACGAAAATTACAGACTGGCCAGAACATAGGTAAGATTGTTGTTGTGATGGGACACGATGACCGCGTTTTAGCGGAGAGTTGTTCACCAATGAAGAGAGACAGCTCAACCTCAACATTGCTGCGACATGATGCAACCTACCTTATCGCGGGAGGTACTGGTGGTATCGGGAGGGCCTTGGTACCATGGATGATTGGCAGAGGCGCTAAAAACGTGGTCATTCTGGGTCGCAGTGCCTCGACAAACCCAAAGGTCCAAGAGATATTGAAGCAGTACGAGGGCACCGATGTTTGTGTCAGGGCAATTCCTTGTGATGCTGGCTCCCGTACAGATATGATTCGCGCTTCTCAAGCTATCAGCGACCTACCGAGAGTGCGTGGTGTTGTACATTCAGCGATATGTTTATCCGTAAGTCAGCAGAATCAGAACGTCAATTTTTCATTCGATACTGACAATTCATGAGGATTCCATCTTCGCCAATCTCGAATACAACGAATACCAACAAACAACAGGCTCTCGGGTTCAAGGCGCATGGCTTCTCCACGAGCTGTATCCCGACCTTGAATTCTTTGTAGCCCTTTCCGGTATGACCGGCATTGTCGGGAATAGTGGACAGTCAGTTTATACTGGTACATCGGTATGCTTCATTATTCGCTTAGTATTATTATCTTGATATTCTAGGCTCACATAAACTACAGACATTCCTGGAAGCGTTTGTCGATCATCGCCTTGCACTTGGACTTCCTGGAGCTGTTATACACTTGCCGCCGGTGGAAGATATTGGCCTTGTAGCGGAGCTCAATATCGGCGAGCGGCTAAGGAGCTCGATTGGTGGTATTCTCTCTGCTCAAGAAGTCTACACCCTAGTGGAAGGAGCCATACTTGGACCATCTGCTGGTCTTGGTGTTGGTGGCAAAAATCTATCATGGTCCTTGGTTCCGTCAACTGAAGTCGAAATGTTGCCTTGGGAGCGCTTTATGCCAATTTCAGTGATGAAGCGCCAAAGGATAGGACGCAATGGACTGAATCATTCACAGAGTGGCAAAGAAAATCGCCTGCAATTACTAAAGAGTGCCTCCCTCGATGGGCTTATGGATGCTTTGATGGATAAAGTCTCATCCATGACCGCTATGGACAAGGACGAGGTTACACCAACAAGGAGTTTGATTGATTATGGCCTGGACAGCTTGATCTCTCTCGAACTTCGTAACTGGATTCGACGTAACTTCGACGTCCACATGGAGACCAGTGATATCAATACATCAACAGACCTGAGGGCAATAGCGGACTATATACTTTCCCACAAGAAGACTGTGTCATGATCATTCAATCATTGAGACCAGAATATGTCTTGGCTGATAGTTATACAAGAAATCTTCCGTTAAAATTAGAGGAGTGATCTCTCGTCATACAATTAGACACTTTCGGTACATAGGGTGTTCCATATCATCATTACAAGTGCTCCAAGTACACTGGTATCCTGCCATCTGAAAATCACTTACGAATGTAAGAGTCGGTGGAGTTGTTGCCCAAAATTGGAAGCTGAACAATAAAAGGGGCGGCAAGTTTTACGACTTTCTCGCGATAATCTACGCAGCCGACTGGGGAAAAGGAATCGCCCCTATGAAGCTATAATCAACTTATCCAACCAAAGGACAATATCTGTACTCTTCTCACGGCATGCACTTCCGGAAATGTTGCCTGTGCTGCCGGCTCTAAGGTAGTGAATGGGTTTTGTGATTCGGCCGCCGAATAGTTTCTCCTGTCCACCAATCCTTGGGTGCGTGGTCTACGTCTCAAAGGCTGCGATAATAGATTCGACTGAAGTATTCTGCCTCGGTTGCAATTTGCTTCGTCCTTTGGATGTTTCCTGCATTCAGACCCTGTTCCACCGTAAGGGCGATCTTCACATAAACTACCTGCTTATCTCAGCCATCAGGTCAGCAACCACAACCATCGACAACCTAAAATTGGAGAAGTGTACGAAAAAGTTACGTGAAGGCTCATAACTGTCTAGCGGTGTGCCATGTAGTTCGCCATGAAGTTGTCCGATAACACAAGGGGCTTGAAACATATTTCATCACACCGGAGGATTTAACAACTTGCGTGAAGGATTGAAACCAAGGGCTGTTCCGAGAACCCTATTAGACACTAATGCGGAGCCAACCCGACTCTCTTGTGGCTTGCATAGTGATATAATGTAGTGAAACTGGACACATCACGAAATCTATCGCAAATCAGAGCTGCGGGGGCTGTCACTGTATGAATAGACTTAAGGACTAGCGCGGAGGATCCACTCTATCGGCTTTTCCGGGAATCATATTAAGCACTAACCTAGTCCAGTCTAGTCTAATGCGAAGCTAATGGGTTTCTCTGTGGCGGCTTGCATACAGTAGGCCGGAAATTTCCCCAAATATGTAGCTAATCAGAGTAGGGCTGGTTGTCACTGTACAGAATAGAATTTAGGCATTTAGCAGGCATCCAATCAACATCATCACCTCAATATCTAGTACGAAAGCTTGCCCTCCGTGAACCCTGTGCTCAGCATCTATTGTTTTAGAGTTCGAAACGCACTTTGGCATTACCTTGTAGGGAAATTGTAGAATTCTCTTGGCAGAAGGTGAAATTGGCTCGACTGGTCATATTCAGAGAGTTCACAGGTAATACATGCACAGTGGACAACAATTGGAAACCAAAAAGCATGTCAGCTATCGTAAGGTGTGTTTATAAAATTAATTACCATGCAGCTTTCGGTCTTCGCCCACAATTTTACTGGCACTGTTGGAGGTACTTTGTGCATGTGAAACCTGAAAAACATGATCATCATCCCGTAATGGAGTATGGCGCCGTCAATAACACTTCGCGGTGCTCTCATTGCCCTATCGACTAACTAGATTTGTCAACACAGATCTCATGTGGTATTCTCCCCGTTAGAGCTTGAGATCCCACCTCCCGTCATTTATTGGTAGCTTGTCGACGATGATGATCTTCTCGGGTATGGCATGCGCTGGCAACTGTGACTCTAATGTCTCATTCAATTGCTCCTCAACCATGTGCTTGACCTGCTGTAGTAATGGTTGGTTTGTTAGGCTATGAGACTCGCGGCCCTCATGATCGCTGGGGAATTGAAACAGAACCCTCCCTCGCCTGTTAACGCTGTACTTGTGAAAGATTGCATCAAGTCCGCCGCGCTGAGAATTTTGCCTGGCCCAGCTGATCTCGACCCGGTAGCCGGCTTGTTTGGCTATCTCTTGGAGATCGAGTGCAGATAGGGAAGGCTGGTTCTGAGCACGTTCCCTAATCGATGATAGCCAATTGTCCCCCTCTAGTGTAGTGCTTTGCTCGTAGTCCTCGAGCGAGTCCACCACATTTCTCTCAAAATTAGTTTTGCTGTAGGTAATGTTGCTCACAGCCAGGACTCTTGGGGAGGTCTCCAAACGCTGCAACAGATCTTTGTGGTCAAGACCTTGCTGGCTGAAGTCAATCCACTCATCGTTCCTGATGTTGTGGATATCTTGACGGTGGGTAGTTTGGTTCGGGCACCTCAAATGTAAGACCGCCGCGTAACGATAGCAGCTTAACTCGTTGGTTGCCCTCATCCTTTTGGGAATAATCTCCACGTGGTCGACAAGGTCTGGGAATCGATGCGGGAGGCAAGTGAAAAATGCTGGGTCGACAAGCAATTCTAGCTCTTGCTGTGCGATTTCCGCAATCTTTTCACGTAACAGTCTCTTGTTGACCTTCTGTCCCGCAGAGTAGAGCACTTTACTGACTGAAAACTCCTTGTAGAGTGCATATGACCGTATATCGCCAAAGAAAAGTGTCCGAACAGTCCCGAGCTGCAACACGCTCTCAACAACTTGAAGTAAATACTCTTGGCTGGGAAAGTATTGAGCAACAGAGTTGACGACAACTACGTCAGGGGAAGTAGGAAGTTTTAATGATCCTAGATCCGCCGCTGTCGCCTTGTACATGTGTATTCGGTGCACCCAACTAGGCCTCGATCTCGTCGTCTTGTCGATGAATTCAACTGCCGTTTGTGACATCTCTAGACCAACATAAGAGTGTGCATCATTGATGAGGTTGAAAAGGATCATGCCTGATCCAGTTCCTATCTCAAGAACGTGCAGTCCAGTACCCCCATCAAGTATTGCTGTGATGGTTTCGTCCAGCCACTCATTCATCTCCACTTTGTTAAGCTCACTTCCATCATACATGGATGTCCACCCGACGAAATCGCGGCCCATTGCATTTGGCTCGATGTCCTCCATCGCCAAATAGGTGTATCCATTCCAATAACTGTCCCAGAATTGAACACGTTGTAGCTCGTGGTCTTGTCTGTTCTGCTCTTTGGTCTCGTTGTGGTTTACGGTTGAGAGTCGCCGGAGTGTGACAAATGCAACAATCTCTGCGTCTTGATCAAGTTCCGCATGCCTCAACACCGCCAAAACATCCTCGACGGACTCTTGACTACGGATGATGTGCTCAATCTTTTTCAATTCATCCCATTCTTCTGACGCTTTGTTGCCAAGGCTGGTTGGACCCTCATTTGCATTAACGCCTTCTTCAGCGTACAGAGCAATGTGCTCTGTACCCTGTTGTCCGCTTATGATAAATGCATCTTCTACGGGCTTTTCCCTTGCGGTGGCAAGAGACGTACCAATGTCCCATAACTTCTGAATTCTTTGAGTATCCATGATGATCGGGGAGAACGGTAATTAGAAGACAGGGGTCTCTTAGTTGAATGGGCTTTGCCTACGCCTGGAGGTGAAGTTTGGGGGCCTTGGATATCTTCGTAGCTTGAATCAGGTATAGCACTGGAAGCAACCCCATCGCTGATGTATATATGCCAAAAGGTGTGGGTCGTGTCATGCATGCATCAGAAGCAGTTTTACCATTAGAGGGTTATGTTCTTGTACATCTTTCTTGTAATGTACCTATACTTGAATTTCGTTATTTTTGTATTATCGTCTTAGTGATAGACCACGCGACACTTGAGCGCGTACGACTTACACGAGAAAAAGAAAGTCAAGACGTTCCCTCATTTGAACAATACCAAAGCTCAAGACTGAGCCTAACCAGCTCCTAAGCATAACAGCATAGGCAAGATGTAGAGAGGTCAATGCACATACTAAGTTCTTGGACCGTTGTGGAGATCCGGTCAATTGGATTTGCTAATCCCTGCTGCAAAAGCAATTCGTAGGCCAAATCCTTGCGTGGTGTTTCTGTAGCTGCGTGTGCCTGGCAGCCCTGGTTTCTCCGCTTTGCCCTGCATAATTGTCTCACCCCATGACCCTTTTCGGCCTGCCGCGCATGTCACATCGGCAACCTTCGGTTGGAGCTGTATAACTGGGATAAGATGTCTTCGATGCTTTTAGGGTTAAATTAGAGGATAATGACTTTGCAGCCGCTGGGATTGATACCCCAGGGTCCGGCTGCTCGAAGTCACCCGAGGTAACACAACAATGCTTTTACGCTAGAGTATGTCAAGGCGTCCAACTTTATGGGAATTATGTATACGCCGGCTATAACCTTGGAGTTAGAGGCGATCTCAAGGCTGTCGGTCGACTTAAGAACCACACTAGTTTTGTACTGTCTCAACCGTTAACGGCCGGACCCGTGAGGATCAGGAGCGCCAGTCGGGGAACGAGAGTGTGCGGACTGTACACTAGGACAGGCGGGGTGTGTAGAAGAATACTCCCAAATGACCACGATTTCTCGTACTACTAGTACTATATTGACAAGCGGCTCGGAAAATTTGAGATGATACGCAAAGATGTGAAAGTTACGGATCTGTACTTATGCATTAGAAACGCTGCTATAAGGAGCTATTAGCGATACCATACTATTGAAGACTAGACCAGATTAGGTTAGTTTAGTCTAGTCTAGGTTAGCGACAAAAGGCAGTGCCAAGCTCGCTTAGCTGGCTAAAAAGGTTAGACACACCCCCGCACCCCAGATTTACCATAGAGACGTGGAAGGAAAGATGGCATACAGGCCATTTTGTTATTCAACACTGACCCATGAAAAGGCCCGCTTTATCCCAATAGCCAATAGGACTTCCAGCCCCTGGATGGCGCGATGACTGTCCTATTGGCATTTATAGCTTTAGACTGGCTGCATTCCCAGCGGCATAGATGATACGTACTATATAGCACCTGCAGGATGAATCCATAGGTGAAGTCAGAAAGCATTGATGTACTCAGTCAATAATAGCGCACAAAGTTCCCCGGTGGGCTTCAAGTGCCGGCGCTTGCTGGAACAGATTCAAGGCTTGCCTGAACTAAGTTGATCTTGTGTATAAACATATGAAAATTGCTGAGACATTTCTCACACCTTCAGGACATGAGAAATTTAAGTGCAAACCAATTCTCACCAAGCTCGTTCACCATCAATAGCTACGCACTTAATATCATGGGGCTTGCATGGGAATGGCAGATCTACCCTGCATTTTACTGGTCGGATTATATTCCCATTGCCACGTCTGCACTTATGCGCCGTCTAACTGCATGCCAATTGGTCAAAGATTCCGCTTCTCTCTCAAGGGTTGTCTTCTTAAAACAAGCGTTCAGTGAATCTGGGCGCGCTATTGTAGTCCTAGCAAAGTACCTTATAAATAGAGTGAGCTCCCGGGTGATCAAAATCTGGGAGACATGGATGCCTGATAGTCGGAGGAAGTAACTGTTCTGTCTTGTTAAAATGGAGAAACACACTGTGACCAATGTCGATGAGTAGATATCCCGTCTTCGATCATTCTTGTCAACCACCGCTGACTTGACTAGGATTTTGTTTGCTGCGAGGCAGGCCAGCAGGACATATGGTCTTAAAGGTGATGACGAATTCGTGCATACTCCTGACGGCGAGGTTCCAAACGAGTATGAGAGAAGCAAACTTCGCTTAGTTAGTGACAAGATACCGTTGTCAGCATGGCTAGTCGTAAGTAAATCATCCAGGTCGATGCTTATCAAGTGGCTGTCCTCTGGAATTCACAACAACGAATTTACCACCTACCAATCCCCCCCTTCAACAACCCAACCCAAAATACTTTTCTGGTTTTCTTTTTTGTTTCTTTCTCTCTCCCCAAAAAGGGACACGTCGCTTTGTTCCCAAATACATAGATAAAGCTGACTTATGACATCAGTGTATCGTCGAGACTGCAGAGCGCTTCTCGTACTACGGCACGGCCGGTCCCCTTCAGAACTACATGCAGAATCCTTATGGAAGTGGCCTAAGACCTGGAGCTCTTGGCTTGGGTCAAGCGAATGCCAGTAGCATCTGGTACGGTTTCAACCTCTACATGTTCGTCACCCCGCTTGTTGGTGGTGTTATTGCCGACTCTTGGCTCGGTCGCTATCGCACGATTTGTTGGGGAGTCGCGTTTCAGTTGGCTGGGCTTCTAGTACGTGAACTCGAAATCTTCAGTCTTCTTTGAAAGTTTGTTTCTCGATTTCTTTGTAGGGGTGGTCGGAAAGATCTCGAGGAGTCCGCCTCAGCAAGACTAGCTGACCTGCTGTCGGCGCACAGATAATCTTTTTGACCTCATTGCCGTACTCACTTGAGCATGGTGCGGGCCTTGGTGGCCTCATCGCCACACTCGTCCTCCTTGGCACCGCTTCCGGCGGTATTAAGTCTAACGTTTCGGGTAAGAAGAAACAGTGCATTGTGCCCCGCAGCCCCACATTTTGGCACATTTCCAACGTCCATAGCGTCTTTTAGCATTTCAAGTGTCCAGTACAGGTGCCAGCGCCATCGGACTGCCAGACCTTCCCTGCGGAAAATACAACTGACAGAGAGTTTTATAGTGATGATCTTTGACCAGTACCCTGAAACCAAGGCCAAGCTGCGTACCTTGAAATCTGGTGAAAGGGTTATTGTCGACCCTTTGATCACTATAACGAACATTTACATGGTCTTCTACAACTTGCTATGTATAGGATGCCTTTCGGGTATTCCGGCAACGTATCTTGAGCTCAGAGTCGGCTTCTGGGCCACATTTCTGCTAACTTTTTGCGTCTTTTGGATCTCAGTAGTTGGACTTGCGCTCGGTCGGAAAAAATATGGTTGGTCAGACCAGTGTCGCACGACTCCCGGCCGTCTACTGACATATAAAACAGTGAGAAACAAGCCTCAGCCAGTACTTGGGAAGGCTTTTCAAGCTCTGTGGATGGCCGTAAGAAATGGCTTCAATATGAACGCGGCCAAGCCTTCTTTCCAGGCTCGATTACGCCAAATCGGACGAAATGGCTCTTCCGAGCACATAACGTGGGGTTGGGACGATCGTTTTGTCGAGGAATTGAAACGTGGACTATATGCATGTCGAGTATTGTGGGACACCCCTTATCCAGTAAATGAGGCATTCACTAATGGCATAAATTTAGCATACCACTACCGATTGCTTGGCTGTGCTACCTCCAAGCAATGAACAATTTGGTCTCTCAAGCTGGAACGATGGAAACGCATGGACTTCCAAACGATATTCTTTACAACTTCCAATTGATCATCGAAATAGTAATAATTCAGGTTCTACGAACACTAGTATATCCTTTACTTCGTAATCGGCACATCAAGGTAAGATATCTTCGCATAAATATGCCATCCAAAATTGACCTAATAACTATAGCTCGGACCAATACGTCGTATTACCTTCGGATTTGCTGCCGGTGTCCTGGCTACTGCTTGGGCAGCCATCGTGCAGCATATTGTCTATTCAGCGGGGCCATGCTACGAGTTTCCACTCATGTGCGAGGCCAGTAAAAACGGTACCATACCGAATCAGGTCAACGTGATGTTGCAGTTTCCATGCTACGTATTGTTCGCCTTGAGTGAGGCAATGTTTTCCATCACCGCGGCCGAGTAGTAAGCAGCTTTTCCAACGCGCTTTCGCCTTGTCCAAAATTCTATAAGTATTGTCTGACAATGAAGTTCATAGTGCTTACACGAAAGCGCCGACGAGTATGAAGAGCGTGGTGTCGGCGCTCAACCTATTCACGGTCGCCGTAGCGAGCGCTTTGGGAATTGCTGTTTCGCGGGCAGCTGTGAACCCAGGTCTGACTATAATGTATTCCTCGCTTGCTGCCGTGTATTTTGTAGTCACCTGTTTATTTTGGTTCTTTTGTCGTGGATACGACGATCTAGAGGAACAATTCTTTGACCTTGATGCCAAGAGTAGTTCGCAAGCAAGTCAATGAAAAATTTGCAGAAGATATTGGCTCGGTACCTTAACAATATGGTTATCGTCAAACTTTGCTGGCCTTGGCCTTGGGCTTGATAGTGTAGAGCAGACCACAATCTATCTAACTTGGTGTACTACAAATCATCGATTACTTCTCGTCTATTTATTTTTGCTCCTCTAAATGTATCAAGCTTACTACAATTCGTACCATTTGGTGGGATCCATGCGTGAGTGGCTTCCTCTAAAACCCCCCACTGGCTTGCTCAGACTTTGGCCAACATTGCAATAGTGCGTGCTTTCTATACTGAGGCCTCTCCATGGATGAATCCTGAGCCAGAATAAACAAGTGGGGCCTATTTTCATGAAAGCATTCTGTTTACCGATCTACCCATAGCATAAATCTATATATTGGATAATTGGGTTCGTTCAGTTGGTGTGAGCATCAATGGGTTCTTTAAACCCCGGGCCGTTGCCATATAGCGCTACAAGGTATGTAAGAACGGCGAGATTGGACATGCCGGTCGCACGGGACTCTTAGCTCATGTGATCATTTCTACACGTGATGGTTAATTATCAAGGCAGAAGGCCGAGTCAAGGATTTTGACTTCGCATTAAATGCAAAGTTGCACGGTAACTTCTATCAGGTATCAATCAAAGCCGCAATTTGCGTGGCTGGAGGATAGCCTTCTCGGCGGCATAATGTTCTGGTCTGGTCCACGAGAATAACAGTCCAGCTTACTGAAGCAGGGCGGTGAGCCGTGTTGGTCCTGCGGTCACCTATGATCCGTCGCAGTCACACTTTTCCTCATTGGTCGCTCTGAGTGCTACTACTTACCATCCGAGGCATATATGCAGCCATCCATACTATGCACAGTTTTGACCAATTAGGCACCTTCTAGCACTTGATTGAATAAATCACAATAGTTTCAACTGCGTCAACTCAATCACCAATGAGGTTGCACCGGTGACTGGGCTCAGACGCGCCAAGCGAGCTCAGAGCAGACCATGGTGCTATGGCAGGGATAGCGACAGACACGAGACAAGCAAATGACACTTTCTGCATGTCGTATTCAGCCTCGACTACGGCTGACATGTACAGTATGATATATCTGTCCATGGTGGTGCATGCTGTCCACTTCGTAGAGCAAGCTCAATGACTAACTATGCAGGTCATTTTGAGTTTCATTTGTATGATAGTTCGTCACATAATATGAGTAGTCCAACCGTTTGTGCCGTGTGTGTCACATGTGCACGCCCAAAGACCGCAGTGGGGCAGGTGTTTTCCCAGGGGGTACATCTGTTCTTGTGCATAAAAGCATTGTGGAAAAGCACTATTACTTGCCCCGCTGCGATCAGTTATGCTCTATACCATAGTATGTCACATGTGCAGTGTATGTCACATGTGCAGTGTATATCACATGTGCAGTATATGTCACATTTGCAGTGTAAGCATAGGTGAAGTGTATGTCATCGGTGCAGGACGCTAGACATCAAACATGCATATGCACTTCGTAACAGATACGTATTGAGCTCTCTTTGTGAACTCAACATGTTAATGTATCCTAATAGAAATTGTACGAATATGCTACGAGGCCGGTGTGTTCGGTTGTGTCTCCTGCATCAACGGGTCTAGAACTACGCTCTAGAACTACGCCCTAATGCTGTATTTCAGTGGCAACTGCGAGCAATAGACTAAAGCAAACGAGACAACTTTGCTTGCATCCTGCCAATTCATTCCGTACTGCGAATGCAATTGTTTTTTCAATATGGGACTCCACGTATTCCACAAGCAATGAAGTCCGCGACATTTGTGCACCTTAATTATTTTGCTTCCACATCTGGACTTATCCCGATCCAGATGGGGTTTTACCCGCATCCCATGTCTTGCTTCTTCCATCTGGGTTAACAGCCATGTTTTCCCCCGAAAGCGTATGATCATATGCTACCTTGGGCTTTGCGAATAGCCAATTCTCAACTCGTTCATTCACTCATTCATACCAGATTAATCTTGATGGCGACACATCACCAAGTTCAATTAAATCTGGCTTTCTTCGATTCTCACCACGTCATAGTTCTAGAGCTAGCGTAGAGCTTAGTAAAATGTCTAATTTTTATGTGAAAGTAGCTTGATGGTACTCGGGGCTAACGTTATCATAAAATAGAACACGAAAACGTAGTGCTCTTATGACCGGATGGCTGGCTTTTGATTGGTGCTATTTTTTACTAAAGGAAGACCTTCTGCTTCTCTCCTTCTCTCTCTCCTTTTCTCTCTATCTCTCATCTCGATCACTAACTCTGGACCCTGAAACTCCTTCTATAACTTCTAAAAGAAGTCTAGCCGTATGTTAAAACATGGATCGAATGAGGTGGCTAGTGAAAAATCTCCCGTCAGCGGCAGCGGCAGTGGCTGTGACGTTGTTGCTCATTAGCGGCGACGGGGCGTTCGCCTCACCCTCGGACGCCAGAGCCACTATTTCAAAGGAACCTACAGACACCAATCCGCCCACAGTCTATGATCCGGACCACAACGTGACTTACGTCGGTGTTGCTCGTAATGGCATCGAAATCTTCCTCAACATCCCGTATGGTGCGGACACGAGCGGCGCGAATCGATTTCGGCCGCCGCAGCCGGCTACCGTACCATCGGGGTCCACTATCATCGCCCAGGCGTACGGTCCGGCCTGTCCACAGGCGCTCCGCAATTCCACAAACCCCTTGGAGTTGAGTCCCATAACTCAAGTGTCGGAAGACTGTCTGAACCTGAACGTGGCGCGGCCGAAGGGGCTAAAACCCTCAGACAATCTGCTGCCCGTCATGGTGTATATCCATGGTGGAAGCTATTTTGTGGGCTGGAATGGCGATTTGAGCATTGTGCCGGACGGGTTGGTACTACAGGCGGACGAAAACGGGACCCCGGTTATACATGTTGCCATGAATTACCGGCTAGGGGGTAAGTGAGGGTGGTCATTGCCAATCTCTCCTTCCCTTTCTTCCGTCACCAGACCCAACATGTTACACAGTAAGGGGGATGATTATGCTGATGCTAACCTTTTCGTGTACGTATAGTTTTTGGTTTTGCACAATCGGATGCCTTGCGCGCTGAAAAGTCCGAGAACGCTGCGCTCCGCGACCAACGACTCGCATTCGACTGGGTACGCCATAACATTGCATATTTCGGCGGAGACCCAAGCCGCGTTACGATTTTCGGGCAGTCGTCGGGTGGAGTGTCCGTGGGGCTGCACCTGCTTGCCTATGGCGGTACCCAGCCATTCCACTTCCATCAGGCCATCTGTCAATCGCAGGCGCTCGCACCGGGCATTACGGGTAACTTCACGCGCGACGCTATGCAGGCGGTTGTCGACGCGACGGGCTGCAACGTGACGGCCTTCGACAGCATCGAGACCGTAGCCTGCCTAAGGGAGCTTGATACTGAGGTACTGGAGAGCGCGGCGCTGGACACGTGGCAGTACGACAACGCGCACAATGGCGGCGACGTGTGGCTGCCCGTCGTAGACGGTGACTTCCTGCCCGCGGCGCCATCACAATTACTCCGGGATGGCCGGTTCGCGGCGGTCCCGGACGATGTGAACGCCATCATGATTGGCTGGTGCGACGACGACGTCAACCAGTTCATAGACCCAAGCATTGAGACGGCTGCGGACACACGGAGTTTCATCGGTGAATTCATTTCCGGTGTATCGTCCACAAACCTCGATACCCTGCTTGCGCTGTATCCGGTCTCAGATTTCGACGACGACCCAACTGCCGGGCTGAGCGCCGAGTTCTATCGCGCGGCGCGTATACAACGAGACGTCATGATGGTATGCCAACCGATCTACTTAGGCTCGAGCTTAGCCGCGGCTGTCAAGGATACTAGTGACGACGACGACTTCCGCGTGTATATTTACGACTGGAACCAAACGATGCTGGACACGGCGTTGCAGTCCTCGGAGAACGTGACAGGCCTGGGCTCTATCCACACGAGCGAGTTCGCCTACGTCTTCGGCAACCTAAGCCGCTACGACGTGGACGGCTACGCGTACGCGCCAACAGACGCGGACTGGGTGCTTGAGCAGCGCGCAAGCCGCAGCTGGGCGGCCTTCGCGACGACCGGGCGACCTGGTACATTGGCTGGCAAAATTGTGGACGACGACATCTTTCAAGGGTTTGAGCCGGGCTTAGATGCGGATGGAGAGCTATTGGGCGTTTACGTGATTGGAGGCCCGAACCAAGGGTGGGGCACGGTAGAGAGCGACGATGGCAGGTCTCCCAGCCCATGGAAGATTAGCGCACAGAAGTTGAGAGAGCGTTGTGCATTCCTCAATTCGGAAGAGATGATTGAAGGGATAAGATATTAGTCGTTTGGTTCATCTTTGTGTATTGTTCGTTCTTATTTGCTTTCTTTTCTTTTTTTCTCCTTTATCCTAACGTAGACAAATGACAAGAATCAATCGCTACAGAGAGCCGTTGCGTTTCCGGAGAAAGTACTTAAGTATTTAGAAGGACTGGTTTTATTTATTTACAGTGAGAAAGCGAGACTGAAACTTAAAAGCGGAGAAAAACTATAGAATTCGAGACATAAAACTCAAAGACATAAAACTATAACTTTAAACCAATTCACGCAGCAAATGTCCAGCCGTACGATACCATAACAATTGAGTAGCCACATATCTCTAGACTAGGCCAGAGTACCTAATTACAAGACCCTCCCTCAGTACTCATTAATGACATCCTTTCGTATCTCATATCTTTCCATGCTCTCGAGATAGTCGCCTCAAGACGTCTGCAGACTCTATTAGCGTGTCGCGCTGGTAGAATCTAGGACTACAGATAAAGGTAATGGCCCATTGATCTCTTTGTGGCTTCGCGAGAATATATATCGTTGGATCCGTATAAACCATTGGGCCTTCCACTATCTCGATCTGTGTCTCTGTTCCACGAGTTTGTAGCGACGGGTTTTCTTCTATGTTCTGGAATTGCAGTATGAAGCCGAATTGGTCGGTTGGATCCCAGGTAGTTGATACCTTCGCGATATCGCTCATCTGGCTTGCTTCGAAAGCCAAGCTGGCGATACGCTGGTTGTGTATGGACTGCAACACATCGTCGAATCTCGTATCTTCGTCAAACTTGACCCGTAGGGGAATGAAATTCACGCATGGTCCGGCGATCTCCAATTGATGGGGAGACATGGTGCGGCCCGATACAAGCACTCCGACTGTAACGTCGCTTAATCCTGTAAGTTTCGAGATTGCCAATGCGGTTATGGCAAAAAAGGCGTTCGCGGCAGAAAATTTGCTGTGGGGTGCATCTATTTTAACGGTATGCTCGGTCATCATTGATGACGGGCTGGGTGTGTCAAAGCTTAGCCGGGTAAGGGTGGAACCAGCCAGGAGATTCTGCCAGAAGGGGGCCGATAGCTTGCGTTGGTCTTTCATACTCTGTATGTACGCCGAGAATGACATGAGGGGAGGTGGTGCATTTTTGTCAAGAAATGCGGCCAGCGAGGTGACTATCTGTGTCAGCATGAAACCATCGTACAGTGCGTGGCTCAGACGCATTGCTAGTCGTGTCGGTTCGCCAGGGCACTGAAAGATGGCCATTCTGAAATCGCACTTTCCAAACTCTAGCACCGAATTGTCATTCGCGAACCACCGTTGTGACGCTTCCGCAGGGCACCCAGCTGTGTGGATTGAAATATTTAACGGAATATTCTTGGGGATAACCTGCAGGTATTCGTCATCGATATGTACGAATATAGCGCGGAGCATATCAATGTGCTGCCATAATTGGTTGCAAGCGTTTAGGAGCTGCTCGGGCTGGACGGCGGGAGGGACGTCGAAAAAGAATTGCTGGGTTCTACCAAGCGGAGTTGAAGCGGCGTATTTGATACACCCCTCTTGAAAGTCCGTAATGGGAAGAACATCCACGATTGTTGTGTCCTGAGAATAGTGACTACGGAGTATGGAGTGGATCCGGTCCATATTAACCCGTACAAGAGAGAAGGGTGTGGGTTCGTGGCTGGCGACACTTTGAGTGGTAATTTTGCCAGCCATGTCCCTTAGATGAGGATGGCGGAAGACGTCGGCTATATTAAGATTCAGACCCCTATTCCGGGCAGCAGCCACCAGACGCATGGCACTGACAGAATCACCGCCGATGCGCGAAAAGTTATCGGTGACGGAGATACTGTTCGCGTCAATGGGCAAGACGGAGGCCCAAAGCTGCTGGAGCTGCCTCTCGGCCTCTGTGCTTGGTTCGTGACGGGGCCCATGGGAACGAGCTGGATTCAAGTCGGCCAGCTGCTCGAAGGTCATGGCAGCGACGAGGTCCCGCAGGCGGCGGCGGTCGGTCTTACCGGTGCCGGTCAGGTCAATATTAGATATGGGGATATAGGCGGTGGGTATCATGTGGACAGGTAGATTCTGTGAAAGACTTTCTTCGATCGAGGTGATCAGCGCGACGAGGGTGGCGTTTCTCGTCGCCTCGTCCGCGTTAGCGGACTCGCCGATAGCCAGAAAGGCAGCAAGCAGCGGTGCCGTGCTCCCTGATGGCCGTACAACGTCAGCCACGACAGCGATATCCGGGTGAGCAGCGAGGCATTGGCGCAAGTGGTGTTCTACATCGCCGAGCTCAACGCGCTGGCCGCGGATTTTGACCTGGTCGTCCTTACGGCCAATGAAGTGGAGGGAGCCATCAGGGTTGTAGCGCACGAGATCGCCGGTACGATACAAGCGGCCACGACGACCAGGCACTCCTGGTCCCCCTCGAAGGAGCCACGGTGGGTCTTCGATGAAGGCTGCGGCAGTCTTTTCTGGATCTCCTAAGTACCCCTTGCCAACGATCGGCCCTTCCAGCCAGAGCTCTCCGGTCTCGCCGACTGCCACCAGTCCGGAACCATCCGTGCAGACGATCCAGGTGATGGCACCACAGCCTTGACCGATTCCCGGTTCTGCGTCATCTCCTGGTAATATTGCTGATACTGTGCTTGTAATGGTGCATTCAGCAGGCCCGTAAGGATTGCGGATGGTCGAGCAGTTAATCCAGTCTATCACGTCCGACGCGCCAACTCGCTCGCCACCAAAAACAATCGTTCGTATACTTGGTACCTCTGCCGGTGAAATCTGTCGTGCGACAGTTGGTGTTAAATCAAGGTAGTTCGCTCGCAAGTCTCTAATTGCAGCACAAATATCGTTCCTCCGTTGGTTCTCGCTAGGAATGCACATGCAACCCCCGGCAGTCAGTGTATGCAATGCGTCCGACCAAGCAACATCGAAAGCGTACGAGGCGAAATCAAACACGCGACACGTTGAATCAAATCCGAGAGCGACTTGTTGGTGGGCGATAGCGCTACTAAAGTTGGCGTGCGTGATGATAGCTCCCTTTGGGTTACCAGTGCTGCCGGAGGTGAACACGACGTACAGGATATTGTCGGGTTTGATGGTGGCTGGTTGGAATTTGTGGTCAGGAGGAACCTCTCGCATTAGAGTCTCAGGGACAAGTACTGTGCTTTCCGGTTCCTCCGTACGTGGTAACCGGTGCACCAGGGGCTCGTTAGTCACAGAAGAAAGAATGACCCGGTGAGAGGAGTATGCAAAAGCCTGCTGGACGATAGTGCGTAGGCGAGCCTCGGGGTGGGTGGTGTCCATGGCGACGGAGGCGGCGCCCGCCTTCATGACGCCAAGCATGGCCACCGGCGCCCACATAGATTTCTCGAAGCAGAGCGGTATAATATCACCATGACCAACGCCGGCATTGACTAGGTAAGTTGCCAGTGCGTCAGAGATGGTGTCAAGCTCGCGGTAAGTTAGGTCGCCGTCCCAGGCGCAGACAGCGGGAGCGTTCGGCTGTTGGTGGACAATGTCGGCGATCAGGTGGTGCACGCAGGCGTGGATGGTTTCGGGCACGTCAGCGTTCCAATGCCAAATGTCGGCAAGCTCTTTCTGGGTAATAGTTTCAACTTCTTCTATCTTCTTTTTTGGAGGCACGTCGTTGCAAAGCTGCCGCACGGCCTTTTGGAGCTTACATGCCCAGCTTCGCCCTGCTTCAGGATCACCAACATGTACGCAGTGATCTACTGAAACCCGTACACCACTGGATCCTTCCTCAAAGAAGCGAACAACTAGCCCATAGCGGGAATCCCTGTTGTCAACACCTTCATAGACCCCGTTCAATTCCTCTCTGCCGGCCAAGGTAGAAATATGTGTGCTTTCTCCCTCAAGCCATTGCTCAAACACCAATAGTACATTTGTACATAGCGGGCACAATGACTGTGTCTCTATTCGGCCGATGCGCGTCGAGGAATCGTTATCAGTGCTCCCGTCTTCAAGTTCCTTGGCGAGTTGCCAGATGTTTTCATCCACTTTGAAGTTCTCCCGTATGAAGTTACACTTCCCCCTACTCTCTATCATAATATCGGGCTTCCCCATGTCGTGCCCGGCAAATGCCAACCAGGCGGCCATTGCCGCCACCGGCATAGGAGTCTTCATGTACGATCCCATGATCTTACGAAAAGGTTTGGCAGTCAGATTATATAAAAAATAAAACGTTGTATTCCCAGTCTTGAGATAACAAAGACCATTCGGCTATTTAATTAAAGTGCCTAGCTTGAATCTGCTTGAAGGATGACGGAGAAAAAAAGTTAATAAATAGTAAAACAAGAGCTAATACCAGTTGTGTTACCCCCCGTGTACGTGACTGGAGAATGACTGGAGTATTGATGTACACAGTGTAAAATGTGCCCAAACAGCAAAAGTGAAACTTTGGTGCGTCGTTTGCATTCGTATCAACAGTTGTGTAACGAATTAACTCTTTTAATTGCCCTTGTGAGATAGTAACTTTTGTACTAAGTTTACAAGGGGCTGACACGGCCGCCCTGCTTGATCCTTGATAGGGCAATTAAATTATGCGTGCAACGACAGTATCACAGAATATTAGTTAAAATAACACAGCGACGATGCTGTACCGTGTAGATTACATGTCTACTACGTCATTTCCAGTTATCTTCGATCTAAGAATAGCCAGCTGAAGAAAAGCAATCAAAATAGAAAGGCTTGACCTATAATGTTTGAGCTAAGTCATATTCAAGTAACAAATTCGCTTCGTGGCGTAACTAACCATATCTAGTCGGAACAACTATTCATTGCAAGGTTCAGCAGAGATTCAAAATTGCGGCTCTGATTACGCCACCTCATGGTTGTGTTTCCACCAAAAGACGCCCATCATGCCGGAGTTGTGATAGATTACTAAACCATATTCTTCCTTCTTCTGCTTGGACTTAATACTGGCTCGAGAGCGTTTTTAGCGTTCTATATTTCCGCCGCCAGCGCCTAACGATAAGGACGATAACTTTCATTCTGCCGGCTTTTTCACTTGTCAAGCAAGCACTTCTGATAAAATGGACTTATCATTGATGAGCTCAATCTTTGCTCTTAATTTGACAGTATTGTTGTCAATTGCTGGCATCATTAGAGTTGGATTTTACGTCCGTAAACCCAAGGACCAGTCTGTAACTTATGCAGACTACGATGGAGAAAGTACGTCAGCATCGCAGAAACACTTTAATTCGAGGTTTCCGAAGATATTGTTGGTGTTGCTGTCTATCGCAGGTCTTGGGGTGAATCTTGGCTTGCTCTTAATCGATAGAGCACGGCCGAAAAGCGAAGTCGTGGTAAACTGGCTCACCACCACGACATGGGTAAGAACCTGGATTGGATGCGCCTATTTCAAGATGGCAGAATTCTGATTGGCAATCTAGGTACTTTTAACAATGCAGTCGGTCCTTGTGACGTCTTTACGGATTCCTATCATTGCTTTTGAACTGGGTTTACTCTTGTCATTGTCAAGCCTGGTCCTCGTGGCAGCATCGGTAACCAAGGACCGCAATGCCCTTACTTCTATTATAAGGGATCGCTCCCTAGTCTCGTGTCTAAGGATCAGTGGAATGATTATCCTAATCGGCCAGAGCTTAGGCGCCTTGTGCATTCCGAGACGGCCAGACGTCTTTTGTGATGGTCGACTAGTCGACAGACGTTATACCGAGTCATTTTTGAGTCGTATAACATGGAGCTGGTGCGCAGAGACGTTTCAAAACCGGTCAGAGAAAGATCATCTTAATATACGCGATCTACCAGGACCGAATTGTGTTATCCGAGCAAAGGACACGACTTCGGAATGGCAGGGCTCTGAATCAGGGAGGTCACTCTCAAAATCGATTATATTTTCTCACCGATTCAAATTCGCACAACAGTGGGCTTTGACGATTATAGGCTCACTCCTCGATTTTGCACCACAGTGGTGCGTCCTAAAGTTTCTCCGGATAATTGAGCAAAGAGATATTCGGGGAACACCGGAAGATGATGCATGGCCTTGGGTGATCGGAATTGCTCTTACCATGATGGCACAGTCTTGGACCGAATCATACTCTTCTTGGATTTCATCAGCAGAACTATGCATCCCCGTTCGAACACAACTGTCGTCACTCATCTTTGAGAAGGCTACACGGCGGCAGAAACCCAAAGCTGGGGGGGCTAGCAGTGAAACCCAGGCCGCTCAGAGCAAAAGCACCAAAGAGAAGGAGTTCAGTGCAGATGGAGACAATTTTTCGACTACAAACTTATTTAGTGCCGATGTGCGCCGTGTTTCTGACTTCTGTTCGTTTAACAGGTATCTTCCTGGAAGCCTATGCAAGCTCGCGTTATCTTGGATATTCTTGTTCCACCTCCTCGGGTGGCAGCCTCTGCTCTCTGGACTCTGTGCTATGCTAGCTATCACACCAATTAATGCTCTTTACAGTCGCAAATACGCTGAGGTTCAAGGTCGACTGATGACGGCAAGAGACGAGAAGATGAGGTTTGTGTCCGAGGCACTTTCAGGCCTCCGATTTATCAAGTTTTCGGCTCTTGAACATGAATGGGAGGAAAGAATAAATCGACTTAGGGATATGGAAGTGTCTCGCATCAGTGAGGCATTCTGGTACGACACAGTTCTGAGCGGTTGTTGGATCGCCAGCCCCATTATGCTGGCAACAGTGTGCCTCGGTGTTTATGCATCTATCCATGGCACCCTAAGCCCCTCGGTCGCGTTCGTCAGTCTCGGGGTTTTTGATAGTCTCCAAGTTGCGTTGTCTTTTGTCCCGGAACTTATGACCATGTTCTATGATGCGCGAATTTCCTCAAGACGAATCGACGCCTATCTACAGTGTCCAGGGATTGAAAAATCCACCCAAGCTGCCGAAGAAATCGCTTTCAATAACGCTACGATTGCCTGGCCAGTTGACTCGGGCGACCGACTTTCCGACGTTTTCATGCTCCGAAACGTGACAGTCTGCTTCCCTCAAGGTGAATTGTCGATCATATCAGGTCAAACCGGCGCCGGCAAGAGCCTTATGCTTGCAGCTATCCTCGGAGATGTCGAAGTATTGGCCGGGTCGGTAAGAGTTCCTAAGCAACCAGATTTAAATCGGCCTCAGCTTCAACATGCTATGACTAGACGATGGATCATCCCGAACAGTATCGCATTTGTCGCCCAGACAGCGTGGCTTGAAAATAAAACCATCAAGGAGAATATTCAATTCGGCCTCCCTTATCACGAGGAACGGTACCGTAAAACAATCAGTGTTTGCGCTCTGGAGGCCGACTTGGCTATGATGGAAGACGGTGACAACACAGAGATAGGACCAAACGGTACCAATCTTAGTGGCGGACAAAAGTGTCGAATCGCGATTGCCCGGGCGATATACTCGAGGGCTGGCATCCTCGTTCTCGACGACATCTTTAGTGCCGTTGATGTTCACGTTGGGCGCCAAATCCTTGTGGACTGCCTCAATGGTGAACTTGGTGTTGGAAGAACCAGGATCATAGCGACACACCACATTGAGCTTTGCAGACCCTATGCCCGGTATATTTGCCATCTTTCCGACGGGACTGTCAATGTTATTCCTACAAACACATCTGATCAACTTACCCAGGCTGGTTTCACCTCTTCCAACACAGGCTTTCAGCGTTGGGTACCAAACTACGAGACAGTGGCCCAGAGACCGTCCACAGGACCTCACCCAAAAGCTTTTGTCCAAGAAGAGACTCAGTCACACGGTGCCACAAAAAGGCACGTTTACCTAGCGTTCCTGGAGGCCAGCGGAGGTCGATTAATTTGGTGCTGTATGCTCTCGCTTTATGTACTGGTTCAAGCCCTTATTATAGGCAAGTCATGGTGGCTGAGAACCTGGACAGGATCATACAAGCGAAGCGCTCACGAACTAGACGACCCCGTACGCACCTCCACGATCCCCGCCGCAATGCAACATAACCTATTTGCCGAGAATGTACAAATAACCAGCTTATCAGGCTATAGTTTGAATCTCTACCTCGGCGTATATATTTTGTTGTCCCTTGTGAGTGCGTTTCTGGGCACGGTAAAACTGTACTACATGTTCTTCAGCTCAGTCAAAGCTTCAAAGGAGTTGTTCAGGAAGCTCAATTTCGCTGTTCTTCGAGCTCCTCTACGCTGGCTTGATACGGTACCAAGAGGCAGAGTTCTAAATCGATATACCGCTGATTTTCATAGCATCGATACCCATCTTGCACGTTACTTGGAATTTGGACTATCATCATTCTTCAACATTATCGGCATAATCTTGACTGGTCTTTTTGTCTCCCCAGCCATCTTGGCCTTAGCCACAATCTTAATACTTGCTAGTGTATCCTACGCCAGGTACTACCTCCAATGTGCACGACCTATCAAGCGCCTCGAGAGTGTAATGGGGTCGCCGGTGTTTGAGCATTTCGACTCTACTCTATGCGGTGTCGCCACAATCCGTGCCTTTGCAAAAGTCAACGACTATATCAGACAAATGGATAAGAAACTCGATGACTGGGCAGTGACTACTTGGCACCTAGAGGTCTTCAAAGAGTGGATGGCCTGGCGTATAACGGCCCTTGGCTCGGTGTTCGCCAGTTGTGTCGCTCTTGTCATCTGGTTGAATCCTGATGTGGATGCAGCATTAGCTGGATTTGCACTAGCCTTCTCGTTAGAAATTTCAAAAGCAATACTGTAGGATACTTCAAGCGTTCTGATTCGATCTGATTGCTGACTTCGTAATTTAGGTTAATCGTCGATTGTTATACAAATGTTGAACTGGAGATGAACGCGGTGGAACGTATCGTGGAATTTTCTGAAATCCCGACTGAAAATCTAGGAGGATCAGATGTTCCGGCGGCGTGGCCTTCGGAAGGGCGGATTGAAGTTCAGGACTTGGTTATCAGTTACGCAACAGATACGCAGCCAGTTTTGAAAGGAATATCCTTTAGCATCAATTCGAACGAGCGAATTGGTGTTGTAGGCCGAACTGGAGCAGGTAAATCGACGCTGGCACTGGCTCTTTTCAGGTTTCTGGAGGCTGAGTCTGGCTCTATCATACTTGACGGCATCGATATCGCCAAGATCAGACTGTCTGATCTGCGGTCACGGTTGGCTATCATACCGCAAGACCCGAAGCTGTTCTCTGGTACTTTGAGGTCGAATCTGGATCCTCTTGATCAGTATACTGATGACGAACTGTTTGAGTGCCTCCGCCGGGCGCAGATAAATCCGGAGCATCCGCTAGACGCTACGAGTTCGCCTACCCCTGTTAATGGTAACCTCCACGAGAACAGCAGTGTTTTCGGCAGTCTCTACACCTATGTGTCTGAAAGCGGTTTAAATCTGTCCCAAGGTCAGAGACAGCTTGTTTGCCTTGCGCGCGCGATCGTTGGTAAACCTAAGGTCATGGTGCTTGATGAGGCGACTAGCGCAGTGGACATGACGACCGACACCCTGATCCAAGCTTCCATACGCAAGGAATTTCAAGACTGCACATTGATAGTCATTGCACATCGATTAAGTACAGTTGCCGACTTTGACCGAATCCTGGTCCTGAGCGATGGAAACATGGCGGAGTACGGTACACCGAAAGAGTTGTGGGAACTAGGTAAGGGGGTTGGTGTCTTTAGGGACATGTGTGAAAACAGTGGCGATAAGGACAAACTTAGGGACATATGTTTGAACAAGACATACGCCGCTGATGCGGCCTGAATCATTGTGGGTAGCAGTCAGACGTTTAAGTTAAGCCTGTGTAGACTAGTGGAGTCTGATGCATTGGATTCGTTTACTTCGGTATATACGAACCTTCAAACAAACAACTTGCAACCTGGTGAAGGCGTCAATATCACAATGAGATGGCCAACTTCCGTCATTGTATAGCTTCACAGTGATTTTCAAGTGAAACTCTCCCCGTTCTTTCAATATCGAGCGATCTGCCCCCGATTAAAGGAGGGTTTGGAGCTGAGCACCATAAGCTAGGATTCAACTTAAAGCAGCCAGACAGCATCGCTCATGGGATTGTAACAACACGCGCTATTTTCATGCCGCTTGCGGGGCAGACTACAACTAGCACGCGATTCTTTCCTAGGAAGAAGCTTTTAAGAAACTCACAGTGAGCTTGTATATGATCACCATATTGCAGTGATGGTAGTGCTATGAGAATACTAACTCAGAAGACTTGGTTACGGCACAAGACTCTATGGCTGGGTTGGATCCTTATATTGTGCCAGGTACCCAAGATTCTACCCTGCAGGTGTAATATGTGTGCTCTAACATTTTCAGCTCCAAAAATAACAACGTAGGTACTGTTCTTCTCTTCAACGAGACAAAATTGATCATCACGCTTAAACTCGTAAGCCACATACATATCAAAGCAATCCTAGACTAGTGTATATTTAATGACCAATTGCACCTAGTACATTTAACTAATAAGTGAGTGATCAACCAAGCTCATCATACATGCCAACCTATTGTGCAACAGAGTTTGAAGTGCTTGTTGGCAACAACTCAACGGATATGAGCTGCTTTATTCATTATTTCTTATCAATGAAACAAATTTGACCAACATACGTTTTGCCGATTACTGCGTATGCATGCTACGCCAACGGATAGAGGAGACGGCGATGACATGTAGTGGAGTCATGCACAGAGAATGGCAGGCCAGGGCAGGCAAGACGCGGTCTATCCATTGAACCCCTCCCCCACACACGATGTCGCGTCGATTCCTTGGTATCACAACCGTATTACGATAGGACAGTGGGCAAGAGGGTGAAGAAAAAGGCAGTAAAAAAAGCCAACAGAAAACGTTTAGCGACAGGCGATAGCTGCTACCACGACGGATCACCAGATGAGAAGGCTACTGCCGTAAGCGTCCATGTTGGCTCGAGCGTTGCAGAGGTTGTTTGTTGTTGTAATAAGGGCTCCTGGATTAGCAGTCTGAAGAGGATTTGAGTTGAGTAAACATTGGCGGCAAAGCCAACATACATGCTTTGAAGACGAACCACCATCCGGCGCAGGCGCTCGCCAACGATAGGGCAAAATCAAGGCCTATGGTTGCGGAAAATAAGTAGCTATAGCTTGTGAGGCCTGCCCAGATACTCTGTAGCATTATCCTACGTTCACTCAGCCTTATTGTCATTTCAAAGGTTTTTAGGATTCGCAAGCTCAGGGGGGATGGCACGGGTATCTATATACCGGCAGCTAGAACCGTACACAGCTTTCGAGTTGCGCAACGAACCAACCATATTTGTACATATATACCCTAGAAAATATGGTAGGTAAGTTGTAATGCTTAGGGAGCATACCTGTGTAACCGCCGATAAGAACACATTTCCTAACCCCGCAGCTAGAGTGTCAATTCGTAGGCGTGATAGTTTAAAAGATAAAGGACTAAAAGGGCTAGTATAGCGTAGTTTCTCGTTTTTGACGGACGGGTCTGATGCGATAGGTATAGTGATCTCGGTATGATGTATGTAATAGCAACGGTAACAAGAAGGATTTACGCCTCAACAGGTGAGGCATGCTCCCAGGTTCTAGGTGTCGTGAAACATCAAGTGGCTATGTATGGGGGAAAATAGGTGAGGATCACGCGTGCGAACACCAAAAGCCGGCTTCTGCTCGATATACCAGCAACTTGAATAGATCTACTGAAATAAAAGCGTCATAGAATCAATTGGGACTGAGTTTGGCTGCACAAAGTCTCTAAACTGCTCTTGCAAGTGCGGGAAAAAGACGCCGGGAATAGTGTCAAACTGTGGAGGGACTGATTGCAATGACGGCAGTCTGACCAGATCGAACATTAGAAAGCAATTGGATTACACATGCATTGATCTTCTGAACTGATATTACCAATGTTCGTTCATAGCCTTCACGCGGGGACCGGGCAGGATTCGTCCTGGCAAACGTCGGTGGGGCTGCTTCGACATATCCCCGGTAAGCAGGTTTAGTTTGCCTAAAATCATAACACTCCCTTCCTTTGAGGTTCTCGCCGGAATTCTGGCATAGTCTAGTGTAGTATCCATATACCCACCTAGATTCTCCCTGCACTGGAACCTGTCAGTGCCACCGCAATGACATTCTTCACGTGGCCACTACAATACAGCTTCTTACAATACCTGCGCCTCAAGGTGACGGTTACGCTGCTGCGAGCCATGGATAGCATCACTGGTCACAACAGAACAGGCGCGATAAGGCACTCATTCCCGGCAACGTACACTGTGAAGTTGTCAAGATACCATCGCGCGAGTCTAAACGCTATATCGTAACAAACGTCTATTACCTGTCCGTTTACCCGATTACCGACCTAGCGATGGCACCCGAGGAGAAGAAGGTGCCTCATCCGATCAAAGCCCACCCTTTATGGGCTTTGTATCTGTTTAACAAATGCTATGCGCCTGATCAACAGTCACGAAAATCCCCTGCTGTCTCCCCGTATTACACTGATGCGGAGGAGTTCTCACTGATGACAGCTTTCGTAACTTGCGAAGGGGGTACCCTACGACCTGAAGCCAACCAACTAGCGGAGATGCTCCAAATACAGAAGAATAACTCACAGAATGTGGTGTTTCACGTGTTAGAGGGAGTTCCCCATGGACTTGACAAAGGCGCCGAAGATGGCACACTAGAATGGGTCCGGCGCGAAGAGGCCTATAGCTTGGCAATAAAGCTCTTAAAGGAAGTTTTCGATAGGTAGTCCGAACACGTAATGACAATTAAATAACATTTAAAAACTCATTTACACCCCTAGAAGTGCTCTGCTATAAGCACCTTACATTTACGTTTAGATATTTAAAAGTCCTGAAGATTTTATCGTCCTTAAGCTCCGGTATAAGGACATTATTGTTCCAGGCCATTCAAACCAGGCTTTCAATATTGGAACTTCTACCAAATCCCTATCTGGATGATCTCCTAGGAAGTTATCATCCATAAACATGCCCGTTTCTACAAGATTTGTAACCAAATAATTTCTCATGAAGCCATTGCTTCCAAGTAGGAGTTCGGGCGTGCTATTTGCGTCGAGGCTTTTTAATAGATGCCACCGTATGAAGGTATCTTGAATCATGTTTACTACATATATGCCCTGCTTATGATTATACCATGTTAATTACGACAACGTTTGATACAGCGTTTGATGCGACTTCGCCTTTACGAAGGCTTCAGAGAGCACAGGCCCCCATCGGGTCATTAGTGCTCCAACAAGGCTACTCCGACCATCCTCTCCAGATCCTACTATCGACTAACCTTAGGGCTCCTGATGATGGCTATGGGCCCTAAAGGATATGATACAAGGGTATCTCAGGATGGTCCGGGCCACACTGAGACAGCACTCTCTATACTCTACTGGCCAATTCACTGTAAGGCACTTAAGAGGCTGGCACTTTGAAGAGACTACAAAGCCAACCATACGGAACGTTGCCACAGAATCGCTGCTTTCTGTTTATCGAAACTCTAAGACACATACGAAGGACTGGCATAGGACGCCGAGCCAGAATAACCCAGGCCCGTCCATTTGACGGCAGGTTCATTAGTCGCGCATCAGATCTACAAATGGTGTGAAGTATACATTGGCATCATTTTGCGGCTTGCATATATGGTGCAACGGCCGACAATTTTTCTGCCGAGGCTACTGCTATATCGCGTTGCAAATCAGCGGGTGTATCGGAGTCGGGCACGTCTACGGCGTAGGGCGCTTCTATTCCATGTATGACTGGTAACAAAAGTAGAAGGCTGGTGTAAATAGAGAAGCTAATTATCAAATCTAAATACACATGCGAATTGGCGCGATCAACTTTAAGAAAAGTTATTAACTGAAAATAAGGAATAAAATGTTAACATTAAGTTATTGCTAGAACACAAACGTGTATAGAATTCGAGATGTTCCGCCCTTTCTTTCTACCGTTTAACCCTCTGTAAGAGCTTTCGATTAGTCCTCCGCTCGATGTGGTGCGCTAAAGTTGGACGAAGTTTCACCAAGGTCCCTCAGCCTAATGAAGCTATCTTGTTTACTATGCTTTCTAAAACCTGCACTCCCTGAATTTGCAGGATCGGTGGTCCTCCTGTCTGACCTGTAGCCGGTTTTTTGATTATGTGCTCTGAGGCAGGTAAGAAGTGGCGCAAGTACAGGGAGACTGACACATATGATTGCCAAATTCGGTTCGACTGTTGAGAGGAAATCGGCGTATACCATTGTGCCAGTCAGGTCGTTCTTCAGATCGACACTGAGGAGCGAAACAATCCGGCAAATGCCGAAGACGGAAGTTCTGCAAAAATATTTTAGGACTGTTCATATCTCAAGTTGCAAAAGAGTTTTGGGGGGTTTCGATCTGCTCAAACGTACAAGATTCCGATGAGGAAGACAGCCAGAACTCCCACTTTTGCTCTGGTCTTCATCTGAAGATGCCAAATAGTCCATATAGGTAGGAAAAAGATGATCACATCAGTAATGATGTTGAAAGCTCCAATTGCGATGAAGCTGCCGACTTGGTCGCCACATGTTCCGGGAACGGTGGGATCGTAGGTTGCAGCAAATGGGCGACAAATCAGGAATACTTGGAGGATGTTGCCGATGGACCAGAGTGATACGAAAGCAATTACGACCTTAGTAGCTCGTTTCAGACTGTGGCTGGCGAACATTCGGAGATAGAAGAATAAGACTGAGAGCTTGATCGAACTTATCGCGGTTGCGTATATGAGTTCGTACGCCACGAGGAGCTACCGGTAGCAGTGATAAGCAGCCAAGCCAGCCACGGCCATTTTGCGACTACTTACCCGAAGGATCACGCCAATATTAGCGACCGTTTCTGTGAGGGGATATCCAATGCCCATTGGTAGCCCTAAGAAAGAGCCTATTAGTCCATGTTCGAAAAGTTTGAAAGGGGAGAGGCCGGCGTACACAAGCCCTGGATCACCAGCATGCCTACTCCTTGAGGCTGTGGTTATATTTAGCGGAAAACGTCAAGTTTGGACGTTTGGGTATGTACAGCAGAAATCAAGATGAGGACATCATCCCAGCCCAGACCTGTCTTGAACGCAAGCCTTATGTAGACGCGAAGAGCGACAGCGCAAACCGCTAGGGATGCCAAAATGCAGTTGACAATGAAGTGGGCCTTGACTATTGACAGGACTGGGAATTCCACCACGGCGAGCATTTTGTATCTTCCCAGACGGCGCTAGTACGCCCTCTCGAGATGTATGCGCACTGGAGAAACCTGATAAATATGTTCAACAGAAAGAACGAGTCGTTACACTTGGTGGAATTAAAAGGAGAATGCATCTGAATAACACTACAAATAAATTCGATCAAGAAAAACACTGGTGGGGTGCTTAAAATCCTTAACGGTACCCCCGGCAGTTCATGCATCATCTTATCCATTGATTCTGAGCATCCTTCTAAGGACGATCGGGACTTTAGAGGTTAGACTGGGATTGGAAATCTGGTAGCGAAATGCCGATAGCTATGATCTGATGTTGTGTTATCGTGCTTACACAAGGAATAGGCAAAGCTACCTACGAGTCAACCTTCGACCATTGTCACGATCCTGTACTGTCGAGAAACGAATCTCGGTCCTACTCGCTAGCTACTAGGGAAAGGAGTTTTATTTAACTATTCGCACCAAAATTCTTCTTGTGGCCTCCGATCCACTAGGCACACGAAGCAGATACCTGGGCCCGGGCGGTCGTTATCGTCATTGCCATCGCCGCCGCCGCTGCCTCTCCCTGGCCAGGGTTGCGGCTCTGCCCCCTGTTTCAACTCATTAGATCAGATCAGTCCTATGAACCGATTGAGAAATTAATGAAGGCACCCATGGCCGCGAGCCGTTTTTGTACTGAAGGCGGTCCCGCGATCCCGGGGTTTGGACCAATCAGCTAAGCATCCTGTATGTATGATCTGATAGAAAATTTGATGCGAGGGCTCTTACTGGATGAAAAAATTATCTGTATCAGAATTGTACGATGTCACCTTACATAGTACTTCAAGTCATAATATAATTAGTTTGTAGAGGGCTTAGCTGCACGTATTCCAACGTCAACGACCCCTCAGACCCTGGAGTAAGTCAAGTTGTCTCGCAGACCAGAAATAGTGTATAGGCTAAGTTGGTAATAACAAGCGGGTGTTCTAAGTGTCCAGTTCTTTTTCAGTCGTCTTCGAGTCGTCTGCGAGCCATCTGCTGTGCACTGTTTCTCAGCCGATCTGCACACCAGTGGCGGAAACTGCCCACTAGACAGGACCCCTGGCAGCTTGGCATATCAACCATTCCTTATTTGGCTCTAGACCGAGGCACTAATCCAGGCACCCATGGCGCCGGGCCGCTTCCGCTGAGGCTGCGTCTAAGCTATTTCGGTTCGTGCCTAGTATGGTTAATGCGCTGCTAGCCCAGCCCACATCTACAGGATCAGGACCCGAGTGCGGCGCATGGCGGCAATCAGACAAATCATGTCAGCGCCGACCGTTACTTGACAAGGGGGTTCGAGGTGCAAGCCCACACCTGTCTGTGAAAGGATTGCAAAAGGTGGAGTTTTTTCGCCTGCAAGCAATGGTTCGACATATGGACCCCGCCGATGGATTGCGGGCAATAGTTTGCAAACAAAGTGAACAGGACGGGACGGACGATCGAATGACAGGATCTAATATCTCATATCTTACCCTACGGAACATGAACCAGCCCCAAAATGGTTATATGTGCCGAACGTTGTGATATCTGTCACATGGTTGAAGCAAGGCGTTACACATTGCTGGGTCCAAAGATCGCCGGGTATAAAATTAGCTTATCAGCCTTTGTTCCCTAAATCGATCCGTGATCAACAAGGTGTATTTCGGTCTTCCTTCTTACTAGAGATCAGTTAATAACGTTTCTCCTTGTCATTCCAGTTGGCGTCCTTGCGATCCTTCAGCTTTTGCCAGATTTGTGGCCCATTCGCAATGGCAGAGTTTAACGACCAATTCGACTACATTGTAGTCGGCGGCGGTACTGCAGGTCTTGTCGTGGCCTCGCGGCTGAGCGAGGACCCCCAGGTCAGTGTGCTTGTGCTTGAGGCCGGCCCCGACAACTCCAGCGACCCTTTTGTTTTGACGCCGGGTTTGGTCGCTGCCCAATACGGAAATGACAAATACGACTGGAATTTTATTTCAGAGCCCCAGGTACGCGCAGCGCAGTCAGTGCCTACGCCTGCATATACTCATCGTGAAATATAGCCGAATCTGAACAACCGGAGGGTCAACCAGGCGCGCGGTCGTCAGCTTGGCGGTTCCTCGGCACTCAATTTCAATATGGTGCTGTACCCGTCGCAGGCCAATATTGATGCCTGGGAGCAGCTCGGTAATGAAGGCTGGTCGTACAGTAGTCTCCAGCCTTACTTCAGAAAGTTCGGCAACACCCATGCGCCACCTGTCTCGGCACTAGAGAATTTGGACATGGGGAGGTACCATGACGACTCTCTCAATGGAAGTGGTCCTATTCATGTTTCCTTTGGAGAGGGACTCACCAAGGCATTCAACGGTGCTTGGATGGAAACCTTCAGCGCCCTGGGCCTTCAGAACAACGCGGATCCAAGAACCGGAAAGGCTTTGGGTGCCTTTCAAAACCCGTCCAGTATTGATCCAAGCACCAAGACTAGAAGTTTCGCCGCTACAGCGTACCTGACTTCCGATGTCCGGCAGCGATCAAACCTGACGATCCGTTGCAGCTCCGTGGTCGAAAAGGTTTTGCTAAAGCAGAGAGGGGATACGGTCGTGGCCACCGGGGTGGAGATCCTTATTGATGGACGCACCCAGAGCATCGGAGCCCGTTCCGAAGTTATAGTCGCTGCAGGAGCTCTCCAAACTCCGCAGATCTTGGAACTATCTGGAATCGGCAACGGTCAGCTGCTGAAAGACCACGGCATTCCTGTGGTAATTGACAATCCCAATGTGGGGGAGAATCTGCAGGACCACGCCATTGTCATGCAAAGCTTTGAGGTAGCTGACGGTGTGCCTTCTGGGGACGTGCTTAGGAACCCTGAAGTCCTTAACGCCTTGATACAGCTCTATAGTACTAGCGGTGGAGAAGGCCCCTTAGGACAGAGCACTATAAGCGTGGCGTACAGCCCATGGTCTGACGGCTCTGGCCCGCTATCTGCCCAGGCCAAAAAGGCCTCGCTAGATGCTCACCTCTCTGAGTTCGACCCATTGACATCCGACCAAGCCCGTGCGGTTCGTGCAATCATCGAGGACCCCAGCGAGCCGGCTGTGCAGTATCTCCTCTTCCCTTCCCAAGTCACGGTGAATGATGAACCAGCCCACATGGCCGAGGTCATCACTCCCTCGCGACCGGAAAACTACATCACTGTCATGACGATACTTAATCACCCATTCTCCCGTGGCTCAGTGCACATAACATCGGCTGATGTGCAAAAGAAGCCTTCGTTTGACCCTAAGTTTATGTCTCACCCACTTGATATGCAGGTCCTAGCACAGAATGTCGAGTTCGTGGAGCGGATCGTCTCGACCGAGCCGTTCAAGTCGATTCTGAAGCGTGGTGGTAAGCGAATACCCGAAATTGTCGCTAGCGACCTTGACAAGGCCAAGGAGATTGTCCGCCGCAACCAGATTTCCGTCTTCCATGTGTCGGGCAGCTGTGCCATGTTGCCCAAGGCAAAAGGCGGTGTCGTAAACGAGCGGCTGATTGTTTATGGCACCAGCAATGTTCGTATTGTCGATGCCAGTGTGTTCCCGCTTGAGCCGCTCGGCAACATCCAGACCACGGTGTATGCTGTTGCTGAAAAGGCTGCCGATATGATCAAAGAGGACCGCAAGGCCGCTACTGCTTGAGATATTCATATAGAAAGAGGAGTAACTTTGGAAATATAATATCATTAGATCATGGTACTTATTTCGACTAGACTAGTACAAAATGTCAAGTCATCAACCCAACATAAATACCTAGTTCAGAGCTGAGTTTTGCAAAACGATGGCACAACTGCGATTTTGCTGCCCCCATTCTTTTTGGGTTACTTTTCAACAATGTAGATACCGTATTATCTTGGGGGAGCTTCAGCCTTCCAACAATGCAGTGTTTTACCATGCATTGCCCCATGACTAATACAATACCATTGTGATTATTCACTAAAGCGGTGGGCACCATTACCGGTCAACCTACGTGCAACCCGGTAACAACAGGATCACTCGATAAGATCTCTCTCCGAATCTTTGATCAGCACACGGAGCCCTTCGCGTGCAGACACTTATGGATAACTGCTACAAAACCAACTGTTTTGAGGTGGAGCGCGGTCACAGTGACGATTTACAGTCATAAGAACACTCAAGATTTTGAAGAATCTAATTGACACTACAGCTAACCAGCAGCCCATAATTTCACCACAAACGGGCACGTTGAGGCGACAGGTATAATATAATAAATTATATGCCGCGATGGCTCCACTGGGTGTGTGAGAAACTCCGCCAATATTTGAACCTCAATTCTGCTCTGAATGTGCACAACCAAGATCCTGCTAAATTAAATACGGATTGCCCCTGCATCGTGTTCCTGAAGATGTGATAAGTATCGAGGCTCCTTGACTCATTCCACAGGCACTGTTACAATCGACTTGCTCCAAGCGATTACCGGTACATCCTGTCAGAAGGTGTATATAATATTGCGATACGCGCTAATGGCTATTGTCTAGGTTCCACCAGATCTCATAACCACATGGTGTGTGCAAGATCCTGCAGACCTCACACGTTGGCACCGTGACAGAAAGCTCAATGGAGAACCAGTTGTTTCCAATATTCATAACGCAGGTCGCGACTCCGAGCTTTTCGTTCCCACCGGCTCTCGTATAAGTGCATCTGGAGGAGGGATAATCAGATGTCTTCAAAGGACTAACGGAAGTTGCCTGGGGCCGTGAGCTAGCAGATTACGGCAGGGACGTGCATAGGCTGGAGGCTATCGCCGACATAATTAAAAAGTAGGTTTTACTCAATGTGGGACTATGACTAGCACGGAGTCTACAAATAGTAAACTTTTGACTTGGATAGGCCGTAATCTCTTGGAGGGACTGACAGACCACACGGGATTACTTTCGTGCCTTTCTTGGCTTCACCAAGGTAGTATTGGCCAAGACTTTGGACAAGGGCGACCTGGACGCCCTGCGTCAGGTAGCGATATCGTGCATAAGAGCCGGTGATCACAGTCCCTTTTTAATGACATCGAACATGAATGGCCGCACCCCAGTCTTTACCAAATACTTATGAGGAGATTTGGATACCTTGATATCTAGTATGCGTTGGTAGTAGGTATTTATTGGCAAGACACCAGTGTTCTCGCCATGTCTCAACTCAAGTGTCAAGTCGTGCCACTACACTGCGTTTGAACCTGGATGGATTGCCCGCGCTTCCAAAAGTGTAGGTAAAGCAGCTGAAAAGAAACCTTTCAAATCGAGATTCCTCCAGGCATTAGCTGTACCTCTAAGTGGACGTGATGGCTCTCTTCTGAATAGTCTGGTTGAATACTTGCAATGATAGCTCTGGCTCTGTTCAGATATGTTTAACACCCATCAGTCACCAATTATTCAGAGCGACATAACGACTTACGGTAAAATGGTATTTGATGGCCAGCGTCATAGACCTGCAACCAGCTCAGGTTATCCACAGTCTTGAACAGTCCCTTTTCCACGCCGTTAACAGTATAAGGTATCAACTCAGCAGAATTAAACCCGGTCTGTCCATCCCACTCGAGCGCATTAGCGGCCTGGTAGTTACCCAGGTAGTTGCAGGTGTAATCAGCATCACCAGCCCAAAGCAGCACTTGTACACCTGTTGCAAGGATCTCACCCAGCGTGGGCAGCATAGAGCGCGCCCCGTCGCCGGTCACACCGAAGCCCGCAGAAATGCACTGCGTGTAGTTATTCTGCGCTCCAATGGCGGCCTGAATGTCGGACCTGTACAAGTAGGCCCGGAAGTTGGGCGGAGGCTGTCCTGGGTCGCTGCTTGAATTGGCGCGCACGTCGTACGTGGAGAAGTTTGGGGCAACCTCACGGACAGCGGAACTGATGGAACACGAGCTTGAAGCCGCAGTGCAGGCCGCGTTGGTCTGAAGGAGGGTGCAGTTCTGCACTGCCGGCGTGCACACTTCGTCCAGCTCCACCTGCAGCTGGGCGGCATAGGTGCTGTTGATGAGTTGTCTGTACTTGTTGCGTAGGCCGAAGTCTATGTAGGCCTGTTCACTGACGACCTCATCAAACCAGCCGTTATTGATGCCTAGCGCGACCAAGTCGATCTTGGTACCAGAGATAGTGCCATTCTCAATCTCGCCGTTCTTCTCCTGGATGTAACGCGAGAACTCAGGGCCATACATACCGCCGTAACTCTCAGTGAAGATGGCAAAGTCTCGAGACTCGTACTGAGGGAACTCTGAAAAGAATGCCTGGAGCAGGATCCACACGTAAGGAGCAGCCGTCCATGTCGAGTTAACCGCGTTGGTGCCATACGAGAAACCCACCCCAATAGGCTGGTCGATGTACAGCATATTGGCCACGTTGTTCCAGCTGTTCTTGTTCAGCGTGGGCTCCGTCGCATCACCGACGAACTCGCACGGTCCGTCCTCGCGGAAAACTGCTTGCATAGAACTGCATCCGGGGCCGCCGTTGAACCAGGCTACGACGGGATCTGTCTGAGGGTTGTTGCGTGACTCGAAGAACCAGAACCACATGTTCATGTTCTCGCCCGTCTGCACGTAGCCCGAGTACGTGTTAACCCCGGGCGTCGTCTCGCAGATGCCAGAGTTTTTGACGTACGAGACGGTCGAGTTGGTGTCGTGATGCACGAACACATTGTATGTGACACCACTTCGTTCCTCGAAATGCCGCCTGTTGGCTGCGAGCACAGGAGCAAAGTTGGCCAGCACCAAGAGGGACAAGGTCTCCACCGGTAGTATCCACATTATTTTGCACTTCTCCAAGTATATAGAACGGGAAGAGTGGGTGAGACGACGCCAAGTAGGACAGCTTTAAAGATGGAGATGATGGTGAGACACGGAAACACGAACTTAAAATCTAACGGGCCTGACATGTCGAGTTCTTATAGCCGTACAAATGGATACTAGTCGACGCAAATTATGAGACTAGCAAGCAGCTTCAGTAACAGTCTCCAATTTTGCTCAGTCTTCGGTATACATGTCGGGTAGGACCCGTGATTGACCCTGCTGTCGAACAAGCTCAGGGGTTACACTGAGAGTTTTATGTGGGCCTTTCCATCCGTACCTTGCATGCCAGCACTGTGCCATTCCGGGTGAAAATGGTGACATGTTACAATGCACGCAATGCATGCGTTGCAGAGGTTTTCTTTTATTTCTTTTTTCATGTTCCAGTTTCTTTTTCAAACAAGATACATTCAAAAAGAATGAATGCCGACAAGACTCGGTGTAGCGAATTTCCCGTGCAGATTTATCACATCAGCATCTTGAGATATGTGGTGGACTTCGTCAATTTGTGAGACTGAATGAACAAGCCCCTCGACATGCACGATGTCGATTATACACTCGAGTATGAACTCCCAATTGAAAAGGGTTGTGTTGCCTAAAACCATGGTTTTAGCTTGCCCACTCACTGCATTCCACCAAACGATTATACTACCGTACAGGTAAAAAGAAATTCCACTTTCCTTCTGGCAAACTGAGTATGGCATTGGCCAAGGCCCTATGATAATTGAGATTCAAGTGTTTGCAGATTGTTGGGGAAGGGAAGAAGTGTGATGGTGTTGAGGTGTAGTATTGATGCCAAGCCTTGGATAAAAACAGTGGTGGATATGTCCCCGTGAGTTTTCCTTCTATTATGCAGAGCTCCCAGACCAGAATAATCAGAAGGACTATATTGAAGAAGGGGGGGTGGGGGCTTTTTCGATTGTGTTATTGCCCATTGTAATCGGTTGTGGAGACCGTTCTAGATACGACAGATATGCACGATATACACAAACTAACAAGTGGATATGACATGTGATGTCAACTACCCAATGACAATCTAAACCGATACCGAGACTTGTCAAGATTTGAGAGACTCAGATATCTCCGTCAACTCGAATACAAATTACGTATTATGGGGTGAGGAGTTCTACTCGGAAAGGAGGCGCTGATATTCTGGCGATCTTAACCAAAAATGTTTTTATTTTTAAAAAATCTTTTTACAATAATGGATGCATGCTGTAAGCGAAGTTCTTAGCTCCATTCGCTATCGCACCATAAGCCGGGTGTATGGCGGAATTTGGAGTATTGCACAACGTTACGTTGTGCAGCCCGAGACAACCCGCTCAGAATTCTTTCGTTGCCTGACAATAATCTGTATTGTGCTAGACTAGTCGGACCCCGCAATTCGTCTTTTAGCACAGGGCAGGAGCTGCAAGCAGGAGAATGTACACTGCTCCACTCTATAGATGCTTCCAAGGTCAAACTTAAGCACGGTAACGAATTAAGGAAATATCGAAAATTTCTCTAAATATCGAAGTCGTATAAACACACCAAAGCTGAACTAAACTTGATATACCACACTTGAAATTTTGTTATGTGGTATGAAAAGCGTTCACGGAAAATGTCCCCTTTGGTGGAAAGCGCGAGAGAAGCGTGCATTCTCCCACTCGCAGCTCCTGAGGGTCGTGATGGTACAGTGGGCATAGGAGAAATCTGGTCTAAGTTATTGCACCATATCCCAACGCTATAGTCTAGAAATCCCTGTAGATAGCCCCGCAATTATTCAAAATTCCACGGTCAGATTCCGCTTTCCACTTGAGTCAAGCATACTGCGTGGACCAGGACTGAATATCGTAGATGATCATAGCAGAAATTATGTCTTACGAAACGGTCCATAGATGGAAATTAGTTGCATGCTTACATGGTAGAATGGGTTGTAGTCGGATTGAAATACTGTAACATCGATGTACGGCGATCAATTGTAGACATGCAGACCCACTTGTTCACGTTATGAGATATCGCTATCACTACCGAGAAGGTGGCTTGTGGGGGGGGGGGGGGGGGGGGGGCGCAGCTCTGAATGCAACAAATGATATATATGCTTGAATTAACCCATTTTCTGTTTCTTTTTCTTCTCTTGGTCTTTCTACCCCAATAGATGTCTGATTATGATTAGGGCCGGCGTGACGATGTCGACTTCAAAGTTTCGGTCCAGGCCCGAACAGACATAGGTGCTACTCATGGACTCTAGCCTCGGCAACTAGGATTTTAGGTCCAGCGATCGGATTAATTGGCGGTGGGACTCTTGCCGCTGTTTCCGTCGCTCCTCAGACTTCGGATAGGCAAGTTGTTTGACCAAATCCGAGGATGACCGCACGTGGGTCACGATCTGTGAGGATGCTGTATTACTGTCTACGCGGTACTAGGCCTCCGCATTTATATCGAAAAAAAAAAGGATGCCCTGCTTCAGAGGATCCACGTCGAAATGAATGATCTTAGCTTCGGGGTTAGGCCAGCAGAGCGTGTTGACCCAGGGCACGTAGCAGTCGACGACAAGCAGCAGATCTGCTGCTTTAGTGCTATCTTGGACAACTTATGCCATGCCCGCCCGGCGGGGTGATCTGCAGGGAAACACATGTCACAGCCTCCGGTATCTAGCACCTTCAGTCGTTGAACGAGGTCAGCCAGTTCCACGAAGACTTTTGGGGTGGCATGCTTTTTTCCGCTTAGCCCATGATATCTAGTAGTCTGGCCGCTTCAATCAGCGGCCAGGCAACAAATGCAACAGCATCGGAGGGAAGGGCCGAAACTTGGACTAGGCTTTACTACTTGGGCTTGAGGCTGTAGGGCTCAGTTATTTCCTCCATAACATCACGAGCGCCCATCAGGTACACCAGACCCCTAGATTCGCTCATAGCGAACTGTAAAGCCTCTCAGACTATCGACTTCACGTTCTTGCCAGTCTCAATCTCGCCGATATATCGGCAATACTGCGCAACTTTCTAATTTTGATTGGGAACATCCTACAGCCAGGAAATTCAAAGTTAGCCTAGGTTAGTTATACGTTATTATGAGGTGGAGAACAAAGAGCTTTGCTGGTACTTTACATGCATTCAGTGTGGGAGCCAGTCAGCTCGCCCGTGATTGTGTAAGGAGACAAGCTAGCAAAAATGAGCACAGGGACTCTTCCAGTGGATGCATCGTGAATAACTGCTTCCATACCCGATATACCAACGTCGACATATACGATAACACATTGAGGCTCATTTAGTGACACGCGCATAACCATCAGCCGTGGATAGCACGACCATTTCGTTTGGGCACGTGAAACTTTTGGGAAAGTCTCAGAGTGATCTTGTTGGTCCTTGCCCATAACCTCCAAGATGCTTTGATGATCAGATCCAATGGTCAACAAAACAGTTCTTGACCCTGACCTGTTCTTTCAATTTACCTCCTGTACTTAATTCGTTCGGCATTCAAAACTCTAGAATAAATCACCTCAGCCAGGGTCTTAAAGAAAGCGAATGATGTCGTATGCCTAAGAGTTCTAGTCAGTATGCCTAGACATCTCGAAGAAATGGCTCCCGAAAGATGATTGACATACATTTTGGTTTGCAGATAACAGCCTGTCGGTCAATGCGACGTTTCTTTTCGTCTCTTATTTACAATTCTGTAACTTTCTTCACTTCTCCGATGCTACCTATTCCGAACTACGTCGACATATTATATATAAATGCAGGTCTAGCTCGTACTGGGAGCTTGTTCGTTAGGAGTTGACCAATCGGGATTCACCCAAATCACAGGGATATTAAAGTATGACATTCTTTCTTTTCTTTCAAAGAGGTCACAGCGTACTTACGATACCACATTTAGTGTATGTCAGGCATATGTTTCCAAATACAGTGGACAAGAAGTCACGCGAAGGAGAGACTTGTGTAGTGAAAGTTGTCAACACTCAAAGCTTTCAAGCGGCTTGTTTGATACAAAGGGAGAATAGCGATTCAACCCAAGAGAATAACGTTTATGCATATGTATCCACGACTGCTCAGGAAGGGTGATATAATAACATCTTGAGGGTGGAGCACCAGGCGGGAATGGCTATATGCTCAAGTGAATGAAGTGGCACCTACTGAATGCACCGGCCGCAACCTCTCATCGACCCCTGCCAATGAGACTGATAAGTTTACATGAGGGCAAAGGGGTCTCATCATGTATCCTTGTAAATCGGTCTGAAAATCTGCATCTGTCTTTGAGAACGATGTGCGCTATATAACAGTTGTTTGATTAGATGACACACCAAGCCCTACGTGATCCTTCGAAAATCCTTGGAAGTTCGTGAGGTCCATCTAACCTAGATGACATTCAACCGTGGGACCCTGAAAGCCAACGCGTCGACAAACCTCAGTAAGACTAGTCTAGCTCGACACTTTTTTTTCTTTGGCACAGTCATGTGCATTGTGTGAACTAGAACACATTTAACAACATAAATTTGTGTGAGGCATTTTTAAGAGCATCTGATTGGCTTCGGAAACTGTCAGTGCGGAACGTTTGCTTACTTTTGCATCCAGCAGATTTCAGCAGGGCGAAGCACAGCCCCAATTGAAAAATTGATGTTGAGGTCGGATCTGAAGTACCAAGCACTCTTGCATTTCACAAGTTCGCCGACACGATGGAAGTTTTGGTGCAGTCGCCAGTGGCGTCACCCTTGATGCAGAGAGAAGACCTTCGGAGCAGGAACTGCAGTTGATTAAGCAACCGAAGGGTTCAAATGGATTTCGAAAGCGTTCAACTATTTCCGGATTCAAACCTCTAAATCTGAGAAATTCATGGCGGAAGCATTGAGAAACTCAAAATGGGTTATCCGTGACAGGAAGAAGTTCCTAGAATTAATTCACGAAGTGGGAATTCTCATTGACAGTCCTCCAAACATCACCACAGAGTTTTCCAACAACACGAGTCTCGTAAAGACACTCCAAACACGAATCGGCAGAATAACAGACTCTATGCGCTTTGTATGACCGCAACTGTTTGTAAAGACCTACATCCTGGCATTGCGGATGCGGCATCATGTCAGGTCGATTGCCTCTCAACGATATTGGGATAGCGAAGAGATATTTCAGACTGGAACGCCTTAATTGGGAGTGAAGAAGAAAGCGCCACGATTTTTTTCGATCTCGAAGATCTTACGATTACAGAACTAAAACATTCGGTGGTGAGATCGAGGTAAGAAATTGCTGTTCTGAGACGGTCGATCGACCAAAAAACGAGAAACAAGGGAATATCGCCTTTTCGAACAAATAGCACCAATATTAAAAAGGAGCACCACTTCAAAATAATCAGGATAATCGTTGTGTTCAGCATATCATTTCTCTTGATTAGCTACATTATTGTTTGTGGTTGAAATCTCCTGGCTCATATTGCCATCGATACTAATATTGATCTAGTTATACTCAAACAAGATAAATTCGAGTAGTGTTGATTATAAAGTCGTTGGTGATTCTTGCTAGTGTCGATTGTTTCAGCAGCCAGTTTCACGTTCGCGTTGTAAAAATGCATTTTCATGCTGGCTAGATTGCCGAGTTTCAACCAAATATTGACGAACCGTGAACAAAACATGCTTGAGGCAACAACCGAAATAGCAACAATAAGTTATGCTCGCGTAGTATGTCAGTTCGAGAAGGATCATGAGAAAGTCATGTTTGTGCCATTGGTAAACCACTCGGTATTTGATAGTGCCATGGATGTAATGTACGATATGAGCGATGGCATATATTCTGATCGATTTCGTATATTTATGCTTCACGGACCACTCGACTCACTGCTCGGCGGTGCAGGTGGCTCGACATCGGTACCCAGTTTAACCTAAATGGTTCGTTGACTTACTGTATTGTTACCAGAGAGGTCTCCATAATCACTATTCATGTCACACAGTCGTCGATTTAAAAAGAGGTACCGTAGCTCTATACAAGTCTAAGATCTACGTGTTGGTCAAATAAACAAGAGTTACGTTTTATAAAGAATCTTGATTGACACTTATGTTGTTGCAAAGATTTAATGGTTTCACCTAATGAGTGTAATATGTAACTCTGCTCTATCTTGGCAGACCTGGGGTACGGAAAAACAAAAACTCCCAACTGCTTGAACAGGTTTTAAAAAAATAACGCTAGGAATAATGTTAACATGTAGAGGGACTAGTCGCCATCAAGGGCGACCTAAAAGCACGGACCCTGGTATAAGTTTATATAAACATCCATACGCTGTTCACATCTGTCATCAGAACTGTCGATTCAATTTCAAGTATTAAACTCTCGGTAACAACAGGAGCTTCGTCAATCTGTGTGCGTGCCAAGTATGCATGCTCAACAATAGGAAACTGAGTATTCCAAATCAAACCAAGAAATCCTTGAAATGCTCAAGATAAATTCTCAACTGTATCCAGAGCTCGCCAATAGCGTGCTTATTATCGAATTGATCATTAGGGGTGAAGTATTATCAAGATTCCGGAACTTTCTTCACAAATAACCTGAAATCAAACCCATGATTTCATTTCTCATGTAGATTTAATCAAAGCAAAACATAACCGGGCCCAACCGACGTCTTGAAGCGGTGAATTATCAAACTTCTATTCCCAAGTGATTGTACCTTTTATTTATTCCTGACAGCGTCGTCAAATTTCTTTATGCTGCAATCTTCTCACCCTTTCACAAAGTACAGGCGATCCTGAGATAGATATACACTGATTTTCTGATGCAAGAGCTACCTATTTAAATGACTGTAAAGTAGTCGGTGTATGAAGAACAGAAGATTTTGGGACGTAAGATATGAAGGTCATCAGGGAAGACGATAGCGTACTGCCTCCATTGTAGTTGTTGTTGGCAGCGTTCATACGCAGATGAAAACTTTCAACATGTCGCGCTAATTCCCAGCGGTATTTCCGCGATCGGCAGATCACATTAGTGAAAATATTGATTTATCCTGTTTCAAATACTATTTTGACCAATGAAAGAATAATTGAGGACAGCATTCATTATTACCAATCCACTCCATTAATGTCTTCAGTCAGCTGCAAGGAGGGGTTTCGTCTTGGGGCGACTTCGCCATTGCAACTGCTATGGCAGTCTTGATATTCTCCGCCTACTATTAGACTACGGAGTTTCCATGGAACGGAAGGCTATGGCTGAGTTCAATACGTTATGCAAATTAGATACACTACGCGTTTAGACCAAAAAGCTGTTGAAAGGGTACTACGAAAACATCGAACTCGGCCCCGCGAAGATTATATTAAAACAGACTATTACACACGAAGATAACGACATTGAACTGGCTGAAACCTCCCCTTGCTGTGAGCCACAGTTCGTGGGCTCTATCAAGCATACCGCTCCCATATCATCAAGATTAGATTATTGTGGCGTAGAAGAAAAAGTTAAAATCGGACATTGCTATCAAAGTATATGAGGCCGGATATCAACCGACCGAGCGATCGAACAGTCTACTCAAGGTGTCCCAAAATTTGTCCCATTTGGAGGACTTCGAATTGCCGCTGAATAGTGCTTTCGACACAACATATATGTTCGGAGATGACAATACAAATGATAGCATGAACGCATAAAAGAGGAATAGAGTGATCCTGAAGGACAACATGGGGCTGAAGATGCACCGTTTGAGCCGTTGGAATGGCAATGGTAAGGTGTCTAACTTAATGGTTGATGTGAGAGGTTAGAGAAGACTTGAATTCGTTTTTGGTTCGTATTCCTAAGCATTTCAGGCTCTACAGATCGTTGTTTTGGAAATATATTTCACGTTCACTTGGTAGGATCCACGGAGAGAATAGTCAAAGCAATAACATACTCCCCACTACGAGTCGCGGTACGTAGTAAAACAGTCACGAGATTACGAACTTGGCTATGATACAGTTACAGCCTATGCTATTAAGTCTGTCGCTAAGCCTTTATCTTTTCATATGGTTACGACATAGGTCAATCATCTCTACATTGGGCAGGCATTTTCGGGGCAATCTCGTGAAAGCTCGCGTGAGAGTGCAAGGAACATGAAAGTTTTGAAGCTAATCACCCAATGATTATTACTTTGGTGTGGTACATATTGTAAATTTAGATGATACCTTCCCGTCTTTCTCGCGCATCTCACTGAAACCCATGCCTCCTTTGACAGGCTTAGATATATGTCTTTTGTGAATATGCAGCGAACACAAAATCAACACCGTCGCATTTTACCATAACATGTTTCTCTAAGACAAAATCTCTGTGCCGGCACAGATGCAGATCAATTTCAGTCTAGTGATAGTTTTCAAACAAAAAGGCGTTTTCCTCACCATTGTATGCACATAAGTGGAAGTGCGTTTCACTACAATCGAGCCAGGTCAGGTGGAATGTGACTACCACGACCAAAATTATTCGGATGCATAGACATGTTCCCTGCTAATTCAATACAATCACAGTACTCCCTAATGGGCACATCTGTACAATTCAGGCAAAAGCAATGGTCCTCGGTCGCCATCATGGGCGATGTGAGGGAACGTAATACCTTGATATACTAGGACACTATTGTGTAACAGAGCAAGCCGTAAGCAAGTCAAAAAGGTCAAAATGTCCTTGATTGGAGTTAGGGAAGGAATCATGTTATCTCCAATGCCGGTGTAATGTTACATAGCACTATTCGAAACAAACTGAGGTCACTGAGCAGCTAACACTGTTCCAAGAACACCCACAATTTTTGGTACAAGATGTCAAATCTCTTTCCATTGCCCCAGGCCGGTACGAGCTGGCGTACCTAATTTATACCATTGGTGCTCGTGGTATGCCTTTCGAACGCCAATTTTGGGCTCTCAAAAGACGATGTTGACAAATTCCAGCACAGAAAACGAAGTTAATTACAACTAATCCGCAGCCACAGACAGTTATAATAGCAGCCTACGACCTTGTTAGCAGGCCAGATGATATCGCTATCTTTAGGTATTTCCTTTGCTTACCGTTAGTGACATTTCTGCTTGCGACGGGTCAAAAACAGGCGTTAATAGATGTAAAGTATATCCTAAGAGAAACAGGACCCATGAGTAGTTCATGAGCATGATTGGGCACTGCCAAAACCAGAGCATCTTGTTACTTCTCCGCCGACCGAAAGTATTGTTGCCCCGCGGGACAGGAGGTCGTAGGAAAAGACTCAAAGCCTCTATCAACCTCCTCTCATCGAACGGCTCATCATCTTTCTCCGGCAGGTATCGAAGCAAACGTTGGTGCGCCGAGCTGATGAGGGCAAAGGTGGACAGAAACAGACTCCAATTCCACAGCATCTTCGCTGCCCACACAGTCCTTTCCGTCGAAGGCCACGAGAACACGCCAATGACGGCTCCGCCACACAGAGCTGCCTGTTCGATTAAAAAAAAAGTTAGTCGTCATAGCTTTGCAACAGGCTAGAAGAATCCCACTAACAGCTCCTTGAACAAACTTTAGCTCCTCAGATTTGGTTTGACGAAATCGAGCTAATGCCTTGATCACTGCGTCTTTGTGTGCCCAATAGTCTTGGTTTTCCGTGATATGATTAATGGGATTACGTGTGTGATGCTTGAACGCTGCGGAATAACTGAATGTGAGGACATCGAAAATTCGATCAGCGATTAAATGCGACGAGTTCGACGGTTGCTCATGAGTCGTTTTAGAAGCCGACACAGTTGGGTCGTCCATGCTGCCAAGTGTTGATGGCAGTCAAACTAAAAGAATCAACTTGAAATGGACTGGGCAAAAAATGCCCAAGTAACTATAGGCCAAGATGAATGGACTCAAAAGGTTAAGTATTCACCTATCGATTCAAGACATCCTTGCCGATTTGGCAACTGACAGGCTGCCTACCACATGCCCTGGATCTGCATACTAATGCGCTGGTACAGCCGCGACACCACGTTTCGTGTGACTTGGGCGATGATTTGAAAGCCGAATGCGACTTCAGCGACTGGCTTAACCTAGGTCAGTTGCAAAGTACTATTATTAGTGCCCATCTTTCGCAGAGGGAAACCGTGCTGCCTGTGCTTTTTCGAAGCATTTACAGGGCTTAAGCTGACGCCAAGATGCTGGTGGCAGATTCAGGCGGTCATCGCCACAATAATGTGTAGCCCGTTATCTTCGAGAAAGTCGCTAAACAAAAGGGGAAAATCCCGAATGGCTCCTCGCACATCTGCGCGTGTGGAAAGCGAATGCGAAAGGCTTAGCCTCCCAGCGCTTTGGCATGGGGCTACGGGTGTCTAACGGATCTAGGCTAGCGCATTGCGATATTCTATTCTCACTTGTATGAAAAATCACAATCCGGCTTAGCGCGTGACCGGCTCCCTTGTATGGTCAGTAGCCCACGGCCAATTGGAGTCTAGGGTCTAAGAATAATTAGACTAAAGGCTGCATAAGCCGTATCATGAGGTGGACGTGATATACCAGCGGGCAGTGCATGTCGCTGGGCACAACTGAGGCTCTGCGACTCTGCAACGACTCCAGGATATGGCCTACAGAACTAGGTATATCTTCAGATCACGTTCAATATATATTATAATCGATGTTTCCCACCGCAGACTATTCTCCACTATACTAAGATCCCTTCAGCTCGGCAGCGCATAGCAGCAACATTCAGTGGACTGCCCCCGACGAAGAAACACAGCGAACCTAAAGAATTCGCGCCATGGCCTACTACCAGCAGTCTGTCGGAAATTACGACTGGGGCCATCCTATCTACCTCTATACCACGCCCCTGGCTTCCCAGAAAAAGTTCATGAAGAAGAAGCCTATCGACCTGGTCGGTCACTGGGCAATATGCATCCAAGGATATTTTTACGAGTTGACCAAGAACCCAAATGCCCAAACAAAAAGAGATCCGAAGCACATCATAAGAACATTACCATATGAGCAGTGGCAAGCCTTAAAGGGTGAGGAAGAACGAGTAGTTCAACCGCCGGGAGGACCAGCTGGGTACACGGCTCGACCTTGGACACCTTCACAGATCAAGTATATGGGTACGTACAAGTGACCGTAGTACTACACCCTCCACGATGATGTCATGCTGACTGTAGTTCGTACAGCCGACCAAATATGGCGAGGTCCACTACAAAGCAAATACGTGTACGACGAAAACAACTGCCAAGTCTTTACTCGCCTGCTCGTCGATATGCTCGGAAACGAACAGACTAAAGTCGACTTCCCAACCCAATTCGATAAAGTGGTAAAAGCCGTGGGCAACACCAGGGATGGTGCTGCCTTGGCTGTCACCGCGGGCATGATCACCGTGGCAGCAGGTGCGAGTCTGGTCATGGTCCCGGTGGACGGTGGAGCTACAGCTGCAGTGGGCTTTGCGCTGGCAGCGCAAACGGCACTCAGATCTACCACAGCTTTGTTGGCCGTAAGGCACTCCAAAGAGAAGGCTATGTGGAAATCTCAAGAGGAGTTGAAGCGGAGACTGAGACAGGAAGGATACCTTCCCATGAAATGAAACTGGAAACAGTCAAGGTTGTGAGCTTGCGACATATGGTCTACATATTTCTGCATTAGACCTATAAACCGATCGATACGGATAATACGACAAGCTATGACTGCTGGAAGTCTTAGATATGAGGACAAAGAGCGTCTGGATTACAATCAGGGGCAAGATCAGCATTTGAGCTGCAATGGCGCTCATGCCATATCTTCAAAGCATCGAGGCCCAGCTACCGCATCGATTCTTAGATTGATCACTGAGGTGGAGGATGTCAGAATGAGTAATATCCAGAGAATGCCATATTGTCACATACTGGGCAGGCTGCGTCAGACAACAGGATTCTCCGAGACCGGATAGGAGGGTAATGCGATAGTATTTAGTAAGTAAGCACTTCATATTCGATTTGGGACTGTCCTAAATGTACCAGCTAGCTCATAGATAGAACAACCGACTTCGGTATAATTCTTTTGTTTGCCGGCAACTGGACGAATCTGACCGATAAAAACGGTGGCAACGGCATAACAGATTGACTGCTTTTGGCTTCAAAAGTCTCCAGCAGTAGATAGTGCCACTGCGCCGATGGAAGTCCTTCGAAATCTGTAGAAAGGTTATACATTGTTCTTAATTTAATAAATGTAGCTCACGGGGGTGTCATTTACACTAGTCTAGCATGTCAAATCATTTCCTAGTGCCGTGTCAGTTCACATCGTCTTGATATCGTGCTTATATCGCAGAACTTCCTATGTAGATCGCAGAACATGCCTTATACGCGCTTTTCTGTGTTCAAACATAATAAAAATATCGCCGAGGGACATTCATACATATCAATTGTGCCCACGACGACTGAAACTCTGTTTAAGATTCTCCTTTGCAAAATAAAATAATTGCAAATGATACGACGTACAGGTCAAAGGACTAATGCTGTCGTCGTGATAGAGTCAGGCGACTCCACCACGACCCCGCTCTCACGCGGTTAGCCATTCTAGCTCCCTCTCGGTTGAAATCGTTACTTTTACCAATAAGGCACCGTTACTTGCAGAGCCGGAGCTCCACAGCCGTGACATCATGTCAGGAACTCTATTCAATTACACAATTTTCTCCTTATTTTCATTGATGTAATACACAATGGCATAGAGAGTCATCAGACCAGCCAAGTGCGTTGATTAGAAATCTCGTAGCATATTGTGGGCAAATATGTGGAAGCACCAGTTGGACTAATTCAGCTTCGAGTAAACATGATCTTTGTGAATTTTTGTACCTATTGTTTAGTTATAACGGTTGCTATATCGACCTTGGATAACGCTCACAACGAATCTTTGCAGTTCCATCTGGTTAACGAATTCATACACTAAAAGGATGCCTAGGCGACGTAAGATGCAAGTTGTTCGGGTGACGTAGCTTATATCGCTAGCGAAATAGTTTGTGATGGTGTCAAAAGCGAAATAAACGTGAGCATAGGTCAGGCGTATGGTCTGATGTCATGATTATGCACTCACAGTCAGCGCTAGAAGCAGAGCAGCAGCCGATATTCAATCATGGAAAAGAGTCGGGTGTCATTAATGGCTGTACTGAGATTTTGATTAGAAATGCAACTGTCAGTACTAGAGCCTGCTGTGCCAGAAAACCAAGAAGAGGGTAGAATTTGGTTGTGAAGCCGCAATAAGCTCAAACATGACAATAGTATGGCAGGTGGTCCATAATCATAAATAATCAGGGGTCTTGTTTGCATAAACATTCAGAGAAAATTAATCTAGCGACGTAATCTGATACTGACCCATGGTATTATCGAACCTTGCTAATGTACGTTACACTATATGTAATATACGCATGCGGATAACGATAGCTATTGTGGCGAGATAAAAGTGTATTTAAGAAAAATGGTGTTAGATTCCATGAAAATCAGATGGGCTAGATAAAGAATAAAGATGATGGCTAATGGAATATTATATTTGTGATAAAGACTATTGCGGATGCTAACGATGACCTTGAGGTTTAAAACTTGAAGGCTAAACTCGTTTACTAAATACTAACTATTTGATGTATACTAATTATGAGTAATATGACTAGGATCTAAGTCTTGTTAAAACTAAGTTAATACGCGGTTATTGTGGAATTAGACTAGAGGTATAACGAGGTTAAAAGTTTAAGAATCTACTAGTAATTAGTAGCATGACTATAACAGAAAGCCAGTAGCATATGTCAGCTGAGACGCGATGATTCAATCTTCACCAATTATACCTATAGTCTTCCCTTGAACCTCGATATTTCTTTGCGCAAATTTACTCATACTACAACACCAATTGCTGTCAGTGAAAGTAGTAAATTAGCAGCCCTGCCACAGATAATGAGCGGAAAGTCTGGGCGAATTGAATAGACCGAATAACAGTCATGATACAAAAATCTTGAATAACTTCCGAGACAAGTGTGCGCTTGCCGTAAGGAACCTTGATCTCCCCACTCGATTTCTTGTATCTACTTGTACAATTCACAAGCGAGACGAGTACCCAAACGGGTGCCCAGTCTGCTTCATCCTCTCTGCTGTTTGTCTGAGCTCATTCACTCCAGGTAGATCAGAGACCAGCCCAAGGACGTGCTTGTCAAAAATGGATAGTCGGCCAGTGAAGGCAGGGATCAGTTGAACTAGACGTGGGCGATCATTGCTACAAACCAGGTTTTCAAGCCCGCATCTGCATGTGGATACGCTTCTGGTTTTTCAAGCCAAATGGTCTGGACTAGGCGATCATTGTAGGTTCAAGCAGCCTATACAAACACATAAGTAGTTATAACTTAGACATCAACCGCCTTTAAACGTGGCTACCTAACGTGGTGGTCTAAGGTGGATACCTGAGGTTTCCGTTCAGTTCCCTAAGGCGTCGGGCATGCAATGAAAACGCTCCTTGGTATACGTCATCGCCTGCCGATACTGCAAGCCGCTGGATGCAATAGGTCTTTGACTGACAATGACGCAGCATGTATAAATCCAGGGCACGTGCGACGTTCTAGACGAAGACGGACAGGTTGCATAGGCAAACGCTTCAAAAACTTATTAATTGCTCACAAAAAGTATTATAGACCGAAAAGAGTGGGGTATCATTCATCAAAAGCTGCATGCATGCAGTTGGCTACCTAGCTGACATGACAGCCAGCACGCCAAAAGTTCTGACACAAGCATTGTGTCCTTGCGGCATCACGAAGCTGCTTCTGCGTCGTTTCATCAAATCCGCAAATCAAGGAGTTGGGTTGTTCTCTGCTGCCACTCAGATAGGTCGCAGGACTGGTAGAATGGAGATGAAAGTTCTAAGCATTGCTCATAGTTTCTTCTGTCGACATTTCCCTGCTGAACCAAAATGAGAATCAAGCCAAGATCTCAGTAGAGTTCTCGAATTCGACGACCACGAGCAGAGCACCCTACCACGTGTTAGATCAGTTAGTCGCTTTTGCAGTTCCCAGGTTCAACTTACAGTCGCATAGAGTTTCGGTGGAGCCTTCGTAGTGCACAATGCAGTATCCTCCACCGCAACATCGGCATCTCAGCTGTGTTTGCGCAATGCAGTCAAGACAATTCGTCAAACATTCCCAGCAGTCGCGTTTGATCTTGGGCTGTTTCCGGAACGTTAGCACATGATCATCCAGATACATAGGTTAGAAATGATCGTAGGATCTATTAGGGGTCTCGCCGCATACAATTCTGGGAAGATGAAGTCAGCAACTTTGCTATCAGTCGCTTCCTTCTCGTCCCTACAAAAGAGCCTTTGGCTTTGGAGGCGTAAATTAGGTAGAATTTGGGGGGCTCTCGCTGTTATCCCTCCGTCTTCATGTCTTGCAGTTATGACAGTAATTGTCTCGTACCTGGATCTTAGGGAACTCGTTTCCGGCCACCTCGTGGTCTGTTAGACCATTCGTGTCCTGCACGATGTGAACATGCTGCGCCGCATGTATCTGGGCAGCAGTTGGGACTTGGTAGCACGACTCACACCACCATTCTCGGCAACTGAAGCAGAAGCGATCCCGTATGCAGTCCCAACATCTAGGGACGAATTTGGGGGTCTCGTTGTTGCCACTCTTGCAAGCTTGCGGGCGACTGGCTGTCTTGACATTTGAAGAATGGAGCGGCATAGGCGATAGGAGCGGGAGCTCCCCAGAAGGACTGTCGCCATAGACGGTGAAGCCTTCGGGCGCGCAGCCGCAGTTTGCGCATCCGCCAAGCGCAAAGTTGGCCACATTGTATGGGTGCTGTGCGCCAGGAACACTCGGAACCGAAACTTTGCCAACAGCCGACGAGTTTCTGTGACGCGGCCCTGTACACAATGTGGCATCGAACTGAACGGCGCCGCGACAGTCGAGCAGAGTCTCGGCCCACCCGTCAGTGATGGGCTTAGTTATGATCTTACCCTTCTGTTGATACCATTCGTCGCCGTCGGCATTGATGGCCTCTTTCAGCGCATGTGTCGATTTGTGGTTCCAGTTGATACTGATGCTAGCGCTTGCTACAGAAGGTGTCGAAGCTGCCGAGCTCGTGGTTGGGAGAAATGGTACATCTTTCTTGCCGAACACGTACAGTCCCCTCAGGCGTGGAGTGCCTTCTGGTCGACTGGGGCGACAAGCATAGCGTAGTGACTGCATGAGTCTGTTGCGGCTATATATCAGTGGGTGAAAAAGGTGAACTGCGGAAATACTGACCTGCGCTCGTTGAGGTTCTTGGTTTCGCGGATGGAAAGAATGCGGACTTGGTACTTTGGGTCGACGAGGATGTCGTTGATAAGGTCGGCTGTCACAGACAACCCGTCTAGTACAAGTGTTTGGACATCGCGTAGAATGTCGATGCGTCGCAGGCTGTAGAAGATGCCCCTCAAGGGACCCGAGTAGAACTCATCCTCAGTGAGGTTCTCGTCCAGCTGCACATTGCGCCAAACTTGACCGCCGTGATCTATAGCTGCAACGTCGAACTGGGCAGACTTGATGGTCGTGAGGTCGACGTGCCGGAAGACACCTGGGGTCTGGTAGAGGAGGTTGCGCAGGTCTTTCGAAGTCGCAGCGAGGTGAAGGAGGTCGGAGACTGGGAGGAATAGGATGGTTTCGTGGAGGACTATGGTGTTGGATAGTAGATCAAGGAGACTCGAGTGTGGTGGCTCGGACAAGACGCGTTCGGTGGGTTGATTGGCCCCAGATGCCATTACATGCAGTTTCTAGCTGCTCTGTGAGTGGTTGCGCTGGAGGGTCGGGGATCGCGAACAAGCTGGCGGTTCGCGTAGTAGCCGTGATCGGGGGGGTAGCTCGAGGGCGATGTCAATTACGTACTCCGTACTAGCCTGAGCAATTCGAGGGAGTACACAGTAGTGAGGTTAAACAGGGGGGGCGGACTTGGGGTTTGTAGTCTATACTGTAGGTATAATGGAGTGAGAGCACAGCTCTCGTATTAAAGACTTTAACAAGGAGGGGATGGTAGCAACGATCTTGCGCTGGAACTTGCTGTGCTCACAATAAGTAGGCTTGAGTTGAGGTAAATACAAAGGTACAGAAATGGGCAGGACCCTGAGAGTGGTGACAGGGTCACATCCAAATAGTCGGTCGAGGATGATCAGATCCGTTGCGTTGCACGGAGCAAGAAGGCTGCTGCAAGGTGAGCAAAGTCCGGGTGCTGGGGGAAGCTAGACCCCACACGCTTGTTCTTTCTAACCTAGGGGTTCTAGAGCTGTAATACATTAAAAGTAAGATTATAGCTGCATCTTGGTGGCATCCTTGCCCTGTCCTGCATATGCTGAGATGGGGGGAGAGCGGGAGGATCTCTTGGTTCTCCTCTCTCTCTAGCACTCTCAACATTAAGATCGCCCGTGTTATTGGACCGCTTTGACGGTAAGACATGTTCTTACACCAACCTCTGACCGATGGCAGCATGGAACACTTGGCGCGACCGTGGCCATTCAATATGCCGGCCGTGTCAGACGCCGTCGAGGTCCATCACGTTTTCTGGGCGTATCATAGACGGCTCGTAATGGTCTCAAGGACGGGGGCGCCAAGTCTTGGCTGCCAGAGATGATGGCCCGAGATGGGGGAGAAACAATGTTGATCGTGATGGACGGGCCCGTCTTGGACTGTTTCTTTATTGACTTGGCAGCAATAATTCGGCCCTGTTTCGATGGGGGACCTTGATCTTAGCGTTGCATCTGTGAGCATTGGCACTATATCACCGCGTCGGTATATACATACGACAAACGACGGGGCGCGAGGTGAAAAGTCTGTCCTAATACGGCATTCCGGGAAAGAATCCCCGCCGTCTCACATTACCAATCATGGTGACCGATGGTTTCTTATCGTTACACTGCTTTGGATGGCAAGGTCACGTTTCCTTGTTGGTCCTCCGAATGGACAATGCAAGTCTATCACAGACCCAATGGCGCCTTTGGTACGAACACGTGACATGACACCCGAGCCGTGGTGCGCCAACCGAATGACTGACTATATTTTGAAGCCAACCATCCACGCACCATCGTTGGTAACTGAGACGGGAGTTATCCTTCTGGACTATTGATCAGCTCAGAAGACGTATGTATAGGTATAACATTCATCAGCATTTTTGAATTCTACTGTCCAACTAGATGCTCTATCTCGCGCATATGCACGACAACGCCGGTCTTTGCGTGGCAGATGTACGCCGGTGGACACCATCATGAGCTGCAGAATTGTTATTCACTGCACATTGCAAGTAATGGAGCCAGTGAGGCAGGTATTGTATCTCGACGTAGTGGGGTAATTATGATGATGGCGGGGGGTGCTGCTGCGTCGTCGGACCCCGAATCGAACCGAATCGGGCTTTTAACGTTGGTTAACCAACCTTAGCTACCGTGGCAGCTATTTAGCAGGCAGGCAGGCTGGTGCCCCTGCGCTGTCGCTGTCGCTGTAGCTGCCGCAGGCAGACTGCTGGCTGACCAAGACGTCATGTCATCTTGTCTCATGGAAAGCTTCAGAATCAATCCCATCGGCAAAACCGGCTGACTGATGCTTCATTGTCCAACTTGGCAGACACTCGCCTCCCATCGTGTCTGGACTTTCTTATCATTAGGTTACAGCAAACTTTTGCCCTTTTTGCAATGGTCAAACCACTGCATCGCAGATTGTGTTGCTATTTCGGGCTCTTTGTGTGGGCCATTTCGCCCTGACCAGCGTGACCAGCGTGACCAGCGCGTAGTTAATTAATGTCTCGCGCATCGACTGAAAACAAGGTAAAATCAAATATTTTCAGTCCGACTCCCCGCGCAAGACCAAGGCTCTCTCTCCATACTCATTCCCACCATGGCCGAACAGCCTACACTGAGCTGGACTGCGCCATTCGCCGTGGCCAGTCCATCCAAGTACATATCGAAAGACCTCAGAGGCGACAAGATCATCCTGCCTCAGTCCGCCCTAGAGCAACTTCTTGCCGCATCCTCGAGTTCTTCACGATCTACGCCTTCAACCTTCACCTCATACGATCGATCGAACCCTTACTTGTCCGATTATGGCCGCCCTCAGCATGCCTTCTACGCCGACTCCCAACAACAGCTGCCGAACCCTCTCATGTTCCGCTTGCTCAATAAAGCAAACGGGAACGTTGTCCATGCTGGAATTCGCGAGTTCTCGGCAGAAGAGGGGGAGGTCGTGCTCAGTCCATACTTGCTCGAAGCTCTGGGAATCGACACCACTGCAGTGACGGACGCGCCGCCAAACGGAGCAACAGCCGAAGACGCTGTGGATCTCACCAAGACCGAGAAGGACACAGGGCTCATAATTACAGTCGAAGCTAAACAGCTACCAAAGGGCACATACGTTCGATTACGGCCGCTGGAGGCTGGGTACAACCCCGACGATTGGAAATCCCTCCTCGAACGACAACTGAGAGAGAGCTTCACCACTCTCACCATCGGCGCATTCCTCCAGGTCCGCGGCGTCAAGGGCGAAACCTTTCGCTTCCTCATCGACAAGTTCGAGCCAGGGGGAGCCGGCATATGCGTCGTGGATACGGATTTGGAAGTCGACATCGAGGCGCTTAATGAAGAGCAAGCTCGAGAGACGATGCGACAGATCATGGCAAAGTCGCAAAAAGCACCCGGGACCGCTAGCGGAAGCTCTATTGGACACGACATCAATATCTGGAAGGCCGTCGAGGGTCAGGTTCTTGCTGGAGATTATGTCGATTACGAACTCCCTTCCTGGAGTCATTCAAGGTCGCTTGAGATCGAGCTGAGCGGCTTGGGTCAGGATACTGTGGACGCCGTTGATGTCTTCATCAGCCCCAAGTCACGCCGACAGCGTGCTTTACCTCGCGAGACGGAACACGTGTTTGGTCTATTCAATACCACCTACAACGGCATCAAGTCCATTACTATACAGCCATCCAACGTGGAACTGGAAGACGCCGAAAGCATACTGATCTCGGTTCATGGTTATTCACCACCCACGGGCGCTTCTGCAGACTCTCCGCCGTATCCGTTTACACTGCGGGTCAGGTCTGTTGCGGGAGAAACACCGGCTCCTATGGATGTCGACGACGACAAGCCCCAACAAACTTCGTCAAACGAAGTGCAGTGTCAAAATTGTAAACAATGGGTTTCCAAGCAAACGATGTTCCTTCATGAGAGTTTCTGCAGGAGAAACAACGTAGCTTGCCCTCATTGTGGTGATGTTTTTTTGAAGGACTCAACGGAATGGGCTGAGCACTGGCATTGTCCCCACGATGATGTTCGTGGCTCGTCCACAGCGAGCAAGGCCAGGCACGATGATATCTATCACACGGAACGGACGTGCCCGTCTTGTTCCTTTTCGACAAACTCAATATCGGATTTGGCACGACACCGCACCACGCTGTGTCCTGGCAAGATTATCTTGTGCCAATTTTGCCATCTTGAAGTCCCACAAGAAGGCGACCCTTTCAACCCATCAGCCGAGACTTTAGTTTCTGGCTTGACTGAACATGAAATTGAAGATGGCGCTCGTACCACGGACTGCCATTTGTGCAGCAAGATCATCCGTCTACGTGACATGTCAGCACATTTGAAGCATCACGAGCTAGACAAGGCTCATAGGCCCAAGCCACCAATCTGTCGCAACGCAAACTGTGGACGAACACAACACGGAGTTGGCAAGGGTGGCTCCGTGGGTGGTGGAACACAAATGGGCCAGGGCCCTGGAAATGACCTCGGTCTCTGTTCTCTATGTTTCTCCCCGTTGTACGTCCAGCTACACGACCCCGAAGGCAAGGCTCTCCGCAGGAGGGTTGAGCGCCGATACCTCACCCAGATGATGACAGGATGCGGCAAAAAATGGTGTGTCAATGAATGGTGCAAGACTGGTAGGGCCAACTTGGGAATGGAGGCAAAACCGTCAAGCGCCTCGGCTGTGTTACCTTTGATCAAGCCGCTCATGGAGACCATGAGAGAAACTGATAAGCCCATGTATTTTTGCGTGGACCAGACCAATCAAACTCGGCGGGAATTGGCAGAAATCATCGCCTCCGAGAAGGCGTGGGATTTGGAGTGGTGCATAGCAGCCTGTGAGGCTGTCGGTCCGGACTTGGATAAAGCTCAGGAATGGTTGCTCAACTGGGCGCCCATGGCAGCGTAGTACATGTCACATAGTTAACAGCATTGATGGCGTTGAGGACGAATTGATATATAGCATTTACGGTTGCATAAAGGGTCTAGATATGGGGTGTTAGCAGAGGGATAGAGGTCGACGGTGATGCCATGGTTAGATACCCTGAAACGACTGGAACACGGATAGATTTTCATGGTTAACTGTTCTACACAGACCGTTTTTTCCTTTGCATGCAACAAGCTTCGATATTCCACGTCTGCTTCTTGTATGCAACTCTATGATGAGTACCACACTGTGATCTCAACTGTCGAGCAACTTGACAAAGTCTGCGTCTAGACCGGCGAGGGAGGTTTCTATGAATTCTGTGCGGGCCGATATCCAATCCTTGAACTTTTTCAAGTCCTTCCGCGCGTCCTTTAGCATACGCTCCATCTCAGCGGGCTGCGGCCCTCCAATCGTCGCTCTGTTGCGAATGATGGTTGCAGGATCCAAGGTCTCGCGGAACTCCATGTGACTCATCGGCAACGACCTGGGGTTCTCCAGGCCCAGGTGCTCATGCGCCGTCGCCCAGATCTGTTGTGCCTGGTCATACGGAAAGTCACTGGGCCGTATGTCGTTCTTCCTGGCATAGCCGACGATCTCCGACACGAAGTGGTGGCCGACGCGAAAGGGCACGTCGTGGCGGATCATCAACACGTCGGCGATCTCCTGCGAGGCCGTCCAGTCGAGGTTCAGCTCCTCCAGCGCCCGCTCGCGATTGAACTGCAGAGCCCCGAGGATGCGCCACCAGTCCTTCAGCACCGCCGCCGCGCCCTTCAGGATGTCGACGCTGTCACTGGTGCTCCGCGCGTCGATCATGCCGGGCGTGATGTTGTGCGCCTGGATCGCGCGCCCGACGCCGAGCGTCACGATCCGTGACGCCTCCGCGCGCGTGCTGTTCAGGAGGCCTGCCACAGATCAAAAACGTTAGTCTCAACGACAATGCGCACCCTCACGGACCACCGCCCCGACGCAGCCAAGAGGAGAGGAAAAATAAACCGGAGAGGCCAACGTACCAGGATTCCTCTTCTGCGGCATCGCCGAGCTCACATACGTGTTGTCACCCCCCTCCTTCAGCATGATCCACGGCCTGGGCTGCGCGTACTGCGTGAGCAGATCCTGGACGAAGGACCCGACGTGCAGCATGAGGCCGGCGCACACGAAGCCGAGCTCGACCGGCATCTCCGTGCCCGAGATCTGCACGGCGTCGTAGGCGTTGTCCGCCAGGGCGCCGAACCCGAGGTACGCGGCCACGCGGCCGCGGTCCAGCGCCCAGCGCGTCCCGTTCAGCACCGCGCTGCCCATGGGGCACCGGTCAAGCCGCGCGTAGAACTGCCGCAGGCGCTCCGCGTCGCGCAGCAGCCCCGCGGCATGGCCGAGCAGGTAGTGGCCGTACGAGTTAGGCTGCGCCGCCACGCCGTTGGTGTAGCTGGGCACGAGGAAGTCCTGCAGGTCGCCGGCGAGCTCCACCGCGCGCGCCGCCGTCCGGTGCAGCTGCGCCGCCAGCGCCAGCGCCGACTCCCGCAGCGACGCCAGCGTCGCCGTCGTGTGCATGTCCTGGCTCGACCGCCCCGCGTGCAGCCGCGTCGCCTCGATCCCGGCCGCCGCTATGAGCAGGGGCTCCAGCGTTATCACCTTGCCCGGCCGGGGACCGCCCGGCTGGCTTCCCGACTCCAGCACGCGCGCGATCCCGTGCGCGATGTCGTGGCCCAGGTCGGGGCTTAGCAGCCCCGAGGAGATGTTGGTTAGGGTGCTGGCTTTGTTTATCTGATTTAGCCAGTAGAAGCGGTCCCGTGGCTGCGTCATGGTTTCTGGCATTTTCCCTTGAATTGAGATGTGTTATTTGTGGTTTCGGATGTCTTGCGGGTGATGGAATCGATATCAGTCCGGATCAGTCCGGATGTGGAAGGAGTTCAGATCGGCCAAGTCGGATCGCATCCGAGACCGGTGGTGGAGACTTGAGAGTCAACGAGAACGGAGCTGCGGCGTCCGCGTGCAATCTTTCTTTCAATCCAAGTATTAGGGCGGAAGTCTTGTCTAACCGAATAAATATTGAGGAGATAGTGGCACAGTAATGGATATGTGATTGTATTGTCATTAATGTGCAATAAAAAAAAATCCCAAGTCTAGTTTCTAGTCTATATGATCCCATAATCAGGCATCCAGATCTATCGTACAATGGGGGTATAAACATGTAAGGAAAACCTAGTTCGGCTAAATGTAGAGGCGTAAATGCAGCAAGCAACTCCTAAACCCCGTGATAATGCCTTGAAATAGTTTCACACTGGAGAAAAGCATACACAGCCACTCCTCTTGAAGTGAAACAGACCCTCCGCTTAGAAAGAGAAAACTGCATCAGTCATCTTTGACATGGCAGCCGGCTTCTCGTAACCAAGATCGACAAGGGACTTCTTGGCCGCTGCCACCATACCAGGAGGCCCGCAGAGGAGAACCTTGGCATCTGGGCTAGGCGAAGGGAACTTCTCGGCCATCAGCTCCTTAGTGACGTATCCGGAGCCGAATTGCCAGTCGGCAGGAGGATTGTCAAGCAGATAATAGAGCTTGAAGTTCTTGGGGTACTTGCGTGCCATGGTCTCGAGCTGCTCCCTCAGAAGGATGTCAGCTTCGCTCCTGTTGGCGTAGATGAGGCTGACTTCGGTAAGGTCGCGGTCATCCTCGCAGATGGCACGGATGAGTTGGTACATGGGCGTGATGCCAGTACCACCAGCGAGCATACCGATCTTCTTGCAAAGACCAGGGCGGTATCGCATGGCGCCCTTGGGTCCTCTGAACCTGACCTCATCGCCAACTTCGAGGTTGGCAAGGTAGCGGCCGGTGAGCTGACCGTCAGGGTAGCACTTGATGACTAGCTCGAGGATACCCTTGTCGGCATTGTTCGATACAGGGGTGTATGATCGCTGGACCGTCTTGCCGTCGATTTGCGCTGCAATGGAGACATGCTGACCAATCGGCAGACCCAAGATTTCCTGCGATGTAGGCAGCTCGAATACGAACTTGTATGTGTTGGGTGCAAGCAGTGTCTTCTCGACCAGAGGGAGTGTCTGATAGTCGGTGGGGTGCAACCAGCCTCGTTGTAAGAGAATTTCCGACTTGACTGGCTTGGGCATCTTGAGATGGGAAGGGTACTTGAACGGATCTCCGTGAAAGTCCAGAAGCTTCATGGCCTTCTTGGCCGCAACGGTACCGGCAATGGCAACGGCTGCGGAGGCTACTAGGACCCCCTCGAAGAATCCGAACCTTTGACCCTTGGGACCGCCGACTTTAAGCCAGCTTGCCTTGGGAATGATGGCGGATGGGAATGCGCTGATTGCATGTCCACCGCCGATTTGAGGAGCAAAGTAAAGACCAACTGCGCCGACAGCTACCACGACAGCACCAAGCGCCTTTGGTACAGCACTTGACTTCTGCGCTTTGGGCTTGGGCGTCGCAGCCACGACTTTGACAGGCTTCGGTGCAGATTTCTTGCCAGCTCCCTTGAGGATACCGATTTGGTACCTCTCCATGATCTCGAAGGCATCTTCACTATGTCCGGCATTGTCAAAGGCTTCTGTCGCGTCACTGCCGCCGGCCTCTACCAGGATATCAGCACCACCTGGGTGGTCGTGAACGTATTTCGTTACATCATAGACTATGCCAGCTGGTTAGCTTTTGCTCAAACCTACACAACTGAGGAAAAAAACTTACCCTTTCCTTGGATCACCATGAAACAGTCATCTGCCTCTCTGTGGGCGGCGACATCTTTGGACGTGAACTCTGTAGTAGCCATTTTGAAGATATTAGAGCTGTAAGAAATATAGCTATGTCAAAACAGAATCAATGAAACCCAAGGTTCGGACGTCAGGGCTGGATAAAAGGGCGAGCGACCTTAAAAGGGGGTTTGTCAAGCTGCCGACGGCGAACAGCGACTAGGCACAGATATCACCAATGGCATGACAAGAGGTGAAAACACCATGAAATGGATTTTACGAATATCCACATTTCTAGTTTTCGTCGGCGCATGGGTGAGAGATGCCGAGGCTCGAGGCTCGCGGAAACGCGATTTAGAGCTTTCTAGCGGGTCAGTCGCGCAGAACGAGAGAATTGCAGATTGCCACAGGGCACCCGGGGATCCACGCCCGGTGTCACGGCGCCACTACGGCATAAAACGGACATTAGCAGTAGCGTGGCAATGCGTCCTGCATCTGTAATCTGCAATATGTAATATGTAATCTGCATTGTGCCATGATGCAGGGCCATGAGGCTGGCGCTTGCCTTGTAGGATTATCTGTTACTTCAGAAAGTAACACATAGGAGGACTGATGCAAAATGATGAGGTTCTGCGTCGGGTCTCGAAATACTTCCACCACGCCCTGCAACCACAGGGGTCGTCCAGCGTGTTTCATTGGTCAATTGGTCGTCAACATACCTAACGTTATTGTAGGCAGTTACTGGAGGTTGCGCTTTATCATGCAAAGTACCGCATTGTTATCCGCTCGACTAGACACGATGGGCAATGCTCCCGGCAGATGGACATGCTAACGAGCCCCTAGCTCGATGGCTCGCCATTTGAGATAGAGCGATTACCATTATTTCCGCACCATAGACCCCTGCGCCGATCCTGCCCCGCTGTAAAGTGTCCCTTGGAAAGCCACTGACGCAAAGTCTAGAAACGTTCGATTCCGAGATAATTACAATTCCTGCGACTTCGATTGAGCTGTCATGAGAGAAATTGTGGATTGCGAACACTCCCCGGGGCCGTAAATGGATATCAAATGGATATCATTCGAAAACCCCGTCGGTCTTTGCGCTTGCGTTGTCGTGTCGTCTTATCTTAACGGGTCCCCCGAGCCGAATCAAATTTTTTACTTGCCTCGGCTCGGCAGAGCTCCACTGAATCGATTTGCGATCAATCAATCATTGACCCCCTAGATGACACTATCGACAGTCGACGGTTCGCCCCGGGAGCCTTAAATATCGTCAAGATGCCGTTGCGATGCGCCACGTTACTTCGAGAGACTTGGAGTATAGACATTGATTCACAGTCCTGTTGCACATAACTCTCATAATGACTTCAAAACAATTCTACCTCCTGGGCGAAGACCCTGTGGTCAACGCCAAGGAGATTGACATTTCCTCCGTCACAGATGAGGAAGAACTTAAGCACACCATTGCCGCGCACTTTGCTATCGTGCAACCATCAGGTATGTCGCAGAGCAACTATAGATATGTACATACGTATGAAAAGTCACTAACATCAGACCAGGCGTTGGCTTCAGCTCTCAAAGTATCAACTTGACAACTGTTGCAGATGTGCTTGCAGCCGAAGGGCCTATTGCTATCAACATTGACGGCAAGGCTGTTCGCGAGGTGCCTGGCCCCGCAGGACTGCCTTTCCTAGGTAACTACTTCGAGGTCTACCCGGACCACCTGGGAAACCATCAGAGACTTTTTGAGCAGTACGGGCCTCTGTTCAAGACTACCAACCTCGGTAGTGTAGTGTATCACACGAACGACCCGGTCCTCGCCTCCATCGTTTTCGGTGAGACTGATTTCTTCACAAAGAAGATCATTCCCGGACATCCTCTGCACCCTATCAAGAACAAAGAAGCGGGAGTCTTCCTTGGCGACACTGATACAGAGGAATGGCGAACCGCTCACAAGTTCTTGCCGCCCGCGTTTGGTCCCAAGGCCGTCAGACACTATGCACCTACCATGCAAAAGACTGTCGAGGATGCGTTCAAGGTGTTTGACGAGCTTGACCAGAGAGACGAGGCTTGGAATGTGTACCCTTACATGTTGAAGCTCGGTGCTCAAGCTGTCGGCAAGCTGGTGCTGGGCATGGATTTCAAGCACTTCAACGCGGTTGACCAGCCACCACACGAGATGGTCATGAGAATCGCGCAATCCCTGACACTCAACAAGAAGGTCACCTCGATGGGTGCCTGGTATGCCCACATGCCTTTCGGCGCCCCCAAGCAGCTTCGTGATGCCAGAGGCCGAATCGTCGAAATGGTTGAAGAGTCGATTGCGGCTGCATCCAAGGGTATTGAGGATCTGGAGCTCCAGGAAGCTGCCCAGCAGGCTGAGAACATGGTTGATTACGTTCTGCGTGCCACAGACTCGAAGGGCAACAAGCTGCCCAAAGACAAGATCATGGAGCCGCTTGTTGTTGCTACCGGTGCCGGTTTCACTACCACCAGTTCGCTGCTATCATGGCTGCTGTACGGTCTCGTGGCCTACCCTGGTAACCAGGAGCGTATTCTCCAGGAGCTTGTCGACAATGGCTTTGACGAGAACACGCAAATCACTCCCGAGCTTACCCAGAAGCTCACGTTCCTCGACAAGTACATCAAGGAGACCCAGCGTCGCCACAACCCCAGCTACCAGCCCGCGCGTACTTCCAAGGTTGACATGATCCTGCCTGGTGGCTACAAGCTGCCCAAGGAGCAGATCGTCATCCCCGCCATCCACCACATCCACAACAACCCCAAGCTCTGGGAGAACCCCACGCAGTTCGACCCTGACCGCTGGGACACCGAAAAGGTCAAGAACCGACCTACCGCCTCCTACATCCCGTTCGCCACCGGTCCCAGAATGTGCATCGGCTTCAACTTTGCCCTGCAGGAAGTCAAGGTCTTCCTGCCCAAGCTTGTGTACAGGTACAACTTCAGCCTGGCCAGCGATGGCCCCTTGGAGTACGACCCCATGTTCCAGCTCATCAGGCCCATGAACCTCTACGTCAGGGCCGAGCGACGGGTGAAGTGGCCCGCCAAGAGCGAGTAGAAAAGGGAATAGGATAAGATGGCATCGTGAAACTACGATTCGGTTGTCATAGTTATGTGTAATATTGCATTAGTCGGCGTTTAGTGGGATGTCTGTCATTTTTCACAAGCATCATACCCCTTCATAGACTTGAGTTAGAGTTAGACCTTAGACCTAGACCTAGAATTGGAAGTGGTTGATTGAGCAATCTTAAGATTCTGTATCATTTCGCCTCTGACGTGATCCGCTCCGTGAGCTTTTTCTTTTTTTAATGTTTCGGTTTCCAAATTGGATACATGATGGATTTAAAAAGTAATACATGTAGTGGGCGGCTTTGTTGGGCTAAATGGCCTTGACCTAATTACCTCCAGCACGAACACGTATCAAATGGCCACCCAGATAACCCTGGATGTGTTTCTAATCATCGCTAGCAGAGCCTATATTCTCCAACTGTCTAGCTGGTATCATTCAAAATATTGCTAAATGACAAGTGGCCGCGGCTTGATGGGACATCAGTCAAAGACTGCTAATTCGCTCGCGAACCCCGGGGCAACACTCTCAACCACGTTCTCGAGATACTCTTTGCTGAATGGATAATCGATATAGCCCTTGGGTTGCGCCGGAGTATAGAACGTGCTCCGATCGTACGCATTCGGCTCAAGGCTCCTTTTCAACCTGAAGACCAGGTCCGGCGTGCTCAAGAAGTATCTGCCGAAGACGACAGCCGTGTCGTACCGCGCATATTCCTCGTCCACGGCCGTCTTCGCAGAGTCCAGCTTGAACCCGCCAGCGACGAGCACGGGGGACTGGTTGCCCCATGCCTCGAGCATGAAGTCGACGCTTTCGGTCTTCTCCACGTCCTGCCAGTTATTCACCCTGGACTCAATGATGTGGAGGTAGGCCAGCTGGAACCGCTTCAACTGCTGCACCAGATGTGTGAAAGTCGGCACGGGATCGGCCATCCGCATCGCCTGGAAGCTGCTCCAAGGGCTAAATCGTATGCCCAGTCTGTCGCTGCCGATGGCATCCGAGACCGCTCTGACGGCCTCGACCGCGAACCTGGCTCTGTTCTGGACGGAGCCGCCCCATTTATCCGTTCGCTGGTTGCAAGTGTCTTGAATAAACTGGTCTATAAGGTACCCGTTTGCACCATGCAGCTCGACTCCGTCGAACCCGGCTATGATGGCGTTCTTGCTCGCGGACACGAGATCGCCGATGCAGTCCCAGATCTCCTCCTCCGACATCTCCTTCGGCGTCCGGCTGCTGCTGTCTATGGGGACGGCGCTGGAGCTGACGCAGGGATACGGCTCCCCGGCTGCCCGGCCCGGCGCGCATATCTGCAGAAATATGTGACACCCTTTGGCGTGGACGGCGTCCACGATATCTTTCCAACCCTTGATCTGGGCAGCCGTCCAGATTCCCGGCATCTGGTCGGCTGCGCAGTGCCGTGCCGACGGCATCGTGGCTTCAGCTATGATGAGACCGCCCTCCGTAGCCCTCTGGGTGTAGTACTCCTTCGCGATGGGCAGCGGCACGTGGTCCCTGTCACACCGCAAGCGGGTCAGGGGGGCCATGACGACACGGTGTTGAAGCTGGACGCGGCCCAGCTTCAGGGGCTTGAAGAGCTTAGTGGTCTCCATTTTTGGAGGCGAGACGCTTTTAACAATGGGAATGCGGCCTCTCGATGCGGTTGGGATGAATGTTGACACTTGTTAAGAGACACCGTTCATGTCGATCCTCGGGAACCGTTTTATTTCAGGCTGGTCTATGTGGAGTCGCTGATTAAGCACGAGGCGAACGGAAATATTTCTGATACTATCGCCAAGCATCCCACGCTAAGGTGCCCCATGAAAATGTGGTCCTGGTGGAGCTCAAAACATGAGTCCAAAGCAGGGCTGGGAATTGCGTAAGGTTGAAAATCGCGGCGGTTGAGATATGCTCAATTGCAAATGTGACATCAGTAACGTGTCGGAACTTGTAAAATTCAATCGTGTCCGTGATATAGAAACACGGTCATCGTGAGTGAGTGTCAAACAGTAAAGAACTCTCGGGTTATACACCATTCTCCATCAAACCCATAAGGCAGCGAATTAAACTCAACAAAGTCGCCCCTGCAGTCATCGTCGTTGGTGGTTCGAAGTTCAATCTTGATGAACTTCAGCCGCATAGTCTCAGGTACGAGCATTTCAGTCATCTCGGGTGGCAAGTCATGTATGAAGCCATCAGAACCCTCCTCGAGATCTATGGCTCTTTCGCAAACTTGAATGACTATGGTCCTATTCCAAAGACCTTCTTGCATGGGTGCTCTATGTAGCAGCGCTAAGGCCGCACGTCGAAGGACAGGATCCCGGCATTTGGTGACTATGATGTACAGCGTGGGTATTAGAGCTAGTTCGGATGAGAACAAGGCAAATCTGCCAGACTGTTCCATGAGGTCCAGGACGTCTCGAGCTCCACTGATCGCGTCCCTGATTAGAGGAAGGTAATTGTCGTATATCATCTCTGATCGTCCGATGCTTCCTACAAGCCAAATCTGGATAGATTGAAAGCGCAGCAGAAGCATCCCACAAATGATTTTATGCCAAACCGGATCCGCCGATTGCGTTTGAGTTTTTTCATAAGTGAGGAAGCGCTCGTGCCATAAATTAAGGGAAGCTTCGATGTCGCTTTGACGGAGTAAGAGTTCCTTATAGGCTTCGAAAAGGCCATCACGATTTCCCCCTGGGTCTTCTGGTGGCAACCGCGGCATCCATTTCAACTGCAGGCCCTCTGCTGCGACATTAAACGCCTGAAGTATCAAACTAGGCGTCAGAGTTGAGTGAGGATGTGTCCAGGCTAAAATACAGCAGAGCAGAAACACGTACCTTGTTAACTCTTTCTGAGCCTGTCCTGAAGTAAGGATTTCTCCATCAAGTTGCGCACTATTCTTGTGCGCTACCACAAATGAACCTTCAAACATTGACCATTGAACAGAGAGCTGTGAAAACGCGTCTGCTAAGGCATTTTTAATCGAGTTGCCTGATTTGGTGCTCGGCACGAGATGAGTTGGGCCGCCGCGTTCAAATAGCTGTAATGCTTCATATTCATGTCCTTGTAGGGCTTCAATGGAGAAGAAAAGAAGACATGTTATTCCCGCCAGGTTTGCATCTCCCTTACCAGACTGTATCAACTGCAATGTCGACCGGATTGCTTCTTGATAGTGATGAATCGCGAACGAATCCGTAGCGCCCCTTGACACAATAAGAGAGCTTGGCGTTGCAGCCGAAGCGTCATGCTTCAGCAGTAGAGATCCAACAGCGATGGCAGCGTGCCTTATAGCAGACTCTGAGGTGCTGAGTTGGGGGATCCACCGGCGCCAAAGCTCAACCTCATTCTGACAACCTAGAGCAAACGCACCGCTTTTTAGAAAATAGTCAAACGCTCGATGTTCATCTTCGTTGTGCGTGAAACTAGTCACCAGCAGACCCTCTGATAAGAGTCGTTGAACATTGTCCAGCGGGGAACGTGACGCATTTTGCAAATCAGGTGTCGAGAATCCTTCACACCTTCTCTTGGTACTCGTACAACGAAGGCAGCAAGGCTTTGCTTCGTCGCACTTGATTTTTCTTCGTCTACCGGCTATATTTAGCTCATATGCAAGGAAACTCGCTGAGTGAGGCTAGGATGATTGACGACTAACTTGCAGGTCATGCACCCTGTTCGCTCTTTGCGGTTTCCAAGTCGTCCGCCATTAGGGCGGCCAACAGCCGGCAGTAGCCTCATTGAGATTCAAGTTACAGACTCGATATGTTGTAGGGCATGGTAACCAGGCTCGAAATAGGGGGATTTGTCCTGCTTAAGAGCTCGCATTGTGGAGCTGAGTGCGAGCAATAAGCGGCACAGCCTATATTTCGTCCCGATTGGTCTGCTCGGACTGTGGGGAGGATCCGGGGCTGTGCAGATTGCGGAGGATCGTAGACAATTTCTCACTACTCCGCATGTGAACATCGTATGAACTATAACACGTCGATGCATGGTGTCAATTTGCTCTTAGGGCTGAGGAATCTTCAGCGGTCCTCTCTCGGAATAACTGAAACTAAATCGCACAGCCACTTCGCCAAAGTCAGCTTGAACGGCTGTGTGAGTTGCGCAGCCTTGGCCCCGCAGTGCGAGATGATAGGTCTCCCTTCGTCAACTTAATCTCTGGATGTCGTTAGATGCCATCAACAACAGTAAGATTAAGCTGGCCAGGGGTGGCTTCTTCAAAGTATGCACTGGTAGAGCTACAATGGCAAAGACCAGGAATGTTGTTTTCTATAAGAGTCGCCGCCAGCGCTACCATAAAGTTCCATCCGGTCACTCGCTATTCATAAACCCCGAATCTTTCATATAACCCGAAAATGCGGTGTAATCAATTGTTCCAAGCAACTGTGTTTTCAGTGTTAGTCTCGCTGCCCAGCACGCTGGCAGCGCCGAATCAACCATGTCCCCTGCTAAACGCCTACTATCCTGCTCCGTCCAATTTGACGTTGAGTAGTCATATTGCATCTGCTGTCGAGAGTTCAGAGAAACAGCTATTGCAGGCTTTCAAAAATGGGTCATCTTTTGGTCTGTTAGACGCAAACACGACTGCGTTTTCTGTGGAATTATATTCTCTTCATAACGATCAACCCTTGTTCACCTACCATCATACTCCCGAGCTCTTGAGCAGCCAACACACGTCTGGCGTTAGCACTGTCGACTCAAACTCGGTCTATCGCATTGGCAGCGTTTCGAAGCTCTGGACAGTCTTCATCTATCTCATTGCTGCGGGTGATAGTTCATGGAACCAACCCATCACAAAGTTCGTTCCGGAGCTCGCTGACATCGCGCAAAAAAGACCTGCGTCAGACGACGGGATCAACAATGTATCTTGGGAAACGATCACAGTAGGAGCATTGGCGAGCCAAATGGCCGGGATCAGTCGAGATGCGGCCTATTCTGGGGCGTTGGCAGCCGGTCTCGAATCACTAGGACTCCGAGATCAAGGCGGCAGTTCGCATTCGACTTGTGGTGATGCAGCCAGATCAATGCTCCCATGCAATCGTACAGGTAAGACTATTCCTGGTTTCGGCCGCTCATATATTATACTGACAAGACCTGCCAGCATTCTTTGCAGATTTCCCAACTCAGCATCCTGTCACCCTCTCTTTCAATACTCCAGTGTACTCGAATGCTGCATATCAGATACTAAGCTATGCACTCGAAAACATCACGGGATCCTCCATGGAACAGCTCTTCGCAGACTCCTTGGTTAAACCACTGTCCTTGAACGGTACCTATTATAACACCCCAGCAACAACGGACTCATCCATGATTCCCATCAACTCCACGATTAGCTGGTGGGATGGAAATACTGAAGACGAGACGCCGGCGGGAGGGTATTACAGCACACTCAACGATATGCGCGCCGTTGGGAGAGCAATGTTGAATTCGACGCTGTTAGACGCCGCGACCACTCGAAGTTGGATGCAGCCCAAGGCGTTCACTTCCAACCCAGATATTGCGGTCGGTGCGCCGTGGGAAATCATCCGTGCACCCGGCAGTCCAGTTTCTTGGATGTACACCAAGTCCGGTAACCTTGGTATGTATGCATCTCTCGTGGGTCTTCTCCCAGACCTAGGTTTGGGGTTCACTGTGCTTGCTGCAGGAGAGCATCCTACCACGCAAGTCTCGACGGTGGCCAGTATTGTTACCGCGAACTTTGTGCCTGCAATGTGGGACCAAGCGAAAGATGAGACGGAGGCTACCTACGAAGGCACCTACACTGACGAGACCACCAACTCAACGCTGGCTGTCGCTGTCGCCTCTGACAACTCCGGTCTCATCGTGGAGCAATTCAGTCTAGGAGGTGAAGACGTGATTGCTTTACTGGGGTCGATGCTAGGATCGCAGTTGACTATACGGCTATACCCTATGGGACTGAGCGCAGCGGGAAGTAATGGTACAACCCGAGTTTCATGGCGAGCCATCTTCACTCCATCGTCAAAGTCGGCACAAACACCATTCAATACTTGCACTTCCTGGGGAACAGTCAATCAGTATATATACGGGGGGGTTGGATTGGATGAATTCGTTTTCGTTCTAGACGCCAGTCAAGGGAATGCCATCAGCCTTGAGTCAAGTGTTGTTGGAGTGTCGCAGTCAAAGGTTAAGACTGCAACGGGCGGGGTGAGCATGATCAAGTGCTGAGTAGAAGTTTTGCATCCTCGAATATGAAAATGTGTGGAGACGAGTAATCAGAAGAAATAGAATGCGACAAGGAAATAATCAAATGTAAATAGAAATAACATCCCCTGACTCGTGATGAGTGAGTCAAAAATTAAGCAGGTGTGCAATTGAGCCAATCAGATATTGATCCGCTTGCTATGACGTTCCAGTGGCTTAGCTGGAAGCGCTCAGCCCCCCCGGGCGAATCTGCGGGCTGAAGCCTCAAGACATGTCACACATGATTTCCAACATTCTTCGCGTGCCTCGCGATAAGTATCCTGTGACTGCAATCACGTTGTACGCATGAGTTAGAGCAAACAATGCCATTTCGTTGTTTGTGCGGGCATTCATCAAACATTATTAAACAGCTGCCCATGTAGCGCATGCGCAAACTAAAGTCCCTTCTGCGGCGTCAGCCGCGCAACTCACATAAGATGGTTTCAGCATCAGCCGAAAGAGGGGAAGAGACAGCCATGTCGTGCGAGAATCATCCACTGTATCAAGAGCAGCGCCCAAATCTTGAACTCACGTTTTGTGGCAAGAAGAAACAGATTGAAACTCAATTTCACGACTTTCATCAGGAAGCAATTCCTGATGTGAAAAGCCAGACCGATCAGAGAAAGGAGAAAAAGAATTGGGAAGGCGAGGCTCTCGCAGAGACTGAGCAGATTAAGATTATCAGCAACTGGGCGTCATTCGAGGTTCAACAGTATCCGAAAAAGCCTGCCCAAGCTGGTATGTCCATGGTTCATTTGCTAGCATATCCCATCGAGCATATCAGGAATGGTGTGGATTTGACAGTTGATAATGTCGGTCTCATCGATGATATGATTCAGCTTTTCAAAGGTGCTTGGGCGAATGAGACAGTGCGAAACAAAATTCTGCGGCTCCAGCTCGACGCAGTCGAGCGCCGTGCCAAAGCGATTGAGGATGAGCCTTTCGGCAAGGAAGCCAACGATGCGGCTCTTGCTCATTACCGAGTTCTCGAGTCCAAGGTCACATCTGGTCAGCTCAAGTTCGAGGACTTCCACTTTGGCTTGCACCTCCGACCAGACAACAGTGCCGACTACCTTCATCTTCATATAATTGCAGCACCTTATGAATATCGCAAGTATAGCACCTCAGAACATGACAAGAAAACAAAAGATGCGATTGAGGTCCGTGATGTTATCAGAGACGATGCACGCCCAATGGGAAGAGTTATGACTGGATCGAAAAGCCCATCTATCACGGAAGAAGGGGCTCACCAACAAACAGTAGAGCCCTCTCGATAATTCTGGATTTGGGGGCGGAGTTTTTGGTTGGATTACGTGTTATGATAGAGTTATGATTACTTATTCTGCTTCGGCAACACCGGGCTCTATGTATCTTCCCTATTTGCTTTCTCACATCGAAACCTATTACACGCAGATTATGGGCATTATGGGAAGTCGGTCTTCATAGGGCAACTTCTGCGACCGGAATATTTGCCACGAGGACGTGGCAATTCTTAAGCGTATTAAAATTTTAATCTGTAGAAATGAATTCTGAGTCGCCTGAACATGTAAGTGCACTGCTATTTATGCATAGGCTCCGGAGCCGAATGACTTTCGTATGCTTACCATAAATTCCTGTTTTCAAAATACATTACAATAATGATCCGAGCATCATTACTGTAAGAAATCGCCCCCTATCTAAAGACGTAAACAACCTAAAATGCAGTCTTGGAAACTGCATAGGCACATCAAGATCCAACAATGATACAAATTCAATGTCATGATTGCAAGCAAGATACTGAATCTGGTTTTGCTAGCATTGTCAGACACTAACGTGAGACTAACGTGAGACTAACGTGAGAGATAAACATCTACCGAACCGTAGGACGAGCCTACATTGACAAAACTGCACCTAGCGAGTCCATAAGCTATGACAATGTCAAAAGGAATATTCCCATTTCGGGCGCCGTTCAAGGTACCGGCTTTGTGGCCGCACGCCAACTTCTATCATCAGAACAATAACACCGTGTCTTTCTTTATCAGAATATATTCTATATTCTTAACGTACAAACCTCGCTAATCTCGATGAGAAGGAGCATGAGTATTGAACAAGCACTCATTAAAGGACTACCACCTGCGCGTCAACTACATGACCGCCACTTTGCAGGAGTTATCAGCAATCCGAAGTACCGCCAAGAAGGCCGGCAACGAGTTCGGAGGAAGGATGGACAACGTCCTTGTCAGTAACGCCGGTATTTCACGCGCAATGTGGAGCGGCGACCGGACTACTGAGGGACCTCTGTGTCAGCATATGTGGAGACAAACCTGAGCGACCCGTTTCTGACATCGCAAGCGATTCCATAATTATATTAGATCGAAAGAAGTACAGAAGCCTGACCGAACTCATTTCGCCGCTTGTATCGTTCACACCTCCAGCTTCCATGCTCATAAGTCGGATAGGCGGTTACCAAGGCTGACATCATCAGTCCAAGGCGCTCATGGAATGGCGGTCTCTCGTTAGAATATATGCGATAACGCAATCTTGCTTGGCTGGATCAGGATCGTTCCTGAGTGTTACGAAGGAGACGTAAACGGTAGGAAGTGGGGGAACAAACTTGATCCGGACGCCCATGAGAGTCACCCTGCCGGACGTGCTGGCAGAGGCGAAGACATCGCTGAGACAGTCAAGTACTTGATGGGCGCTGGCTTCATGTCCGAACAAGAAATAGTTCATGGTGGCCAGACAAGGATAAGCATAGAAAAATTAATGATGAATATGTGAAGCATAGCCAGTATAGCCCTGTCCTCTTTACCTGGAAGGCTTTACTACGAGAATCATTCAAATGAAATATTGCTTTGACCTAACATAAGTAATACAAAACAGAAAGACCGCCTTAATCGCGTCCAAATCTTCCTAGTATTAAAAGGCTCGCCACCGACGCTTACTCCTTCTGCTCTATTCCAGCGAAATTCAATATGGAAGTGACGCTGTCGTCGCACTCGACCTCTAGTCTAGCATACCCCAGCCGTCATACTACCATAGGTATTCCTTCGCAAGTTTATATTGGATTTTTGCAGGACTCGTATGTCTAATTGCTCATGAAGATCTGCCAACTCCTGCCGCATTCGCAATCCCTGATCGCGCCATCTGTCTACTTTTAACGTCTGAACCTTCAGGCTTGCCTCAGTCTGTTGTTTGATGGACATAACTTCGTGCAGTTCGCCCTCCGAGCGCGTCAAACTGGCTTCCAGATTCTTGCATCTCTCCATGGCCTAGTCAGCTCTTGAACTCTCAACATGCAACTCTATCTTGCGCACCCTAGCATCTCTCTGGTGGATATCGATCTGCTCCCAAGCAGCTGTAAGTTTCTCCCTAAGTCCCAGTTCTTCCGGCAATGCGGCATTGCAGAGCTCCTTGTACTGTTCTCGCTCCCTTTTCAGGTTATACATTCTCTCGCCAAGTTCTTTGAGTGTTCTCTAGTGGCTCTCAGCCTACTTCTTGAATTCGCGCTAATTCTCGCGCACATGGATGCCGTGAGAATTGTTGCTGGCACTCAAGAGTCGGTCGCAGCTTTGTATCATGTTGTTCATGTCTCGTCGCAGATTATTTTCTAGCTCCATGACCCGCTGCCGCCACTCGTTATCGCGGCTGCGAAACTCAAAGCCGAGTTCCTCCTTCTATAAAGAAATTCGCTTCTAATCGTCTCTCAGACCTTCTATTTCCTTTTGTGATTGGTCGTAAAGCTTATGCAGTTCTCGAAGATTTCTCTCTAGTTCAACTTGACGGTGTTTGGCAGCCGCTCTGCTGATAAAGTAATCGAAAGAACTCATGTAAAGATATAGAAGCACTGCGTAAAAGCTATGCATGAGCGCGACAGTGATAGCGAACATTTCCGGCAAAATTGGTGTCAACGCGACAACAAGGTGCCGGTCGCTCGTGCGGATTTTCTCAGCTATTTGCTCGAAAAGCCTGCAAATATTGCCTGAAACTGAGGGGTCTGTGAGTACAACGAGCACAGGCAAGCCGAATATCAGAAAAAGGAGGTCCATCTTGCCGTGGACGTATTCAACTGCTGGGAAGTCGATAAGAGAGATTCCTGGGGCAAATCTGGCTGGTGTAGTGTAACTACAAGAAAAATGAGCTCTTGGAGTATTTGAACTTTTGGACAGCTGTACAGCGCTTTAATATCTTTCAGAAGATTCACCTGAATGTGTAGTCTCGATCGATTGTGTATGAAAGGCGTCTGACTAGCGTTGGTGCTTCTCATTGTTATGATTGCCTGCTCACATGATTCATAGGAGATTGTTTAGAACTGCAAATGAACTTCTTGTTGTTCTAATTGGGTTCTATGAACATCGACTTTAACAAGCTTAGACTCTAACGAAATAATCTCGCTGTGAAAAGTGATGTTTGAACAATCCATTGTCTCACATCCAAACTCATTAAGGAGGAATGACTTTTAGCATAACATATTCATTGCTCATTGCGGGCGGTAACAAGAGTGTTTGAATGGGGCCAACAAAGCCCTGAGACCAGCGACCCAGCAACCCAGCAACCACCTGCACAGTCGCTGCTGAATGTAATTCTCATGAAGGAACCCTGAGAGATCGCCAAGAAACCAGCCAATTTGACCCGTCAAACGGAAAAGACCTTATATGGCACAGTAATCCAGAAGTTTTCAGCCCTTCAGGGGTACTACGGTATACTAGTCAACTCTGTAGAGTCCAAGCTTCAATGTATAAATGTGAATGTAAGTACGTTAAATTACTGGAGTAGATTGACTAGGTAGTCGGTTCGAACCTTTCACATACCCTGTTGACCTCAGCTGCATCATGAAATCGGGCTGTTACGCAAGCTTCCTCTTTGGGGTTCATGAGTAGCTGACACGGTGTGAGAGAAAGGCAAGAAATGACTTTGGAAAGTAGTGTACGGTGAATCAGATAATAGAATATCAAACTGTCTTTTCTTTTCCCTATCTATCTTTTGTAGATGCATCACCATGCAAGCCGTTAAGATTTTTAGTTTAATTTATTACTACCTAGTTAGCAGCCAAATCACTGCAGGTTTACCGAACGACGAGTATGTTATAACAGAGCCGCTCTTCATTCCAAGTTCAATCGTCAAGCTGAAGCTAACGAGAAGATCTTTTTAAACCCTGGGTTTAAAATCCCAATTTCACCAGCTGCCATTCCTTTTTTAACAATGCAGACGCTGAGATAAGAGGTCAACCTCAACGCAGTCAACAGCGATACCATTGTCCGTGTGCCCGGTCATTACAGTACAAAAACCACCTGGGTTTAGTTTCAAATGGCCGGTTAGCCACCTTCACTTACTTTCTACTGTAGTAGACGCCCATTCGATGCATCACTCGGAGCCACCTTTGTCTCCAATGCTGAAGACCAGTTTTTGCGACGACAATGGAGGGTACTCATGGTCCCTATCACAAATTCGCTGATGGATGGGAGGAAAGTGCTGGTGTCCATGCCATCAGGAATGGCTGTCATCGATTTGACAAGGCCGAGCACTAATATACTTTCTCCAGCGACCAATACTAGAACTGATAAGCATGGACATGACTGGCAGTGAGGTAGCGATTATGATTGTCCGAGTTCGGCTCGAAACACATGAATATTAAACAATCGAGATATCGTGGCAATTTCATTAGCGGCCATGTCCACGGAGACCGGAGAAGACGCGATGTTCATGAACGCTGCAACTAAAGCCTCGGTGGACGTACTATTGTCTTGGCGCCCGGTTGCGCGGCACGAGGCAGGGCAGGCAGGTTTTACGGTTTAGACATGACGCAGGCCAAGACGTAGTGAGTAGCAGGCGCGGGTTGAGGCATGGCGGAACTGTTGAGCGAAAGCCATGGGGCCAGGGGGCTTTGGACTACCGAACTGAGAGATCATAGAGTGTGGCCTTGGGGGTGAGTTTGCAGACAGCTGACTAAGGGCATATACCATTCACGTGACTATAGCATGCACAACTATACCAGTGATCGCTTTAAATCAAAGTGCGCCAAAAGATCAGGGCTCCAGAATCATGTGCTCATCACAAGAGATACCGGTACACTATAATAGTGTATGTAACAAATCAATCTAGAAGGGTTTATAAAAAGGGTATCAACAAACTACATAATCATAACAAAGCCCCCGGTCTTTTACATAGCCAAGAAGCCAGCCAAACCGGCAAACCCGGCCAGGGCCCAGACAGCCACCCCCTTGGCGCTCAACCCAGGAGCGGCGTTAGCAGCGGCGCACGTAGCCGCGGGGTTCTTGGTCTTGTCGGCGCCGGCCGTGATGGCGACGTCGTAGCGAGCATAGCTGGTGCCCGTGGCGGTGGTGGTCGACGTCGTCGACGTCGAGGTCTGGCCGACGGTAGCGAAGACCGTCGCCGTGCAGACGGCCGCCGTCGTGCCGCTCAGCGCGCATGTCTCCGCGATGGTGATCGCCACGCCCGTGCCCCGCGTCGAGGTAGACGTCGCCGTCGAGACGATGTACTTGGATGGGCCCTCGGTAAGGGTCACGACCTGTTGTGGAGAGCGACTGAGTCAGCAAAGTCCGAAGGTGGGAGGGTTTAGAAGTTGAAAATAGACTTACAGGTCCGTCGCTGCCGCAGCCCGAATCTATGTTTCCCAAACCTGGCACATACGTTGTGGAGGGTCCGGCGGTGCATCGGGCGGCGTAGACCGTCTGGTCGGCGCAGGCCGTGACGATGGATGCGGCGTACTCGTACTCGGTGTTGCCCCCGGAATCGATGTAGAGGTTTACAGTGTCTGTCTGGTTGCCGGTGCTCGAGTCGTTTCGAGCGTGCAGGTGCGGGTATGCGACGGGCTCGGCGCGCGAACCGAGTTGGACGCCGGCCCAGTTGTTCAGGCCGGCACCGAAGGCACCACCATGGGGGTAAGACATTGTGTTATGCTGGGGTGTTGTGAAGAGTGGACGAGTCGTAACTTATATCACACTTGCTTGAGTGGTTCTCTGACTTGGATCGGAAGGCTTTCTCAGTCTTAATTGATGTGGTTTATCTACCAACTGCACTCACTCACGCGGCGGCTTCTGCTTCTATTTATCTCATCCGTAGCATGCGCCAAGTCCTACTGTGCCGCAGAAGATTTTCCTATCGAAATAACGGTTTAAGCTCAAGGACGACACTTAGCCCTGCCGCAATCTGCTGCAGAGGCGCATGAATGCTTGTTCCCAGACTTTTCGATCCTTCAGCAAGGGACGTGGTATGGAGGATTTACGGGGTCAGCACCATGGTTGACGTCTAAGCCTTGAAAGGAATTGCGCTTAGCCGTTTGGGGGCTCTTGGCCCTTCTGTGCCCTGCGCCGGTGCCGCTGCAAGTCTCGCAAGAGTGGTATTTTAGGCAGTAAATGTCTTGGCAGTGGGTATGGGAAAATCAAAAGCCAAATACCGCGCGCGCCTGAGGTGCGGCTGAAGTCAGCACAGCGGGGGACTTCAGCCAATGCCATTTATTGAATCCTCGGTTCTGCCTAACGTCGGTGTCAAAATGGATCACTACCAGAACATCATATGAGACAATAAGGTCCACATCATATGATCATGACTCCCGTCGCCTTTTGCTTTCAGGGGGCTGGCCCTTGCCGCAAGCTGATTTCGGACCTTGATGGCTGATAAACACTCTGACCTACTCATTCGGCCTAAACACATGTTTGGCGGGCCCAAATGTACTCGTCCATTGTCTGACACGCTTCCCGTAGAAGTACATGGGAATCGCGAGAAGTAAAACCAAAAACTGAATTCCGACCATCTCACCAAATGTCTGCACATAGTCAGTAGTGTTCCCGATCGTCGTCGGTAATCTGCAGCAGCCATGCTTCTACTTACGTTCTGCACGCCGCTCGCGGCCTGCCAGTTGTAGGTATACAGCGCCAAGAGCATTCCGATGGTGTTGCGAATGACAAACACCACGACGAGTGCCTCGCCCGCCAGCTAAGCAAATACACAATTTAGTGATGCTCTCCTTGCTGAGATGTTCGTTTGGGGAAGCTTACAGATTGATACCCATCCACCGAGTAAGTGACTACCACATTGCCGACCGCAGTGAGCCCGAACCCCTGCATGGCATACCCGACGGCCGCACCAATCCACGCCGTCTTGTGCGCAACACAGAGTCCGAAGACGAGTATGCCAGCCGGGCCGACGAGGGCCGGTATCAGGATCGCCGGGAGACGGTACTCTGGCTCGCGCCTGCCCTTGGCCCGCGTCATGCGCGTCGCGATGAGGTCGATGAGCTTGCCGCCGAAGAAGAAGGCTAGGCAGGCACCGACGAAGCCAGAGAGGGACAGGAGGCCGACCTCGCCCTGCGAGAAGCTGTATGGAGGCTTGATGAACGTCTGACTCGCCGTCAGCTGCACGACGATGTTCCACCCCACGAACACGCCGATGGTGAACCCGGTCCACGTGATGGGCAAGTAGGCCATCATGACGACCATGTTCCAGACGATCCCCCAGAAGCTCTCCTCCCTGTTGATCCCGCGCAGCACGTCCAGGTTCTGCACGATTGTCCGCTTCGCCGGGTATGCAGACGCTGGTAGGGTCGCCTCTGCCTGGGCACGTTTGTACGTTGACTCCCGAATGGTGAAGATGCCAACAACGAACGTCGCTGCGCCCGCAATCGCCAGGACACCACACATCCAGCGCCAGCCAGCACCCTGCACAATGTAGGCCATAATGAGTGGTCCGAGGAAGAAACCGCCGCTCAGGGCAAGGTGGTAGATCATCATCCAATGACCTCGCTCGTGGACAAAGAACAAGTCTGCCACCACGGCGGGGACCGTGGCGTCGGCAGCAGCGCAGGCGAAACCCGACACGATACGACTGGCCAGAAGACTTGCGTAAGTGCCTGCTTCGTAACTCCAGACGTTACTGCCCGTCATGAGCAGCAGCGAAACCAGATAAATGGGTCGCTTGCCGATGCATCGCATCAGTGCTACCCAGAAGAGGTTGCCCAGCCCGATGGCGAGCACATTGAAGCACACTAGGTATCCAGCTTGAGTGGTGGTGACGCCGAACTCTTTGGAGACTGGTGATATTGCCACGGAGAAGTTCGAAGAGTTGATGGTTGACAAGAGGGTGAAGAAGGATATCGTCAGGTAGGTCGCATATTTTTCCCGGGTCGGCCAATTCTATGAGAACGTGTTAGCTGGACGCGGACCTAACCCGAGCTGAGTGTGTCAATGACATACAAGGGGGTCATTGGGATCGTTCGTCGGCTGCGGGATCAGATCGCTCCTTGCGGAAATGCCCGGCTTTTCTCCATCCACTTCCTCCACCGAATCTAGTCCGTTTTCCATATGTTCGGTTTCCTCTTTGGCAGTCATTGTGGGGTGAGAGCGTATGAAGCGGTCTGCATTTCGAACCCAGAAACGTACGACTCGTCGAACGATGGGGATTGTGGAAAATAAGTCATTATAAGCGATGGTGCCAAGTACGTGTATAGAGGTCCGGAAATTCCGGTGCTTTGATACACTGGTTCTCGAGCCGCGTTGCACAGTTGACCCCGGTTTCTACCCCGCAGGCCCAGTCGATCCCCAGATTGAGAGTAAGATATTCTGCACATCCATAGCATCACCGCGGGGATGGTCCACGTACCCCAGTGTGGGCGGAATTGCCGAGTTCTATGGTGATTTGGATGCAGTATGATTGGGTGTCATTTTTGGTAACTTTAGCACAGATGCATATCGATAAAATGATTTATAAGACGGCGGGGTTTCATGTCCGAGAACCCGAGTATGTGGCATTTCAAAGCAGTTCTGTGCGTCTGAGGTGACGTCCACGGACAAGGCCTTTCTTCGAGTGTTGATGACACTTGTAGGTCAGAAGGCGACGGCTCTCACAATATGCGGGCGTTGTGCTGATAGCTTTGTTATTGATAGGTATATTATATGCCATGAGGCGTCCTTGGCAATATTCTAATTTCTGGCCTATCTTGCTAGGCTGTCTTGGTCAAGTAGTCATACTCCTCCTTCAATCTTCCGAATCCAATCTTGGGCTGGTAGTCCTCGACTCTCGTCGCGCCAAAGTCGAAAACCGAGTAATGGCGTCTCAAGAAGGTAGCACCGATGAGAGCAAAGCCATAGCTGCCGCTGTCGTCGATAGGCGGCATGCATTGGTCGTTGGGGTAGGTGAATTCATCGCCCCTAATTGTGAAGGTCACGTCGTCCGCCTCTGCGCCCTCACCAAATGTAAACGATAGTCCCCAGGTAGCGTTTAGATGCTGGCATTGCATGCGCTCCTCGCCATTCAGAAGCTTTGTGACATTCCAGCCAAGGTTGAAGTAAATCGGGGCAATGATCTCCGTTGGGACTGAGATACGGCCAGCGCCTGTGTCAAAGACAGCCGTGCCGTAGACTGGCCACGTGGTGTTGTATTTGGGAAATGTGCCTGCTGCATCACCGGTGGTGGGCATTTGACCGTTGTTCACAGCCACGGTAGTGTTGGTGCCCGTTGCGAGGACGTTGACGGAGCGAAGTGGTGCTCGCCAGAGCTGATAAGGGTCCTCAGCGCGCAGAGGCATGTAGACTACTTCGCCGTCGACATAGGTATCCTCGTGGCTTCCGCCGATGGTAAGGACACCATCCTGGTCGCCTGTATCGAGCAGATTTGTGCCGTAGAACAAAGCGAAGCGGGACGCGTCGAGTTGGTCGTCCCAAAGCAATGTCTCGACCAAAGTCGAGGTCTTGCTCTCAGCGATTGACGAAAAGGCGAGGCCGAGGAAGCCGTCAGCTGTGATCCAGCGCCAGCTACTCTCGTTCACGGAGAGGAAAGTCTGGTTCCATTGCACAGTACCCTTCTCGTCTTCAAACACATCCTGGATTGCAAATCCGTTGACGACATCGCCGTCGATATACGGAATGCGGGTGTACGAGTCCAAATCGACTGATGTGGAGGAGGCTGTGGCGTTATAGCCGACGCGGCTGTACGCGCTGAGGTTGGGGCACGAGGTGTCCGTGCAGTCGCTGTTCACCATCCATGCCGTTGCTGATCCAGTATCAAACAATAATCGGTACGGCTTGGCTGGGGAGCCGATCTCAAGTTCTATCGAGGACTGCAAACTCATTAGTGATCGATTCTACACTGAATGGCTTATTGTACCGGCATGGCTTACATAGGTATTCTGAATGTGAAGCGGGAACTCAAGCACAGCTGCCGATGCAGCCGCCGCAAGGGCGAGAAGAGTGAAGCCGCTCATCTTGACTGTGAAATGGCTGTTCCTGTCGAATTATATAACGAGTGAATGACAGTGTGAGGAGATGCCATTTCGAGAGCCCATGAGCAGCAGCAGCAGCTCTATTTATTTATTTATTTCTTACGTCTTGAGCAATACGAGTTTCTTGACGATCGTTCGCAGAACGTGGGGTCGCAGAGACCCTGGCAAGCATGGCCTGCCCAGGGTCAATATGTCGGCAAATACGAGATGCCAAACCCACCTTATGCTGGATTGGGTAGGCGTGTATCCAGTTTTTAAGATTCTTCTCTCATGCTTCTAATTATAATGCGCTTCGAGATCCCGTCATCTCGCTTGATTGATCTCTAACGTTCTACCGATCCGTATTGAGTAACAAGTCATCAACTGTGGATGGTTTTGGAGCCATACAACGATGATTTGCGGAGTTGCCGTGTGCACGTCGAGTGCCGAACAGCCTGGCGACGGGCAAGATGGCCCTAAGGTTACGCAGTTACCGTGCAGTCGGTTGAAGGCGGGTGGTCCCGCTGCCGCGAAAAGTTGATGCAAGCGGTGTATAATGTAGGATAAGACAGGTTATTATCACATCCAGGCCAATCAATGTTCCGGTTTATGTGGCTTCGTGGATTTCTGTGTTGATGGCTCGATGATCCTGCTCCTGAGCACCACCCGCATGGCAGCATAGCGAAAGAGACGGTGGCCAAGACTTGTCAAGATTCCACTGAGCTACGGGACATCTTTCCAAGTATGCAGACTTCTTCCTGCTGAGTGGCGTGCATTGTCGGCAATTGTTAGTGACTAGCCAATTCCTCTAGACACAAGCAAAACTTTGGAGGTGTGCTTGGGAAATCTTTTTTGAAAGAGCTGCCATTGGGAAACGGCTTCAAGATGAAGGAAGGGTGGATCGTTGTTGGGGATTGAGTACGGAGCATACCCACTCACAAACCGCTTGTTCAGCGTTGGTTACACGGGCCATGCACCAGAATGAAAGTGTTCAAAAGCTAGATTAGGTAGATCCGTTGTCTCCTACCATATTAGGAACGCGACATGCAGGTTCTATCATAAGTTTATTTTGAGCAACACAGACGAGATGGATTCTGGGGTACATAAGTGAGCATAAGCTTGCATGCTTACCTGACTCGGCTGCCCCGCTTCCAAGAGGCTCAGCCCTGCTCATCCCCTTGCTCTTCTCATCTACACTTTACGGGGTCATCGTGAAATCGCGAGATCAAGCAAGTCTTTGTCTTGAGCTCAGTTTTGTTTACTCAAAGCAAAACGCCAAAACCAAAGCTCGCAGTGTCGATAGGCTGAATATTCCCAAGACGCTTGCCTTCCACAGGGGATTATAGCGCGGTCGTATCAGCACCGCCACAGGAGATTTACGGAGCTCCCTATCAATACGACCACCAGGAAACTGGGCTCTTCTGGCTACTGCATACTCTTGGATCATCCATTTAAGTTGAGGATGGCCTCGGATGTGTTGTAACGCATGCACACGTCACGAGGAGTGACGGCGCCGCAGTGCCTAATGTGGCCTTGTAATATATGTAGGGCATCAAGATGGATACTCATGCGATAGACATAAATTGAAGATGAACATACTCTATTTAGTACAAATATGGACTCTGAACTACGTCATCTCTGGTGATGGGACCTATACATCCTCAGTCTAAAGAAAAAGAGTGTGACCATCAGGTCTACTAGATGCGCATGATGTACAAGAACGTATGGGAGACGATGGCATCGTCTCGGCAACTCGGCAAAAGACGAGATCGATGGCCAGCCTGGCCGAGAGCAGTGCTTCTCGAACTGGTACAAATAAACCCCATCAAAGAGATACCCCAAAATTAACGATTTCCAACATAATTCTGCGCGCCCGAGATATCTTACAGCTACAAATGCCCATGACAGGATCTTCGCTGTGTTGGGCATTAGCACTGATTGTTAACTGGGACTCTCACGGCGCGATCAATTACCACAATGGAGCTGATTATAGGTGAACCAAGTTCGAAATTGATAACTCCGTAATTGCAACGAGCGATTACGTATTTCTCAGTCATATCGATCATGAATCAACATCCGAAGAGCTGGAAAAGAAAATCCTGTTTTGGCGTAAGGAGTGCGATCGCTACCGCGAACGAACATGGAATTTTAAGTGGTTTTGAAGTGTAAGCCTTCGATGAGCAGAGGTATTCAACTTAGCCCGCAGTAAGAACAGTTACATCTCATGCTTATTTCAACAAAACCTAAGCGGCTGTAGTGTAGAGATGACCATAGGACCGCGCAAGAACCAGTTAGAATCCTTGTTCTCTTGTCAGCGGCAATCTGGAGACTCGAAGCCGATTCACCAGAAAACATGAGCTCTAAATCCGGCAATTTACATTATTATCGAGCCTCTGCGAACTTTTGCATCTTTATCCAGACAGCCCGTACCCAAGCTTCTAGGGAAGAGTCACATTGACTATATTGCGGCCTTCCGAACATCGATCATAGAGTCTAAAGTTCGATCTTGCTCAGTACACAGCCGAAAGATGGGGCAGTCCGCATGCTGATGTTGGCAATCCATCTTCTCGGCAAGGACGAGAAACATTTCAAGGCGCTTAGAGAAGCATTAATGCAAGGTTCGAAAACACGCTCTGAAGCACGGATCCTCACACTGTGAGCTAACACTCTTGATACAGGGTCAGTCCAAGGAATCCGGTTCCGTATACTTGACAGCTCGGAGGCACATGATATCAGTTGAGAAGAAAGGGCCGAAAAGATTCTGGACACGATTATTTGTCTTAATTTAGATATTGAACTGATGTCGACAGAGAGCGTGACAAACCCGATTTTGAAGGACCACCCTTCTTAAGGGCCCAGTGTCTCCGTTGATTGACTCGGAGGCTGCCATGTCGTTTGTTGATAGAATACATCAAAATGGATGATCCTTGAACGCCCTGCGCGGGCTCAATCGAGGATCATCTTGTGCAGCGCACGTAAAATGCTGTCCGATGGGTCACATGGAAGATGTCCCCCCCTCCCTCCCTAGGAAGTTGTGCGGAGCCATAACTCAATCATCAACCGGCGATGTGGTTCGCTTGAAATAATGAGTTAGCCGAGTCTGGAGATTTATGGCATTGTTCTACTGCCCCCGGAACCCGTGGTCAACAGTGCATCGAAAAAAGCCCGTATCCAATGCTGTCCAGCGTTTCGGTAGTGCCAAACAACGAAAGCTACCCATGACTACCCATGATTGTGACACGAGAGATCAGTGACTTGCACGTAGCGGTTAGGCCAATGACTTCGAGGAGATCGTTGAAAAAAAGAATTTGAAAAAAAAAAAAAAAGAAACAGGCATATTTGACCGCGTTTCAACAAAGTTAGTGCAAATAAACGACGTGAATCGTAGGTTTTTCTTTCCTGCTACATAATCCATTCGCAAATATCTTTTCGAAAGAACAAATGACGAGGAGAGAGATCTCAATTGTTTTGCGAAGAATGCGAATAAAATTCTGTTACTGTTGTCTCGAGCTTTGGCCCCTGAGTTCTCGTCCCCAGAAAAATGCCATGATCTGATGGAATTATTGGGCGAACATAATTTCCTCTAGAGCGCAGATAAACTATTGAAGACATGCAGCCACATGAAATGTTTCCCCACACGGCGTCCCAAAAAATTGAGAGAGATAGATGTGAAAAAACGACAAGTCTTACATTCTATCGTACGCCACCCGGGAAACAACTAGCTTGACCCCCCACTGTACAGAACTTGACGGGATCCGCTGACCAGAACACAGAGTCATCGACAGTGTCATCTCGCAACCACTAGCCAGGCCCTTTGAAACTGCTCATGAGCGGCCAGATAGAGACCGCGTCAGGGAACTGGTGGTTATAGCAAAGTGCCAACTTCTACCGCGAGCATTGCATACTTTCCGCATCTCTTTGGAGCATCTACACCAGCACCAGAGCGTCAGGGCCCGGCAGTGATATCCGGCGTCAATCAGTAGAGCCTGATCTGGTCTGGGGCCTGACCGGGACCATGGGATGCGGGAGGCAGTGAGTTTGACAATGAGACGTAGGCGCTGAGAAAACCTGAAGCCGAACTAGAGGTTCCGGGTAGCTACGATGCTCATCGAGGTGAGCTTTGTTATGAGACAAGCATACAAGAGCAGTATACGTGGATGGACTTTGATTTTATTGAGACAAGCTTGTGTTCTAAGCTAGGGGCCGAAAAGAAAGTGACAAAAACCAATGACGATTTTTTTTCCAGCAAGAAAGGGCTCGCCATAACTCCCCAGAAACCAACAAATTCGCGAGCAAGCAGTTCCAGAGAGGTATCCACGACGACCATAAAAAAGAGCTCCAGAAGTATTTGGTATGAACCAACGACATGCACCAAATAGATGAACCGCCTGCCGCCTTGGTCACGCCCTCCTACTCACTGCTCCAGTGATATATACACATCGACACCCAATGTACTGATTGCGCCCCTTCCTTCTTAGACCTTGGGCTGGGCTGGCGCAGGAGCCCCTGAGGGCAAGGTCGCCTGTGCCGCGGCGATCGTATTCTGCACGACACCAGGCGACGCCGTCGGAGCGGGCGGCTGCGACGTTCCATTCTGTTTTGCGTTGTTACCCTCTTCGGTGAGCAGCCGACTAAGCAGAGGCAGATCCTCTCTCGCCCTGGGGTCACGCTCGATGCACCGTTTCACAGCATTCCACTCCCCTTCCTTCATCCTGGCAGCATGAGGCAGAAGAAAGGTAACGGTGGGGCTGGTGAACAGGGGCCCAAGCACTTGGCGTGCTTTCTGTTCGCCTTCGATCTGAGCCTGCCTAAGAGCATTGACGTCCTGTGCGACACCCTGGGCGGGAGGGGCCACGGGAGGTGGTTGTCTTGGAGGTGCTTGCTGGCCTGGCTGGCCAGGGATGACCGGTGGTGGGATAGGCGTGTGGCTTTGGTGGTGGGTCTGCGGTGGAAGACCGTTGCTGGGGAAAGCTCCCTGAGGGGTTGCTGGTGACCAGGTAGGCGCGGGAACTGACGGCTTTCTGTCGGGAGCAGGCGTGGGAGTAGCTTGCACCGATGGTGTTGGTGTTGCTTGTTGTACCTTTGGCTGCGCCGGCTCGATGGGAATGTTCTCGTCTCTGACCACGAAGACCATCAACAACAGGGGCTCCGGTCGAGACAGAGGGACCTGGTGACCGTCAATGTTTTCCAGGATCTCTGGCAACGGACCATGACCTGCGGGTAGTGGTATAAGATAGGTATCTCGCACTTGACCAAGCTTCCTCTCGCCGACGACGCCATAGCGCTGCTTTGACTGGAAATAGTTGATAACGGCCATAAACTGGCTCTTGGCGTTCGGATCAGCGCTCGCTGGGGCGAGGCTAGTGATGACCAAGTCAACCTGGTTGTTGTACCTCAGACCGCAGAGATATGGTACTGCCTTGTCCTCAGGGATGCGCCCAGCAACGGAGACCAGCGGCGGTATCAGTTCATCCCAGCCGATGCCTCTGACCTGCTTCAGGTCGGCGCCACCGGCAAATTTGGCCAAGATGCCGATATCAGCCAGATTGGTCATCTTGAGATGTCCTTGCCAGACGACATCCGGATCCAAATTCTCCGTTGGTGAGTAGGGAGGCGACTCAGCTCCATCGTCTTGTAACATCCTATCTACGTCTGGATCATCAACGGGACCGGCTGCTGGAGCTGGGGCGGAAGGTCGACGCTGAGTAGTGCCTGGAGAAACAGCGGAGAAGACCTTTTCCAAGTCGAAATTGCTTTGTCGGGGTGACTGTTGTTTTCCGGACGTATCAATGCGGAGAGGGTCAGATGCTGTGTGAGCAGATGAGTCTGCGGAGGTTTCCTTGTTTTCTCTGACGCTCTGTCTTCGGATAGTCGAGGGGACTTCCTCGGCTGCCGTGAAGCTGTCGTTCTCCACGACCTCTTCACCCTTATGAGTACGTCTTACACGTGGCGCGTCCTCGGTGATCAGGGTTGCTTGTTTATCAGCAAGCTCCTTCATTTGCTGTGTTTTGCGCTGCAGCTCCTCGGTCTGCATCTCGTCGCTGGACATGGCGGCCAGGGCAGGAGCAGTGAGGGTTCGGTTGAATACACGGGCCGCGAGCTCAATGTTCTTCTTAAGGTTGAACACGAGGGTACGGATCTGATTCGCCGCGGCGGTGGCGTTGGGATGACTGTCATGAACGGCGCGTTCGATCTCGATAGCATGGCGCTCGGTGACGGCTTTCTTGGTCGTGTCCTTGGACACCCTGAACAACTTTGTCTTGATGGCTTCCTCAAGAGCAACATCGAGAGATTTGCGGATTCCCTCGGCGCGACTCTTTCTTGATCCCTCAAGCTTGTCGATGCCCTCTGCCAGATCTGCGGGGGGTGTGTAGTTGGGCGGCGCGGGGACGGCGCGAGCGTTGTCGACCTTGCGCAGCTTACTCGAAGGGCCTTGGGAGTGGTCTCGAGATTTGCGCTTGCCCTTGGCCGCTGCATCCTCTTCCTTCTTGACCTCTGGGGCAGGGGATGCTTTCGACTTTGTGGTGGAGGCAGCTGGCGAGGAGCGATCTTTGGCGTCGCTTTCTCTCTTCTTGCCCTTGCCCTTCTTCGTCTTCTTCTTCTTGTTCTCCTCCTCGTGCTTCTGTCGTCGCGTGAGCCAAAGCTTCTCGCCCTTGGCTACAGCGGTCAGCAGCTCTTTGTGGTCTTCGGGTTTGCACAACTCGCAGAAGTACTCCTTAGGCAGTTCGTCGTCGTAAATGCTCATACCCATACAGACGTTGTGTTGCCAGGCGCCGCACTGCTCGCAGGCGATCCATGGCTCGTCGGGGTCGTCGTCATCTTGGGTGGTTGCGCCGCAGGCACAACGGATGATCTCTTCATCCTCGACTTCCTCCTCCTTCTCTTCCTTCTCTTCCTTCTCGGCCTTCTTGCTCTTCTTGCTACCGCCCTTCTTCTTGGCTGGCGGGGATTGGTCAAAAGCTTTCGTGTGCTGGCCTTTGGTCGCTCGTGCGGATCGACGGGCCTCCTGTTCTCCTAATGTTGAAGAGGGATGGGTTAGAGCGTCTGTAGCAGGTTTCTGGGTGTGCCGGGTCTGTCTCTGGGGGGCCATCGTCGATTGACTGGTGGATACGCCTGGGTCTCCCGCATGCTCGGTCGACTTATGGGAGGAAGCCGCCGAGGAAGACGGAAGCACGGGGGGGACGGGGTCGGGGTCGGGATCTGTGACTCCTTGGCTTTTGCGGGTGGCGCGCTTACCAGACATGATTGGATTTGTTACGGCTCTGGTCCCGAAGGTCTGACGCGGTGGTATTCCGGACTATGTGGTAGGGCGTGTTTTGGTATGTGTAGCTTCAATGGATGATGTCTTGGGAGTGCCTGAGGAGGGGGGGTTTTACAGATGGGCTAGGAAAGGCCAAATAAGAGGGCAGTCATCAAACAATCATGAATATCTACGCAGAATACATGAACTATGATCTCTGAAGAGAACCAGAACATATGGCGACGGAAAAGGGCAATGCGGAATTCCCCAGAACTAGTTCCCGCACGGCAGTCAAGCTCCTGTCCCGGACCGGATGAAATGCGATTTCCTGCGATCCAAGTCGCGATCGCCCTGTGATGGGATGCGTGGCGTGAGTGTGAGCGTCAGTGTCAGCGTGGGAGTGTGAGTCCGGGCGATGAGGCGAGGCGGGTATATGTGGTCGCGAGCGTATGACGGAGATGTTTTTGGTGATGGGCGCGAACAAGTGAATGTTGCGCTCGGATATGGCGTTGTGAGTCAACAGCAAACGAGACTCGGAGGGGAGACGCGACTGAAGATTTGCGACTGGCGCGAATCGCGTGTCGCTGGGTGGGTAAGTGGGTATGATGTCAGGTGGATTGTCAATATACAGATTGAAGCTCAGTGCGGAGGTGGCGCGTCGAGGATGCAGCTGGTACGTGTGTGAAAATATCGCGCAACTCGCAGCAGTGTAGCTCTCGAGCTGATGTTGTTACTGTGGTTCTGGCGAATCTGCCTTCGAAATGGCAGTTTTGGGTTGGAAAAGGTGGAGGTGGTGGAGGAGACGACCGGCGACCGGTATCTGCAATCGCACCTCCATAAAATCATATCATCATTGGTCCGACCTCTCCCCCGAAGCTTGGACCTCTTCTTTCTTTTCACTTTCACTGCGCTGCTGCCTCTGCAAGCTGGAGAAAGAAGCACGGGCTTTCATGGAAGCGGCCATTCCCCCCACTTCCACTGTGGCTGTGGCTTGGTAAGCAGTATTCCATGATCACCTAGTCTAGTCTAGGCTAGACTAAGGGTGTGCGTAGACCTCCAAGATGTGGCACCCTCACCCAAACTCAGCACTTCGGCTGCATTAAACGAGGCTGACGCACCATGCCGTCAGTTGGTCTGTGCCCTGCTTGGTTCTTCAGTTCCTCGAGGCTAGGCTTAAGCTGCGGGCCAAGTGCAAGTGAGCTACGCGTATGGGTTTCTTGCCTAGCTCCCAGCACCCAGCTCTCCAGTAGTACAGCGGGTTAGGAAACAGCAGCTGCGATTGTGGTGACAGCGTCCCAGGCCCGTTCTCAGCCTTCCCAAACCTCAATTCATTAATCTGCCACCACTCTGTGCTGCCCTCGCCCAACCACGCCCGAAGTCCACAACATTGCCGTCGTAAATACAGAGATTCATTTCCAAAAGGCAGCTTGAACGAACACACATCCCATCATGTCTCGCCGTTACGACTCCCGAGTAAGCTTTCCATGCCTGGCCAGCCTCCGAAGCCCCCCCACACAGCAGCAACTAATTATCACCGATGAACACAGACAACCATCTTCTCCCCCGAAGGTCGTCTCTACCAGGTCGAATATGCGTTAGAGGCCATCTCCCACGCCGGCACAGCCATCGGCATTCTTGCAAAAGATGGAATCGTCCTGGCTGCTGAGAGAAAGGTGACGTCGAAGCTGTTGGAGCAGGACACATCGGCAGAGAAGCTGTACATCCTCAACGAGTATGTGCCCATGTGCTGTTCGTGAAACAGTGGGCGGCCATAATGCTGACAAGGTGCAGCAACATGATCTGCGCTGTCGCAGGTATGACAGCCGACGCCAACATCCTCATCAACTACGCCCGACAAGCCGCCCAACGCTACCTACTCACCTACAACGAGGACATCCCCTGCGAGCAGCTTGTCCGAAGACTATGCGATCTGAAGCAGGGATACACACAACATGGTGGTCTGCGGCCGTTTGGTGTCTCGTTCATCTACGCCGGGTGGGACCCCCAGAGACAGTTCCAGCTCTACCTCAGCAACCCCTCTGGCAACTACGGCGGCTGGAAGGCGACAAGTGCCGGCGCCAACAATGCCAGCGCGTCCAGCCTGTTGAAGCAAGATTACAAGGAGGACTGCACGTTAAAGGAGGCATGCGGCATGGCGGTCAAGGTGCTCAGCAAGACGATGGACTCGACCAAGCTAAGCAGCGAGAAGAGTAAGCTCTCCTTCCATTTTTCCCCTCCCCTCTTTCTATCAATCAATCCGGTGATACTAAAGCCCCATCGATACTAACTTGCCAACAGTCGAGTTTGCTACGGTGGGACAAACCGAGGACGGCAAGATCTACCACAGACTCTGGAGCGCAGACGAGATTACGACACTTCTGAAGGAGCACGATCTAGCCAAGAACGAGGATACTGAGGACAAATAAGTGGCATGGGGCCGCTATCGAGCTGTATCACGACATGAAATGGAGTCTAGGCATGCATCATAGAGCCAATGTACTAATACCACGCTGATTCATGATGATTATGACAACCAGTGCTTTGCATCTTACTTTTGTGTGGTAGGGATAGTGAGCTACTGACGGCTTTTCTTCTTCTTCTTTTTGTTTTCTCATTTCTTTTATCTTTGCTCTGCCTTTCCTATTTTCTTCTTTTCTATTCTCATTCAAGTCTCGTTTTCTAGGTGGTAATGGCGGATCTCATGTCCAGAGTCGGAGTGAACTTGCCGCGTTGTCGTGTGGTACTAGTACTACATCCACGGCGGCCAGGTCGGGGAGTACGGCCATGGCTATCAGCTGGCCAATATCAATTTTAGCCACTGACACCAAGCTCCTGTCTATGGCATGCGTTTCAAACTATAATTCAAAGATGCCGACTGTTCTCTCTCGGGGATATCCTTGTCCGAAACTCATGACTGTGATGAAGCCCTTGTTGATTTGACCCGTAGCGAGCCCCTGAACTGCTTACACACATGCTTTTCGTACCGTAGCGGTGTATTAAAACACAACAGGCGCTGAACAAAGTCCAGCCAATCCGCACTACTAGCCTTGCCCCCGTTGCTGCTGCTGCTGCCCGCTCAGCGCTGCAGGCAATGCACAAGCTGCACGTTCTAGGTTAGGAGGGGCAGACTTGGACCCCTGCTTCGACTAGACTGACCTAGCCTTATAGTAGACTACCCCCCCAATCTTTTTTGTTTGTAGGGGGGCGCCCGGGAGCCAATCCCCATCCAGTCCAATCTCAATTCATGTGCCTGCCGCTTGTGACTTGTGACTCTGGCAACGAACAACGTGGTGAACTTTAAGAATTCCATTCCAGGTGGTACAGGACACTTTCTCTATATTCTTCCTCAGACCCTCTCTTAGCACGGAGTCTTCACCTCAAATCCCTCCTGCATACATACCACATACCAGCAGCAAAAATGAGTCTTCAGGTTCCCCACCGCGGAAAGGTCAATGGCTCCGACAAGGACACAAAGGCGGTGATCCTGGTGAGTTTAACTTAATAAACACCCCCAGACAGACATCACAGCTTCCCTCATCCCGCCATCTTATTTCCTCTCGCTTCGACCCCACCAACCCTCTTTCCCTCCTCCCACCAGCGCATGGAGAGCACTGAGTACTGATTGCAAATCTTAGGTTGGCGGCCCCTCCAGAGGTACTCGCTTCCGACCGCTCTCTCTGGATGTCCCCAAGGTAAATAAATACATGAACAAACAAACCTGACTGGGTTGTCTCGCTTGTCCTGACCTCGTCCCTCGGCAGCCCCTTTTCGATGTCGCTGGCCACCCAATCATCTGGCACTGCCTCACGGCCATTGCCAAGGTCCCTTCCATTCAAGAGGTCATCATGATCGGCTACTACGACGAGTCCGTTCTCAAGGACTTCATCAAGGACGCCTCCAACCAGTTCCCCGAACTGCCCATCAAGTACCTTCGCGAGTACGAGGCGCTTGGCACTGCCGGTGGTCTCTACCACTTCCGCGATGCCATCCTCAAGGGCCGACCTGAGCGCATCTTTGTCCTCAACTCCGATGTCTGCTGCTCCTTCCCTCTCAACGAGATGGCCAAGCTCTTCGACGACAGGGACGCCGAGGCTGTCATTCTGGGGACCAGGGTGAGCGAGGACGCTGCCACCAACTTCGGGTGCATCGTGAGCGATGCCCACTCCCGCCGAGTTCTTCACTACGTCGAGAAGCCCGAGGGCCACATCTCCAACCTGATCAACTGCGGTGTCTACCTCTTCAGCGTCGACGCCATCTTCCCCTCCATCAAGAGCGCCATCAAGCGCCGGACCGACCGACCACGTCTCGTATCCTACCCCTCGTCCGACAACCTCGAGTCGAGCTTCATGGCAGATGACGACGAGGAACAGAGCAAGGAGGTTCTCCGACTGGAGCAGGACATCCTCTCCGACCTCGCAGACAGCAAGCAGTTCTTCGTATACGAGACCAAGGACTTCTGGCGCCAGATCAAGACTGCTGGCTCTGCTGTCCCTGCCAACGCTCTTTACCTGCAGCAGGCTCAGCAAAATGGTGCCCATGAGCTCGCCAAGGCCGTGCCCAACCACATCATTCCTCCCGTCTTCATCCACCCCTCCGCCACCGTCGACCCCACTGCCAAGATCGGCCCCAACGTCTCCATCGGACCCCGTGCCACCATCGGCGCCGGTGTTCGTATCAAGGAGACCATCGTCCTCGAGGACAGCGAGATCAAGCACGATGCCTGCGTGCTGTACTCGATTATTGGTTGGAACAGCCGCGTCGGTGCTTGGGCGCGCGTCGAGGGCACCCCCACCCCTGTCACTAGCCATAGTACTAGCATCGTCAAGAACGGTGTCAAGGTCCAGAGCATCACCATCCTGGGTAAGGAGTGTGGTGTTGGCGACGAGGTCAGAGTCCAGAACTGCGTGTGCCTGCCGTTCAAGACCCTGAAGAGGGTAAGTGATTTCTTCGCCTCTCCTTCCAACACCCCTACTTTTTTCTGATGCAGTGGGTGCTGACTAATTATAGGATGTCTCCAACGAGGTGATCATGTAAGTGGAGTGAACGGAAATCGTGAAATGCCCTACAGAGCGATACACATCTTGCTTTGCGAAACCTGATGCTATGACAATGAAAAGTGTATGTCATTGAGGTAGTTAGACAAAAAATAGCGCCCCGGCTCTATGTGGCCTAATACATAGGAATAAAATCTATTCCGATGAGCATCAATAATAAATGAGTCGTGGTGGACCTCCACTTCATTTGACCCCAAAAGTTTTGTCCATGTTGGTCATGTCAATCAAGTTGTACCCGTCTTGAGTACGCCTGCGCTTGTGGCTTCTAAATCATGTTGTATGATCTTGATGCCCTTCAACAAGGTGTTGTCAAGCAAGTTCTCGATTGACGGGGTTGGCGACACGGCTGCGTGTATGGTAGAAGAATATACCATACAGGTCATTGCTACCTGCGTGGCACTCAAGGGTCCCGGAGGTCTTCTATCTTGCAGCCACGACTGGTTTGACCGCCCGCGTCTGCCGATTAGGCTTCCACAAACATCGAAGTAAACGTCGGGGATCCGCGTCTTCTGAATCATGCGCTGTCGTTTTGACAATTTTCCACCGTGTCGCAAGTGGCCATGTTCTTGATGAACTTGGCGACACGGGGTTGCCATTATGGTAGATTCTTGGTAGAAAAATCCACCGTATAATTTATTGTTTACTCCCTGCGTTGCAGTTGTGGATGGAGGGAGTGTCAATGTCGGTCCACTGGCCCTCCACAAACATCGATGAGCATGTCGAGGGCTTGTGGTCTCCAAATGATGCTCGGTGATTTTTGATGCCCTTCAACATGTCGCCGGTAAGAAGGCTGTTGACGAACTTGGCGACAAGGCTGCGTGCATGGCAGAAAATTCCACCCTGCAAGTTGTTGCTCCTTGCATTTACTTCACGGTCCGGAGGTTTATAGGAATGGACGGTGTCTGTCCACGTAGGCCCATCGATGAACATGGTAAACGCCGATGTCGCCACTGTTCTTTATGGACATGGCAACACGGTGGCGATTCTTGGTAGAATCATCTACTATACAAATCGCTGTTCCCTCCGTGACATTTGACGGCCTGGGGTTCTGCGAGGTCACAGCCGCGGGTTGGCAGACCGCCCACGTGAGTCCGTCCGCCTTCCCCAAACAGCGACGAGCGTGGTCAAGACCCGCGTCACCGCTGTTTTTTATGAATTTCGCAACAAGGCTGCGATTCCTGGTAGAATCATCCCCCGTACAAGTTGTTCCCCCCTGCGTTGCATTTCGTGTCCTCGAGTTCTGCGATGTCACAGCCATGGACTGGCAGACCGCCCACGCCAAGCAGTCAGCCTTCCACAGACGTCGATGGACATGTCGAGGGCCTATGTCGCTGGCGTTGGGGCCAGCATGTCGATCAAGATGGCGCTGACCCATCTACCGTGCGGAGACTGTGCCTACGCGTTGCCATGGCCGAGTCCTCGATCAATCACAGCGAAGACGGAGATGACACGAGAGGCTTTGCAGCCGTCGAAGCCGAGCTTTGGTGCTAATTATCCTGTGGGGCTTTTTCCTGTCCTTGTCGTCCATATCGTCCTCCGCCAAAACAAGCATGAACTGATCGTCTACAAGACTGGTCTCTCAGTGCAGGACCGAACCCTGGGTAGTGGCATGGCCGACCAGCCGACGTGCTCGATTTCAGAGCCGGCTGATGCCAAGCGACATGAGTCGGCAGTGTACAGACTGCCTCCATTGTGACGTCTGAAAAAGTCACTATGGTCATCGGTGGAGGTTTGAGGACCATGTCGAACACATCGCCGGCAGGATGGCGATAACCAGGTTGGTCCGGGGGTAACATAAGCGAGCGAGTGCTGGTGCCGAGGCATGAGGGCCATTAGAGCGAGCGTATCAGTCGGCAAGTGAGTTTTCTCGGTCTTGTTTAAGAATGTCAGCTTCCATATACCGGAACTTGTCTGCTCGAAACCAGGCTGCAACTGCCAGAAGCAGACGGCCGCGTTCGTGTTCGTCAATGTCAACGTTGTCTTTGGACACCGTGTTGTGGTGAGCGCGAGTGCTGGAAGTGCAGATACTGCTAAGCATGATTATATGACCCAAGTTTATCTAGCCTAGGCGCACCATACTTGGATCTCAAGACAGTCCCATCTGCCCTTCGAGCCGTGGAACGTCGAAAAGTCTTACTCGACTATCCATCAAGTTTATTTGAGTTGTATTGTGCAAGTCGGCCCAGCAGGCGACCTTCACGGGGCAGTGTCTCCCATTTAATACCATGTCGCCTCGCTATAGACGCTGGTGGACTATATCGGCAATGAGTCTAGTAACAACCTGCATTGTGACTAGTCGGTTCGTTAGAAAGTTGTTATTGTTTTTAGTGTTCTTTTTAGCCTATATGAGGAAATTGGTTAGTTTCTCATGCTGTAATGAGCCTTTCTACAAAAAGAAAGAACGATGTCAAAGCACCACCGATTTTCATGCATATTTCAGAGGAAAGTATGCTTTTTGACTTACAAATACTTAAGTATATGACATTCCAAGTCTTCTCGATGTAAATGAAGACAATGATAGCATTTGCTGGCTGTGCTGGGGAATATGAGCCGAAGAAGAAGCCCTCTACGTATTTGGAGAAGCCGGAACTTGGTGACCATGTGATAGCGGCCCCCATGTGAGGACGAGACGATGACCGGCGCCACTTTGTCAAATCTGTCTGGATGATTTGCTGTGTAGATTATGTGTCTGTCAACAAGCTTGGAGGGTGTGCCGTTGATGGTATGGTGTAGATCGTCCTTGAGTTCATAACTCCTACCTAGCATGGTTTAGTTCAAAGCCAGACCAAGTGGTAGTAATTGCCCACCAATGCTGTGCATCTGTTCCATGAGAATCTGATGAGGAGTGTTCCATATGCCACAGGTTTTTTACTCCTCTTCCCTTTTTTTCCCTTCCCTTTTTTTTACCTTCTTGTTTCTTTTCCTTTTTTCCGCTTTTCTTTTCCTTTTCCTTTTTTCCCCTTTTCTTTTCCTTTTCTTCTTCTTTTTCTATGTTTAATTTTTAAATTTATTGTTTTTTTCTTTTTTCTCCCCCTTTCCTCCTCTCTCACTTCTATCTCGGATCTGGCGCTTGACGTAAGGCACAGGGCATCGCCGCCAAGACTAAACTTGATTGGGTGTTTTTTTTTTCTCAAAATTGAATGCTCATCGCCAGCTGGAGGTCCATTTGGTGGGCACCCTGCCTCCCTTCGTCTTCTGACTTGGGAAGATGTTCGCCATAACGAACATGCCCCGTCGGCTCGGGGTGAAAAATGATATCGGCAAGCTTGAACTCTAGGGAATTTTCATGGCCAAGAGAAGGGTGCTCATTGCAATATTGCTCTGCCTTCCGCTTGTTCTCTTCGATGTTCACTAACACCACGCTTGTGGTGACGCGAGTGACACAGAAAACCACTACTGTCCAGGTATCCCGGAGGTGGCGACCACCATAGTTTAGCAAGTGTTCAGGACTATGGTGGCTACCAATACCCTTCATGACGACGTTGTGCTCGGGTTGAAGAAGCCTTCGCGGCTTCCACCTCCTCGCTTCCCTCAGTGCTTTGTTAGCTATACAAGTATAGCAGGGAGAGATAACTACTGCCACTACGACGCATCCACAAGGCAATGCTCCACGTGACGTCTTGAAGTCTTCCATACTGACATCATAACGATAACTAAAATCTGGATATTGACTGGAGTATTTTTTCGGCTGGGTAGTTGCGTGCGTCTCCAGGCATTGTAGCGAATGAGTGACGATGAAATTCTTCATGGTGAACTCTAGATGGAGAACAAGAGGCTGTCGCAATCTGAAATTAAAACTTCAGCTCAAGGTTGTTGAAACTCTGGGCACAAAACAACTAACCTTCTGTCATTCGAAGTTAAGCGTGTTTGGCATTCGAACCTTTGAGAATCTCTGCAGTAGTGTTCGTTGAGGTGTCAAGACCTACTGACGTAGTTGCGTGCTGGTGGACACTGGGATCATATGTAAACCAGGAGGCGCCGGTTTTCGAGACGAGGGCTACGAAACAGTCTATCATCGTCCTTGTCGAAGAGCAAGGATTATTTATCGGATTCTCTAGCCTCGCACTCCGACTTAGCGGCTGAGAAAACCCCTTGTGGGCGAGATTGTGTTATCGAGTTCAGTCACCGACCTAAACTCTTACTCGAAACCACATTGGTTGATGTGAAGAGAGTATCATCCAATCGGCGTCCAGATCATAGGATCCTTCATAGTGACTAATGAATCTGAGGCACAACAAACCTCGTGAGCTGGCATAGTGTTAGGCCAAAATTGTTGCAGTTGTTTAGAGAAGGAGAGAAGGTTGAAGCGGACTTACATGACAAATAGGCCTGGTTACCGGTAGGACCCCAGGACAACTGTGTAGAATATGTTGTGCAGGTGACACTAGTTGTATTCCGAACGAGGTAGCGGAAATGTCTTAGCAACCACTCAAAAACCCAGTGATCATTGACCGCCTATGACGGGAGGACACGAATCAACAGAACTATGCTTTTAGAAACGACTGGCGCATGCTGTCGAGTGGCCAAGTGTAGCACAAGCATAAATCAGAGAAACAAATTCCTTGATGGTTTCACCTAGATATATCTCTGGACCACGATGATCCACGTTGACATGGAAGTTTCTCTAGAGAAACATGCCATCGGTGAGAAATTCTGTAGAGAAGTATGCCGACAAAGGCAAAGCCCAGAGAACCCGGCAAAAATCAGATGGAACTCCCCAGCATGAGTCTAGAGCGCTGAACAGCGTTTCTGCACCAGAAACTCCCATTGCATGCGGCTGCCACAGTGAGCGCTAAATCGTCGTGCGTGAAGTTTCCGTGCTTGTCTTGGGTGTTTTTCAATTTTCCTGTTGCATTTTACAAATAATGCTCCCTGTGGAGTTGTATCGACGAGCCATTTACAGTGAATATAAAGGTCTAATTTTGAACACCCTTGAGTCTGGACTCAAATGACTCCTAATCTCAGGGGTCAAAGTCCGTAGCCCAACTTATGTATTCATTGCAGTGTCAACCGCACATCCCCATAGCTCAACAACGGCAAGAGGGAATCCTCCAATTCGGGTAGAGGCTCAGAAGGGGGTGTCTCATGAAGCTTCCATGCTCGGCACTGAAGCCCAGCTCGGAAATGTGACGCGAGTGTTGCTGTAAGAACTCCTCGTCACGATCAGAAATGATCCAAACAGCATTGCGGTGGTCAACCGCCAAAGACTTCAGAGTCTGGATGACGGGCTCTGATGGGATGGCTGCAATAGGTTCCCCAACAAAAAGGGTAGGCGTTCCATCATAGTCGAATATGAACAAGCGCTTGTTGGCAACTCGGTATTACTGCAATATTGTGATGCGGTATGCACTCGTATCAGCACATCATATTGGGGATTCGATCGGCAGGGCTGTCTTGGAAACCTTTGATGCACCTCATTCAGTCCCATTCAAACTAACAACAAGCTGTTGGACTGTCAAGTCCAGATGCCTGAACTGGAAACATGCAAGTGACGGGAAGTTTCAAAGAGAATTAGTTTAAACCCTCTCAGTTGGCGAAAACGATGCAGAAGCGCACCGCGGTGTAAGTGACGATGACTCAATCGAGTTCCATAATTATTGTCTCCTTCGGATCCGTATCCGTTAATTGAAATTCGTGTATCGTGTTATCGATATGATAAATACCATCCTGGCGGGCTTTGAAACAGAGCAAATAATCGCATAGTGCACCGCTGGTTAAACTTTGTGATAATTTCCACCCTGGTGGCTCTGAAATATGGCAATGAATCGCCGAGTGCACTGCGGGTGTGAGTCCACATGGCGGTGTCAAGGTTCCTGATGAGAACTCCTGGAACAAGGTCCCCACACTTTCCCGTGGTGTTGCGAAGTCATCGTAATGGAACCCTTTGTACTGGCCGCCAAAGCATATCATTAGTTTCGGAGGCGTGCCGTTCTGGATATCCAGAGAAGTTTTCTTTTCGGACTTTAGGAGATGCCTTGTTGAGGCTCAGAGGCCGTGGGGGAGATGGCATTGCGGCAATTGCTCGACCCCCTCCAAGTCGACGATTGCCAATTCAGAATGGATGCATGCGATAAGTTCGTGGGTGCGGTGATACCTCCCACATATTGCAGTTGGACACGAATAGAATCCAGCCTCGTATCTTAGTGAGAGATACTCCTTCTAGCTTGAAGTGTCAGTTGGTACTTCGGGTAATGTAATTTGAACACGCGTGGGATTAAATCCTTTGCAGACGACTGAGCTATGCCAAATGTTGCCATAAGGCACTACTTGCCGACGATGTTCTCGCATCGTTTCAGACTCTATCGAAGAGCTTCAGACTTCACAGTCATCACTAGGTGTCAGATTCTGTCCTCGGTTATCTGAGGCTCTCTGACGTAGCCAGCGCCAAGACCGCCTCTTTCTTGGCTGCTTGCCACGGTGAGGCAGCTGGTGATGGCGCCGGATTGCTATCCTAGCCTTTGGGATGACTGAAGGTCTCGATTCTTCATCCGGAAGCGACTACTTGGTCTCAATGTTGATCGAGCGAAGAGGTGGGAGAGACAAAAAGACTGGTCCATCAAGATCAGTTTGGAAAGGAAAGAAAGGCGACATAGAGTCAAGTGAGCTCCAAGACAACAGAACCAGAAGCCTGGTGCCAGTGATAGAGGCCATGGTCGTTGTTGGTGAGCATTTGAATTCCCTTGTTCAGTACGTTGGTCTTGAGAACTGGAGGCGAACTGATATGAGCAAATGCTGGTAAAGAGGTCTCTTCTACTTCGTAGCTCCAAGAACCGTCGGGGCCCACTGTTGATCGTTGAAAGTCCCGGCGTGCGCCAGATTTTCCAATGAGCCCGCCTTAGCAGCGCCTATTCATGAGATTCCAATACTAGCACCAGTCCGAGCCACAATGATGGGCGACGGCCGGGGTGAGATTGGTGGTCACTTTTGCCGGTCATACGAACGACGACGTAACCGAGGCGGGATTTGATGGTCTAGCTCTCGAGTTGGCAGTCCTTAGGCAAATACGTCCACAAAGCTGAACCTTCCGCTATCAGGCGAACCATCGCCATCAGTATTAGAGCGTCTCAGATATCGCCTGGAAAGGATTCCTGAGGTAGTTGATGTTTTTGAGTTTGTGGCCATGGGTCGATAGCCGAAATGGCAAAGATGACCAAGACACATGAGAGGTTATCTTGGTGTAACTCTGCAACACAAGTCGGTCGGGGGGGTGAGGTGCAAACTATTGGGGCCGAATAGGGGTGGGTCATACTCAGATGCAGCTATTGTCTGAGTGTTCTACTGTGACGAAACGACAACGACCAGATCAACCGGATTGCCGACTTCGGATGAATGGCAATATATCTTGGGGCTAAACAGTCAGTCTTGATTGCATGGTATCTGTGGAATGTCATGCTTACCGGGAGCATTTGAGCTGGCTCGATGCTGTAAATGTGCTCAGGTTCATCTCTACCATTGACGTTGCCGTGTCATAGGACTGACTATGATAATGGTATATATCGGGCTGGAACTTGACACGGCCGCAAGCAAAGACAGCGATGATCTCAATGAGCAAGTTGAGAACTGTCATCCAATCTTCAGCCAGAGGTTTGGGGTCGACTGTATCAAACCTGCAGAACTCTTCAGAAGAAAAGACTGAAAGTCCAATACCTAGTATGAAATCGACGCAAAAATGTGCTCGGGATAACCTCATGAGTGGTAATGGAGCGTACCAGGTCGATGCGCATCAAGATGCTCGAACACTCAATTGGAGACTCTGCTGCGACAGACTCGAATTGGAATTGCCACCCCAATAGATTGCTGATCAGAAAGGGTTTTCGTGGAGGGGATCCTAGTCATGCGCTGCTTTGGTCGCACGCGCCACCATATTATCATATGGTAGAAGGGGAACCAGGAACGGAGGGTTGAAGAAGTTCATTCCCACAACGAAGATATCCCATACTGTGAGACGTAATTTCCTCGTCGATCTTGCAAGTTTGCCATTCTTGGTTCTGTTGTTCTTTATCATCGAGAACTGCGGATCTCCAAGAGCCTAAGATTCGTCACTGTCACGAGCTTTTAGACCAGCCAAATCCAACATACCGAGATTGCTTATTTATTGCAACGGCAGCTTGACTTGGTTGTTTGTTTGGCTGATACCAGGGATTGCAAGCCCCAGCATAGTCACAGTTGTCCTTCTCTGCCAGTTTGCGTCTAGCTTTGAGGACTGATCTCACTATGACTGAGTGCGGGATGTGTGGAGAAGCGTCCCTTAGAGTGAAGGAATTTGGTTGTGGGTGTTGCGGTGGAAGAAATATCATGGTCGGATGCTGGTGGCTAGATGGTTCAAGATCTTCTCGCAAATTGACCAGGTCATGCAAGCATCCGCAAGCATCAGGCCCATGTGGTCCGCCTCTATCAAGTTCCCTTGGTTGTCAACCAGAACGAAACTTGTATGAATGTGAGGCTACTGAGAAGAAAGACCAAACGGGGTAGTGAATGTTTTGCTGTACCATTAAACCCGAGACAAAGTTGAGTAGAAAGTTAAGACAAGACAAGCCCGTCTTACCAGTACCTATCGCCTCTTAAGAAAGAAGGCAAGTAAGGACAGTAAATGTCTTGCCTGTACTGGCCGGTTTAATAACAACTGAGCGAGAAGAGTAGATCAGACAGTGAATGTCTGGCCTGTGTTGACAAACTGGGTGTTGGCTTGAGCTAAACTCTGTATACTCTTTGACTAGTACTTGCTTCCATTAATCATGCTGGCAATGGTATTCAGCAGCTGAGAGCCCGAGGTTTCTTTTCTTCTTCTTGTAATTCTCGTTTCTTTTCCTTTCTGGACGGGGAAATAGAGTGGCGGCATATTTGAATAGTAGATTTGGTGATAGTAAATGGTTGAGGTCCTTCTCGAAAGGATTAATGTGCTCGGGAGAATGCTGTCGCCTCTAAAGTAGCTGCTGAAAGTTAGCTTGGAACTGGCGACCCAGTACATGAATGATGCTTACCATATTTATTAGGCTTCAGCACAGCCTTGGATGCAGCTGGTTGGATATTCACTTGATAGATTGAGAGCATCACACAAGATAGAAGTTGTAATTTTATGCTCTTGGACGTCTCTTGGTAGGTGAACCCCGCGACTCGGTCGTCAAGTAAAGAGTCATGCTCCATCTAGTCTGTATGCAGAGCATTGTGATTTTTTCGGTGGGGCGTTGTATGATAGTACCAAAACTTTCTGCCAAACTAAATAATATTGTCATTTGAATTTTTCTCTTCCAACATCTTCTGGAAGCAATCTACAGGTGCGACAGTCAGGTAAACCATCAACAGTGGCGATGGACCGGAGGAGACTGAACAACCACCGCATGATATAAGAGAAATGATGCTCCAGAACATGAGAGACTTGATGAGATTAGAGGCCTTGTGAAAGCAGTGCAACCAAATTCCTCGCGATATTGTCTCAATTGTGGTTCACATGACACCTGAACTCGGGTGCTTGAAAATCTCTATCGGGCCCTTCGACAGATTTATGTTGCCATTGTAGAGCTAAATATGTCATATATTGACTGAAAATATGCTTACTGATTTGATGTGCCAAAGAAGTTGGGACAACGAAGTGTGATGGAGGTACAACCGAAACCATTTAAGCTTAAGCATATTAGGAGTAGAGAAGATGGTAAGTCGACCGAGGAACGTTTATAAAAATGTAGTTTAATGTTTGGAGTTCTACAGGGAATTCAATATGGTTGAAAGAAAAGTTTGCTGAGATCTGCTCTAGAGAGAAGATACCAAAAAGGGCAAGTATTTGGGTGTAGACTTACAAATCCCCAGAGGTCTATAGCGACAAGTAGGCAGTATATCCTCCATCGAAACGGTTAAGGAAGTATTCATCGCTCTTTGAATGTCAAAGAAAATTGAATTTTGTTTCAATTAACCTCAGAATAGATTGTATTGATAATTCAAATGATGTTGGTAGGATGACGGTATTGTGTTGTCGCGGTCAGGAACTAGATTATTGTGTTCAATAGGTCGTCGGGAACTAGCCAAGATTCCAGCGACGAACGGCAGCAACTTCGAACAAGTTTTGCTAGTATTGTCCGTGGTGACCGGAGATTCTCACGAGGAGATTAGCGAGAATGCAACGCTTCTTCATTCTGTTGTTGACCAAAGTTATTAGTATAGGTGATTGGTATAGGGCATGGGGGGTTTTGGGTCTTGATGTGTTTTGGTCATTTTCGTCAATTCGGTTGTTGTTCCTCTTCTTGTGACATTTTGGTTATGTTAGAAAATGCATTGAAAAGTTTGTAACAATGTGAAGCTGAAGAGCTCCATACCATCAGGCATGTAT